CTACCCTCAATGTCCCACTATACTTGGGTAATTTAGAAGTTTTGTTGCACATCGCTAGCGCAAGACGTGCAACAGATTGTCCGGACGGAGCCAGGTAATTTGCTGCGCAACTATTTTGATGCATGGCTACTCGAGCTTTTGAGCAGAAATATTGAAGATTACCCGCTATTCCGTGTTATCCACTCCTTTGGTATACGAGGCTTTGGATTGATCTTGCTTCTTTCATAGTCTGTGTTCTTGATTATGAACTTACTGTATCGACTTCTCTGTGGTGTCAGGAATGTATGACCACCTCGTTACCATCACTTCAAGGATATCCTTTCAGTTCTCTTTGCTAAGATCTGTCTCTCATTTCTTATTCCCATTTTCTCCCGCGTCATTTCACTCCTGAAGCAGCTTATGAGAGATGAGACAGAGAGGAGTCGAAATGTAACAAGATAACGACAGGCTTTCTGGTCTAAGGCCATACATTGCTCCCAGACAAGAGGAACAAACTGATAGTATAAGTATTAAACTGTTGTTCGCTCGAGAATCATAATCGACGCTCACTTTTAACGCATTATCACGGACAACGGGGAGGTGTAGGGCAGAAAGTAAATGCAGCTTCATTCACTCATCACCGCCTAATACTACTACTGTCTTCACTCTTGACTCATGCTAATCCTCGCTCCAATAATCCTTCCGCTCTCATGGTCCTCAATTGCATGCTGTCCAACGCTCAAAACTCATCTCATGATCTCATACCCTCATAAACTTCCGTCTTCAATTCACTCTGTGCTCGTTAGACATCTCTCCAAACTGGCTCTTTCTTCTCAACTTTAGGAGTTTGAAGAGCGTTACGATCAGCGAAGGGATCGTTCTCGTCCTCTTCTTCGAAGTCATCTTCTTCCTCGGGCTCTGGCTGTGGGGCTGGACGAGGAGGTTGACGGGGTGGTCGTGGTGGGCTGGGACTCTTCGTGCCGAGGGAAAGACCGGCGAATTGATTGGCAGCTGCATTCTCCTTGCCTTTGTCGGACATGGCTACCACATCATTAGTACCCGTTAACTTGCGAAGATTGAGCACTTACTCTTGTATAGATGCTGTTGATGGGCTAGCTCGTCGTCCGAGTCGCTGTCAGCGTCAATGGAGCGGTCAAGTTGCTCGAACGTCATAAGAGCAGTCACAAGCTCGTCATTGGCATGCAAAAGAGCTCCAAGCCACTGCTCAGATTCGACAAGTTGGATCTAAGATATGTCAGCAACGATTGGTCAACTATATCAGGAATACCTACATAACGTAAGATCTTGCGTCTCAGCAATTTACAGAACTCAAAGTGGTGGACTGCATTCTTGTTCTCGGAAATTTGTTCCCGCTCACGATTAATCAATCGAAGTGCATTCAATAGATTGGTCGAAGCCACAGATGATTCTGCAATGCAGTTCTTCATAGTTTCCTTCTCGGACTCTAGGTTGAACGGCTTGCCCTTCTTTTTCTTCTTGTCCTTTTCCTTCTTGGATTTCTTCGTATCAGTGGATGAAGATATGCTGGAGAAGAACGATGGAGGCGGCGAGCTTCTGCTAGATTGTGCCGGAGAGCTAGCAACAGAGGCATGTCGAGGTTGTGGAGGAGGCGCTACTACCTCCTCTTCGTCATCCTCGAATGGATTTTCGGCTGTCTCGCGAAGGACCTTGGATTGGTCTTGCGTGACTACCTGCTTGCGACGAGGTAATTGCTGGATTTGATATTAGCAAAGACCTATAAGGAACCAACTCGCACTAACCTTGTAGAGACCAGCAACTTGTTCCAAGCCCCGAACGTTCTTGTACTCAACGGCCCAGTTTCGAAACAGCTCCTTGCATTTATCTCTTACTAGCGGATCTGAGAGGTCGGAAGTACCGCAAACTCGCAAGCGCTCCAACAACATCTCATCCGCAAAGGTTCTCTGAAAACGAGCTCCCGCATTCTGAATCAGGCCATCCAGAATAACAAGAGCACGAATTTGACGGTGGACGTTGCCGTACTTCAATTTCTTGCGGATTGCGCGAGCAGCTTCAGCTGGACCACTTGCTTGAAGCTTGATAGCTTCTACAAGATCTGGGATGCCACCAACATCGTCTTCCTCGTAATGCTCACTGGTGAGGTTTTCAACAGCGACAGTGACTGCGGAATAAGGTTTCTTCTGTGAAAAGCTTGGAATTAGCTTCTTAATCGACATGTGGTGTTTTTCGCTGGCATGGTGGGCAGACGCCATGTTGATGGCCAATGCAAGACGGAGGACAGATGAAGACATGAAAGGCTTTCTCTGTTGTGAAATGTGTGGGGAGGTAGTGTTTCTGAATCATGTGTTTTGAGAAGAGACATTTTGAATAGAAAGCGCGAGATGGTCAGATACAGGAGTGCGCTAACGAGTCACGGTGAATGACTGTGGTTGATTGGATGTGAATCAGAATATACTAACAGAGGAAAACATGTTGATATCTCCAGCGCAAGACTGGTACTCAGGGTCCAATAACGTGACTTCGGCTTGCCTGCAAGCTCGAGCGAGGAGGAGCCGCAGTTTCCGGTCACGGATCCAGACTCCTGTGATCGACTCCTGTCAGCAGGAAGTAGCTACGGGGATCTCGACTTCTGGATGATATATAGAACGTTCGGACCATGCAACAACCTGTCGTACCGTGACGTGGACGTGTTCCAGGTTGCAGTTGACGATAAGAGATATGAGCGGGGGCGGGGTATATCGATGTCTGCTCTGGCGGCTTCTGTTAAAGTCCCCAATGATTCTATATCATATGAATGGTACACTCCAGAAGCAATAAGCAAGTGAGAGTTAACGTCGATGTTCAAAAAAGGCGCAATATCAACAGCGGCAATGCATAAAGCGACATGTGACCGATGTTGCCGCATTGAGAAGCTCCCTGCCGGCCCGCTAGCCTGGTTACTGTAGTGCCGAGCCGAACTCTCACAGCCTCGCAGCTTCCTTTCTTTACTCTTCACATTTTACATTCCTACTGCAATTATCCTTTGCGCAAGCATTGTATTTCGTATCCACATTTCTGTTCGAATCTACTGTTAGGTCTGGGGAGCTGTAGTCAAGCGGAGGGATTGCCGGGGATGTCTCTCTACCGTGGTTGGGATCGTGAGCTGTTGCGACGAGCTGGGACCGAGATGAACCAAGTAGAGAGCTCGTAAGTCATTGAGGTCTACAGCGAATTATACTAATGGATGGACTGCGTACTAGGAGCGATCAGTTCGTCCAACGTTCGATGTCATCCTTCACTCCAATCAATCCAATTGCCCCACCTGTCCAATTCATCAGTTCCCAGAAAACACTTCACGAAAGAGATATCTACGAAATTGTCGAAGTTCCTGCTGAACGACCGGACGTGGTAGTCCCAAAGAAACGTGGTCGTGCACAAAACAAGGGTCGCGCTGTATCAGTTGATCCTCTATGGGAGTACGTCGACGAGGGTGACTTGGCTGGTCAAAACAAGGGCGGCGACTTCGAAACTACTTTCCCCAAAAGACGCAAATCAGCTTCTGCGAAGAGAGCGAGTTCATCAAAAGCTATGCCGTATACCTTGTCACAATTCTCGAAGGTCGATACTCAAGCTGATAGTCTGGATTACAAAGACCAGGCTGGTGCACAACTTACTACACTAGACTCTGGCAACAATAAGAAAAAGAAAGCCGGATCTGCCAAAGCTCAGACGACGAAATCTAAGATGGGCCCTTTTAAGCCACCGACTATCACCAAGCCTGGAGCTTCTCGCAAAAAGGATGCTGTCGAAGATCCTGTGCAGACCATGCCAAATAGCTATCTAGGACACGTAACTACGCAAGAGTCGGTGAAGCTGGCACAGACTACACTCGATAAATTAGCTGCTTTCAGATACATGCCTCCGTCTACAGCTGAACAAACAAAGGAAGCCTCAAGTGTTCAGCACAATGTTCAGTCTCGAGCTGAGCCGAACATCAGCATCCGTGCGGCCGAGGAAGAGCTCTTCGATCATGCCACTGAGGGGGGATTCATGCTTGGAGATGACGACCTATCGCATGAGCGAAATCTTAACGAGCCAGGAGCATATGAAGGCTATGCGATCATAGCCAATCGCGATTTGTCTAAGGTGCCAATCGAGGACCACCCAGTCTCTGGAGAAGACGCCTTCTTCAACGACGTAACTTGGAATGTCCAAGTAAGTGATGAGCCTCAGTACAATATTCTGCCTACAGAAGAACAGCATCAATCGTCAGCCTCTGCACCGGAGCTTATCGGCGATCCGCACATAGCAAAGTCACATCTTCGATTAGAATCCCAGAGCCAGTGGCTGAAAACGACTCATTCCAGTCGACATGAAGAACGAAATGATTCGGGCTCCATTGGTCGTCTGTGTGGCGTTGCAGTTCATGGAGACCCTTCTTATGGCTCATCTCAATTTGAACCAAATTCGAGCGAGACGAGAGCTCTCCTGAGGGTCCTAGACAATTCCCAGCCAGCTCATCAATTTCAGGACAACCTTTCCGAACAGTTTTCTGGAAGAGTGAACGAACCACCCGTGCCTCGGAACCTGCCCAACACGGACGACGATATGTTACATGTAGCTAGTGATACCCAGGCACCTGCGGGCGAACATGAGCCATCATCTCAAGCTCTACCAGCTCTGGATCCAGGCCACAATCGTCGCACTGACCCATCGAAGGATGTCCAAGTGGAACGCTCAGATCTAGATGATGCTAACATGGTAATGATAGATGTCTCTAAGGACTACGACCTTGAGGATTTTGACGAAGGGTTGAATGATTCCGATCTCATGGACCTGGTGTCTCAGCCTGTCGTGCCAGCCACTCAATCAATCATGGCATCGGAACCGCTATCCAGTGGACATGGTGTTCTTCCCCAGAAGCAACTCGAGTCGCAAACTAAGGGCAGTGGCCAGAGGGTATTGGTTCCTAGTCCGCATGGCATCCAACATACAAGCACCTCATCTCGTCCATCGTCGCCCTTTATTCTCGGTTCTGATATAGACGATGATTTTCCGCTCGATGAAGATATGGAGGAAGAGATGATGAATCTGGCAGACCCTGCTGGAGTTCTCGAGCGCTTCCAACCTCCACCAAGCTTGCATTACTCTTCTGGAGAAGGATCTGCATCAGGTGAAGTATACGACAGCTCTCTTCAATTCTCGCCCCAAAAGCATTACTTTCCTGCCGAGTCTGCAGGGCAGCAGAAATTTCCGGATAATACAGCCAATTCTCTAGCTGACTCTGAAGATCTCCTGGACGATGACGAGGATTGGTCTTTCATTCGAACAAACAATGAGTCTACGGCTGAGAAATATACTCCCGACCGCCGACACTCTAAGAGGCCAATCGTATCACCTGCAGAGGAAGCAGAAGTCGTCGAAATATCTCCCGTCAGATCTCAAGCGGTTTCTGGTGTCAGGCCATCTTTTAGAAGACAGCCCTCTATAAGTCAGTTGACCACAGATACCACAAGCATAATTCTGGATGATAGTCATGAGTATGAACCGCTGAAGCCTTTCGCTCGACCAGACTTTCCAGGCTTGATTCGAGATCGGTCTCCTATTGTCGGATTGTCCTCACAATCGTTCCTTCGAGTCTGCTTCAGAGTTGCTGAAATGTTCAAGGAAGGGGCCAAGTGTCATGCTTTAAAGGAGAATGCTGTGATCGAGCTCTACGCGCGAGTCATTCTCTCCTCCCGTGAGCCCGGCACTACCAAGCAACACTTCCAGTTCGCGGATCTCTGGCACGATCGACCACCTCTCCCCAGCGGAATCCTTGCCAATTACAAGTCTCCGGAGCTTCTTCAAAGAGAGAGTGGGAAGTTCATTGGGGCTTCAGAGGGCATGATGGCGAGGTGTTTCGGTAGACTCAAGAGAGATTCCCAGAGTACAACGGGTTGGGTTCTGGATATCATCAGCATCCGGACGACTGATTGGGAGGAGATCAGATGGACTAAGAGAATTGTGAGTGCTGGGCTCATGAAATCCGAGTCTAAAGGTTTATCGAAGTTGTGAGTGAGGAGAGATTTGACGGGAAAGAGTTCTACGATCATTGCTATACCCTTGTCTTGCGTTGCCTTTTGGCTCAACTAATATTCAGATCCCACTAACACAAGCTCTTACACATCTTACATTACATCTCCTAGACTTGCTAGAACATATAGCTGGTAGATATTAGCAAGGAAATGGCACATCAAAGTTGAAAATATATCAAAAATGTCCCAAACTCCACCCAAGCCCGAACTATTGAAAATCTCCTTCACAAACGCCCTAGTCCACAGACAATTCAGCACCAATCCGCTCCCTTTCCGTTCCCGACACCCATATCATCAAAATGTGCATTTCGAAGTCCAAACTTATATCCCACCAAATGACTACCCCTCAACCACACATCTAAGTCTCATCCTCTCCATAAATGACGGGCACAAGATTCTGATTCCCAGGCCTCCTCCTGCCCCCATTTGTGTCCCCACCTTTCGCCGCCCCGGCCGTCAAAATAATTGTGAGCATAACACACACCATAAACATCGTCACAAAACCCACAACAATACCAGTCCGTCTATTAGCCATCTTGCGATCATTACTCCGAAACGCAACGCAGCAATTCGACCCTTTTCCCTGTGTAAGCATCCTTTCCAGCTCCGGCGAAGCATCGTCGAATGTTACGCAGCAGTTACTGTGTCTGCTATCCTGGAGCGCGGCCGCCGTGCTGCAGATGTGGGAATCTTTCTCGATCTACGTTTTTGATACGTTAGTGATGTAGATGAAATGAGGAGGAAATGAAGGCCTACAAGCAATTTCCCGATACTTTCCTCGAGCCATTCGATTCTTTGCTTGAGGCTGGCGATCGTGGCCAGAGCATCGTTACTCGTTCCCCCAACATCTGTCTCTGCCCCGCCCACGGTGCTGGGCGCGACGCCCCATAGTTCTGCGTAGGAGACGCCGCCGCCGCTCTGTCGGGTGGATGTACTGGGTGTTGGGCGCGGGGTGCCGGGTGGGGAGTGCGTGTGGAAGCTCGGAGGAGGGGAGTTGGGGATCGAGGGCGCGATGGAGGGGGTGTGGATTGAGGAGGCGAGGGAGTTGGGGATCGCGGTGTTGTAGTTGTAGGTCGGTGAGCCGTGGATGTTGTCTAGGATGATTACTTCGTCGCGTTGGGGGATCTGTTTGTTCGTTGTCAGTTCGTTTGCTACAGCTGGAGATTGAGGACTAGGCAGCAGTTTAAGAGCAACTTACAGGTTCGTAGCGTTGCCGACTCATGGTTTCGCTGTTGCTTGGTGATGTGAGATGGACTTGAGATGGAAATGATTGAGATGTATGTCACGAGATATAGATGAGGTTATTTCTAAGGCTGAAAGAAGGTTTTGGATTGAAATTGTACGATTTGGTGGAGTGATGAAAGATGGAGCGAAGTCAGGCCGAGGATTATCTTATCTTCGCTTGACCGCGCGGCATGGCTTTCAGCTGGGCTTTCTCGAGGCCTCATTCGTCCAATCGTATGGAAGGAATGAAACAGAATTGATGCAAGGCTTCGCAGGGCTGTGCCGCAGCTTTGCATTGATGGTGAGAGACATTGGAGAGAGACAAGATCCGGTCGAGGCCGAAGATCAGGTGATAGTAATGTACTTGAACAAATATCATCAAATGTTGCTCTGGCACTTGCGAGAGTTACTAAAAAGAATAGAGAGAGAACAAAATTGGAAGAAGTCCAAATAACCTCTATATTGTGCAGCGATGAGCTGTCTACCTCTACCGATAATGCAACCCTTTTTCAATGACATGAGAACCGAAAGTTCGAACATACGCCTTCCAACAAGCCGAATTCTTGCCATGCTGTTCTTGATAGCCTTCGAGTTTGCCTTATAAAGTTTCTCAAGATTCGTCAAGATCACCTCTCGACCAATTGAGGCCATCTCTCCTTGAGGAATTCGACTACCGCATCGGGACCTTTTTCGACTTGAAGTCCATGAGGAATAGCCATTGTTCTGACACCTGGGACAATTTCCCTTGCTATCCTTTGAATCTCTTCACTCTCTTCGATAGTCCACATTGATGCACAGAACTTGGTTCACTAGTTAGCCAACACGTCCTTCATGCAAGAGCGCTCAATACTTTGAGACCGGGTTGGAGAAAGAGAGAATTTACCAAGACATCTGGCTTATTTCTTTCACACATCGACTTGACATCTTCAACTCCTGTGATACCAATTAGCGTCTATGCCACTTGTAAACACGGTGTAGAATGCTCTCAATTTCGACAAGAAATACAAAAGTACAGGACAGAACAACAGGAAACATACGTTCGCAGTTCTCAACATAGACAATCGTATAAGTGTCCTTAACATCTTCAACAAGTCTTCCAACCAAGCGCTTTGCTCGGTCTGGTGCGGTATTGACTGTACACAGCTTGTAAGGACCTTTTGGTACCATCTCTACCAATATTACTCGTAGGTAAGAACAATAAGAAGAAGAAGAACAAGAAGTAAATATATAACAGAAGGAGAAAAGGATCTTACAAGAAATTTGAGTTGTAGTAAGAAAGAATTTTACGTGGACGTGAAGGTGTGGATGTGGAGAAAAAGACGCCATCCCCACACGGATGTGGGAACCGGCAAGATCCGGGAGATCTTTCTTGAGGTTAATCGCTTCGTTTCTTGCGAACAACAACACGTCAAGAGCTTGCTCAACGAAGAAGAAAACAACGCCTCCTCGGCGTGATGTGTTTATATATATGTATCGCAAATTAGCCTCATGACGACACTCGGCCGTACAGGGGTTGAGTCGTCTCCGAAATGATTGATATCAAGAAAATTCTACTTGGAGCTTTCATCCCTGGGATCCTCATCATGGTCCAAGGCTGTGAACACTCAGCATTTACTTCACGATCGATGACTGATACTCCAATCTGATCTCTGAACCTGAAGGAAGAATTTCGATAAAACTCGGATTACGACCAATACTCACAGAAATTCAACTCGGCTTATTTGTCAAAAATGGCCCAAAACAACGACAATTCACAATCTGCACGAGGATGCTTCGATTAAATCCAAGTGAGTGTCATTTCATTTTGTTTTCCGTCCAAGAACCACCAATAATTGAAATCCGCCAAAACTACATACAGAGAAAAAGAAATTCTTCATGCTATCGTTTCTCTACATGCTGGATGCGTATATACAAAGTGCTTTCCGAGATCTAATAAGTGTCTATTAAGATCATTATGCTGACATGAGGTTTAGATGCATTTGTGAGATGAGGGCCCTTTATTTGGATACGGTGTAAGTGGAGTTGATGGGACCCCACTTGATGTTGGAGTAGGTGACGGATGCGCTGGCAGCAACAGACTCGACAGATGCTGGGACTCCAGAATCAGCTCCGCACGTACCACGGGAGACACCTGGAGTGGAGGCGTCCTTGGTAGGTGGGTAAGGAGCGTCGAGCCAGAGCATGTCGGCCGCGTGGTCGTCCCAGATGGACATGACGAGGACCATTCCCTTCTTCAAGGAAGCACCTATTGTGGCGAGACCGCCCTTGGTTGCGAAGACGTTCTGGTCACCGAATGCGGTCTTTTGAGCAGCACACCAAGTGTCACTGAGTGAGTTACCGGTCACGCCGGAGACGGTAGATTGGGAGTTGGGGATGACAACTCCGTTCTGGACATAGAATCGACGGATTTCGCTGAGGGTGCCGCTGGTTGTGCCGTCGTTGGTGACGAATTGGGTCACAACGGTGAAAACCTTGGTGGTGTCGACGGTCATGCCTGCACCATAGAAGGAGGTATCACCCATTCTGTAGGAGTTGAAATCGCATCCATCGGCATCACACAACGAGGAGTATCTGGCACCAATTCCGCAATCGGTTCCGCTGCAACGTGTTTGCTGAGAGACGGAGCAAGGATGACTAGACCGTTTGTTAGTACGACAGTCGATATACAATGGATGGCAAGTCTTACGGGGTATAAGCGGCAGAAACCACATTGGCTTCCCAGATATCCATCTCGTTACAGCAGGATCCATACTGTCCAGAACCGGCATTGACATCATTGGCTGAGGCATTCCAGCCAACGGAGTTGGCCTTGAAAGAGAGTTAGTCAAGTTCTCAATTCTAACTCCTTACGGTCCTACGACGGAAACGGGGATTTCTTACCACTCCGTTGATGAACTTGATATCTTGTGGGCATTGAGCATCACAGTATCCAGTTCCGTACTTGGCACCAGCCTTGTTGGTTGAGAATCTCGACATGCCTCCATCTTCGTCCATTTCCGAGAAGTAGAGAGCACCGTTCAATCCACAGGGCAGGTTGGAAACATCCACATCGAAGGTGAACTCTTGGCCCAAGAGCTTCAACATCTGGTACTTGGTGGTGCTGCCAGCTGCCATCAAGTAGGTTCGGGAACCAACGTTCGTCTGGGAAGCCTTGGTGATGAAGTTAAGCTTGAGGGCATTGCCAGTGGTAGTGATACCATATGTGCCAGAGTAGTCTGCTCCGTCCAATGCACAGTTGGCTGCGCACTTGACACCATCAGGGCAAATGGTAGCGTTCCAGGTGTTACCAGTGTAGCAGTTGGTGTATCCCGTGGTGGCGTGAAGCCATCTCCAGTTGGCGTCAATCACAATGGATTGGGTAGACGTCGTACATCCGCTGCTGGTACAGATGCTGACCGTGAGAGGAGGATGCTGCTCAGCAGTGTTAGTACCAGCCTGCTGTGCGCCAGCAGCGACGAGGAGCGAAGCTAGAGCAAGAACAGAAGAGATCATGGTGAAAGAATGTGATGGTGGAGTGGGTTGCCGAGTGAAAATTGAAGGCGTGCTTGTGGAGTCTTATACACAGATCTCCACATTACTTCCCTTCTCCACATCTCCTGCATCGATGAGGAGTATGGAATTGCGGGAAGACACCCGTGTGAGCGTTTCCAGCCAGAATCGACAGCAGACCCACAGTTTCCAGACTTAATTGAGTCGAGGGCGCCTGTTCTACTACACCAAGCCGCTATATGCCGTGTTCAGGTATATCATCCACTTTTCGTATCTGTGTACCTGCGTACCTTCCAAATGAAATGAACGGAGAAACGTTTTCGGAGTGAAGAAGCCGCACGGGGCGAGAGTACTATCGATGCCTGCGAACGACGATCAATAAACAGCCAATCATATGTGGGTCGTTTCACTTTGACTTCTAGACGCAGGTCAGCTCGACTTAGAAGTGAATTGGAGGCATGAACTATTCCAATCAGCCTGATGAACAGGCTTCACCATACACGACAAGACCAGAAACTTCTCACTTGAAGGCACTGCTGAGATCCCTACCGAAAAGGAGGGTAGCTATAATCATCCGATCACGCACAGGTCAGATATGCACAGCATGAAAAAAGCTTATGAGATGTTGATGGAGTGTAAGCTCAGGTGTTAAGCATAGAGCATGTTCATCATATATCCCCTCATCTATACGATGTACGGCGGTTCCATCAAACAAGGACATAATGCTCGAATTTCGGATGGAAGTTTTCAACTTGAGATAAGCTTAACGTTGACTGCGACGCTATCAAGGGTTCAACCGAACCCAGACGTCGCCCATACTATTTGGGGAATCGCGAATTGCCATCACACTTTGCGCCTCCCTCCAGATGAGGAAGTCCGTGGGGGACGGCGCGGGAAAACTCATGTCCAACTCTCGGCGAGGTTTCATGACAGGGTTCACGAATCAGCCTCCAGTTTAACCTCTTATGGCTGAATGTTACTGCACGAAAACGTCGAGAACTTTTTCTTATCTCTCTGGAATATAGCCACATGAGGATGACCATGGATTCTGAGTGGGATCTTCGTTTGATAGAATAATAGTCCCTCTCGAACGATTTCTGCGAAGCGTTAAAATTATACGTTTTTCTGCACTTTTGCGATTATCTGAATTTTGATCAGAAACATCAATCCTATCGCTTCATTCTCGTCACCGGTTCTTCGACTCTGCCCAAGCTGTTTCTCTGTAGCTGCAGATAGCCAAGAGTCGCGTGCTATCAATGTTTATAGTTCGTCGGCTGCGGAGAAACCATGGTAAACATGCCCCCGAACTTCATCTGTGGTATTCAATTTAGGATATGATCTCGGCATCATTCTCGGGCACGAAAGCCTAAAAGGTGGACCCTTTTCTCGACACCTGATCTGAAATATGGCGAGTGCCTAAGATCGCAAATTCTGGCAATCTTGTGATATTGCCTTCCTTCCCGGCGTCACTTTATTCGACGGACGTCTAGATTGTTGAGCAAGTTCATGCCATCAGATTGGGTCCCAAAAAGTCCTGGATACTCTGACCTGACTCGAACGGTCCAGAAATAGGGATCCTAATGAATGGAACATTCTCTAATCTCGACTGTGCAACACTTGTCGGTGTAACAATGTGGTGCCGTTCGCCTGAGTCTGATATCAAGGAGCTATTGTAATGATACTTGAATACTCTATGATACGAGGTTCGATTCTCTACGTTATACATGATAATATATACTTCAGGTGGCCCACTTGAATCCGGCCCAAGGGACATTGAGAAGTCCGGTATCGAGGTTTCCAGGTTCACCTATGTCATGTACCTAGGTATGTCTTGCGGCCCACCTGCGAAGTCACTTTTCTTCCTGTCCCGCGCTAGAGCTGTCGATTGCGGCTGGTAAAAAGGAAGCTGCCGGGCCTGGCCAATATCCCATCTTCTTTATGCACCCTCAATGTACTTATCCTCTCAAGGGAGGTATTTCTGTGCAAGACGAGGCAGGGTCCGTGATATATCTTCTCTCTTATATGTCTGAGACTTATGCCCCATCACTTACAACTCAAGATTGAACTTACAATACACAGTCTGCGGGAACAATATGCTTCAGCCCCTCTGAGAACTCCTGCTACTCAGAAGTAGTAAAGGTCACTGTCGACATTGAATCCCTTTCCGCTCGGACGGATCTTTCGAGTGATAAAGGCAGTAGCCGACGAGCCACCATGAGCGCCTGAACAATCTTCCGTGATCAACCGCCACCTGTCAATGCAAGACCTGAGCCTCATGCCGTGCCCTACTATCGGCTGCTTCCCTGCATGGTGCAACCGCAGTGCCACACCACGGTTAAAGTATTTCACCGAGACAACTTCTCACTAACAAGTCTTTCGAATTGCCTCAGATTTCATGTCTCGATGATTCCAGCGTTCAATCGCCACTTCAAAGTCATGACATCTGCTAGACTTGGTTAAGTTGAATTTTGACGACAGCAGCTGAAAGTTTTGAGATGCCAATTTTTTCTGTAAAAATTTGTCATGACCTTTGCTGGTTAAGCTCAATACAACTGACTCTTACTGCATCTCACGAGTGCAGAGCAAGGATAAACAGCCAAGCCGTCCTATCTTCGCTTCGCACATCATCCTCCATCACTTGGAAAATTCTTCTTCCTAATTCTAGAACGCAAACCCTGCCCAGTTCATAATGTCAAGTGAGCATAAATTTGAGCACGGATCAAACACGGTAGGCTGATGTCTTGCTTGTTGTCACTCATCAGTCCCACATCTAATGCAAGATGTATATAGGAAACCATTCGGGCCTTCTGATAACACAGAACTCTCATTTCAAAGAATCAACTCGAGCCTAAAGTACACAAGCAAAGGTTTTCTTCTAGTCATTCATGCTTCTATATAAAGTGAGATTCTATCAAAGTAGCACGGCATCTACAAAAACTTTCTCAGTATGTGGCAGGGTTTAGACTCAGTCTGCCGCCATCGATTAATATCACGTTGCCCGTTACATAAGCGCCTGCTTTGCTGGTCAGGAATAGGATAGCTCCCGCCATGTCTTCTTCTGTGCCAACTCTTTCTAAGGGGATTGCTGTCCTGGGGAAAACACCGTCCCCGATGATACCTGAGGCGAGCTCGGACGGGAACACTGGTTGTGTTAGTTATTTGAGAAGATCAGCGCTGGATGAAGATGTTCATGAAGAGGATATTCAGACAATCGTGAAATAACGAGAAGATGCCGCGTGCGGATTGAACACTTCATTTTGAAATGTTATACCCTCAGATCAGACATTTTAGATTTACAAGAAAATACAATAGCAGTTGTTCGGGTAAAGTGAAGAGAATGAGATGAGACTTACATCCAGGAGCAAGTATATTCGATCTGATTCCAAATGGCGCCAAGCCAGTGGCCAACTGCTTCATCATGTGTGTAGTCGCAGCCTTACTCTGTCCGTAAGCATACCCGCCAGGCACATTCCTGTTGAAGCCTCCAATACTACTAGTAGCAATAACTTGGCTCTTCTGAACAACATTCCCCTTCTTATTCCCCTCATCCAGCAATCCCAGAAAGGCAACAACCGTATACCACACAGCTACCGTATTCAACTCAAAAGTCTTAGAGAAATCCTCAAAGCTCGTCTGTCCATACGCTTCTTGGAAATCCGCAATAGTGGATTCTGCCGTCAGGACTTTCGTCTTTTGCGGTCCGAGGGTTCCAGAATTGGCGATGAGGAGGTTGATATATCCAACTTCTGAGACAATTTTAGTGACGATAGAGTCTAGAGCTTCTTTAGATGTTACGTCGCCGACAAGTGGAATTATGTTGTTTGTGGTCACGGATTGGGATGCTTTTTCCAGGACTTCTTTTCGTCGGCCTATGATGTAGACTTTGTGGGCTCCGTTAAGAGCTAATGCTCGTGCCATCATTAATCCGATTCCTTATGTTGGTTAGCAGGTGACTTGATGTCGTACAATAATATTGGGGCATGAGTTATTCACACCTGATCCTCCTCCTGTGATGACGGCTACAAGGTCGTCGACATTGAACAGGTTTGGTGCTTGGATTGAAGTCGTTGCCATTGTGAACGGTTTTGCAAATTTAATCTAACTGAATTGGACAAGTTCTAAATCAATATTCTATGAATCAAATATTTATAACAATCTTGGACAATGACTCCATAATAGAATCGAGTTCACCCCACCTTTTAGCGCGGGGTCTGGCAGAATTCCTAATCAGGCATGGTCATTTCACCGCTTCTGTACAAACTCCACTTAAAAATTCCAGCGAGGCTGAACGTTTTCCGTAACATCTCCACCACCGCATCACCGTCGAAACCCTCGACATTATCTCTGTTCAAGATGCCGAAACGAAAGCGATCAAGCAATGATGAAGAGGACGTCGACCGAATCATGCGCCGACGCAAACAAGCCGCCCAAGACGAATTAATCCGAAGCAAGAAACTTCTCCACCGAGCCTTAAAAACTGCCAAAGGATTCGAGAGACAGAAATTGAGCAAACGATTAAAGCTCGCCACTGGGAAGAACGAAGCCAATGAAATCAAGCGCATCAATAGTGAGATTGAGGCACTGAAAACGTTGGATTTAGATAAAGTGACCGTGGCACAATTACACAGGAGTTTGTTGAAGATTAGGGACTTTAAGGATACTGAGATATTGCCAGATGAGGTCAGGAAGGAGCTGCCGAAGCCGGAGGGGACTGAAGAGAAGGTTAAGGCTGTGCATAATATTACCAGTGGGATGTGCAATGCTAAGCTGGTGAGGGAGGAGATTATGGGAGCGGTGGAGAGGATGTATGGTGCTATGGGAATTCCCATTCCAAGAAAAGAACCGAAAGGGAAGACAGCGAAGGAAGCTGATAAAAATGCTAAGTTTAGTCGCAGAGATGGGGAAGAGAAGGAGATTTTGGCCGAGGTGGACGAGAAACCAACAGTTGTGAAACGCGAGGACGATTCAGAAAATGATTCTGAGGACGATTCTTGGGATGGCCTTGACTCAAATAAGGAGAGTGAAGGACCAGAAGGAGACGCCGATGACCAAGAATCATTAGATGAGGAAGAGCTCCAGCAATTCGACGCACTACTCGGCGCCTCGTCTGACGAAGAAAGTTTTCACGAAGATGACTGGCTACCGAAGGAAAGGCCGGAGCAAACTCGTTTCTCATTCTCACCAGAGCCCTCATTATCGCCATCAATATCAGAATCTCTATCATCCTCTCCGGACCCGGAACCGGCAGCTGAAGTGCGACCAAATAAAACCACCAAATCAAAGTCAGAACCAGTGAAGCCAGGCAATTCGACGTTCCTCCCATCTCTCATGGGTGGTTACTGGTCTGGATCCGAGTCAGAACCATCTGATTTTGAAGACTCACGTCCAGTGAAGAAGAACAGGCCAGGTCAAATGGCACGCCGAGCAATATGGGAGAAAAAATTTGGCGAGAAAGCAAACCATATCACAAGCGGACAAGGCCCTGTTGCTTCTCGAGGGAAAGACGACGGATGGGACGCAAAGCGGGGTGCTAAAGATACCTCTGGCTCTGGGAGAGGAAGAGGATCTCATGCTAGAGGTGGGGCAAGAGGAATGAATAGGAAAGAAAGACGTAGCTTAATGGGTGGAACTGGAGAGAATGCTACTCCTATACAACCGAAGACGGAGCCAGTGAAACCGAAGAGAGATGATTTGGGGGTCTTGCATCCTAGTTGGCAGGCTGCTAAGAAGGCGAAGGAGATGAAGAAGACGGCTTCATTTCAGGGGAAGAAGGTCACATTTGATTGATTGTTCTTTTGATACCCTATTTTCCGTGCCGAGAAGTCGGTCTCGTCGTTGCATAGTTCTGGATGTAATTATATGCTTCTTGAATGTGTGCACGTTATCTGTCATAACATTATGTTCCTCGATTATATGTGTTTTTGTGAAAATATTGCCAAGATGCGTAATAGAGAAGTCACATAGTAGTCTGGCCCTAAATAGGGGGATTCATCACGTGCACTTTTAGGGTGCATTCTGCCTATGTATAGGGCCCTCCAATTTGAGGTCTTTTAGACCGAATCTACTCTGTCACAAGAGATTGTATAAGCTAGCTCCATAACTTGATGTTAGTACCTAAAAAGTTCCGTAGACTTGACTGGAATCATGTTGCCTGGACTACTCAATTTCAGGCCGAACATATGGTCAAGTAGGAAGGTGCTAAGTCAAGGCAGCCGCAAGCCAACAAAGCAGTGATGTTGAGCCGAGTTGAGCTGTATAACTTTATAACCCTGGGATTAAAGAGTCCCCATTGACATGCCATTCCAAATGCACGTTGGCGATAATAAGGAAATTGCAAGATAGTGTGAAGGAAGGTGATTGAAAACTTCTATTAGCTTCAGACCTGAGAACAACTGATGTATTACTATCTACGATTTATCAAATTTTGTCGATGTGTCAAAAGATTCATTTTGACATAAGCCACCAGGGCCACCAGGGCCATGAATTCAACGAAATTGAATCAAACAACACTCCCCTCGGCGGTTTCAGCAGGTGTGCTAACATCTTGAGACGAACTTTCGAGATCTTTGCTCAGCTCCACTACGCCTTTCACCTTCTCAGCCTTGATTCTCCTCTCTTCTCTCCAAGCTGGCCCATGTTTCCAGACAATCCACAACAATGGACTGGATAGGATCCAACAAATGGCAACAGCAACGCACGCAAAACCAGATCCAATCTTGGCTTGCAATGGCCCAATAAAAGCCACCGCACCGGCACCCATCCAACATCTTAGCAAATTCGCTGCAGCAGTAGCAGTTCCAGGCGAATCGGGATAGAAATCAACCAATAACGTGCTGAAAGCAGTGAAGGCTCCAATAAGACTGAACCCCAAGAAGAACAACAACACCAACGGTGCAGCTAAGGACTTTGTAAGATGGAACATCCAGCCATACATAACGACCGTAACACATCCCAGGAAGGCGAGAGGGATCACGATTTGTATTCTGGCCATCTCGATAGGAAATTTGGAAAGATCATTTTGTTGGCCGGGCACGATTGGATAGTTTAGCTTCTTGGCGATTCGTTGAAAGTTCCAATCCATGGCCTTTCCCGTCGCAAGGGCTGCTGCCATGCATCCAAGTCCGAATGGAAGGTAGCACAGTCCGATTTGTCGAGAGTTGAAGCCGAAATGTTCTGTGAAGTTCACTGGCACCATTGCAATCTGAGTGTAAAACCCTCCAAACAGAAAGCCCGTGTAAAGAAGAATGCATCCTGCCCCCTTGGAGAACATGATCTGGACCGTGCCTAGGAGATTGATGGGACGACGGGGAGCGCGAGGTGATTCTGGAACGGGAATTGATGGATTGGGTTGGAGAAATCGACGACCGGTCAAATATCCTAGGACGCTGATATTCCACTTCTGGGGAGGAATGGAGCCATTACCAACGACAGCACGACAGGTTTCGGGGACGACGATGATGAAGATTAGGAAGACGGTTGCCGAGAAGATGACAAGGAACCAGAAGATAGAGCGCCAGCCAAGTGCTGCGTTCAGAAGGCCACCGATAAGGGGTCCGACAGCTTGACCGAAGAAGGCTCCTAGAGTCGCGTAACCCATGTAGGAACCGCGCTCTGATGATGTAGCTCTAAACAAATCTTCGAATTAGCACTCTATCTATAACGGTAGTCGAATGAACTATTGAATGTGAGGAAGTCAGACTTACAAGTCGGCTACCAATGCGTTGGCTAACGTCAGAGTACCGCTGCTGCCAGCGCTTTGAATACAACGCAGAACCATCAATCCAGCAAAGCTATTTTGTAAAGCAAGCCCTACATTTGCCGCAAAATACACCATGAAGCAAATCATGTAAGCCGGGCGCCGACCAATGACATCCGAAATCGAGCCGATGAACGTGGGAGCTAAGCCTTGCAATATAAGGTAGACTGTGATAGTCAGGTTGATGAGATCGGTTGATACATGGAACTCGTGCGATAGTTCGACGATGGCCGGGTAGTAGACATTTGCTGTCAATGGCGAGAGAAATGCAGCAAAGGTACCTAGGAAGACCAGGAGGAGCCTCTCTTTGCGGTTGAAGATCGAATACGGAGGTTCAATCGCGATAGGAGAGATGTCTATGACCGATGCATTCTCTATTTCTGTCGATGAAGCCACCGTCACCTCCTTTGAGGATTCGTCTTGCTGCAACTCTGCTTTGCTCGCCATGTTGGGGGACGTTGAAACAGTAAACAAGCTTGAAAGACTGAGTAGAACTTATCTTGCAGATCTTTGCAGCCGTACTGACGAACCGAGGATTAACTACGTAGTTCATTCCGAACTACGTATTTGACTCCGGAGGCGGCATTGACTAAAAAGGAGGCTCTCCAACCCTGGTGAAGGGGCCTAGTGAGTTTACCCTTTACAAAGATAGTATGCTGCTAGACAAAGTGACGCATATGAACCACTTCGAAGTCTGGCATTTGGAAAGACTTCCAAGATGCACCATTTCTTGAATCGGAAAGCTACCTGACTTTACATAACATTCGATACAGGAGTATAGCCCAGTACGTCGTGCTGGTGAATATTATAATCAGATGATTCTGGATTACAAACAGAGAGGGTGCTTAGAACAGTAGAGTTTTAAGTTCTAAGGCGAGTATTACATCGAAGGGCGCACTTGCGACTCAAAATGGATGTTTGACTGGACGTTGCTGAGATACTAAGATCATTATGAACTTAAGTGAGGTTTGGTGAGTGGATGCAACGTTCAGAGCACATGCCGAGATGGATATAGCCGTGCCACCACGACGGCCCCACATGAAGCTGAAGATACTTGAACATGGCGATTGGATTCAAAAACTGGTATCAAAAAGCTCTGTAGCTGCCATAGCACGTCGATGTCTTCCGCAATCTCAGTACCGCGACTTGCGCCAATTTTGCCCCTCCATTCAGCCTGGGACTTGAGCCCCACCTCCCACTTAAGCAGTCTTCTTCCACACAGTGTAAACGCCTATCAAACTGCTCACTGTGCCCGCCAAACCAACAAATCCATCATCAAAGTTCGTCAATCCAATGGCTGATGTAGGTACGGTGAGATCGCAAAGATCTGAGAGGAGCTGGAGGTTAATGGCGGAGCGTTCCCTGATATTTGTGTTAGCTAGCGATATCTGTGACACCTTAACATCTGGCCATACTTCTCAATTCTCTTGGTAGCAACTGCACCCTCGCCATCTTTCTTATCAATTCTAGACTGCTGAAGTCTTAATTGGTATAGCGAATATGTGCCCGAGACAGCACTGAAGAGCAATCCGATCATCCAGCACCTATAAGCCTCTCTTTGCAATCGCTGTGTCGCAGGGCTCTTCCGGATCCCAGCGGCATCCAAATATGTAACAGCATCGAATGTGAGGTATCCAGCATATCCAAGCTGTCTACCAACAGCGCAGTATTTCACAACCGGATCCAAGTTCTTGGAATCTGCCGCAATTGCAGCGGCTTTGAAGTGCTCAACGTTCTTGCCCACACGCATCAATTTGCGAGCAAGACCGAATTGTTTCTTAATGGCCTCGAAAGGAGCAATCTCTGCCGGGGTGCCATTCGTGCGGAAAAGGTACCAGGCGTAGAATCGAGAAAAGTATTGGAAAGTTCGGAGCAGCTTATCGCGGCCTACAGTGGTAGCAACGAATTTAAGATAATGGGCCACCGAGGGGTGGTAGACAAGGGAATCGGCGACCATTCTGTAAAGCTTTGCTGGCAGTCAGGAGAATCCAAGAGAGAATTGGTAGGAGATCGGGTCTTAGGCTTTTTGTTGAAGAGTTGTGCCTTGTGAAACTCCGGGGAGAACTCATGTGATGGGGCCGAGGCATTTCTGGGGATTCCCGAAGCCCATGCAAAGACGCCTGAAACGCCTGAGGCACAAAGATTTCAAATCACGTTCTTGCGCGTCATCGCAAGCTGACTCCCGTTCATTCACGCGTTTCTGATCTCCTTGTAATTACAATTGTCTATTTGCATACTCAAAAATGCCCGAAATTGCTGAAGGTAAGTCTTTATGGTTGTCAAGATCATGGTACGTATTGACAATATATTCAAGTCGCCCGTATTGTCCATCATCTTCGAAAGAGCTTCGTTGGCAAAACTCTGTCAGTTGTCAAGGCTCAAGATGACTCCAACGTGTTCGGAAAGGTTGGGACAAGCGCATCTGAGTTCCAAAAAGCATTGACTGGCAAGCAAGTAATGAGTGCTGGCCAGCAAGGCAAATACTTCTGGTAAGAACAGCAAGCCTATTCACAAGATTGAACTAATATGGTAAAGGCTCACGATGTCTTCGCCGCCTCATCCGGTCTTTCATTTCGGAATGACAGGTACGTCTACCTGTTGTAGCGGAGTAGACAATCACGTGCTAATCTCAACAGGATGGCTCTACATTCGGGGAGAACCGTCAGCTCACTACAGACCTAAAGACACAGATGGTCCTGAAGAGTGGCCGCCAAAGTACTGGAAGTTTTCAGTTGAGACTGAGGAAGAACCGAAGGTTGAGGCAGCATTCACAGATGCTAGAAGATTCGCTCGGATCCGACTCGTCGACTGTGCCGCCGAAGACATTAGGAATACGACACCGCTGAAAGAAAATGGTCCAGATCCTGTTATCGATCGAGATATTGTAACCGAGGAATGGCTTACGAAAAAGATGAGGAGTAAGCACGTGCCTGTGAAAGCACTGCTTCTAGACCAAGCTAATATCAGTGGGATTGGAAATTGGGTAGGGTAAGTTCAAACCATGTCATATTCCAAGATCGTTTCCTGACATTGTGCAGTGATGAGGTATTATATCACGCGAAACTGCATCCAGAGCAGTACAGTGATACTTTTAGCGACGCCCAGTTGAAGCAGCTTCGTGAATCTATCCTGCATGTCTGTCAGACAGCGGTAGATCTATTAGCAGACTCCAGCAAATTTCCAGAGGAATGGCTCTTCAATCACCGCTGGGGCAAGGGAAAGAAGGACGCTCCGAAATCCCTTCCCAATGGAGAGAAGATCACGTTTCTTACAGTGGGTGGTAGGACAAGCTGCGTTGTTCCTAGCGTTCAAAAGAAGACTGGAGCAGTAGCTGGAGATCTGAAAAAGGAGAAGATAGAGGAGTTGGAGAATAGTGACGAACGAGTTGAGTCGAAAAAGCCAGCAAAAGGGAAAGGGAAAGCCAAGAAAGTCAAAGAAGACCCCGAGGACGAGGTAAAGACTGAAGGTTCACCAGCGGAGAAGACCAACGGTAATACGTCGAGGAAGAGAAAGACGTCAACACAACCAGAGCAACCAGAAATCGAGGACGGTGGAAAGGGAAGAGCCAAGAAACGGCAAGCCGGGAAGGAATCGACCAAACCCTCAGCGAAGACCGATGACACGAGTAAGAGCAGACGGCGTTCGGGTCGGGCCACGGGTGGGAAAGTAAAGTACAACGTTGACGAGTCGGAATGATCTGTAATCAATGGAACTTTAAGGTCAGAGGAGAACTATTATGCACAAGACGTGTGTCAAGTGTGTATGATATGAAGTTTACAGATTTCTTTAGACTGGATAAAAGTTGGCCTAGTCCTTATTTACATACCTCATTACTTTCTCCAGTTCTTGCTATTCGATGCCTTTGCGTTTCTGCTTCCTCCGTCTGCTGCTGCATGGCTTTTTCGAGTTCGTGGTTGAGGAACAATCGCACTCTGAAAGTGTGAACATCGCACCGTTTCTACAAGCCACTACTATCCTTTGATAGGATGGTATTGAGTGGTGCGGTAGCACAAAACAACAGATTCTTCATTATTTGTTGGATTACTCATTCGAGTAGGTCGATTGATGGGGCGGGGTCCTGTCAGTGTACGATTAGTGATACGGCGCGGGGCATCTTGTGAGATCAAACAGTTGTGATTACTGATGTCAATCAGGAGTTTCATCAACAACCTCATGAACGTCTCGAAGCTGAACCAATGGCCAAATGACGAGTCTCTCCGACTATGCAAACAATTAACATGTTCTTAACCTCAATATCACATCACAAATGTTGCGATATCTTTGATCACTCAGCGAATATTAACCTCTCATAGAACACACACAGATGTATATATATATATATATCAATTCTCACGTCAAGACAGAAAGCACATCTCAATCAGAACTCAATCGCAATGTCTTCTTTGAAAGAAATCCTCGTGATAGGAGGCACCGGAGCACAAGGCCAGGAAGTGGTGAAAGGTTTAACCCTCAAAGCCCCACCTCACAAGCTACCACTAACAACATCTAGCTCTCTCCTCTTCTCAAAGATACTCCGTCCGAGTTTTAACCAGGAACATATCCTCGGAACGTTCCCAGACTTTGGCTTCACTTCCAAACGTGACGCTCATTCAAGGTAGTCAAGACAACCAGAAAGATTTACACAGAGCTTTTCACGGTGTATATGGCGCATATGTCAACACGGACGGCTTCACGCTCGGGGAGAAAGCCGAACTGTTCTATGGTATCCGAGCTTACGAAATTGCCCGCCATGAAAAGGTCACTCATTTCATTTGGGCTAACACGGATTATCCCCTGAAGAAGGCGGGATGGGATGAAAAATACCACTGGGGGCATAACGATGCGAAAGGACGTGTTGGAGGTAAGAAAGTCAACAGTCTCCTGAACTAAGTTGACGCTTTGATAGACCTGATCCTCTCTCACGGCCAGAACGGAATGAAGTCCTCGCTACTCACCACAGGTCCGTACATGGATATGCTGTTTGATGGCATGTTCGTACCCACCAAACAACCAGACGGCTCTTTCATCTGGGCAAATCCAGCTCGTAAGAACCCCCCACCCCTATTCTCCCAACACACTAATTATCCTCAGGCGACGGCAAAATCCCTCTCATCGCCCTCTCAGACATCGGAATCTACGCTCTCTGGCTCTTCGACCACATCAGCGAATCCGCAGGCATGAATCTAGAAATTGCAACCGAATCAATCAGCTTCCCCACCATCGCCAAAACATTCACAGCCGTGACCGGCCTACCAGCATCTCACAAATATCTTCCCCTTGACGAATACCTGCCACTAGCAGAACCGTATCCAAACGCGCCTGCGAATTGGGCCGCGGGTCCTAGTGTTGCGAGAGATGAGTCGAGTATGACATGGCGTGAGAACTTCTCTGCGTGGTGGAGATTTTGGGGTGAGGGGTGGGGCGATGATCGGGATTTTGAGTTCTTGGATCGTGTTCATCCTGGGAGGATTAGGAGTTTAGCGGAGTGGATGGAGAAGGTTGGGTATAGAGGGGAGGGGAAGAGTGTTTTGAAGGGTATTGCTGATTTGAAAGCTAAGGCTCATCAGGCTTGAGTACTACCGCTTTCCAAGCACAATAGATGATCATTTGTATGGACTGGACTGGAGTAATTCATTTCAAATAAGATATGCTTCTTCTTTGCATAGAGTTGAAATCACATTATAGACGGTTTCTCGGGTCCACCTGTATCGGCGCGTTCAGCGCGTTCAGCGCAATCATCGCTAACAGCGCAGACAGCGCAAACATCAATACAAACAAACAAACTTCGCCCAACTTCTAGACTAGGCAACTAGTACTTCCGAGTCACCTCATGCGATCCCTCATCAAGGCCGAACCAAGTCAGTCAGCTCTTGAAATATTGTTTATCGTTACTAGGTCATTGTTGTCGTGTACTTCGTATTTTCAATTATAGTATTTGGAACATCTCTATCTATATCTTCAGCTCTTCAACTATTTTCATTACCGCACTCTTTCGAACCCTCTTCAGAGATCCAAAGCAATATAAATTACAGCAAACAAAACCCCTTCGTAGAACGATAACCTCACAAACAGACCCAGTACGAAGTATAACACTCGCCTAATCTACAGCCAAAAATAGGGGCTCCTCGAATACCCCACAGCTCGGCACACAGAACTCACCTAGCCTAGCAAAACACATTATCTCAGCTGTGACAAACGAATCTCATTCCACTCTACTCGTATTGTCCAAAAAAGAAAAGAAAAAACACATGTGCTGTAAAACAGACGCAAAGAGATGCAAAGAAAAGCTCTCCCTCGGGTGGGCTCGACTATAGCAGAATTAGAAATCTGATGGTATGTATTCCAAGGGCAAAGAGAGAAGAAAGGAACTTACACCACCAACCTCTCGATTGCTTGGAGGGTTGCTAACAGTCGAACGCGCTAGCCAATTGCGCGACGTGGGATGTGAGGCAGGATGTGGTTGTTGGGGTTTATATTAGTGGTTGTGGAGGGAGGAGGATACGTTTTGGGTGGGAACTTGATGGATTTTAAATAGAAATCAGGTGTGTTTGGGAGGAGAGAGACTTGGGTTGATTCTTGTGTATTGTTACTAAGTTTGAAGGTAGTAGGAAGTCAAACCCCTCTTTATTGTTTCCCGGTGCATCAACTTCCTCAACAACCCACACCGTCCATCTCCGTCCCCTCTTGAACCTCAACCTCAACCTCCATCACCCTTTGTCTCTTAACACCCAAAGCCACCACCCCACAAAAAGCACTCACCCCCGTAAAGAGGATCAAAACGCCATACTCGCCCCCAAAGCCTCCCAGTCTTGCTCCTCCGATTCCCTTCCCCTTCATAGCACTCAACAAAACCTCACTTACCGGCCCCGAAACGACCGCTCCAATGCCTCTCCCCGCGGCAAAAACACCCATCAACTGCCCCATCCCCGCGCTCTTGTCTCCCGACCGGCGGACTTCATTCATCATGCCCGTCCACTGTTTGTAAAACATCAGCATCGAAAATATTCCTCTCAGCAAGAATAAGACAGAGAAAGAGAAAGAAGAGAGAGAACTAACCACAGCCGAAAACCCCCCAGCAAAAAACCCATACGTAACGACGAAAAGCACCAACGGCAACCTCGTAGCAAACCCCCAAAACAAGAACACCGAGACCGTAGAACCCACCGTCGAGACGAGAATCACAGTCGTGACATGAAACCTATCGCAGAGATGACCCAAGAACACCGCGCCAAAGACAGAAAATAGGTTCAAGAGCGCGAGGAGCAGGGTGCCGGTGTAAGCCGGGAGGTGCAGCGAGGAGGCGTAGGAGGGGAGGTAGATGGCTGGGATGAAGAAGCCGAGGGATTCGAGGATGTTGGCTGTTTGGAGGAAGAGATGGGTGCGAGTTTGGAGGAAGGAGTAGGAGATGGGCCTTCGGGGAGTGGGGCGGGCGTTGAAGGGGAGACGCGGTTTGACGGCGTAGATTAGGGGGAGGCAGAGGGTGAGGAGGATGAGGGACCAGATGCGGAGGGTGGTGGCGTGGCCGTGGGTTGTGAGAAGGGCGGAGAGGAGGAAGGGGAATATGAGTCCTGACTTGGGGGTTGTTAGTTGGGTATGATACTGGAAAAGGAAGAGGAGAAACGTACAGTGCCGACTCCTGCCCACATGATTCCAAATGCTAGTCCTTTCTTCTTAATGAACCATTCGTCGAGGTAAAACATTGTTGGAGAATAAAGAAGACTTCCGCCGATAGCATATAAGATTCCTTGAGTGAGAATCAACTGCCAAACTTTTGTAGCGAAACTACTTGCAATCAAGGCCGTAACGGCAATAGCGAGACCCATGATTGACGAGAGACGACGAATAGAGGGGTAGTATTCTAGAGCGTAGAGTGTAATGGGAGCAATAAGATACATGACGCCGCTTGAGCAGGTTCCGATTGCAGCGATGCCATTAGGTGAGAGCGAGAATGGTGGGTGAGTTGTGTAGTAGGATTGGAAGACGCCAAAGGAGAAGGGAAAGCCTGGTAGGGTCAGTTACAGAAACTTCTTCGTCGATCGAATAGAGGTTGACTTGCCCCAGACTAAGGCTTCAAAGACGAAACAGCCAGCCAAGAACAGCCAAGCTCCCTTTCCTCCATCTGCGGGTGGTATGGTCATTGCAACATTGTTTGTAGAGTCGTTGCTAGTTTCCACATCTTGGGGTTCCGTACTATCGACTTGCTCCACAACGGTCATTACGCTCTTGGATGAGGATAGAGACTTGTCAGAGGCAATGATGTGACTAGAAATTTCTGATTTGGTAGACATTACAACAGCCTCTAGGTATCAGTGCTGAGAGAAAAGGTTTCACGTATATGTGTTTTGATAAAGAAGTAGAAAAGTTTGCCAGCTCTTTGTAGCAAGAAGAGGCAAATTGCTTGCTCGTCCGAGTTTGCAGAATTTTTCGATAGTGGACAGCGAGTGACGTATTAATAGGAGAAACAACTCACCTTTACAAACACTTCCCCGTCGTGGTTATGTTCGGGGTGAATATAAAGTCCGACTTTCCATTGCTCAAACTAATTTCAATATCGTAACAGCTACCACTCGCGTAGCAAGTCGACGTAGTAGTTTGAGGCGGGGAGAACACATGCGCCTCTGTGGTGTAGCACGGGCGAACCCGCATCTTCGTCATCCTTTCTCTTCCAATCGCTTTCTTGCGTGAGTCTTTTCGGTTTCCAACAGCATCAACTGTGCATGATGCCGTGCGGCGGGACGGGGAAGACTTTCCCGAACAATTCTCACTCGGGCCGTGTTATCTTCAGTACTCGGCACCACGAAAACTTCTCCAAGAACCAGGTTTCTTGAGCAAAACGAAAAACGCGGCCCGCTTGTCTAGACAGGATGGCACCGGAACAGAGCCAGGCCAATCGTTTAAAGTTGGGAACCAACAGACAGTATTGAATGCATAACATTTCCAACATGAGGTTACACGACGATGTTGTTCGAAGGACATAAGCTGGTGCGGCACTGCCCGCAGGGTCCCAAAGAAGATCCCATGATGTGACAAATGCAGAAATTGTGAAGCCGAGTTGCCTTCTTGGCATGAAACGCCCATGCTACTGGCTATTGAACATACGAAGGGTGCTGCCGATCGGGCCTCCCGTACATACAACATAAGGTTATGTAGGTTAGAGGTAGGCCTTCCCATGGTAACATGTCTAGAGCTGACGAAAAGTTCTTCCCCCCACGTTTTCTTTGAACGGGTTATGGGACACATCGTGGGTTGCCATGTATGCTGTTTCAGGAAGGCGCTTATTGACAACAATTGATCCTTACAACACTCCACGCCTTTGATCCTGTCTGTGAGTCTTCCGGGAGTCCGGGACCACTGAGACTGCCTAGCAAGTACGTATAAAAGGATGCGTTGAGTATCACAAGAATGGTAAAACAACGAATCAGCAAGGGGAAGTGTTGATATCAGCTGGACGAAAGCTTTCGTTGTCGATCTGCCCAGGAAGACTTGAAGTACTTGGAAACAATACATGAAGACCTGGCTCACAACAAGGAGCTTCCAATGTTGGACCGAATGGGGAATGAAACAATGTCAAGGGCAACACAAGAAACTATGCAATGCAAAGTACACTCTAGTATGCTTTTCGAGCCATACTTTGCCGTCCAGCTCCCCAATTTGTAATAATTCTGATGCCATCGAGACAACGTCGCAAAAATGCGAACATGCTATGTACAGACAAGTTCTCGCTAGGAAGAATTTCAAATACAAAGAAAAGTCGCCAAATTTTCGCCGTTTGGATAAGAATCCTTTGGACGTACAACACGAGGATACCACGTGGCTGACAAGAGGCTCAATCCGTGGAACCACTTACCTCGACTACGGTTGTAGTCCCGATGGCTGCATGGTTATCCAACATATCAATCTCCCTCCCATGTTGGTTCGCAATCTTCATCACAACCAACATTTGGAGCTGTCACAATCCGATCTAGATGTCCGATCCAGCCAACCGTCCAGGATCCCTTTACCGAAAAACTTCTTCCGGTCTTACACTCCCTCGGAACGTGGATGTTTTCGAGAGCTATGAACGGGAAAATACACCGATATCGCTTCGCCTTCAACATCCCGTCTGGTAGTCTTATCCCGCTTAGTTCTTCCACCGGAATATCTCCATGAAGGGCAAGCCACGTGACAGACTCGGGCTCCGCCTGAAGTGGATTTCGAGACCGGAAGAGGGAAATCGGCCGTTATGAATCTCTCTCTCCAAAATTCCGTCAGGTAGTCTTATCCAGCTCAATTTTTCCGCCGGAATATCTCCCTCATCCCCCATCACGTGACAAAGCACGGCTTGCATCGGATCGGAACTCACCTTGTCAGCTTGTACCTAGTTTGAGACCAGAACGGGCAGAAGCGGCGAGGCCCAGGTTGGTGGGAAATCACATTCCGTGAGGTTTGTGGGAGGTACGTCCCCACGAGAAAGAGTCGGAGAGGGTCGGGAAGAATAGCTGAAGGTCTGGAATGGAGCTAGAGAGGATGTAGCTAGGTTGGTTGGAGCGGTGGGATTGGATGTTGAGGAGGATTGAGGCACGTGTTTGTTGATGGAGGGTGGTTGAGGCAGGCATGTGAAGTGAACCTTGGAAGTGCGGCTCGGAGGTGAGATTATGAGTGAGTGAGAAAAGAGAAAGAGGGAGAAAAAAAAGAACACCGAAGTACGATTTCGGCTTTGATTCGGGATGATGAGATGAATTGGATGAATGAGAGAGATAACTTGCCTTTCTTCGGCACTGCACTTCTTATCGATAACCAGAACCACGGTCGCAGGGAAGACAAGCGAGGAGCTACCCCGCACTCACTCGACAGAGAAGGCCAAGCTTCAAACCAGTTTGGTCTAGTACCAAACCACCAAGACGAGACCATCATCTCGAAGGTCGAAGATCACTGCGCAACGTAAGAAAATAACGCGGAAGCCCAGCCCGATACTCCAGACATTGAATTGCAGGTATCATCAGTTTTCAGAGATGATGATGAGTGTAGCGATGGTAGGATCACCTCACTCCGACGTAGGTTCAGTAGAAGCATGCCATTCTGCTGAACAGCCTGAGTGAAACCGCAAACAAATCCAGCAGCACACATACATTATACTTTCTGTACAACGCGCCCAATACCGATGGAGGCTTCTTCGGGGACAGGGAAGCTCACCGAGCAAGTCATCGATAAAAAATCCAAAATGTCATTCATAACAAAAACCCGCCGACATAAGTCCCCAACCTCCGATTGGGTTTCCCCTCATAAAGAAGAGCGTTTTCCTGCTCTGCTCTACTTCTGAGGAGAGTCGAGAGAGAAGATAGATGTCCATCCGTGCATTTGGGGTGTCTTTGCAACGCAAGCCTCGTCTCGTGCCTGGCAACCCCGCATCAACTACCACTCTCCTCCAAGCACTCCCTCGCACCAAACAGGTCGGCCAACGGGAACCTGGCAAATACACGCGACCGTCCAGGCACAGCGGTCTTGCTTTAAAACAACAACGTCTGCCACTTCCATCATCATCTTCTCCCTCCTCCTCCTCCTCCTCCTCCTCCTCATCGACAGTATCATCGTCCTCCCATCGTCGCAGTCGCATATCGGACCCACCTTCCTCGACAAGGCTGCGGGTTTCATTTCGACGTCCCTGCTCGCCTAATAAATTCCTGCCCCACTCCACTCTTCGCACTTCCTTCTCGGACGGCATCTCGGTAGCTAGGGGGTTCCAGAGCCGGCGGACGTCAGTGCGATTTCAACAAGTGAGTCCCTTCCGGCCATTCTTTTATTATCGTGAACCTCCTGCGTCCGCCTCGCTTTGCCCCCAATAACCAAGGCTATGCGATTTCTTTTCTTTTCCGGTTTCGCCCTGTTGCTGGAAGACCCCCCGCGCCCATACGTCAATTGTCCGTTGCAATGATTTGACATGTGCGCTGGCCGTGTCTCAAGCAAGTTGCGGTTGCACCAATCACTAGGTGATGGGTCCCCACCAAGGCTGCCTTTCTCCGTCAAGCCCCAAAAAGTCTCTTTCCGTTGATATACTCAACATGCGTCCCCTGTTCCCCAGCAGAGTTAGCTCGCTGACAGCTGTTTCCCGTGTGGTGTAGCCGCCAAACTGCTTGATCTACCCATCATATACTACCCCTCCTCTCCCTCCCTCATCACCACCACCATGTCAACCTCCAATTCGATCAAGCAAGCCGCGGAAGCTGCACGCAACAAGACCTCTGAAGCCATGAACGCTACGAAGCAGCTGGCAGAGACTGCCAAAGCAGACCCCATAGCTGCGAAGAACGATCTCCTCCATACACCGTTTATGCGGGCTGCTCTGCCATTTATCAATGGTGGTACGGCTGGTATGGTCGCAACAACCGTTATCCAACCGATCGATATGATCAAGGTACGATTGCAACTCGCTGGAGAGGGTGCCAAGACCGGTCCCAAACCAACGCCATTGTCCATAACAAGAGAGATCATTGCCGCAGGCAAAGTCATGGATCTATACACCGGGCTTTCAGCTGGGTTGTTGAGACAAGCAGTCTACACAACTGCTCGTCTTGGTTTCTTCGACACCTTCATGAAGGCATTGACCACAAGGGCGCAAGCCAAGGGAGAGAAAATCGGGTTTGCCGAGCGTGCGGGAGCCGGTTTAACAGCTGGTGGTCTCGCAGCAATGATTGGAAATCCTGCAGACCTTGCCCTGATTCGCATGCAATCAGACGGCTTAAAACCCGCCGCCCAGCGAAACAATTATAAATCCGTCTTTGCTGCCCTTAGCCATATCGCGAAATCAGAAGGTGTTGGAGCTCTGTGGGCCGGCGCTACACCAACAGTCGTCCGAGCTATGGCACTGAACTTTGGGCAATTGGCTTTCTTCTCGGAGGCAAAGCAACAACTGAAGGACACCAGTCTGAGTCCGAGAGCACAAACTTTGACAGCGAGTGCAGTTGCTGGGTTCTTTGCCAGTTTCTTCAGCTTGCCATTTGACTTTGTCAAGACGAGACTGCAAAAACAATCGCGGAGACCGGATGGAACATTGCCATACAAGAGCATGATGGATTGCTTTGCCAAGGTTGCCAAAGAAGAAGGAATGTTGAGATTTTATAGAGGTTTCAGCACATATTATGTTAGAATCGCGCCGCATGCGTAAGTTTCTCCCAATCTCGAAAATAGGCTCGACTGACAAGATTCAGGATGGTAACTTTGATCGTTGCCGATTATCTCGGCTTCATTACGAAGTAAGAAAGATCTGGACTGGGAAATTGAATATATAACATGGTTCGTCGAGCTTCGAGTGTTGGAAAGGAATATCACGGAACGGAGTTGTTGGAGTCTTTTGCTTCGGTCGATAGTTTTAGTCGGCCAAGATCCCTTTCGTTCGAGTCGTATATATCCCACAATACATACTTCAATTCAAAAGTCTCACTTGATGACATTATTGCTTGTAAAAGCCATCGATATTGATCTATGGTATTTGGATGTGGAGGACTTCCGTGCAACCGAGTAAACCATGCCAAGCCTGACGCCTCGCTATGCAATTCTGAATAAATCAACTGTGCCACTTGTCACTTCGACGTTATCTTGCCATACGCTCCACCGGCTGCTTTTCTCATCTCGAGGGCACGCTTGTATGGTGGTGCAGTGGGAGGCTGCACTGGATCAAGTGTTACTCGGTCTTTAGGCAGGTGGTATGAGGCATCGGCATCGAAACCAGAAAGGTCCCCACAGGCGAGGAATGGGGCTATCCATCTGCCATCTCTCGCCATCCTGTCCATATTTTCGGGCATTGGGAGCTCGAGCACACCATCTTTATTTCGATGGGCCGCCATTGCTGGGCTCGCAGACCATGTACCCGTAGTAGGATCCTGTAATGTTGTGGCAGCCATGATAGGTTGCTCTCGTGGCTTTGTCTTCGACATCTTTGCTAGTCTGTCGCCAACACCCATTGGATCTTCTAGACTGGCCTTGAAGCCTTCTGGTGGAGAGAAGTTCAGGCACACAACGAAAGCCTCGACGCTACTCGCTCTGCTTGACCTTGGCTTCGCGACAATCACTCTCTCGAAGAATATCTTCAGCTGGGCGAAGAGAAGGTCGACATTTCTGCCACGAAAAATCTTTGCAACAAATTTGCCTCCAGGTTTCAGCACGCACATTGCGAGGTTCAATGCCGCGAAGAGGAGTTGAGATTGTACATAGATGTCAAGATCATGCAGACCAGTGACATCTGGAGCGCCATCTGAGATGACTAGGTCGACTGGTTGTGAAGCTTGTTGTGATTTTGTCTCGGGGTCGTAAGATGGGTCCAAGGCCCGCAGTAATAGAGGGATTGTGGCCGGATGTGTAATGTCTGCTCGCAAAGTGATGATGCCTTCTAGAGGGCTCATGGGTTGGAGATCGATAGCGACGATCTTGACATCTTTTCGAGGTTTCAGGATATGCTTCTCTCTTTCTCTTTGATTGATCACCTCTTTTTCTTCTGCAGAGAGCTCCTGCCCAAAGACCTTCAGCAATTGTTGTCGAAGTTTGCCCTCTTCGTCTTCCCAAGCACTTCGACCGAATTTCTCGCCTTTAATTAAGACTCTCGAGAGGACCTGACTCCAGCTTCCAGGTGCGGCACATAAGTCGACGACTCGAGTTACACCATTGAAGAGGTCAAATTCTGCGGGCTTTCAGTCTCTGAGCTGTGAGGACAAGACGTGTTCATTACCTTCATCAAGTTGGAGGAGCTTGAAAGCACTGCGTGCACGCCATCCTTGCTCCTTCGCAAGTCTGTAATAAGCATCGCGCTTATCTTTCGAAGACTTCCCCATTGTGAAGCGGAATTATCTTCATTGGAAGTGGGCAATTGGGTGTTCTTGGGTGGGGTTGAACAAGGCTGAGTGAATGAGAATTTCTTAGCGCACGGCTGGAAGGCGGTGAAGCCTTTTCTGGATTCTGCCAAGATAAAAATGCTGGACGAGATTTCAAATATTCTGTTGCGCTTTTGAAATCATTTCCGTCAACAAATATGGCCGCGGAAGGAAAGAAGAGACCGAGGCCGTCCTCGACAGACGGTCCAAAGTCAAAGAAGCGACAGAAAATCGCAAACGCAAAGAATGCTTCTATCAAACCACAAAAGCGAGCCTTAGCTGTGGATGCTCTACCATGGAACGAAGTAAAAATGCCGGAGATGTTTGACGACGCAGAGGGATTCTTTGGCCTAGAAGAAGTTGAGGGTGTCGAGGTCGTCAAAGAAGGAGGAAATGTCAAATTTGTTAGTAGCTAAGATTGCGAGGAATAACCTTGAATTGACATTTCACAATAGGTAACTGCTGCAGCACCCAAATACGATGACGAAGAAGAGTTCGAAGGCTTTGGTGATGATGAACCGGAATCTACAGCTACCTCAAATGACGAAATCAAACCTGCTGAAGTGAGCAAGGCGGAATCCAAGAAGGAGAAGAAGCCTAAGAAGGAGAAAACGAAAAGGCAAGCCGCGAAAGTGGATGAGAAGGTACAATCTTCAGAGGTCTTATCGAATGCTTTCAAAGCTTTGGAAGATGATGATGCAGAGGACGGTACCGATGTTTCAGCATGGGCTGAATTGGATCTCTCTGCCGACACGCTTTCCGCGCTCTCAAAGCTTGGGTTTGCGAAACCGACTCCGATTCAAGCAGCGGCCATACCTGAAATATTAGCAGGCCATGATGTTGTAGGAAAAGCTGCGACAGGCTCTGGCAAGACACTAGCTTTTGGCGTACCTATGATTGAGAGCTGGCTTGAACGATACGGAGACTTGGACGAGGAAGAACAAAAGAAAGCAAGACCACCAACTGGTTTGGTTCTTTCACCTACCCGAGAATTAGCACATCAATTGACCGAGCATATGACAGCGTTGTGCAAAGGACTATCAATCTCTCCATTTGTTGCCGCTGTTACTGGCGGGTTGTCAGTTCAAAAACAGCAACGCCAGTTGGCAAAAGCAGATATTGTGATTGGTACACCAGGCCGCCTGTGGGAAGTGATGAGTTCAAGCACAGAGCTCACAGATTCCTTCAAGCAGATCAAGTTCTTAGTCATTGACGAGGCCGATCGACTTCTGACTGAAGGACATTTCAAAGAAGCAGAAGAAATCATTGGTGCTTTGGATCGCCAACAAGACGTGGGTGACGACGATGATGCAAATATCCCAACTCGACAGACTCTGGTCTTCTCAGCTACGTTTCACAAAGGGCTCCAGCAAAAGCTGGCGGGTAAGGGAAAGCATGGACTAATGGACGATTCTCAATCAATGGAGTATCTTTTGAAGAAGCTCAACTTTCGAGAAGAGAAGCCTAAATTTGTCGATGTCAATCCTATCTCCCAGATGGCCGAGAATCTCAAAGAGGGCATGATCGAGTGTGCAGGAACTGAGAAGGTATGGATTTCCCAATTTTGGATATTATTGTGCTGACAGCTTAGGACCTATACTTATATGCCCTACTGATGCATCACCCAAATCAGCGCACCTTGATCTTCACAAATTCCATCCACTCTGTCCGACGCCTCACGCCAATGCTGCAAAATCTCAATATCCCGGCATTAGCATTACACTCTCAAATGATCCAGAAAGCAAGAATGAGGTCAATCGAACGCTTCACAAAATTCCCTGGTGCAACTCTAGTTGCAACAGATGTAGCTGCTCGTGGTCTTGATATCCCTGGTGTCCAATTAGTCATTCACTACCATCTTCCTCGAGCCGCAGACATGTATGTGCATCGATCAGGCCGCACAGCCAGAGCCGAAAGCTCAGGAACGAGCATTCTAATGTGTGCCCCCGAGGAAGTCGTTGGGACTCGTCGACTTGTTGCCAAAGTCCATGCACAGAATGCAGTTGCTGGTGGTGGTAACAAAGCTAAGTATTATATGCGCTCTTTAGATCTGGACCGCAAAGTTGTGGCGCGTCTAAAGCCTCGAGTCACACTTGCAAAGAAGATCGCCGATAGTGTGTTAGCCAAAGAGAAGAAGGGGCATGATGATGATTGGGTGAAGAATGCCGCTGAAGAGCTTGGTGTGGACTATGATAGCGAAGAATTCGAAGCTGCCGGTGGCGGAAGGAAAGGCAGAGGCACAGGGAGGAAATTGAAGGAGAAGGAGTCTAGAGCTATGTCTAAAAGCGAAGTTGGTGCTCTCAGAGGCGAGTTGAAGAGCTTATTGTCTCAGAGAGTCAATGTGGGTGTGAGTGAGCGATACTTGACTTCTGGGACTGTTGATATCAACGAGCTGCTGAAGGGAACGAACGGCGAATTTCTTGGCAAGGTCGATGGCATTACGGGATTGGATGATGTATAAAATATAGTAGAATTACATCCCACGAAATCCCATTTGCTTCCTAATAAAAGCTTTGTTGCATGTCGCAGAGCGCTAATCTTCACTAGAACCTTAATCGAAGAAGAAAAGGCATCTCAACACCCTCGACTGTGAACCTCGCTTAAAAAGGACCTCTCCTCGCTTGCAAAGTAAAAAAAAGAGCTATCAAAAAAACCATAGAGCCAAGAATCAAAAACTTCACCCTCCCGAAGGAGGGTGTCCAACACCATAGCTAGTATGGGGTTTAAAGGGGATTATCACGAGACATTCGTATTTCAAGCACACACGAGAATATAGAGAGGCACGGTAATACCGCAAGCATCTATTATCCTGGAGGCCGCTGTCTCTTGAGTCATTCGTATTTCAGGCATTCACACGAGAATATAGAGAGGCACGATAGTCGCAAGCATCTATACCCTGGAGGCCGCTGTCTCAGAGGATGATGGCAAAGATCTGCTTATTTAACTTTATAGAGTATTGTAGAGGATTGAGGCTGTGATTGGTGGAGAGCTTTAGCGCGGTTTTGGCGAGCGATTAGAGGTGAACTTTTTACTTTGAGGATTGATGTTCGAGGAATGGAAGGTGACGAAATGATGAATCAGGCGGCCACGTGAAGAGTTGCAGGGAAAAATTCATTTCATATTCGGCCGTTCGTTTATTCTGGAGTATGCAAAACGTTCTGATATTAGGACCCTAGATCAAGTAACGTGGCGGGTCCTTATATCGTTTCTTTGCCATATATCAGTCTGGGCCATTAGATGTTTCGTCTCGTACTCGATCCGTGACTCGTGTGCCTCATTCCGGAATGAACCCTCCTCCCTCTTCATCATCAACGAACTCGCTAATATCGCTTTCCGATTCTCCAACATCCTCCTGGACCGCATCAGGTTCATCTTCATCGCCACCATAACCACTGATGCGCTGTCTGATCCTCAGACCAACCAGGAACCGTTTCCACATCTTCACGACAGCAGATGCACGCATAGCTTCTTCAGCTCGAGCTAGTTCGTCGCGAAGACCTGCGATTATCGCTTCAACTGCTTCTTGATATTCGGTAGCGACGACAACTCCTTTGATGACAGCCGTTCCATGCCGTCCTCGGAATTCGAATCCTGTTACTGCGTCGGCGTAGTCGACACCCACAATTCTTGCAGCGCGCTGTGCCTCAGCATCTGCGATCGTTAGTCAAATGTTGATATTAAAATGAGTGATACTCACAAGGTATATGCACTCCTCCTTGAGGTACCATAGTAGGAACGTAAACGTCCAGATTCCCATACCTGTTCTTAGGGATTATGCCATCCACAACAGGTGGCACAGCACATAGCTCTGTTTGTGCTTCTGTATAAAGGTTGGTTCCGGCTCGATCATCTTCATCATCCATATCGTCCGCTTCAGCCCGTTTCTTAGGAGCAACAGTCTTCACAGGCTGTTCTCCCACTTTGATATCTCTTCCTAGTCGATACCATGCATCCGCACTCCTAGCAATTTTGACGTCCTTCCTTCTGTAAATACTCTCTAGCTTCTTCCCACCAGGAGCATTAGCATCTCTGCCTGCTGCAACTTTGCCTGCTTCTCGAGTGCTGATCAAGACCTCGTTCCTTCTGAGGTGTCTTTCAAGAGCATAGTAAGGATGATCTTTGAAGTCCTGGATGTTTTTGGGCATAGGTTCTCGTGCTTCTGCGGCTGCGAATTCTGTGTCCTCTATCTGATCAGCATCGTTTGTATATCCACGACGATACGGCCTCATAGCTCGCCTCCACCACTTATCTCCTCCGGGTGTACTCTCGACTCGGTTCTTCCTCGTCTTGGCGTTATATGCCTTTGTATATCTCCTGGTCACATCTCGAGCACAACCTTCTTCCTCGAAAGCGATCACATATGTCATGCTATTTTCGCGATCATTGGCCGGTGGCTCGAATCTCATAGGTTTTGCTATTGACTCTGTCACCAGAGGATCAACAGGTAACCATTTCTGGTGCGCTTCATCGAAGACTTCAACCCAGAATACAGGGAAAGGAGATTCACGGATGGGTTTCGGTTTCGGTTTGGGTAGGAGAGCCGGAGAACTCATTTCTGGCATGAAATAATTAGCAGCATGTGGGTGGCCAAGACGTGATCGAGGATTCATCGACATGCCAGGGGCAGCTGCTGAGCGAGCGTTGCCAGAGGGAGAATTGGGCCCATTGATATCAACAGGTGTTGGCTTATCGCTCTCTGGGGTTGCTGGGTTGGGCTTCTTCTTTGGAGCTCGTTGCATAGGAGGGCCGCCGGTATTGAAAGATAGTACTTGAAGAGAGCATACAAGTCGAGTCTCAACGTCAGCACTTCTGAGCAGTGAACAAAAGAGTAATGCTCCTAGATCTCTGGATCCCTTGAGTTTCCTTGCAGCCTCTTGAAAGTCTGACTTTTCGAATGTATTGTCTAGATCGTCTGGAGGCGAGTACTAAGAACTAATTAGCATTTTCCGAATGAGCCACAGAATACAACTAACATTCTCGAGGTCTTTATCGTCCTCAGCCCAAAGTGCTCTTCTCATGCCTCTTGCAGTGATCTGGAATTTGGATCTCCACATGTTGCAGACTTGATCAAGACCTCTTTTCAAAGATTCGGTCTGGCTGAATTGTGACAAGTCTGACCTTGGTCTCAGAGAACCTAAGGTCTTCTTATCCAGCAACGTCCCAAGAATCTCCTTGGTATCTGAATCATTGATCCATTCGTTCCTTTTGTCAAGATACGAGAGCAAACATAGTACATGCATCTTGTGGATTTCTAGACGAGCCACTCTCTCTTCTTTTGAGACCGCTCTCCTTCTCTGAATTGGTGTTTTCGGACTCGGTTCAGGCTTCTTCACAAGTGTCAATTCTAAGTCTCCGCTCTCTTCAACTTCTGGCTTGGCATCAAAACCTATGCCTTCCCAATCGAAGTCCTCGTCCTCAGATTCATCAGTATCCCGGTAAGCAGTCTGCTGTAGCTTTCGTGGTAGCGTAAATTCATCCTCATCCGAAGACTCTTCGGCTTGAGGAGCAAGTACATCCTCAAATTCCAATTCTTCCTCATCATCCGGCTCTTGTGTCACCGGGTCAGGGTCTGTAGGTGAGCTCGCTAATGTTGAGTTGAAGTTTCGTTTGCCAGTCCTTCGCCTCTTTAGGGGTCTTTCGGGAACGTCCGGTTGTATCGGGAGATCAGCAAGCATTTCCCGGTAGACATCCGGAACAGCCGTTTGGCTTGGGTTGACTTTGCCTTTGCCTTTTCTTGCAGAGGCTCTCTTTTTGGAAGAACTTGCTGGGGATGCACTTGGACCCGCAAGTCCCGGGAATTTATTTTCGTCATCGTTCAGATTGGATGTGTTCTTTGATGGTCGTCCTCTTCTTCTTGGAGGCATGGTGGCGGCTCATGGTTGCCTGAAAGACAACCTTCTCAGGACAGATTCCTCTTGAAGAGCAATGCTCATAGGTGCAGTAGTCCCGGTTGCTATTACCACTGTAAGCAATTAAAAGCAAAGTATTGATACAATTTGTTGAAGGCAAATGGTGAATGTCGCGCAATGTTCACTAAGCGTCTCGGTGTGATTCATTCTCTTTATCACAAGCGCTGCCGCGCGGCTATTTCTTTATCGGCCATTTCAGGTTCTCCTTCCGTCTGATTGCTCGCAATTTCTTTTCGCCGCGTTGAATCCCTGCAAAGTGGCTTGCAGATCTCCCCCACAATTTCCAAGAAATCTGGTCAAAATCAACGTCATACCTGGAAAACCATGCAAGCCCGCGTGCAACATGACCCTTGTGCTCAAGTGACTGGTCGAGGACCTAAGGTTGTAAATAAGCTTTGTTGAAGATAAAGATACATTTCTCCACTTGCATTTTTCTTTTCCTTGATGTATCTTCATGTGCATTTGGAGCCTTCGACTACACGAGCTCCAGAAACAAGTAGTACCGTGTCAAGATGAACGATCCAGGCCTTGACGAGCCCATCTCGAACGATGCAAAAGATGTCGAGAACCAGGTTGAGGACGAACGAGATGAGAAAATAGAAGATGAGCAGGAGTTCTTAGCACCAAGGTATATCCTGCTGTTTATGTCTCGAAAATCTTGTGCTCTAGATCTTAAGGATACTTGTCTACTATTAATCAAAGCTGACTCTACTTCTCCAGTCGATGGTGGTTCGCAAGCACGGCGTTTCCCCTCATTGCAGGTACATTTGGTCCTATGGCCTCAGCTTTCAGTATATGTGCTTTGGTTGTACATTGGAGAGTCTACATCCCACTTGGGGCAGCAGAGCAGAACGGAATCCCCATAGAGGATCCAAAATGGTGCGTACCCCATATTTTTGACATGTCTTGGCCTTTCTTGGCCCCCCACATCTGCAAGTTTGACAGCTCATGTTGACTTGAAGGCTTTTGGTATAGGTTGATTGGCGTAAACGCTGCACAGTTGGCGATCGCTATTATATCGAACTTCTTCTTGTTGATGAACATGGCTAAGAGAGTTCGGTTCGCTATTGCACAACCGATTACTATTGTAGGATGGTATGTGCATTATTGTTCCCATTGCTCACACAAATCACTTACATCATCCTAGGTATTTGTCGTCGTTTGCTTTAATTGGCCTGTGTGCCTGTGCCAGTGGTCCTCTCGTTATTGAACCTCGATCGGACCATGCATTCTCACAAGGATTCTACTATGCAATATTCTCCGCAGGACTTTATTTCATGGTGGCTACTATGATGCTCGTCACCGTATATGGGGCGTACGCAGGGCACTACGACAAGGAGTTCAAATTAACAATGAGTCAGAGGACACTGATGCTTCAGACCATCAGCTTCCTTGTATACTTGTTGCTCGGTGCTCTAGTGTTTTCTCATATCGAGGGATGGAAATATCTGGACGCATTATACTGGGCAGACTTCACATTGCTTACTGTCGGAATTGGAGATTACTCGCCAGCAACACATCTTGGTCGAGGACTCCTCTTCCCATTCGCAATTGGCGGAATCAGTAAGTAATATCCCGGTTCTCAGCAGACAACCCTCTAACTTCAACTAGTCATCCTTGGTCTGGTCATCGGCTCTATCCGTTCCCTCGTCCTCGAGCGAGGCAAAGTCAAAATGGGCGCTCGTATGGTAGAGAAAGAACGTCAACGCCTCCTCAAAAAGCTACAAAAGAAAAACAAAACGTATCTCCTCCAACCACTCAAAGAGGACAAGCCTCCCATCTCTCGTCAGTCATCCCGGACCCTCGAACAAACCCCCTCCAGCGAACGAGATCGTCGACAACAAGAGTTCGAAATGATGCGCAAGATCCAAGAACGAGCCCACGAAAAACGTCGATGGACCTCACTAGTTATCTCTGGGACGACTTGGTTCTTCCTCTGGTTCGTCGGTGCCGCCATTTTCGAGCGAACCGAATACGGACAAGACTGGTCATATTTTGGATCTATGTACTTTGCCTACACCTCCCTCCTAACCATCGGCTATGGAGACTTCTACCCCCAATCCAACTCCGGCAAAGCATTCTTCGTCTTCTGGTCCCTCCTCGCCATCCCCTCCCTCACAATCCTCATCTCCAACATGGGCGACACCATCGTGAAAATGATCCGCGACCTCACCCTCTGGATCGGAAATTTTACTGTGCTCCCTGGAGAACAAGGTGTAAAAGCCACTCTAAAAGAAAGTGCCCACAAACTCACGCAAGGGAAACTCTTCAACGACGAAGTCTCCGAGCAGCCGCCTGGATTACTGGGCGAGTCAAAGCGCCGCAACTCTAATGATTCGGATGACAATAAAAACGATCCTGAGTCTGCCGCCCAACGCGCGGCAGGCGATCGAGCGAATCAGGAAACGGTTCGAGCTGCAAAACAAGGAGAATCGAACGATGAATTGCCGGAAAGTAGATCCCATTATCATCTGATTCTTATAAAGGAGATGGGGAAGGTGATGAAGCATCTGCACTCCTCTCCGCCAAGAAAATATACGTTTGACGAGTGGGCCTGGTTTTTGAAATTGATAGGCGAGGATGAAAGTAGCGCAGAGACGCATAGGAAGGCGAAGAGGAAGCCGCAGCCGGATGGGGAGGGCTTGGGAGCTGCTTTGGGGGATGATGATAAGACTGTGAAGTGGAGTTGGGTTGGAAATCGAAGTCCGTTGATGGGGAATAAGGAGGAGGCTGAGTGGGTTCTTGAGAGGTTGCATATCACGCTTCAGAGAGAATTGGATAAGTTAAGGAAGGAGGAGTTGGAGAGCAAGGGCAATAGTGGGAATGAGGAGAAGGGCGAGAAGATGACGCAGAAGAGACCTGATGTTGAAAATGGGATGGAGGGACCTAGCATTGACAGTAGTAGAACAGCTACGGAGGAAAAGGATGCAAGGTCATCATAATGTGGTTATGGAAATTGATTTCAGCGTTCTATTGGGCTCTGGCCAATGCATAATAGCATAATCCTGCATACTGTATCCTGTACCTTATATCCTATAGCCTTGTTCGTCATACGACAGCGTTCAATTTCCAAAGAGCTAAGAGCTACCCAGCTATTCCACCACGTGCATCAAAGCTCATCATCCTCAGAGTCGGAATCATGTACAAATTGAGGTGGTCCTGGTACAACCTCATTTAGAAGACTCTCCGGTAATAACTGGCTTCTGGACAGAAACTGCGATGAAGACATGGAGTAAGGAAGAATGGAATCGGGGCCATGTCGGTCTGAGCGTGCTGATCTAGGCGTCGGTAATTTCAGAGGCGTGCTTGAAGCTACTGGTCGAGCTGGCGATTCCCAGACTATCTCATCTTCCTCCGCTTGTGATGGGTGATTGGGAAGCGGGGTTTGAGTGAGATCCACCGTCTCCGCTTGGGAGAGATGTGGAGGGCTGCTTGGTCTTCCAGGTGTCTCCTGGTGGAAGGAGCTCGGTGGTGGCATTGTTTCTGCTTTTACAATGATGGATTCACTAGTCGCAGGCCCCGAGGACTGAAGTGACGGACTTGGCTGAGCTGGCTGAGTAAATTGGCTGATTGTGTTAAGCAGTTGCTCCTCGACCTCTTGGGTATCCGTTGACGACGAAGCAGGATCACTGGGTGAAGACCCAGTTTGAGTAGTGTTGGTGAACAATGGAGGCTTAAGATTAGCAATGAGCTCGTCAGCTACTGCTGGAGGCACCCAAGCGAATTTTTGAGGTGCAGCTTTCATCCAACCATTTGAAACGATCCGAGAGAGTGGCACTAGATCTACAAGCTCGTAGAGTTGTAGGATCTCATATGCATTCCAAGACTTCTTACGAGGGTTGGAATTGAATTCTGCATTGCCGAGACCGTTCGTATCGAGAATTTCACCTGGCTTCTTTGCAGGACTTATCTCAGCCATATATTTCAATAAGCAGGCGGGCTTTGTTTCGTATATCCATACTCGGCAGACTGATGGAGAAAATGCCCAGCTTCGCCTCTCGTGATTTTTCGTCCGATTGACAATATTTGTGACATGTTGAGGATGGATTGAGATGAAGATATCTGAGTTCTCTGTCCGAGGGGCCATTGAATTGACTTCTTTGATCGAAATTCTTTGAGTTTGTCTAGTCTGCGTTACACCACTCGTAACCTTTTCAGATTCGTCCGTATCTCCTGATATATTGCTCGATGTTGTTTCCGCTAGTGAGCTTACTATACGATCAGCTTCAAACTGTGTCTCTCGGCCAATGTCGCCATAGAAAGTCTCCGGCTCTTCGTCATGTTGCGGTTGAGATACACTGACGGCTGACTCGGGTGCATCGATTTCCGCTTGGTTAGATGCTTCCTCCTCATCTAGATCATCTTCCTCATCTTCATCAGAGTCGAAAATCTCAAACTTGATTTGTTGCTGAGTAGCCATCTGCGATGGATATGGAGTCGATTCTTTCTTGATAGAAGGTGTTGCAGGAGTTTCGACTTCCTCTTCGACCTCGCGTTCTGGAAGTGCAAATCTGACGCTCTTCGCTGGACTGGAAGGTTTGTCAGGCGAGAAAGGGATATCCCCTACTTGGCTTGTGGTATTCCTGCTTTCGAAGGTATCCTCTATCTTGAGTTTGGGACGCTTCTCGGCACCATTCTGAGCCTTACGATTCGTGTTAAATGGTATAGGAGCATTGACAGGCTTCTCTTTCAAGGGAGAACGTTGTCTTGTAGAGCCTCGGGATTGTATCGAAAGGGGCGTGGCTGGGGATTGGGAGGACGGGATCTCTTGAGGCAAGACTCTCCGAGGTGTTTGAGGTGGGGGCATCTCCAAGTTTGAGGTTTCCTCTCTTGTCCTGTCTAGAATAGGCGATTCTTCTCTCCTGCTTGGACCAGCGCTGGCAGGACCAGAAAGTCTCTGGAAATTTCTTGGGAGGTGGACTGACTGTGAGGAGCTTGGCACATCGAATATGGAACCTCTTTCTTCTACATCTCCTTGCACTTCTTCTGATGCTTCTTCTTCATCATCGTTGATCGTAGAGAAGCTCCAATCAAGCTGTGTGATAGTTTGCGTATGGTATTGCGGAGTCGCAGATGGCTTATCTCCCTCAGTCTTCCTCCGCTTACTCTTGCGCTTCTTGGATGCCTTCTCGTAGTCTGACTCTTCATCCTCTTCCTCCTCTTCCTCCTCTTCAGATTCCTCCTCCGGACGGTCCTTAAGCTTCACAAATCCAATTTGCGTGAGCGTGCTATCTTCCTTTGCACGTCTAGTTGTCTGCTTTCCGTAGGATTTGATGCGCTTTTTCGGATTCGCAAGTTTTGTTTGCTGCAATGGAGTTGCAGACTTATAGACACGTCCTGCTGGAGCGCTTTTGCGTCGTGGAGGCATGTTTGGTGTTTTGTTCTGTGTTGAGGTTGTGACCAGCAACAACGAAATGGATGAACGAAGTGGGACGCGTTTCGACGCGTCGATAACGCGCCTTTCATACTCTCGGATAAGACGCTTCAGTCGTGAAACTAATCTTAGCGACTCCGGTGTGCTCAGGACCATTCCATTCAAGCAGCAAAGTCTGCAAGCGTTCAGGCTTTTGTACCCTGGAAATATAGTGGACAAGGCCTATAAAATTAAGGGCGCATCCCTGGAAAAGGTTCGTTGGCTTATTCTCCCAGTCATCGCTACATATTTTCCTCGTGCATTCAATTTGCTCCTAAAAAGTATCATTATTAGCAGCTTCTTAGAAAGCTGGACCCTTCAGATTTTTTGTTTGCAATTCAATTGTCTAGATTCTTGTCATTCTTAGCTCTCGAGGTCTTCTTCAAGTATTGTTTGTCACTCTCTTCGTTAATCTCATCATCCGTTCTCTCCGTTCGTTCCAGTCTGTTTATATTTAATAGCAGATTTCCTCCTCTCTCCTTCAATGCCGGAAATCCAGTCTCCTTCACAGTGGTACAAAATACCAAGGAGCATTTTCATTGAACAAGTACGTTCATGACTTTTAGACATTGTCTCACTCCACAATATTCAAATCCAGATCTGCAACTCCGTCCTCAAGGTTCCCACTTTGCTCATGATCTTCGTTGCGATAAGCAACCATGTCTTCACCACCATCTTCCTCACTATGTGCCATCCAGTTCCAAATTTCCATATATCCATCAACATCATCTACACTGAACCACTCAAGCCAAATTTCGTCCAGAAACTGTCCATTTGCCCAAGTCTCAAGGCTTTTTTCTCGAAATTAATAAAGTACGCCCATTCGCAACATACCCCATCTTCGAGAAACTCCACTAGAACCAATTTACATTTGAACATCTCATCAAATCGAACAATAACGTACCATTTTGCGTCATATGTTTCAGATCTCCTTTCAAGATCTCTTCAAGAGCTCTACTGCCCTGCACCGCCCTCAACAATGAATACCAATCACTCGTCTCGTCGTATACGCTATAGCCTTCCTTCATGTACTCCTCTCTCGATTCAGCCATCTCAGCAGTCAAATGATAGCCCAGCTTCATGTATTTGTCCTGGAGCTCGACTGGAGCTTCGGCCTTTTGATCTACCCACTTCCATCACATTGGCTTCTATTCAACCCAGTCCATAATAGAAGGAGCTACGAACCTTAATTTCTTTCACCAACTCTAACATTTTCCCCCAATCCTCATGCGTAAGCTTTAGAAGAAAATTCATGATGTCTTTTCCAAGGCCTTCGGGATAGCAGTCAGATTGATTGTAAGAAGCATATCGTTGGCCAACTATGATAAAGCCAAGCAGTCCGCGAGTGCCCATGGTTGATGTAGAATTCGACGGCAGGAAAGAATGCTGGTTTCAGGACGCGACACAGGAGTATATATCGACACGAAGCAGACACGAAACAACGTGACAAAGTCGAAAAAGAAAGAAAGGGAATGAGTCATGCGTGAAGTGTGGTAGTACAGAGGTTAGGCAACGAGAGGGGATGCTGCAAGCCATGCCGAAGGTAAAATTTGATTGGAAAGTAGAATGCGATTGATCATGAAGTGCTTTTCTTGAATTTGAAGTGCGGAAAGTGACACGAGAGCGGGCCACTGCAGAGAAGGCAATAAGAGATCCAACCGGTCCATTCGAGCATGCAAAGTCGTGTAAGAGAATGTTAGTGTTGAACAGTACAGAAACTTCATCGGAAGCTGGAGTTTCCTGTCAAGCAGGGAAAACTTTGATATATTGAAGCATAAGTCCATTCTCATAACATGCTACATCTACATCCACTAAGAACTTACTACACTTCAGCATTATGCTATGCACCGTCGATTGGATTTAAGAGTAATGAGGAGAGTCATACCCACTTGAATCGTGCTCAGATACCAGTCTTCTCCAAAAACTTCAAAACCAACCCCGCAATATCCTCTGCATTACTCTCCACCGCAAAATGCCCCGCATCCAGAAGATGCACCTCCGTCTCTTTGATATCCCTTTTGAAAGCCTCCGCTCCAGGCGGAATAAAAAAAGGATCATGTTTTCCCCAAGCAACCAAAGTCGGAACCTGACTCTTCCTGAAATACTCATGGAACTCAGGATACTTCGTGACGTTATTCTGATAATCATAGAACAGGTCAAGCTGGATGTCTTCGTTTCCAGGCCGTTGCATGAGCGCGAAATCGAGATACGGTGCTTCGGGAGCTATGGGGACTTTGCTTCCAGTGTCGTATTGCCATTTCACAGCGTCGAGACTGAGGACGTTGGCACGGACGAATTCGCGGTCTGAGTTAGAGCCGCTTTTCCAGTATGCTTTCAATGGTGCCCAGGCGTCTCCTAGTCCTTCTTCGTAGGCGTTTCCGTTTTGTGAAATGATGGCTTGGATGGATTCTGGTCGTGAAAGGGCCAGACGGAAGCCAGTTGGCGCCCCATAGTCGAAAACGTAGACCGAGTACTTCTTGATAGAAAGAGCATCGAGGAATGCTCCAATGCTTTTGGCAAGGTTGTCGAAGGTGTATTTGTATTTCAGCTCAGCGGGGACTTCTGTAAAGCCAAAGCCTGGAAGGTCAGGTGCAATGACATGATATTTCTGGCTCAGAAGTGGAATGAGATTGCGGTATTGATGGGATGAGCTTGGGAAGCCGTGAAGTAAGAGGATAACAGGTGCGTCCTTGGGTCCTGCTTCTCGGTAGAAAACATTCAAGCCGCTCGCCTCGACGAAGTTTGTGGTATACGCTGCCATTGTCGCTGTTATTGTGGTGATCTTATCGGCTCCGAAGATTCTGAAATTGTTTGAGAAAATTCAATTCAATTAAGAGAGCACAGTTCCCTTCGTGTTTGGAGATTGTGATCTCAAGTTGAGATTGTGATGAATGAAGCAAATTCTTCTATTCAATGGAGGCTGTCCAGGTTTATATCATGCTCGCCAAACAACACTTTTTACTTTTAGGAGCACTATTCATGTATGCATCTTTGTAAGCTGCAGTCTCCTTTCGATGATGTTTTTGTGTGTCAAACATAGACAATGACGCTATTTTCACATGAACCTAGCCATACCTTAGAGCGGTTTTGGTGTCTCGCGATCTGTCAGCAATTCGCATGCAGTAGCCCGAACCGAATCTTCGTGTGTGGTTGGATGGGCCAGTGGTCCTAGAACAGATTGATTCCAAAACGCTGCCGCTCCGAGGACTTCATTGCATCGACAAGGCTTGTTCATTAAAAGGCGTTAAGCCTTGTCGTGATAAATAGTGGGAAGATCCCGCTACAAATCCCGTTCAAAGTGCTGACAAACGAACGGATCACTAATCAGTGCAACACCTCTTCTGGGCCCAGCGCGCTCAGCATCGTGACTTCACACGACATGGCAGACCACCCTCCATGGGTAAAGTCAGGCTGTTCTTGCTCACACGCTCCTTGCCATCGATAGGGTTGAAGTCGAATTTCAGAACCAGGGTAGCTATGACCTGTACCGCTACTAATTCAGCCATTTTCTTGCCCAAGCAAGTCCGCGGACCTCCATTGAAGACTGGATACTCGAAAGCGGTCTTCGAAATCAAGCTTCCATTCTCAAGCCACCTCTCAGGTTTGAAATCATCAGCATCATCACCCCAGATAGCCTTTGATCTATTCATTGCCCACGTGCACCATAACAGTACTGCGTCTTTCGGTAAGAAAGTTCCATCGGGTAGTGTGACCGCTTTCCCGCATTGCTTGAGTTCGAAAGGGACCGGCGGAAACAGACGCAACGCTTCGTAGAAGATAGCTGCTATGTATGGTAGAGCCGTTGGGTGAAGCTTAGATGTGTCGAATCTCCCAGAAGAAGGCCCGACATAGTCAGATACTTCTAATCGGGCAGCTTGTGTTTTGTCCGGATTTCGCATGAGAAGATAGAATGTCCAGGTGAGCGCTTGAGCAGTAGTGTCGCGACCTAAAGAATCAGATCGTCGAAACTGAATTAAAAACAATGGTTCATACCAGCGGAAAGATAGTTTAGAGCAGCATCTGCGACCATTTGATGGTCATCAATTGTATCCAGAAGGGAATTAATCAAAGACCCTGACATTTGGCCAAACGACGTTTTTTTCTCCACCACATTTTCGGTCTTTCTGGCTTCGACAGCATTTGCAACAAGCATGGAACCAAATGCTTTCACTCTTGCAACAGAATCTCGAAACTCTTCACCAAAGAAAATCTCTGTGATCTGCCAAAGTGGGTTCTGAAACCTCTTGCCGGTTGCTCCCGAAGCATAGTCAAATGACTTGGAGAATGGATCGGAATTATGAATATCCAACTGGATATGGTCAGATAGAGTATTAAGTGAAGGTGCTACGACTTACGTTATATGCCATCTGTCCCATGATCTGGGTTGTGAGCTCGTGGAGCACTTCTTCTAGATCAAAAACTGATTCTGGATCCTTTTTCTGAAGGTCTTGGATAGTATCGTCCAGGTACTGAGGCAATGCCACATCTGTCAGAACCTTCAAGTTGGTATTGCTGAGGAAGTTCAATCCCGCTTTCCGCTGCACCTTCCAGAGGTCACCATCTGCATTGATGATACCATTTCCTGTCTTTATCAGCATTTTCTTTGGCAGTCAATAACTGCGAATTGACATACCAAAGAGATCCCAAGATCTTCTTTTGAAAAAGTCGCCTTTGGTGAATATGCCTTCGTTCTTGAACACATATTCGAGATTTTTGGGATCATTGATCACAACTCCAGGAGGTAAAGATGGTACTGAGATTTGGAAGGTCTCGGATCCAAATAGTTTTTCACATTTCACAAACCATGAAAACAATTTGTGGCGGTCCTGCAAGAAGAGGATCCCATTTCCAACGAGTGGAAGTGTATTTGGAGGCCGTCTACAACCAGATCAGCACTGTCAACGCTACATACAAAGAAATAATGATATAGACAAAATGGAAGCAGATTGATTGAAAAGGAATATTTTGGTATCACATGTCATGTAATGGCGTGTTCTACATACCTTAATGGCTCTCCATTGCGTCTCAACTTAGGTGTTCTAAAAACATAGAACAGAAACGTTGATGTGAGACTTAAAACTAGAAGAAGCGTCGTCGTATGCATTTTGATAACATGATGGTATTGATATGTGGCAAGAAGGATTGAGGCGTCGAAGAGCTGGGTTATGTTTGAGCATCAGAAGCTTGGCACTAGCCTCGTTTCACTTGCTCAGCCCTGTCACCATAAACTTCGACCACGGCAACTTCTCTTCCTTTACAAACATTTTCGATTCAAAATGGTTTTAATTTGCCCCCGCATACACTTCTACGAAATCAATGACCAAGCTTGGTACAAATCCACACCTCCACTCAGTAGTATCTCTTGCTAATCTAACCAGGTTCCCTCAATATCTTCGCGAGAAAGTCCAATCGTGCCTCACACTCTGCTGGACGTTCCGTGTCCCAATTCTCCAGAAAGCTTCACCCGCGCAGCTTGTCACCAGCACTCTTTATCGAGTCCTCGGCGACAGTGTGACATCCTACACATATGTCGATTTCTGCGCAGGCGCAGGAGGACCTACACCATTCATCGAGAAAGACCTGAATGCGCAACTCTCTGCCCGTGTTCCTACTTCGCCGTTCACTTCCTCAGCCAGTGCGGCGAAGGGCTTGACACCTCGCTCACCTCGCTCACTTGCCCCCGAAACGAACAAGGGTGCAGTCAAGTTTGTCTTGACGGACCTGCACCCACACATTCCAGATTGGACGGAAGCTTCGAAGCGCAGTGAGAATCTGAGTTTCGTCTCAGAGCCAGTCGATGCTGCGAATGCCCCAACAAGTCTGAACAGAAATCCTGCGGAGGGAAAGAAGATCTTCAGATTGTATAATTTGGCATTTCATCACTTTGAAGACAAGCTTGGCATGGACATTCTGCGAAATACGATTGAGACCGCTGATGGGTTTGGGTATGTCTCCAAAGATACTATTGATATTTGCCTATATTAATTGACTTGGCGCAGAATCTTCGAGCTGCAAGAACGAACGGCTTCTTCACTCCTTACCATATTCGCCATGGGAATTCTGATGTTTCTCATTACTCCATTCTACTTCTGGAGATCGCCCGGACATCTCTTCTTCACGTACATAATACCTATCATTCCATTCGTGTTGGTATTTGATGGTTATATCTCTTCGCTGAGAACAAGAACATCAGAGGAGGTTCAGGCGTTAATGAAGGAGTGCGGTGCTTCCTGTGATGGCTGGACTGTCAAGAATGGACAGGAGCAACATACTTGGCCTACAGGATACATGACGTGGGTTATTGGAGTCAAGGAATAGCTGGAGGGTTATAGGATAGAGTATAGAGTATGTACAATACTATGAATCATGATCTTAGAGTGTAATTTCATTGTATAGAGTGCTAGAAGCCATTGATAGGAGGCTTGCATGTCCAGCAAAGCTCTCTTTCCATGGTCGGATATTCCACCTTTGATCCCATGTTACACAAACATAAATTCATGCTCCCAACTTCCTGTCGCCCCCGGCACCTCACCTCCTCCGGTACTTGGATGAGTACAGCCCGAAAAGACCTAACAAACAAGCACCATGCACAACCACATGAACCACGGGTCCTCCAAGTCCGTTGCCATACCTCGCATTCCCAATCCTACTCGCCGCTCTCACCAGCGGCGCAAGATGATACACAGCCAACGCCCCCGCCACATTCCTACTCGTCCGATCCAGTGGTCTCAGAGCAAAGATACCAGCAATAAGGTTCGAAACCAGAAGCAACACCGCATATTGCTTGATGATAGCGTGAGCTTGTGGGCCTGGCGATGGCAGCTGTTCGGATGGGTTGAAGAAGAAGTTCAGCGAAGCAGGGAACTCGATGAGGATGTGTAGCCAGAATGGCAATCTACCCAGGAAAGACATGATGAAGTTTGTTTGCAATTGGCCGAGTGACGATGAGCTTGCTTGGAGAGGGTAATGAGTCGTTGACACAAGAAGCTTAGTGTTAATTATCGTGCATATATCCCGTAAGCCTATCGGATCCCTGCTATTACGACGTACAGTATACGAGTATACGTCTACCGACTTTATCTGAACTTCAGCTAGGCTTCATCTCTGCTCAACAAACGCGTATACAACGGGTCATCCTCGCTCCTCGTACTCAATTCTCCCTTTCCATTCTCACGTGCCAAAACGAGGGTTTGGCGAGATGACATCTTTCAATTCCAGATGGCTGCATGTTCCTGAATATATTCAGGGTTTCTGCATCGAGCTTAGCCCTATCGGGATAAGTCAAAACACCACCTGCTGCAGGTGCTCAAGGTCCCTCGATTGCAAGGGGACTGTGCCCAATACCGCTCACTCTGCATGTCATCTTGGGAATTTTGTTGAGAATGCCATTCGAATTGCAATTTCTAGACGTGGCCAAGAAGCAAAATAGTTTGTGCCTTGGTACTTTGAAGCCATAGACGTCACTCTCTTTTGATTCACTATCTCAACTCGTCCTGTTCCACACCTTGGTTTCTTTTTCTAATCAACCCCTCCACACTCGTTCACACCACCCCCCTCCACTGATACCCTGCATTATCAAGAAGCTTGGAATTCCCGTCTGAGAATTGCATTGCACCGCCACCCCTCCGTTGTATCAGCCTCGGTAGAGCGTTTTCATCTCACAAGCCTCATTCCAAGACAGGTGAATCGCTCTTTGCTGACGCTGTTGGTTCTCATCTCGCGTGCCATCAGAGGAAGTCTCTTGCATAAATACAGCTTCATCCAAGTCATTGACAATCAATTCACCAAAATACAGCGTCAAGATGTCACCTTCAAGGACGTCCCAAAACGGGACTGAAAACCAACAATTCGGAGACCTCAACCTCTCAATCACAGGAATTGGAACAGAATACCCACTAGTTCTCCTCGAGCCATCATGTGTCGATATACTCTGCCAACGTCACTATCCCGACTCACCAGCGTTTGTACCTCCAACCCCACACTCCGCACAACATTCACTAATCACAATACCTCTCACAGGATGCAGAAGATTCGCGCCATAAACCAATACACAGGAATCGACACTCGCTCCTCGATCGGTACCGTCGACCACCCAATGGCGAACATGGACCGCGCTCCTACAATCGCAGAATTGTGCAGCATCTTCCTTAAAGACGGAGTCGCACTCGCAGTCACAGCTGCTCGAAAAGCATTACACGAGGCACGCCTATCACCGCTTGATATCACACATGTTGTTTCGACGACTTGCACGAATAGTGCGAATCCAGGTTTCGATCACTATGTGTGCAAACAATTGGGCGTTACACAACCCGTAGAGAAGGTTCTGCTACATGGAATCGGGTGTAGTGGTGGTTTGGCGAGTTTGAGGACTGCTGCGAACTTGGCGCTGGGAAGTAGCTTCCGGGGCAAGAAGGCGAGAATATTGGTAGTTGCGCTGGAGATCAGTAGTTTGCTGGTGAGGAGTGAGCTGGATAGCATACACGAGCTGCAGCAGACGAGAATTGGTGTTACGCTATTCAGTGATTGCGCCAGTGCGTGTATACTGAGCAATGGAATTGGAGGAGAAGAGGCAGAGCCTGTATACGAGCTGCTAGGCTGGGATCACAGGATGATTCCAGACACCGAGGAAGATCTAGGATTTGACGTTCATCCATCAGGTAAGTTTTTATCCCGATATTTGCTTAGGACCCAATTACTGACAAGTGCTCAAAGGTTGGAAAGTCGTCCTCTCACCCCGTGTCCCGAAGCTAGCTTCCGCAGTCGTAAAACCTACATTCACAGACCTCCTCTCCACTCTACCAAACCTACCTCCGACCTACAAATCCGCAGCGGACTTCGACTGGGCGCTTCACCCGGGCGGAGCCACTATCCTGTCTGGCGTTGAACGTGCTATGGAAATCACTCCGGAACACATGCGCGCTAGCTACGATACTTACATCAAGCACGGAAATTCTTCTTCTGCAACCATTCTCTCCGTCATGGATCGACTACGACAGAAAGATATGGACGAAATTGCGTCTGGTGGAAAAGTGAAGGACTTTGTTGTGGGATGTGCGTTTGGACCAGGCATCGCGGTTGAGATGTGCATGTTGAAGAGAAACATGAGTCATGTGAGGAGAGTTCTAGAGGGTGTCAGTGGCGAGGTCACGCCACCCGAAACGGAAAGTGAAGGATCGAGAAGTGAGGGTGAGCCTGAGATAGATTTCAGGCCAGAGGAATTAGAAGGCGAAATTAGGAGCGTGAAGGAACAGGAAGCCGCACTTAGCGAGACGTTGAATGCGGTACATCCTGAAGTACCTGAGCAAGGAGATAGCTTGGCAGAGGCGTTGAACGGAGTTGAGCTTGATTAATAGCGTGGAGCGAGGGTGGGTAATGATCATGAAATGCTTTGGAGTTGAGGGTGGCATGATGTGGCAGGTTCACATCTACGGCATAATGAGCATTAGACAGCTTTGTTGGCTGGTTTCCTGGAGGCGTTTAGACAGGATATACTCCCTGCATGATTTTCAGAAGCGAACGAAAGATTAGTGGCGAGAGCTAGGACATAAATCGTAGAGCTACATATGAGCCTCTTAGGTCCTTTTGATCCCAGATGTGAATGATGCATTATTCATGCACGTAGTCTATATGTAGGCACTTCTTGATGCTGTTACTCTTTACTCAATCTGCTTTTGAGTGAGAAGAGAAAGCGTGCTCTAGAGTCTATAAGTTTAGAACGACACTATTAATAACGTGTTCAATTCCTTCACTCACTCTCGGTGACCAAAGGAGCGGAGGTGGGGAATCGGCTATTGATCTTTGAACAAGAATTCAACCACAGATGAGACCCGAACTCCCTGCTAGTAATGACATGACAACGAAAGAGATATATCTTGATCCTTGATAAAAGGTCATTGAGTCTTGGACTATAACCCTGTTCAATCTCCGAGCAACCTAAGAACGGACATCCAATATTGCAATAAGTATGCCAGTCACTACTCCCTCTTTCGTTCTCACTTAACCCCCTTCTGAAGTTCTCTTAACCAAGAAGTACCTCCGTCAGAAATAACAATTAAAGCTAACACCCTAGGCTCGCACCAAAAGGTCGTCCTATGTAAATCCAAATAAGCATTTTTCTCTTCCGTCGACTTCAAACAACCACCTCGGGGAGTGGTTTTCTAGAGATCCACCTCAGAGCTTTGGGTTCTGGGCTGGGCCTGAGTTTTTTGCCATCTCCTTCTTTAATTCTAACGGATCTTTTTGTAATTGGGAACCTTCTTGCCGGCATTGTTACTATGGAAAGGTTCGGTTTTTTTCCAATATTTTGGGATTCTTTCGCTTAGACAGCTTTGCTTGTTCATCAAACAATTTTCGAGTTTGTAAAGCCTGCTTTCTTTTCTCCTTACTTGTGTACTTTGTGCTTGCTTCATGCAGAGTCTTTACCTTGGAGACTTTCGGATCATAGATTTGCGTGCCTGCGCCTGCCTTTGCTTAGTCCAGAGAAGACATGCTACCAAACATTTCTTTACAACCCTATACGGTCCCCTTTGTTGGTGACCGTCATATCAGCTGTCCTTACTATCGCTAACACTCATCGTCACTCATGGGCACGACTAGTCCATCTCCCTGGACAAGACGTGGCAGAGTTGCCCCGCTCTAGAATTGCGATATGCGACAAAACTTTTAGTTTAGATCACAATTCAGAATGTCTATCATTCACTCTATTCATGTAGGCAATAGCTCTTAACGTAGGAGTTTTGTCGCATATCGCAATTTAAAGTGGGGCAATTCTCGCAAATGTCAAAGGCATGGTCACTTGCTGATAGAGTCACTTTTACGCTCTTATATTGTGATTTTGCCTTCTCATGTCTCTTATTCTTATGATTTGTTGTATGTTGTGAATAGATAATAGCTTGAAGACCACTTTTATACTAGTAGATCCGTGCTTTAGTTGTGTTGATGTCTCTGTACTGCACCAAAGCGAATAAGAGGAGGGTTTACGGGGGTGTTTACTCGTCTTAAAGATTGAGCCCAAGACACTATGATCAACCACACAAAAGATTCACTTCTCGGATCAAGGACTAGCCCTAAACTACCGTCTCACAACAGTATATGTACTCGGCTACATTTTTCTTCTCTGCCCCTCTTCTTTATTATCTTTGCGGGAGTCAATGAACAGTGCTCGGACGTTTGGGATCACTACCAGATGCTGGCCGCGGCGTTCCACAGTGGTACTTCTCAGAATGGTATCCAACATTCGCAATATCTCTATATATCCGCGACAGTCGCTCCAAACCACCGTCAATGCTGCTTTGACCGTAGAGCCGAAGAATGACGGTGGATGTTTTTTTGTAGCAACAACTGTTTAGTTCTCATCCAATTATTGTTTCGTTCAGTAACAGCGATGATCCACAGCTATTGGCCTGCTAAGGCAATAGTGATTTCGAGTCTGCTAGTTCCAACTGAGACATGATTCATTCACCACATGCAACAAAGCATAGAACCCAAAAGTACAATACAGGAATATAAAAGTGGGTATATGCTCTGCGATATGCAACAAAGACTGGACAGTAAATTCACCATCCTACTTCAAGCATCAGCGTTATTGGCAAGAAATCCATTTACGTCCAAATCGTGCGGAGCTTGGAAGCAATTGCGCAAAACGCGCTGACAGCGCAGACAGCGCAGACAGCGCAGGTAGCGCAATTCGTACAACTTAGTACAATACTAAATAACCCTTTCCGCCCTCTCAAATTTCCCAACACTAAAAGTCCCAATAAAGCAAAAAGCTACACTCTTTCTCAACTCCATGATCCCCACTAATCCACATCACCTCTCGAATCCAACACATCATTACCATGAGACTTTGCCTTTTTCGCCTGCTCTTGTGATGATCGTCTGCGACGCACTTTGGACAGTACTCCTTATATGACTCGTGTTTTTCTTCGACACCTCTCGCGTCGCAGTCTAGGTCGTCATGGCATGGTTTAAAGCCGCTGTTGACCTTATGCCTGCAGGACTTGTAGAGGGTTATGAATTGTTGGCACATTTTGGTAAGTGCTAAAACGAATGTGGTTTGTGTTCTAGTTGGGGATTGTTGAGTTGAGGGATAAACTGGCTGAACGAGAGACAGAAGCTGGTGGTCGATTGGCGTTCCTTGGTGGGTGGGAGGGCAAGATTTTATAGATGGATCAACAGCGGAGATAGGCTTTGCGAATCATCCATCTATAGCTAGACCTTGACTCTGTAGGTGACTAGGAATTATTATTCTAGCAACAATCTTGCCTTATGAATAAAAGTGGACACTTGCAATGGCTGATCGAAACAAGATGGCTGGAGTGTAGTACACACTTACCAACAAGTTGGTCTCCCTAAAAAGGGTAGGCACTCACAACACGAGATGACACGGATTTGAAAAGTTCCATACTTCATTCTTCATTCAAAATCATGGCTATACCAAGATCTCGACTACCCCCACCATTCGCAAGCTCCTCTCGTTTCCGTCGTCTCCGCTCCCTCCTCAGATCACTCAACTTCGTCTGTTTCATCGCATCCCTAATAGCAGCCTCGACCTCTTCAGCCTCACTCAACTTAACCTCCCTCTCCCTCCCATCTCTCATAATTTCTCCTCCATTTCTCCTCCGCGTTTCCTCCTCCACCCCATCACAAACCAACATCGACCCCCTTATCAGAGCAGGAAAATCCAACTCACTCCCCTCATCAATCCTCCCCCTCGTCACCCCCGCCAACGTAGCCGCCCCTCCAACAGGTTTTCTCCTCACAGCCACAATATTCGCCGCCACCTTCCCCCTCACCACAACACCGCTCTTCCCCTCCCCAACCATCGTCTCCCTTCGCACCGCAAATGTCTTATTCCGCGTCCGCATAATCCTCTCGTACCGCTCCTCTTCCTCCTCCAACCTCAGATTCGAGCTAAACAACGCAAACCTCGCATTCTCGCCCGGCATCGGCGGCACCACGTCCTCGCATTCAGTACCATACGGTCCAAGATCCCCTTCTAGCTCGGCTAACACCGTTCTCTGACTCCGTTGACTAGCCCGTGAGGCTCGTCGCCGTCGATACTCGTCCTCGAATCTCCGTCTTCGTTCATCGTTGTCCCTGGTGCTCAACGTCGGACTTTCACCCGAGGAAATCACAAGCCCATTTCTCGAGCCCGCCGTACCGGGCCGAGCGCCTTGATTCGCGAGCCCCTTTTCGGCTTCACTGCTGTTGTTGCTCTTTCGACTAATGCTCCCCAGTCTGAGGAAGTTGAATTCAGCAACCACGCCATCGTACATTTTTCGGAGGCGGGAACAGTCGCATTCGGTGCTTATATGCGTGCACCTTGTTGGCGGGCATGGACTCGAAGCTGGAGCAGGCTGACGACTTCGACGGTATCGTGTCCAGATCCAGAAGAGCAGGACGACTGTCGCGAGAGTGATACCGGCGATAATCAGCATGTAAGTCATTTTTGCCGTCTCGCTACTGGAATCGGCCACTGAAGTGCTGGTCGCTGGCCCTAGACCATTATTGCTCGATGTAGTGGTTGGGACTACGCTGGAAATTGTGCTGGTCGCGGATTCTGAGGAGGCGGTAGCTTCAGCAAGCAAAGCGGCGAATTGTGGGAATGCTGGAGGTGAGGTGACGAGCGGCGCTGCACCTGCTGTTAGAGTCCTAGTTTGAGTTGCTAGGAGTGCGAAGGCGCTTAGTGCTGCTGATTCGCATCCTGGATCATTGATACCACCATTGCCTCCTATTTCTCCTATTGTCTCTTCACCAGATGAAGACAAGCATGAAATTGAGCGGCTGGGTGTCGCAGTAACGACTGAAACAACAGTTGTTGAAGGAAATATGTATATAGAGGATTGGTCAGACGGTGTTGGTGGTGTGAAAGGGAGTACAGATGAGGTGCCGGTCATGTTTTGGAGACTGAAGAGCGAAGAGTAGTATGTCGTCGAGATTGAAGTATTGGATATGAGAGAACCTTGGATGCCCAGGAAGCTGTGAGGTCTTAGTCACCCTGGTTGTTCCATTGTTCGGAAGAGCTTCAAGATAGAAGTAGCTTGCAGAGAAGCAAAACACAAAGTTGGCTACAATTGAATACATTGGAACTCACTATGCATTTGTTGCGTTGGGAGCGAGGGCACGCGGGAAAATGATGCTAGTAGAGACTGAGGAGGGATTCGTGCTAGACAAATTCCACGCATATATTGTGAGCTGGAGAACATTCGTCAGTAAGTCATTTACGCAGACCATCGACGAAGAAGCTTTAGAGAAAATAAGAATCCGCTCTATAAGAGAAATAGCTTACAGGAGAATTGTATGTACCGGTGAGAAAAAGTAGGGAGAAATTCTTCATCTGACCAAAATATGGCACACTTAGGGAATCATAGACCGAGACTATGAATGGGACGCCTCCCATGATGATTTCACCTCCAATCGGTTGGCTGAAATACACTTGCGCCGACGCTGAAAGACATTGCAACACAACAACAAAACCGACCCTTAAAAGCATTTCGAGGTCAAATGATACAAGAATGTAATGTAAAATGGGCTCAAGTGATCCAAGACATCAGAGCAGAGAACGAAGGAAAGCCACGCCATGCCACTAGCCAAGCAGGTACTTACCTTTAGATATCTACCCACGATAAGGGTATGTCCACGGCAGAGCAAACCGAAAGAAGAAACGAGGCCCGGAAAGCTTAAGCGGAAACCACCCCCTGCCTGTTACCCCTCGCCGCTCGCTTGACCTCCCGAACTCTCGGTTCACAAACTTGTTCAGACAACTGCGCCTCGTTTCTGTTGAAAAGCCTCGCTTCAAGTCTCTAACGTTTAGCGCACGGTCTATCATATTGTATAAAACGCCTTGCCGACGCATAAACCGTTGCAAGAAAATTCCGAAAAGTGAGTTTAATGGACCTAGATCCTGCACCATTGGTCTCTTGAACGATGTGATTGTCAAAGTCTCCACCGAAAGTTCTGAAGATCACAGGGAGGTAGATCCTTCCCCAGTAGGATTTGCTTGCGATAGCTGAGCTGGAACCCCTCCATCAAGGAACGGGACTGTCCACCTGTCATCCGATGATTAAATTGGCTTGGCGGTTCACTTGAAGCTGCCTCAGCTCCTGGAATGATGTTTTGTTCTTCCCAAAGAGGATCTTCCGCCCCGGCTCTTGGGCAATCCTGCTCCCGCTGGATGTGCCTTTCTTGGTATATCCGACGCTATATAGGGTGTTCGATTGGATGAGTACACAGTTTCGAGTTGTGATCTACAAAGAAGGATGTGGGATCGAAGTCACTCAGTGATATGTGCTGGTGGGTCTAAGCGGCAATCCTGCTTTCTTGTAGGCGGAATCGACCATCTCCATCTGTTTGATAGAGTCCTCGCCGGACATCCAACATCCAGACCCTTCTCTACCCTTGACTCGGTTGACGAACTGTTCGAGTTGGTGTCTGTACGTGGACCACGACTTTTCGCCCGACCTCGGCCCTCCGTTTCCCTCCTCCCATGTGTATGCTTTCTTGTGCTCTTTGTGGGTCCAAGTTCTGACAATCTTCTTATCCTTGATGGTTCGGATCGTGTGTTGCTCCTCGATATCGATACGATGCCAGAAGGTCGGAAACATTGGGTTCAAGATTGTGACAGTTTTGACCATCACATGTTCCCGTCCTTCCGCGTGTCCTAGACCCGCATCCTCTATCACAAGTTCTTTATGGACAACCTTGCACAAAGGCATTGTGAATTTGGGCAAGCCAGCTGCACCCCTAGCACTCAAGTCACAATCAATTGTACCAACGCCTCCGTTTGGGAAACGCCACTTTGCCGTCATAGCATGATCACATTTCTGGTCGTAACCTTTCGGCATCATTCTTGGAGTGGCTTCGAGACATTCCTCTGGTTCCGTGCCGAAAATTTGTCTTAGATCAAGAACTTTGTATGTGCCAAGATCCATGAGTGTGCCTCCAGATAGGTCATATTGAAATCTTATGTCGCTGTTTGGTAATATCCCTCTAGGTACGTGGAAAATCGAGTATGCAGACACTATATTCTTCGGATCGAGGCAGGAAAGAAACGTCTGCCATGCGGGATGAAAGAGGACATGAAACGCTTCGAGGATGACAGGAGGTTTGGCTTGTTGAAGAACTTCGTGGCGGAAGAGAGAGTTTGCCTCGGTGGCATTGGATGTCGAGGGCTTCTCGAGAAGGACATGTTTGCCTGCTTTGAGAGCCTTGAGGGCCCACTCATAATGGAGACCATTGGGTAGAGGTATGTATACAGCGTCGATGTCTGGGTCGTCGATCAACTCTGGTGAAATGGATATTAGCAACTGCACAATGTCCCAGCTCAGAATACATCAATCTCAGCACTCCAAAGTCCTATCTCGAAACACATAGTATCCAAGCATCCAACCAGACATTCGCGGAGCATTTCCCTCAGAACCAAACCAGACAATCTCCTCCCCACAGCAGCAGAACCGACAATCAGAACCAACATACCTTGATACCCCCCAAAAACCCTCTCAATCCCATACCTCCTCGCATACACCCTCGCCCTCTCCGCATCCCTCGCCGCAACCCCCACAATCCTAACCTCAGGATGCGTCTTCGCAGGTCCTATAATCGCATTCGGTCTATCACCCACCTCATTAGCACCCCTCTCTCTCCCCTCTTCCCCCATTACTTACGCGATCTTCGATGCGCCGAGTAATCCGAATCTAATCGGGGTTTCGACTTTAGTTGCAGGCGAAGAGAAGAGGATGTTGTATAGGCGGCGGAGGAAATCCATCGTTGTTTAATGGTGATGATGGTGGTGATGGTAGAGATTGGTTGATTGTGAGAGCGAGGTGAGGTTTGTTTCTGGGGATTGTTTCATGCTAGATTTGCACCGTGCGCGAGGTTGGCGGATGATTGGAAGTGTCCAAATTGCGATTGAATAGAGGATGGAATTCCTTTTCAATGGGGAGTTGAAGCTTGATGGTACGGAGAGCTTCTGTGGGTCTTTTTTGGAGGCTTGTAGCCTTACATGTGCAGCTTACGATGTGCCGAGACAAGGTCTTGCCGGGGTCAAATTTCCGATTCTTAATGCTTTTTCGATGAGTGAGTATAAACATATCAATTTGCTTTTTGATAGTATCAATCATCACAGTTCGATTTCGAAGTCGAAATTGAGTAAAGGATTACTTTAGTAATAAATAGCCCTAGTGAGGGCCTAGCTCTAGCTAAGCAATCTGCTCTGGTATCATTCATTAACTCAATCAATACTTCTTATCCTCCGTCACTGGTTGATCATCAACATTATCATCTATGAAAGCAGTAGGTCTGCTTGTGATGTTCTGTCCCTTCAAAAGACCAAGCTGTCTGATATCCCAGCCTTGCTTCTCGAGGTACTCTCTGAATTTGATATCTTCCTTGGTGATGGTATCTTGATCGATGTTTGGAAGTCCGAACAGGACCAAGGCGGCCATGAGGACGCAGAAGCAAGAGGAGACGTAGAAGGGATATTGAGCAGTGGCGTTCTTATTGCTTCCACCAGCCTTCTCGATGTATGGGAAGATATATGTACCCACGAAGGCTCCAATCTTGCCGAAAGCTGCGGCAATAGCATAATATTGTCCACGAACACCAGTTGCGCAAGTTTTGGAAGCTACGAGACCAATGTTGTCTCCCGGACCGACTTCTCCAAGGGAAAGGAAGATTCCGTACACGACTGCGAACCCGGCTACGTTCTCTGGCTTCGCGAGATGGGGGTAGAGTCCAGCCATGATGAAACCAACGAGAGCTTGTGCTAAGACACCAGATGCCAAGGCATATCGAGGACCGATCTTGTCTGAGTAAATGGAACCGAGCATGGCACCGGGAACATAGAACAGGTTGATAACTGTATTCCACCCGAATGTTTGGGTCAGTGGGGCTCCGCTTCCGTAGATATTTTTCAGGATCGTGGACGAGAAGATGCTGAATGAGTAGGTTGAGAACTACAAATGTCAGTAAAACTTCAACTCAAAAACAGCCGCTTATACTCACATCGTACAGAAACCAGATAGCGCTGACAACGAGTAATCTCCACCAGTAGTACTTGATGACGAGCTTGTACGGGATCTTGACATATTTCATGCTCTCCCTGCAATGTTGTTAGATGCGACGGATCCACGAAAATCGGAGGACGTACTTCTTGAATTCCTCTGGCTCCTGAAGCTTCAATCGAAGCCAGAAAAGAATGAGTGGCGGAACGACGCCCAATCCGAGGGAGATTCTCCACGCAGCACGCAAGTGCTTGTCCCCGCAGATAACAACCATAAGGTATGGGACGAAGGCGCCAATCACAAAGCCCCAATCAATCATAACATTGGTGAACATGATGAACCACCTGTTGCGGGTACCAGACTTCAGCTCGCCGGTAGCTTCACTGCATGCCACAGATCCAGCTGGATATTCTCCTCCAATACCTATACCGACCAGGAAACGATACGCTGTCAGCGCAGCGAACATGCCTTGAAGACTGCCGTGGTATCCATATGAACCAGCACCTAGAGCTGCAAAAACAATGAGGATGACTGTCGAGACGAGCAGAGAGTTTTTGCGACTCCATTTGTCACTTGTGTATCCGAAGACCAATTGTCCCACCACGGTACCGGCGAAGGTAATGGCAGAAATGTTTTTCAGGGCATTGGAATCGGTATATTCGGTACCGTAAATCGTCCCAAGCATCGTTGAGACGGATCCAATAACCTAATTAATGTTAGCAGTTAGCAAGCTTAGATTGCGAATCCACTGACGTTATTGATGTATCCATCTGAGAACAATCCAGCACCGCAAGCCATGACAGGCCATAGTCGCTGCCAGCGGCTTTTTGGGATATCTGCCAATGGATCTACATTTTGCACGTATGGTTGCCCAGAGCCATTGTCGACCGGTTGATCGACGGCTTCTGATTCCTTCTTGGAGCCGAACATCGTTGCGACTGTTGCGCCAAGTTTAAGAAAATAATAGCTCCTCCTCGTAGGACTCGAAGGATATATAGATACGAGGCAAGTCTACTGGGGAAGGGAAAGAGAAGGGGGCACAAGAGGGCAATGGATACTTATGTAGTTTCTGGGGCCCGATAACTTGGGACCATGGATTAGCTGCTATCTTCACCTAACGCAGAGCTCGCTGCAGGGTCGTCTGGTCGCGGTCGCCGATGGAGAAGCTTCTTAGAACAAACTAGTTCATCTCAATACTCCAATGGAGAATGGGGAGGATCCATGCATCCATGTCCACTGGGAAGTTGGTCGAGAGCTCCAAGCCAGGATTGCGAAAATTATGTGGGCTGTGGATCAGGCCTGTGTTCAACTGCGAGTGCAGCTGGTCTCGCTGGTGTTACCTTGCGACAAATGAGGCAGGTGAGGAACGATGCAGAACAAGCAGCTTGCCTTGCATATGATCCTCGCTGCCTCGCTGCCTCGCTGCCTCGCTATCTTCTCCGGTCTTTGATTCCTCTCAGCAACTCTTTTCAAGCCTCACCTCGTCATAATTACCGTTGTGGCGCGTGACCATCCACCACCACAATCATCTTTTGCCGGCGACACTTGGCCAATCAGGTTGGATGCTCAGGTACTCATGCCTGAGATATACGGTTGCACGCGCATGTGCCGTCGACGGCTTTCCAGGTTTCGCTTGAAATGCCAGAAACCTTCTCCTCTCCATGCTTTTCAAGCTTACAATATCCCCCTTGGAAAGGAACATTTGAATTATCCGATGGGTTTGTCTGTCCCAAAGACTCAGCACACGAGCAGTTGTTAAATCGATCGTTGTTCGATCGGATACTTATCAAATGCAAAATGCATGCGAACTGCGAGCTTGACCCCACACAGCCATGTCAGGTTGTCAGCGCCGTTTCCGTCACGCAGGATGCTTGAAACAAGCCCCCCGTACTGTACGATTCGCGCCGAATCTGAGCTTGCCCCAGCCTAGTCCCGCACTGATAAGCTGGGCTAAAAGGCTTGAATGTTCATTTCACCAGTGATACCCAGCTTCTTCTGCACGCCCAGCGGCCGATAACACCAGATAGCAGACAACCACGCTGCAGGAAGATCGATCCTTGCTCGACTACCTCGGTGAAGCCGACTTTCTTATCCAGAAAGCCGCCCCGATCGAGCGACTCGACGACGATATGGCGTGGAATCGATGCTTGTTTCCAGCCCGTCGATGAATTACGGCGCTTCTACTTGGATAGCGCAGCCGTCTCCCGCTCAAAACGACGATTGCCAAGACATCGCACACGTGCTCGAGATCCAGAAAAAAAATCCTTCGCACAGGAACACGATTCTGTCGTGGCACTGATCACAACAGAGAGTCCGCGACACAGATTTTCGAGGTTAAATTTGCTGTTTGGGTCTAGACAGGCCATTTGGGATCTTCTTCCATGCTTAGCACAGCCTAACAAATCGCTGGGGGTCAGCACGTGTGCATCGTCCTTCTCGACCACTGGCTACATCTTGTATCCGTTATACAAAATCCTCACGCGTCATGGAATAACTTTCGAGTGCGTTTGTGGGATGATCAGGGATGTGACAAGCTAATATTCGACGTCGTAACTGCCACCAGGCTACTTCTGGACTCCATGAGACTACGCCTTTCTTTTGTACCAACGAGCTCTGACACAAATCGTGAGAGTGAGAAGGACGTGATGCATTCTGCTCAGCAACTTTGTTGCTTCTTGTCTGGGTACTCATTCGCCAAGCCTATCGTTCTTATTATCCCAAGTGGATCAATGCCGGTATGGTAATCCCAGTCGCCTGATCGAGAACCATTGCGGTTGTGGATCTTCTTCAGCCTTGTGGACAATCTTCAAGAGTGACTTGCTACTCTTCTGCTATGTCCCAGCTTATTTAACGCAACGATCTGACCCTCGGCCTTCCGTGTTGGCATCCAGAATGTCGAACGGGAAAGGCCAACCCGTCATGGTCTGCTGTAGTTCACAGTAAGCCCAGATCTGGGACTTTCACGCATCGCAACCTTCGAACACTTCGACAGCCCGGGCCATTCTCGGCTTCCATTCCTCTGGTAGAAGTCTCATCAGAGCTCTGAATTCCCTGCCTGTGGTTCGAGGTAGCCACCACACCTGCTGGCTTTGCTGTACAATCATGAAAAAATAGCCCACTATGGTCAAAGTCCTGGGATCGTGGTCTAACAACATCTCAACAAATCTCGGAGGAACCTTGGCCGTGAACTTAAAACAATACTCTTTATTCGGATTGTCCTCGATCAGCGATAGCCAGTAGATACTCTGCACGTACGCTTCCAATGTTTCTTGGTCCAGAGAACTTTTGTCCAGGCCTTCAAGAAGAAAATCATATCGCTTCGAGTTTTCCAAAGCTGTAGAGAAATCGTCGAGGAAAGCTTGGCGTTCAGCTTCAAGGAGCATTAGAATTTCTTCCGAACGTATGAGATCCAATGATGACCTGACAATAGATCGTACCCCCAGCCATGGTCGGAACCAGTGCATGGGAAGTGATGCATACTCTCCGGGAAACAGATATTCATGACTGCTAACAGCAACAAAGGCAATCAGCGAGCTCCCAGCAAACAATATATCAGCATTCTCATCGTTGATACCCTTTTGGAGTTGCTGGGAATGAGCCTTGATTGCTGATGTCATGTAATCGTGCGAAGCAATAGAGAGCTGTCTATCAGTTCCGCCTTGTAGCTTCCTTAGGTTGAAGGCTGAGAATCCAAGTAGCGCATCCATCAAATCCGGATTAGACATAGCGAGACCTGTGATCCATCTTGCGAAGAAGTCTTTTTTCATGGCTTGTGGATGATTGTCGTTTCCGATCAGGCGGAATATCGTGCTGGAAATCATAGTTGTGAAGTGATGCATGAGCCGAAGCTCGAGTAACCGATCTTGGGGGGTGTTCATAGTCATCGCCCAAAGATTGCTTGGTTTTGAATCTCCAGCTTCGCGTGTATTTTCAGAGGCTGGAGTTGAAGATGGATTCGACCCGCCTAGATCATGACTTTGAGACCATCCTCTTGAGTTTAAACTCGTATCATGAGAGGCAGTTCTCTCCAACGAAGGAATTCTAACTGGCGACAACGACTGAGGCAAAGATCCAGGGCTTTTATTATTTGTCGGTATGCTGAAGTCGCATTGCAAGCCATACTTCTTGCAGCCACCACAGACAGGATGGATTTCGTCACACGAAAGAGATATTAGCAAGTAATATGTCCATTGAGATCTGGGGTACTCACTTTGGTCCTCTTCAATTTGCAAGTTCTGCAACCTAAACGGCTTTTACGATGTGGCCGACGACAAGGCATCGTGACATAAGCGGACGAATCGAGAGCGCAAGGATAGAAGAGTAATACAACGAATGCTGACAGTCGTGCTCAATAACGTGACGCACAATTGCTATTTGAAGCTATTTGAACGAGATGTTATGTTGAGATGGAACAGTGACACTCGACAGCTGACGAAGCCTCATAGATTCACAAGTTGACTTATGATGCTCCGCCCCATTGAGACATGATATGATTGCTTCATTGGTCATCGATACGATGTCCTTGGCTATCGTAAGTAATCCGGATGAATATATCCCGATTCCGCGTGCATAAACTTTTGTACTGCACAATGAAAAAACAGAATACAAATCACATAAGAAGAAGTAATTGATAATAAGTTTTACCTACATGCAGGGGAGACAAAAGATTGCATGGTGAAAACCGTTTGAAGCTACGTAGAAAATTTATGAGGATAGAAGACCATTTAGCGTACCGTAGAAATTTAGCCCCTCCCACATCGCGTCTTCCCTAACTTCTTCGACGCGTTCCTCTTCGCGACAATATCATCACGACGACACGACCCTCACAAACTCCTTCACCATGGCTTCCGTCAGCAGACGCCTGGTATCTCGCTCACGCCTGAACGAAGAATCATCTCCAGCACCTCGCGGGCGTGGCAGAGAATCGCGAGCACCTGCTCGGCAGCAACATGATCTCCCACCATACGAGCCACCAGCCTGCCCTCTGACCGTAGATGCCAAGCGCAAGCTCGATGATCTCAGAACGAATCGCAGTACTGCGAAATATGCGAATCACATCAAGACCGCGTTGAAGACGGTATCGGAGTCCGCAGCGAGATGCAACGAAAGACTTACGGATCGCAAAGAGGCAGTCGCCAAAGCGGCCGAGAAGAGGAAGGGCAAAGGCATCGAGGATGCAAATAAGTCGCAGGCGGAAATCGATGAAGAGAATTATGTGAGGCAGTTCAGTAAGCAGGTCAAGACGGGTACGGAGAAGGCAGACATTGCTGTTAGAGAGCTCATTGATCTGGGAGATGAACTGGCTGTCCAGGACACTATTCTCAGAGAGGTGGATGAGAATATTACAGCCGCTCCTGCTCCTCGCCCAGCTAGACGACAGAGGGACGGTGAAGAAGAAGATGCCGAGAATGAAGCTGATGCTCCCGCTGATGATCCGGAAATCATGAGTGCGATCGAGCTGCTGAAGAAAGCCAAGGAGGATTATGCTAGGCAATATCAAGCAAAGAGCTTGATGCAACGGTCAGTACTTTGGTATCTGGGTTGATATGCTCTAATGTCCAGTGCAGGTATGCCGACCACAATGACTATAAGGGTTTCAAACGGCAAGTACACGATGCACAACATACTGGACAAGACAAGCCTCCACTCCCACGTGCCAGTGCTTGGTTTCCAGAGGAGAATGGTGGAAATGCCGAAGAAAGTGATGACGAGGTCATAATTGAGAGTTCTACGACTGCTCTCAAGTGTACTTTCACTCTGCAATATTTCGAAGTACCCTATAGCAACAACAAATGCCCCCATACATTTGAAAAAACTGCTATTGTCGACTATATTAATGTCCAAGGGACAACGTTTGTGGAAGCAAATGGTCAGCGTGGTGTAAAGAAAGCTAATTGTCCGCAGTCAGGTTGCGACAAGGTATGTCCTAATTAAACATTTTCCAATTTGATTACCGCTAAACCCAGGCAGATGCTTTCCCTTGATGACTTCTACGAGGATCGAATCATACTTAGACAAGTACAGCGTGCTAAGAACGCCAATGCTCGACAAGATTACGACGATGACGATGATGATGATGGCGAGGACCATGCTGCTCCTCGTGGGACTCAACGCAATCGGCCGGAACGGATTGACAGTGATGATGATACCATGGATGTGGACGAAGGTACCGCTCGCAAGAACTTGGCAAAGTTCAAAAGGGAACAGACTCGTGGATTAAGCATTGCACCAAGCCATGCCGCAGCTGAGTCTTCTGAAGATGAGGAAATTGAGGTGATGGACATGGCGTAGTGGTACTGGGCTGATTTGAATGGCGTTGTGAGTGGCAAACTCATTGGCGTTGGCAAATGGGAGTGGTGTGGTGTTAGAGGTATGCGCAGCATTGACGTGTGTGTAATATCTGACATCTGCTACTTTGTAGAACTATTATTTCGAGGTACTTCCATGAGCTACCTAAAACTGTAGTGACAACAACCCTTCTCGCCAGAAGGACAGTCCGCAAAACAAACCGAGGAGCGTTGAACTAGATGGGTATTACCGCCAGAAAAGAAAGACCACTTCTTCCCTCAACTCCTCTCCGCAACCCCAACCCACTGTCCCCACCCCAAAACCTTCCCCTCCACCCCCCTCAAAAGCTCATCCTTCTTCGCAACAGCACTCAATCCCTTCCCCTCCACGCCCACACTCTCACTCAACGCCACCACCTCATAAAAATACCTATGCGGTCCATGCCCCCTCAACGGCCGCGGCGGCATATACACATTGCCCCTCATATTCTTCGCATATTCTATTAACAAATCAGTATACACTTTGGACAGACCTCTCCGGCTTTTAGGACGAATACAAAACACAAGTAGAAATAAACAAACATACTAAACCCGCCCCTCAACCTTCCCCCTTCTTCCCCTTTCTCTATATCCTCGGGCCCCAAACTCGTTTTCTCTGGCGGGATGTGATAGAACGCCGCGTGCATAATCGGGAATCCGAGCGGGGCATCCGCGTCTTCGATTAAGATCAAATACTCTTTCACCGACGCAGCGGAGATGGAAGGAGGCAGTGTCCAGGATAGCGAGGGAATCAGGTTCTTGCCTTCACCGGCGATGTAGTCGTTGTCGAGGCGGGAATCGGAGGGCCCGCAGGAGGGGGAGGTTACGGTGAGGGTTGGGGTCGGGTGGGATGTGAAGGCGGGGGTGGAAGGGAGGAGTTTGGAGTCGTGGGCGCGGATGGATTTTGTTAGGTAGGAGATGGTGCGTTCGAGGTATTCCATTGTGGGGGATGGTTTTTTTTTTTGGAGGGGGAGGAAGTGTGGTTTGGTGATATGTAGGGTGCTTGTTGGTTTGTTTTGTGAGGTTTTTTTCTAAGTGATGGTTATGGAAAATGTTAGGGAACAAGAAATTCCAAATGCCTTTATTTTCTGAAAGCATTTGAGAAGCAGAAGTGAAGAGAATAAATCAGGGACATATAAACAAGACTCGGCAGCCTCTCGCTGAAGGGTCAGCCTGACTCGGGCCGCTTGCGGTGAAGTTCCTGATTCGCGGAATCAGGGGGAACCACTTATATCCGAGTAAGCGAATGAAGGGGGTATTGTCACGTGGGTTGATGAAATACACCTACCTGACTACCTGATTCCTATTATAAGTCGAGCAGGCAAAGAGATATTGCAGGATCGGATTAGGCTAAGCTTTGGTGCAAAAGAAAAAACAATCTGTAACCTCTCTTGAGGTTACTAGTCATATTTTATATGACTGTCTCATACCAATCGTCTGCTCCACCTAATCGTCTGCCAGTTGCCAATTGGCTGACATGATTTCGGCGAATTGAACGCTAAACGACCGTCTGTTGCCGGTCTTTGTTTGGCGATTCATAGCTTAATGTGCAGTCATGATTCTGAAAGTGAAAGTGAAAAGGAGTGTCCTTTCTTGTCATGGAATCTTACCTGGCTCTAAACTGCAACATGCCGACACTGCTTGTCTCATTCCATACCATCCATGAAATAACAAGAGGATGTACCACTTGAGCATGGAACATTGTTCTCAGCTAAAGTTGCTACATGATTACGATTATTGTCTCCATTCATGGCTTACATTTTAAAGACAAAAATAAGTTGAACATTTGATCTTAAACAAAGTCTATTCTATAACTTAACATAGGGGAACAAACAAGATACAGACAAGTGTGTTCTATTTCTGATCTTCCAGACATGCCTTAGCATCACGACCCACAAAATCTTTCTTCTGCACGAAACATATACTTGATCCCAAGTCCCTACATCCTGCAAATTACCCTCTCATCCATTCGATCCATTAACCCTCCAAACAAATCCCCTTCACGCCATCACCATATTCTCACTCTGCATCTTCTCCGCCTTAATCGTAGCATAAGACTGCCTAAACAAGAACCCCGGATGAAAAACATTTAAAGCAACCACTGCAACAACACACATCGCACCATCCAATATAATAAACGCAATCTGATCCTGCATAATCGGATTACTCCACCCTCCCGCCATCTCAGCGATTCTATACACGCATCGGATGAAGATGGTACAGTACGCAACCCCGACAGCGATCAGGAAGCCCTTGAACTGTTTCGAGGCTCGCAGAGCTTCGGCCGATGGGGCGAATTGGCCTCTGTGGCGACGGACACGGAAGAAGACGTCGACGGCCATGAGGCCGAAGATTGCCAGGGTGACGACTTGGGAGACGAGGCCGACCATCATCACGTCGTTGCCGATGGTGACGCTGTTGCCTCCACCCGCTGCCATTGCTGCTCCGGCGCTGTAGAAATGTTAGGTTGTGTGCTTGAGTTTGTGTAAGGACCAGCGAAGGTGGGAGGTAGAGGCATGCGAAGTGAAGAGATCAAGTCTTACGTTTGGATGAGGATGCCCATTACATCGCAGAAGATGAAAATCCTCGTATACCATGTTGGTTTAATGCGTGAGAACTGAGCTCCATAAACGATGATACTGTCTAAAATTAGCTTCTCCTTGTACTGAAAAGGATGACTTATGCAAGGCAAGCATTAATGTCTTACATATGCTTCAAGGTAAGATATATTCCTCCAGCGATGAATGCAGGCGCCACAGTCAAACAAACTAATTGTATACCGAGACTATTCAAGAACATCAGCCACAGTTCGTGCAAGTTCCATTGAACAATAGCATACTATGCCTTGCTAAAGGGATCATTGCGCATAAGTAATCGACCAATATATCCTGAGCTCCGTCAGCCAAAGGTTGCTTTTGCTCCAATATATTCAACATACCAATAACTTCAGTCATCGTTCCAACAACCAGAGCAACCATGAAAGTCCAAGCTCTCGATCTGGCGCCTTGGTACAGATGCGCAATCAACGACAGGCCAAAAACGATAACGAGGATAAGGTTGACGGGCTTAGACGGATAATACCCATACACCGACTCCTTGACCGTGCAAGTCTCCTTGGTGCAGTCGTGGTGGACATTATCCGCTCGCTCGAGCAGGAACGATACAATCTGATCCATAGTCGCGAGATCAAAGTACAAAGCAATAGAGAATTGATAAAGGGAAGATTATTGTTAATGTGAGAAGAGAAAAAAGAGTTCAGACAAGAACATCTCGTTCTTTAAGACATGGCTTGAATCTCACTGCGCCTCGCGAGGGACGTGTCAACCTGTAGGTGCCTACCGTTTCCGTATTTTGCAGCTCATTGATTGAACCGTAATCCGTATTCCCAAGTATAGAGACGCGATAGGGGAAATTGGTGGCCAACAATAGAAGGTTCCGTATTTACACCACGCTGATTGGCGCGTATTTCCCCCTGACAGCTGAGCCCAAGATCTCAGCCCTCACTAATCTCATACCGGAAATTTAGACGAAAGTCCTCCCTGTTGTCGTGCCCCTATCAATTCTCGAGGTGTGTACCCGAAACATCGCCAAAAGCCCCGCATTCAAGCCTCAGCCTCCTCCTCTCACCCAACCAACCCATCCTAATGTCCTTCTCCTTCTCCATCCCCGAAACCTCATCCCCCAGCTCAGAGGAAGTCCTCTCCCTGCCCTCCTACGCCCAAAATGAACTCCCAGACCTGGACCTCCCAAAACTGATCTTGATATCTCACGCCCACTCCCCACCACTAAATCCGGCTCCCCAGTTGAGATTTGACTTGCGCAACCTGCCCAACCCGCCGAAACGCATCCGGGACGCGCATGTGGGCACCTCGAAGCGGCTCCAGGAGTGGATGGAGGCCGATCCGGCGTTTTTGGCTAGGTTAGAGGAGATCCGGGAGGAGATTCGGGAGGCGATGGATGGGCTTATTAGGAGGCATGAGAAGAAGGAGGTGTTGAGGGTGGATGTTGATGAGGAGCCGAAGGAGAAGGATAGGGGGTATGAGCATGACGAAGGGCCGGTGGTGAATGGGGATAGCCAGAAAAAGACGGAGGAGGATGAGTCGGGGTATAGACGAGTCTATAATGAGCAGGATTTTAGTGGGTTGGAGTTGAGGGTTGGAATCGTGTGTGCTATGGGTCGACATAGGAGTGTAGCGATGGTGGAAGAGCTGTCGAGAGTATCGTGGCCTGGGTGGGATGTAGAGGTTGAGCATCGAGATGTGGCGAAGAAGAGGGGTACGGGAGGAGGGAAGTCAGGTGGGAAAGGGAGTCGAGGAACAAGGGGGAGTTTTGCATCTTATTCAACGAACGATGACTCTGAGTAGAGCGACATCTTCATTCGGTCTTAATTAATCTCAATCGCATTGTAAACAGCAACGAAGAGAAGCATATGTATCATCTCTATAGCATTTCCTACACCAATTAAGCGAACACCTTTCAGTGTTTCGGTTTCCAGTTCAAAAAAGATCAACGACAGTTACAACAAATGGTTCATATTCCGGAACTCAGTCTACCACCCATGCTCCGAAACGCTCATCACTATTTGCAACAACGAAACACATTCCTTCAGTTTATCATCGTCGACAAGGATCCATCTCTGCCTCGACAATTCTTAGTATCCCGTGAAATGCGCAATGTGCGCATTCTGCGCGTTTCGCGCCGTTTGCGCTCCCCGCGGGATCCGCGCCCTGGATCTATATATGACCTACCTAACACTTATTATCTTGTCTTTCATAAGCTGATGTCCAAACTTCGAACCCGTCTTCATGAACCCTTGCACCTCCCAATAATTTCACGTCAACCAGTCGAATACACCAGCCACAGGTTTATGTAGCAGAGAACGAACAACTTCAAGACCTACATCTCGGCTAATCACTTCACAGCATAGGGTTTGACATCACATCCTAGTCTCAGGGTCCTTCTTCCTAGCATCGCTCACTAAGAATCTATTTACCTCCAGACCTCGCTTGAAGCGGACCACCAAGAAGCTCCCCAGATAGAATTGAAAGGAGAGTGAGGGTGAGTAGATGTATTTATTTATTTAATTGAACACCACGAACTCTTTTAAACACTATCCACCATCTTCACTCTTTACCAAACAAATCCTCCGTACTCGCCCTCTCCCTCTCCCCTCTCCCAGCCTCAATATCCACATTCTCCACCTCCTCAACAACACTCATCCCCATCTCCTTCACCTCCGCACAACCCTCCTCACCCAAAACCTGCACTACAAATCCAAATCAGCACTCCCTTCAAACCCCCAATAACATGAAGCTGACTAACTCACCAGTACTAGTCTCAACAGTAACAACCCCCAACGGCAACCTCTCCTCCTCCCCCTCCTCCCCCTCTTCCCTCAAATCCCGCGCCGAAACCATCGTCGTGACACCGACCTTCATACCCTTCCCCCCCAGACCCAATCCCCACTCACTTAACCCCAGCTCGTAGGCCTCGATATCGCATAACGGCGGTCGAGGGACGAGGCGTTTAGGCGGCGTAGGCAGGTAGGCGATTTCGTAGGGCGAGTCGGAGAGCGGGGAGGATGTTGATGTGAGGGTTGGGTGTTGTGGGCGAGGAGAGGGGGGCGTGGGTTGGGAGCGCAGGGAGGGGAGCGTCGATGCGTTGTCTTTGGATGTTATCCAGTGGAGGACGAGGACTGAGAAGAGGACTGTTTTGATTGAGTGTTAGTTTGGGTGGGAGGGGATGGGAGGGGAGACGGACTGTCGATGTTGCAGCACATGAGGCAGATCCAGCCTGGTTCGCCGTTCAGGACCATGACGACGGTGAGGTTGCTGTTGTAGCGGGTTAGTTTGAGGCGGGGTGGGAAGGTGGTGGGGGTACGTGCACGACGCTGGATGTGAGGGTACAGCAGCTTCCGATGAAGGTTCGGAGGGCGACGGTGCGGGCTTGGGAGTTTCGGTTGTTTTTGTAGGAGTAGAGGGCTTTGCTTGTTAGTGATGGCTGGGGGAAAGCCAAAGGGGATAACTTACAGCGTAAGGGGATTAGGAAGAGTGATGTGAGATAGACCTATATCTGTTGGTCGGATTCAGTTGTGCAATGAGGGGGTCCTTACGTTGACCAAGATATCGAAGCCGATGAGAGGAATCATTGCAACTCTTTTCATTCCTATTCGACAAGTGCGGTTTTCGTAAATAGCAAAGCGACTGTTGAGCAGCATTAGCAGGGAGTACAAACCTTTCCTTCAACTCCAACCAACATTTGCCTTGAGTACATGGCCAGGCTCTGTCAAAGTAGAGAACACAGAAACTCGAAAGATCTGAGATAACTTACAAGTAAAAGTTCAACGCAATCACAACACAGTAAGGGACTACAGACTTAGTCAGACCAAAAACCAATCAGCGAGTGCAGGAACTTACTCAACATTCCAAAGGTGTTGAATAGATACAACGTATCTTTCAATCTCGGCTTCGAGCTTCGTCGAATGATATACTAGCCGAAGAATCAGGTGCCACACCAAGCCGTATGTTGGTGATGAAGACTTACCGCTCGCTCAACAAGGAAAAAGTAGATGAACTTCAATCATTAGACAAGGTAAGACCCCGATCAGCTATGATAATGACATACCACCTTGTGTGATGTTAGTAGAGTCTTGAGTGTTAATAAATTGAGTGCCTCACTTTTGTTGTCATCTATAAGACCGCGAAGTCAGCAACTGCAAATTCAAGGCTACCTATGGCACGCAATATTCTTTGAATGTAAAATTAGGAAGAGGACATGATCTTACATAACAGCTCAAACACAGCAATAACGCTTTTGTGCATATTGAGTCCGAACTATCAATTCCAAACCCATTTGACAGGACCGCTGTCCCAGACGCGAAGAATATCGAGTCGGTATATATGACAAGAACCACTTGAAATCTTAGTCATGACATCAGACACTAGACAATTGGGGACGTACACCAGCAGACAAGAGGTAATCTTGACCAATTTCTGACATTTTGAACACGCCGTGCTATTATATGTTAGAAGTTCAAAAAAATCAGAATCGATGAGGACACTTACAAAGACATATTGATAAAGAACCTATCGAGACCATAGATAAAACAACAGAGAAGACAGTACCAGCCTCTGGCTCGCGAACTGATACGACCATGGCCTCGATGTGAATAGGCTCTTCTAGCCCACTACTTTCTTCCAAAACCTTTCGATTATCACAGCGAAGATCAGGAACGAAAATCGTATGTTATGTGGGGTCAAAAACGTCCTCCAGCAATGCTTAGGAAGCAGCCTCCCACCTTTAGTACCTCCAGCAACTCAGGTCAAAAAGCTGCTGCGGTGTCACGCACCACATATGCGGACCTGCCGCGTTGACTTGACAGCATTTCAGCATGGACGCTTAACGGCTTGAAAATAAAGTATATCTCATGCATCCTGACGTCGCGGGTAAGGAAAAACAAATTGCATGCCTTGGTGCACAGGTGCTTTTGAGATCACGCACTGCAAAGCTATTTGCGGATAAGAGGCACAATGGCTTTCCTCCTTCAATGATATCGATTGCACTGCATCGGGCGGCAGCCACTGCAGTGTTCCGACCCTGACACTCATTGGATAGTGAAATAAACTCGAGGCCAAAGGACGAGACAACGTTACACGATCGGGTAGCTGCAGTCCCAGCGGAGTTTGACTTGCGGAAGCGCTTCATCTGCGGTGGATCCTCGACTCCAGATGCTGAAAGCCGGACATATATTGAGTTTCGGTATGCCACTTGACACACAACATGACAGATGATTTCTGAAATCCCAACTACCTCTGCAGCATTCACCGAAGCCTCCAATGAAAACTCAGAATGCCGGTCTTTGTGAAAAGTGACAGCTATGCGAGGGTAACGCACACCGAGGTCGTTTTTGCAGCCTCTGTCGATCACAGCATGATTTCGAGATTTTGGAAACCCCGCCGGTTGGCTTGCTAGATCCCGAAGGACCAGCCACCGAAAGCCACGACCGTGCGAAAGAAGTTGTTTTTTCTCGGCTGGTGTGATAGCAAACTTGACAGAATGATTCAGATGCAGCCATTGAGGGAACGTAGATAAATGCCTTGCCCGCCCAGGCGCGTCAAATGATCGAGATCTGGCACATCATTGCCAGATCTGGCTCAACGCGAGTTGGAGAGCTGGAAGAGGCGTTGTTTGAGGATATTGAATTGGCCAGCTGAGAATTTGGGCATCAGATATTGACGAAGTAGTCACAAACAATACTGCAGGAGGTTGAGTGCATCGTCGCCTCAGAAAATAAGCAGTGAGAGTCGAGGTCCCGAGTCCCATCATTCTGGCTCTTATCGTCGATCGACTGCATTGGCGAGCGCAGTGTGACACTGAAACCCGGTTTGAATTGCTTCTTGTGACGATGACAGGGTCAGGAGATAAGTTTTCTGTGTCCACGTAGGACAGGTTGGAATGTTTGCTTTTATGAGACGGCTGGAGTTGCGATGAAAATGCGGGCCGGATGCCGGAAGGAGGACCCAACACGTGATTGGCATCGACTCTACCTACCTAGATGTCTTCGCGAATAGAGAGCTCGAAGGCGCCGGATACACTGCAATCGATCTGGAAGTCTATAAAATATTCAAATTAGGTATATTTGGTCTATCTATTCAGCTAATCCGGGCTCCAAAACCATCTCTCAGAACCACGGCTTCCAATGTCCCAATCGCTTTCTATAATTACTCCAAAACTCCTTCGCTCGATATGCGTACATGTCACAAAGCTCAACCTAAACCATCTCCTCCATACTAAGCTTTCCTTCCTTCTGCGCTCTCTTTAAAGCCTTTTTTTCCTCCTTAGCCGCCTTCTTCTCTTCTTTAGCTATCCTCTTCGCCTCCTTCTTCTCCTTCCTTGTAGGACCCTTCGGGAACTCACTTCCCTCACCCTGCAGAACATGACCAGGATGCACCGCATTGAACAGCACCAACGCAACAAACATTGGCAACGCATCAAGGACCAGGAAATAGGCTTCGTGGTAAGGAATGGGGTTCTTGGAGGGGTCGAGACCGGCCGCGAATTCACAAAGTCTGAAAATGATGCGCATGGTGATGAGGGCCAACACGGCGAACATGACATAGAGCAGCTTCCTCCAGTTTCGCGGTCGGCTGTCGAGGATCTGGTTCCCGCCTTCGGTTCGTTCGCGTCGATTCGCGTCGATGAAGAATTTAACGGCGATGCTGGTGAAGATCAAGATGCAGAATTCTTGGAACCCGATTCCGCCCATGTAGATATGGATACCGGCCATAAGAACCGATTGAGATGTGCCAGGTGAGATCAGAACACCGCCACCGAGTTGGGTAAGGAAAGAGAGAACGTCTAGCCAGACGAAGATCTTCGCAATCTTAATGCCCTTGATGCCGAAAACTTTCTTCTCCGGTACGAAGAAGTAGATCATTCTCCCCATCACCATGTAGACAAAGGCGTTGATCCACATAGGAGCCAACAAGACGAGAATCTGCGAGATGGTGGCAAGCGCCGTATTTTGCTGATTCCTTGTTCCGACTGATCGAATGGCGAAACTGGCAAGTTCCCAGATAGCACCCATCAGTAGGACCCAGCAAAGTCTGAATTTCTTGTATGCGAATGCTTGGTAGAAGTGGAGCATTGTCGTGAGGCCGAAGATGACTGTGAAAATGATGGCTGCAGCGAATGATGGGTAGTAGTTGTAGTTGGAATTACAGGCCCATTCTGGAACATATCCGTTCTTGTCGGGTGTGACGCTTATACATGATGCTGTTGCTGAAGCTGTCGAAGTTGCAGTGCTCGTCATTGAGATGGTGGAAGACATTTCGAGTGAGTGTTGGAATGATAGGACGCGTATGAGAAGTAGAGGAGAAACAGTAGATGATGAATGTGATGATGGATTGACAGTGGCAAGAATATCAACTATATATTCCTGAATCACTTGAGTTCAAAGAGGAGTTGAAAAGCCAAGATCATCATGAATGAGGAATAGCTGTATCACGGTTGTTACACAGCCATCAACATTGCAAGCCATGCCGCGTACCATCAGCATGAAAGAAGCGAACAGGACCAGTCATCAAGCCTGAATCTGGGCAATTCGAGACTCCACGAGCGCAAGGCTGGGGCCTGGAGCGAGCCTGCCAATGAGAAGCCATTTCGTGGCACGAAATTAGAAGATTGACGAGGCTGTAAGAGCAGGGAGGTTGTAAGAACGGGGGAACTTTGAGAAGGCTTCGTAACTGGGGAATAGGAAAGCGAGTGAACCAATACGAAGTGAAAGCGATCGTGACATAATACGCAGATTGCGCAAGTGTTTCATGGGTTGGAAAAAGGTGCTGACACAGCCCCTTTTGGTGCAGAGATCTTGGAAACTTCGAAGCTTTGAAGGATTTGGGACGTACTCTCCATCTGTGAAATTCCTAGCCGATTTTAGCGCTCGAGAACATCAAAATGTCCTATACCAACTCCAACATTGTACACTCCTACATAATTTGTTTCTAATTAGACTTCAGTTCTGACTTATCAAGAAGCTATTCTACGTCTTCAATAAAAAATATTAAATATAAACTTAATATATTGTGCGGAATACTTTATATTTTGTGAATTTGTGCCCTGTCGCAAAATCGGCCACGAATTTCACCGATGGAGAGGACGTAGCATCTCGTTTAATTTGATGCGGCTGTGGTTTTGATGAACGACTGGACCAATGAAAGGAGAGATGAAAAAATGGAGCGGGGGCCGAATCACATGACACGGCGAATATCCATGAGGATGATCTGATGATCTCTTGAGGACTTCGGGAGGTATACATGTGGCTGAGGGTCTTCAAATGAGAATAGATGTGTCAAGTATCCCGAAGCACTTGGCCGAGATTGTGGTGACAAAACGACCTCAACGAAAGTTCCCCAGTCTTGACCTGACAGCAGCCGGCATGTGATATAAAGCATGACCCTTCTAAGAAAAAATCTCGTTCGCAACATCTGATGTCAGATACGAATGAATGAACACTCTAAAGACTCATTATGCCGAAGAGCAATCAATCATTCATAGGGCGCGCTGCTGCTCCTTGTGATTCCCTTCTGCCTGGCAAATTAATCTGTACGGAACCTCTCTATTCGCCAGGTTAGGAAAGGACGAAGCAACTGCGATCTGCTACGCCTCTTACGGTCAGGATTGGAGCCGTTAGGTAACCCTAGCCCGAAGATGTACGTTGGCGATCTCGTAATGTACGTTTTGGCGATCCACTGAGGCATTTCCGAATCTCAGATGCCGTTTCCTGAATTCAAACTATTTCGAAGCCGATGACACGACAAGAGGGTCCTGGTTGAGGGATATTTTCCTGAAATCTCAGCTTCCGCATTTGTGGTTCGGCATCTCGACCAAGCTGAGCATAGACCCGGGACGGATCTCCCTAGCGCAGAACCTAAGACCTCTCCCCCGGATTCTCAGGGGTATCGAGAAACTTTGAGGAACAACGCATTGAGTGCACCAACACTTCAAAGCAAACAAGCCTTTTGTCGCGCTGCTTGAGATGTGTTTGAATCTTCGTTTTAGCCCATCGTTCTCCGGAAACATTGATCATCTGAGCCATCGGCAGAGTGACATGTCTTGGAGAAGCTTGTCTTCTCGATTGCTATGGGATCCTTGATCATCATGGAACCTCGTTTGATGCACAGACAAGTCGAGAAAGAAATGCTTGATAGAGTCTTCGGTAATGAGTATTTCGGACACTCCTTGTGCGTGAGCAGTCTTGACTAAGCCGAGTGAATCAATTGCATTCTCGGTAGATGTCGAGAGCTGGCACCTGTCCACGAGAAAGGCCACCACGGTGGCGCGATAGGGTTGGTTCTGCCGAGGGCAGCACAGCCGGACTGGATCCAGGGCATCGGAGAAGGGCGCAATATAAAACGTAAAAATGTAAATTACTGCTGTTAGCACCGAAGATGAAGATGCTCAATGCCTCGCATCCTTCAAGGCAGCTTTTCGTTGGACATGATCTGGAGTCCAACTAGTTGGTTTGAAGCTTAATTGGAAATATGTGACCGAAAGCGACCGGCTCTTCAATGCACTTCCACCAGCTCGTATCAGCATGCGGCTTGGTTGGTTGGACCGGCCGACCTAGTAACCGCGCTTCAAACTCGAGGGACATTGCGAAACTGGCAACGGTAAACGGAAATCAGGTCTGGTCAGATCAGCTCATACTCTATACTGTACACAATGTAAGAGCGGGAGATCAAAGAAGCCGTGGCAAAGCAAACTGTTTCTTACTTTTTCTTGCGTGCTCTGGTGGCGTTCAAACACTTCTTTCATCTTCAATAGCCACACCGGCCGGCCGACTTACTCGTTAGTCTTTAGTCTGGAGTGGAGGGGTGCATCTCCATCTTGGCGATGGAATCTCGAAGCCGGTCAGCATTGTTCCATCCACTTGGCGGGGTGCGGTGCGCAGGAGCTTCTTCTGGTTCTGGTGGGAATACCAAGTACGCATACGGAAGCAGAGGAGGTGCAGGGTCGTATTGGTAATTTTCCGCTGCAATCACGTACTCGTACGGAGTATCGCTTTCCATGCAATATTCTGTACGAAAGTATCTCTCGTTGGTCCCCTGAAAATGATCGACCAGTGGGGACCTGGGAGTGACAGTGCTTGGCAAAAGCTTGTCTCTCCAAGTGCGTCCCAAACGGGTAAAGTGAGATCTTGGAGGAAGAGAACAGCTCGCTAGAAGGAATTTCAGCAGCACCAGCAGCAGCAACTTCAACATGATGCGGGCCCCATGCCGGAACAATCTAACGACAACGACAACGACAACGACAACGGCTGTTTGACACACCACACCAGCCGCAGAAAAAGAATACGAAAGAAGGGAAGAAGCGTGAGACGGTGCAATCACGCTGTCCACAACGGCGTACGGTACCATCGCACTGGCAATGAAGAAGAGGGTGCAGCGCAGGGTCTCTCCTTTCCAATGTTCCTGACAGGATGAGACACCAAATCGCTGATAGGCCAATGGGCGAACGCTAGTCTCCTTGCATTTATCCTCTTCTTCACTCACCCAACTTGAGAACAGCCACCGTAGCCCCATATCCACAGCAGATTCCACACGGTCTTGCCTTGTCCAGGCCCAATCTTCGCAAGGGCACAGAGGCACAGAATCATGACTTGCGAACCACGTAATTAATGTGCGGTCCCTCTTTAGAAACAGGCAACAGGAAAAGCACCTCCCGGCGTCTGCAGCTTCGCGTGTGTGTTTGCATTTGAGATGTGCTGGGTCGTGCAAACTTCCCGACGGGGGCAATCTACGGGAGTTGCCTACTGTCCAGTCTAGTCCACAGCCACCTTGGGGTAAGTTCACTTTCATTTCAGCCCTTCGACCCTGGGAGTCAGGATGACCGTAGTTCCTTGCCGCTCAGTGACCCAGCCCAGACGACCAGACCAGGGGTGGGGCCCGGAGATGCTGTGCTGCTGTGCTGAGAGAGGTGATACCCAGTTGGAAAAGGAAAGCACTGTATGTAAGTAGTGGTAAGAACGTGCAAGCAAGCCATCGTGGGTCCGTTCCTTCTTGTCTCAGATCAACCTCAGGAAAAGTAGAAAACACCTGGGAAGCCTCACACTTCGAACCTTTTCTCCAACTTCACACCCTCCCTCGACGAATCATCAAACCTTCTCCGTCCAATCGCTTGGATACCTGCCATGCGCCGACCAACAATCGCTGCGTCTACTTAATACTGCTCCGTCTTCGTCTTCAATCTTCTTCTTCATACGCTCCTTCATTCACGTCTCTTTCGACGCTGAATGCTCGTGTGACTATTCTACCACGACTTCACGTTTGTCCTTGGTCCTTGACTCAGTGCTCCCTCTCAGATACACGTCTCCATCACCCTGCGTCCTCGACTTTCCAACATCTCTTGAGGGTTCCTCTTCGTCGACAACAATGGCCAAAGATCTGGATCTCCTGGTTCGAGAGATACTGGTGGTGAATTCCACAGATATTCCCCACAAAGGACCTCATGTCACCAAAGTGCCCCTCCAGACAATCTCGAAGTTGGCGCCCTTTAGTGCACTCATCATCAGCATTATATTCGTCGTCTACTTCGTCGTACGATTCTACGTCCTCGAAGGTTTCTTGCTGAGGAGATTATATGGAGAGACGTACACACGGATGGACGAGACAACAAGAAGAGGCTTTGTCAATCATCATATCGCCGGCTCGACAAAACTGTTGATATTGGTCCTTGCTGCATATCCCTTTGTTGACGTTGCGTTTGGGACTGCCAATTTCCATACACCATTCGCAGGTTCCCACTACGTTACCATGGGGGATGTTCTGATTATCGTTGCCCAAATGTAAGTCACTCTCTTCGAAGTGTGAGGAGACGTCCAGATGCCAAGAGTTACTTGTTGGATCCTAGGTCCCTTGCTGACTCAGTACAGGCTCATCGCGATGTATGTCTTCGAATTATTTTATCGACCAAAGATCTCCCCTGTTAGTGTTGGCCACCACATTGGCACCATCATGATTGGACAATCGGCCATTGCGATCAGTTTAAATTTAGTGCGGGAAAGGGATGCTACAATTGAGTTCATTCTCTGCACAGTATGGGGTAAGCTATTGTCGCTTCCAGCCCTATTGCTGACAGTGCCTCCTTATTGCGGATGTCTTACTAATACTGTCTCTTCATAGGTGCCTTCGACATTGTCTCCGAATTCCTCCCTCACATCTCCATCATTCTCTACCGCGTGTATCCCAACGAGCACAAATTCCTCTACAAGATTTTCCGAATCTGCTGCGTCAGTACACTGATTGGGACGACCGCGGAAACTGCTCTAACAATGTACTTGTTCGGAGTGCTATGGTATGATTGGACAATTGCCTTCAAGATCACAACACCAATGCTTCATGTCCTGTTCGCCTCGGCGCAATTATGGGGGAGCTACAATTTCTACAAGATGTTCAAGAAGCAAGAACGTATTATCCTCCGACTGGACGGGAAATCAGGGGACGAGGAAGCTGCACCAAAGCCAGAACAGGATAATACGAGACAGGAGCAGATATTCATTTCCTCCATGGACGGGGATAGATCTGGACAGCCATCTCGAGACGGGTCCGAGGTGGAGTTAACCGTCAACCCAACACGATGAGCCGCATCATAACGGCGGCGACTTTCCTTTTGTTTAACTCCCAAGCGTTGAAATTACGACATAGCGATGCATCAGCGACGGGCTGGGGAACATGTCTGCTTTTTAAAAATTCCGGGCGAGGCAACTTAGCTCTTTGCATATATGGCTGGTGGGAAGGAGCATGGCGTTCAGGTGGTGGCTTTACTTTGCTTTGCGCGCATTTTCGGGCCTATGCTATGTACATTGTATTCCTTTTCTTGTCACAAATATCTTCCCAAGACTACCAGCTGGATGCTGCGAAGAGTATTGTATTGTACGTGTTTTACAGCAAATCCGCCAGCTCTTTTTCAGCTTGCTCAGAAGAAGAAGAAACTTTAATACAGAAAAGAAATGTTCAATTTGAGGAACTCCATGAATGTGAGTGATACTTGACGAGGCTGAGATCTGGTGGTGGGGACTAGTCAGTCAATGCCAAGCCACTATGCAAGTGTGGGCTTGGATGCCATGATTGCGGTTGTGGAAGACGTGATGTTTCTAGATATTTTTTCTTCAGCTGACTATAGGTCTTGGCATGAGAATGGGGGTATTGAGGATCGTGTTGGTGAGACATGTTTCGGGGTTTGAGGGGGTCGGATTAGATAGCGGAGATGGTGAATTTTGGTCAGTGGAGTGGAGAGGAGAAGATTTGTATGTGGTGGTGGAGGGACGGAGATAAGAGGAGATGGTGCAGATAGGGGAGGCAGAGAGGGGGTATGGGTTTGAGTTTTCTGGTTGTATTGTACAGTATATTGTCTGCTGGCAATGTTGTGTCTTGCGGTTTTTTGTTAACATATACCTTTCATTACCAGACAAAAAACTATGTCTCTTCTTGTTCTTCAACCTCATCAAAAATTTCCAAGGTTTCAAGGCGTTAATGGGAAAATCCACGCCACGTACGTCGAAGACAGCAGCAGCACCAGGAGAGCCCGAGTGCTTGTCATACAACGCAATGTCTCTCGTGGATGAGGAGGGTTCCGTAGTGTCCGCTTGGAGTAGTTACTGGGAGGCGGGGGGATGGTCCGTCGCGGGTTTGGAGAGTGAATGAGTGTTTCTTGAACATCAGGGGGGCTTTGGTGTTCGCTCTTAAATCTGGCGATATATCTTGGGGGGCTGGGCAAAGAATCGGATAGAGGGTATATATATGAGGCTGCAGTTTCGTCTTTGGGGATTCCGTGGAGGCGATATGTCAGGGTGGGAGGTTAGGTCATATTTGGTGTTAGTGGATTGAATTGTGGTTCTTGTTATATGGGGGTTTGGATGCTGGTGTGAAGACATAGTGTGTATTGTTTTGATTTTTGCTGTCAAGGCCTATTGTTTGTTGTCAGTGAATAGTTGTTGCTTCAGCTCAAAGACTCGGCCTACAACCAAACTTGATGGCAGAATATTGTTCGCTCTCGAATTTGTTCACTTTTGTTTCTAGAAAGTACTCTTGTTTTGTGATGTATTTTCCTACTGTGAGTTGCTCTCTTTCTGTAAATTACTCTCCTTGTATTAGTGTATATTCTCTTCTCAAGTTTTTTTTTTCCTATTGTGAAGTGCTTTCTGCATGTGTATCTTTCTCCTCCTAGGAGACATTTTCCTCTTGGGAGATGCTCTCCCCTTCTGATACTTTCCCACCTATGAAGTATTCTCGTCTTGTAAATTACTCTCCCCCCAATGATACTTCTTCTTTACTCAAGCTCTTTCCTACTTTTAATGTAAAAATTCTAAAATATCAAAAAGGGTTCCTGCTATGCATGGGCACGAACCATTTTCAGACTTTCCTAAAACCAACCTCTAAAATCGATCAACGCACGGTTCTTTTTTCTCTCTATCAGAATTTCAAGTCTTACTCCGATCCCTAGTACACCACATTCATCATTAAGCATATATCATCTGCATGCAAGAAAAAGAAACATGCTAATCACGTGACGAAGTATGCAGGAATTCGACCACTCGGAAAATATCCTCTCAGCCTCATGCGTTTTGGTGCGACTATCAAAGTATGAAGATCGTAGCTTTCATCTCTTTCAATTTTTGGATTTGTTTGAGAGTGAAGGAGATGAATTAATTTATATTTGACCGTTACTTATGGCAGTGATGTTTTGTTTGATACAAATGCAGGCCTGTACAAATGTGAAAGCTGGAATGAGGGTGATTATTTAGTAAGATCGAGAAGTTGGAGGAAACTTTCGAAATAGTAGACACTTCTTAATTTCTTTCTTGGTTTTCTTTTGTTTGTCTTGACTGAATTAAGCAACGATGTTCAACAAGAGTATAAAACGTCCATGATTGATCTCAAGATGCGGCACCGTAAGCTCAATCTTGCATCTGCGAGGAACCGCTATCCCAGTAGTAGACCATGTCACTATGATCAATTTCGAGATTTGTGTCACATATGCTCCATGATGACGTTCGCACTTTCGAGATCATCACCGGGAGTCTCGGGACGACAGAGGACAAAATAATCCGGCAATACATCCCCAAGGAACTGGAGCTTCAAAGACAAGCAACAGAACGTAACACACCGTACACAAAGCTCCACTGAGTGCCCCAGGAGCCACTCAGCAGCTGCTTGAATCACGTGCATCAAAATACCGCAAATCAAGTCAACGGCGGAGACGCCTCCACGAGAGCAATACCCTGAAATCAGAGAATAGAAACATCCAGTCCACATACGTAACGATTACCCGGCATAAGCGAAGCCGGGTCCGGCACTCTCGCTGGCTGGAAGTGCGTCCCGATCTCAAGGTGGTCGAGACGGCCTCCAGATCGCGCCTACCAAAATGCATTTCCAAAAAATGGGGAAACCGAGCAAACTAGCAAGAAACCAAAAAGTTCGCGTGGCAGAAACATAAACTCATCATGCAGAGAAAAATATAGTAGACACTTACATTATTCTGGAGTGTCGTTGCCCAGATATGGTCGTTATTGTTCAAGGGGTATGAATCCGGAATACCAAGCACAGGCGCAGAAGCTGGAGGAGGTGAGATTTTCCTTGGCACTGCTACCTGGGATGGATTTAGGGTCCTGCGGGGGGCCGTCACGTGGGGAATGGCTGGTTGACATTTTTATAGCTTCGTCGCGCGTATGCTTCACGGAATGCGGTGAATGGTGCTTCTGGGAGTACATTTGTAGGGCCTGTGACGGACTTGCCAGTGTCTCATGGTACCACCACCACGTATTCGAATCAGCAGGCCAGACCCAGTGATCCTCTTATCTATCCGGGGCTCTATTCGCCCAGCGGCATTGATATCATGTCGATATTGGTATGTTGAATTGCTTTTTCCTTCCTCTTTCCACGCACCGTATACAGTACCTCTTATCTCAACTCCCCATATCGGTGCTCAAGTAGTACTGAACATGTCCAGATCCGTGTTTACAATCGTCCAAATCCAACGATACATATAGGAAACGTCGACGGTGCTGTAGCCTTGGTACTAGCCGACGCCGAAAAACCAGACTTACCATTGGTATACTGCTCCGAAGCCTTCGAAGCATTAACCGGGTATAAAAGCGACGAAATTATGGGACATAATTGCCGCTTCCTCCAGTATTCACCAGGTCAGGCTCATCAAGATATACGAGTCCACGAAGCCAATGCACTCGCAAGAAAAGAGTTGCGTGAGAAAATTGCGACAGGCGAAGAGGCCAGAGTAGAGCTTTTGAATTATAGAAAGGATGGAAGTCTCTTTGCGAACTTGCTTACCATTATCCCTATCGATTGGGGCGGCGACGGCCAGGCAAAGAGGAGATACATCGTTGGTTTTCAAGCAGATGGGAGGAGCAATTTCTGAGTTGGCTTAAGCGGAGTATGGAAGGATAATATGATCTGACATAAAAGGCGTTTGGCTATCACAGTACGACGTTGGATTTTTTTCTTGGAGATTGGTGTATGGAGTGGCTGTTATGCCCCGAATCTGAATAGCCATAAGCGAGGAGTATTTGGTAGACATTGAGTCGTATGTCCTATTATTTGACTTACCAGGTATTCTTAGATATCAACATGAAATATGAACCCGAGAAACGTAGTTTCTTCCGTGCAATAAATGAACGGTTGCGATAACCAACTGTTCGAGAATACCAGGACTCCACTAATGACACACTCGTGATTAACACCTGGCCCAAGCTCAACTTATAGGATTGAAAAATGATGTATATAGAAGTAGCAAGAAAGCACTCTCGAAGTTAGACTCGTGTCTTTCCTTTTCAAGCCAATATAAGTCGCCTCACTCATTCGGCGAACACATCATCTCCGCCGGAGTCCTTTTTGACAGACTGTAGATCTATTCGTGCAAAGACGCTCCTCTATTCGCCGTAATATCGTACAAAGGGCAAAGTGTGCATGAATGCGCTCATCGTCGTAATACTTGTCCTCCCTATGCCCGCTCACTTCCTCGCAACCTGACAGCTTGACCATATTTCTGTAACTTGGTGATAAGTTGATCACCCTGCTTCACGACGTCACTATATTGCTTGTTTTTATCATCCGGTCTGTTGGTCTCGATAATGCCCTTTCCTGTCACGCGGTCAATGGTACAAGGAATTCGTCCAGCAGCGATGAACTTCGCTAGGTCCCTGAAAAAAATGTTAGTCGATATGACATTGAGAGAGGAGCTTTATTCACCGATCAAGGAAATCGACCGAGACACCGAAGTCATTAGCCATGCTCTCCAGCCCCACTACTCGGTAACTTTGGAGTAATTGCTGATATGCACGAAGACGCATCTCGCGAACGAACCACCCTCGGTGTTCATACAGATATCGGTCTTGGTTCAAGAAGCTCACTTCCACTGCTGCAAGAGCTCCAAAGAATGATCGATAGCTTCCGTTATACAAGCTGCTGACAAGCTGGGCAAGTGGTGAGAAATCGAGAGCAGCTTCTGCTTCGGGTTGGTCGCTTCCAAGAGTGGTGAGATTGACGGCGGTCTTAGCAGGCGTTGCGGAAGAAACATCCTTCATTTCTTCGTCAGCTCCGGGACCAGCCGATAATGCTCCTGAAAGCGCCAAAAGCTTGTCCTCGCCATCGCCAAGTATTGCCTTGATCTCAGGTGCATCAACCACCTTTGACTTAAAGTCGTTTCTCTTTAGGGACACAGATCCAGCCAGTACGGAGTATACTACCAGAGACGAGTAGCTGCAGAGTTCGTAGCTTGTGAAGGTTGAGAGACTGTCGAGGAGAAGAGGTGCGGCTAGATTGTAGGAGCGAACGCCTAACAGGTACAAGCCTTGGTAGGCCTTTAATCGATTTCTTCGATCCCAGTCTCCGCCACTTTCAACCAATGTCTTTGCGCGGTCAACATGCTTCTTGACAAGTGCTTTGTCGCCGTAGAATAAGCCCATCCGGATGATAGCAAGCACGAGATCAATCTTGGTTCCCAAGACACCAGTCTTCTCGAAAACCTCTTCGTAAGCAGCAATCGCTCGGTCCTAGCAGAGATCATCAGCATATAACTCGACAAATCTCCGACAACAAGATCATACCTTGTCACCCACTCGTGCCCAAAACTCTGCTCTCTTTCCTCTTGCGGCTTGGACCTCTGTGTCACCAGCCTTCTCCGCCGCCTCTTCTTCCTCCTTCTTGAAGCTTTCCAACTCCTCATCATTCTCCTTCTTTAGCTTCTCATACAGAGCCTCGTCCCATGGTAGATCAACCTTTGGTATCGAGTGTTTGCTTGCTACCATGCCCGCTGCACTTGGTTTTCGTCCGAGAGGCTTCGTTGGTTGTGAGGCGCTGACACCGGACTCGTTCAGAATTCCCTCTGCTGGATGTGCAAGGTACCGGTACAAAGGCGCCATCTTATGCTCCGTGATGGCATCTTGAAGGCTCTTCAATGAAGTCTGTTGAGTTGCTTTTGGGGCGGAAGGATTGGTGAGAGTGAAAATGTGCTGGGCGAGAGGTAGAAGAGGGTACTTCGCATACTGAGGATCAGAACCCATCTTGTAGGTTACTGTCTGTTTGAAATGGTTGCCCAAGAGTGAAAGGTCGACGGGCGCTGAAAGATTGTGGAATTTGTAGATGGTCTTGTTGTCTTCACCTGTTGATTACTTCAAGAAGCTTAAAGCTCTCGCGACCAATTCCAGGCACTAGCCGCGACGCGAGGCAGGTCCGCTCAGCTCAAATTCTGGGGTTCACACATGTGACTTCGCTCACCTACAACCACCTGCAATTCACGAATTCCAAACTCAGCCTTCATATTTCACCAAACGCATTGTGACTTTGTTACCATCGAAATTATCTACGATCCCGTTTGTCGATCCTACACCTGCGATGGCGGGCGACGCCGCTGGCATCTCCCCTGTGGATGAGCAACCTCAGCCTTTCAATGCTACCAAACTCGAACCTGCGAAGAAGCGCAAGAGATCGCGATCACCTTCGACTTCCACTCCCAGACGTCTCGATCCTCGTTCAGATTCAAAACGGAGATCTACCTCGCCTTCAAATCCTGCTAAGCGCCAACGATCACCTTCACCACAACCTCGAAAGCAGAAGCGGCCAGGTCAGCGAGCTCGGATCACAGATGCTGAGAGGGAGCAGATTCGTCAAAAGCAGATTGAACGTGAGAAGGAGCTAGAAGCTGCTGTTGCTAAGCAAGGAATTCATGATGCCGTTAAGCAGCACTACAATACAGTTCCAGAACGTGGCCGCGATTGGCGAAAGACGGAGAGTCGCATCAAGGGACTTCGAAGCTTCAATAATTGGGTCAAGAGCACCATTATTCAGAAGTTTTCTCCAAGTGAGGACTACACACCTGGAGCACAAGAACGTGGTGGTATGGTATTCGCAGAAGGCCCCACTGAGACGAAAGGTCTGCTGGTTCTCGACATTGGCTGTGGTAAAGGTGGTGACCTGGGCAAATGGCAGCAAGCTCCACAACCAGTCGAACTGTATGTCGGCCTGGATCCAGCAGACATCTCAATCGACCAAGCAAAGGACAGATACCGTCAAATGTCGTCCCGTGGTGGAGGTGGTCGTGGACGTGGTGGTAGGGGAGGCTACAATGGCAGACCACAACCTCGATTATTTCAGGGCGAATTCTTCGTTCAGGATTGTTTCGGTGATACCATTGAAAAGGTCCCCCTGGTACGTGATGTGGGATTTGACGGCTCTGGTGGACCGTCACGATTCGGTGGAGGAGGATTCGATGTGGTTAGCATGATGTTCTGCATGCACTATGCTTTCGAGAGTGAGGAAAAGGCACGCCGTATGCTGAAGAATGTGGCAGGTGCTTTGAAGAAAGGAGGTAGATTTATCGGCACGATTCCCAACTCAGACATCCTGACTGGTAAAGTCAAAGACTTCAATGACCGCATGGCGTCCAAAAAGAAGCAAGCCGGGCCTGCTGAGGACAATGAAGAGGGAGAGGAGAAAGAAGATGACGGGGAAGTTGAGGAGGGGGAGGCAGAAGAGACTGCAGGTTGGGGCAATGAGATCTACAAAGTACGATTTCCAGGAGAGACCCCAGCAGATGGCATTTTCCGACCTCCGTACGGATGGAAATACAACTTCTTCCTACATGAGGCTGTGGAGGAAGTTCCTGAGTATGTTGTTCCTTGGGAAGCGTTCCGTGCTCTTGCAGAAGACTACAACCTGGAAATGCAGTACCACGCTCCCTTTGATCAAATCTGGAAGACCGACAAAGATGACGAGACGTTGGGACCTTTGAGTGAGCGTATGGGAGTCAGAGCTAGGGGTCAAGGACGTCTTCTTGTCAGCGATGAGGAGATGGAAGCGGCCAGCTTCTACGTGGCATTCTGCTTCTACAAAGTTTGAACACCTCTTACGCTTCCTTCGTTCTTGCTATTCCACTTCTGGACAAAGTACTCTTCAATCATACAAAGAGGAACCAGTTCTGAGGTGAAATTCGTCGCTGACAAAAGATCTCTTTGTGGCTGAGCACAAATTCGAGTGGATCTGGGTCTGAATCGAATATCAATTCACCGGCCGCAATAGTTTCGCCCAGATTGATAGAACTCCAGACTATCTATTGCGTTTCATTTCGGTGGATAGAAAGTGCACTGAAGCACTGGTTGTACTGCATACTGGAATATCTCGGCGTTTGGCTGATCAATTCAAAGCATCTAAGCAGGGTGATGGTGGGCGTTCATTTCTGCTATGCGTTCATTTTCCGGTGCAACAAACAGTATAGACACGATATCTGCTTCTCCGTAGCATCGATAGAGATAGAAAATTAATGCTGCGTTGAACACCATATTGGATTCCGAGTTCATGTCTTGCTAGTTCATTAACTTTTGATTTGGGAACACCGCGATGAGTTTGACCTCTGCTAAAGATTCAACATTATATAGTAGGTGAAGATGATAAGCGTCATCTTGAAAGCCCATATTTGCGTTCTCTTACATACATACATACTTCTGTTTAGAGTTGAAATCCCTCTTTCATCTACCATACCTACGGATCGGATTTACGTGCAACATTGTGTGTTTTCATCTAGTGACTGTAGCTTGACTTTACTCATCCATCGCCTGTCAGAGCCGCGAGAGCGACTCGGTTTTCATTGAATATGGACAGCAATAAACTGAAGTTGACTTTAACGTCCCAAGACGATACTCTAGAAGGAAGAGAGAACCACAATTCATGTCTGTTTAATGCTCAGCAAATTATGATGTGGTCTCAAGCAAGTCTGTCAATGTTGGATGAGCACAGTTATTGGTAGCCAGAGATCAAGAACAATCAGAAGTGGAAACATTCAAGGGATCTCAACTGCAGGGTAGGCAGAGTGATCTGAGAGATTCAGACTTAACAATCACTCCATATACCTATGGAAGGGTAGATATATAGCTTTGGAGATCCTTTCAGCTGTTCTTCAAACCCTCTTGAGATCAAACACTCCCAACTACCAAGCCATAGATATCAGACATTATTCATCATGAAGTATATCATCTACACTTCCTTCTTAGCCCTCCTCATTTCGATCTCCTCTCTCTCCCAAGTTATTGTTGCAGAGAAGGCCAACAATGCCTTAGCAGACAGGTCCATTACCACCACAATGACAGTTTCTCTCACATTATACAGTACGACCTATGTCACCCGCCCCATCACAACCACTACTGCGAAACTAGAATCGGGCGTTTTGACTCTCACCCCCTCCGGACCCCTAACTACCTCCACCAAGATCTACACAGAAACAGAGTCGTACCGTGGCACAGGTCCTTCAGGCGAGATCGTCATCACCTGGTTCACCAGGACAGTGACTGAGTTGTTTACCTTTGGCACCTCTCATCAAATTCCAACAGATACACAAGACGGGGGCTTTGTTGGATTAACCCGGGTTTCAACGCCTACACTCGCGGCTGCAAGCACATTAAATACAGTAGCTCCTAGTACGCCATATGGAGAGCAGTTCTTTTCAACTACATTCCCTGGAGAAACAGAACCTACAACTGCTCCTACTGCGCCTTATGGAGAGCAGCCTACTTCAGGAGAGCAGCCTACTTCAACTTTGAGAGCTGCTGCTCACAGACTTGGTGATAGCTTGGGCAGGGCCTTGCCGCTGGAGTTGCGGCTTTGTCGATCTGAGTCCGTGGGGCGGGGACGGACTTTTTAATTCGTAGCTTTAGGGCTGCAGGGCTGCGAGCAGATCTCTGAGAAATGTATTTTTAACATAATAAAAATCATGTGCAGTCAAGCTTTTGTCTTGGGGTTGAGATGGAAGTGTAGAGAGTGATACCACCATCTGGCTTGTACGATTTCTGTCCTGTGCTTCCAAACCTTGCGATTTAAAGTGTGTGAAGTGAATGTATATTCAAACGTCTATTCACAAAAGTCTAGGCTCGCACCAGGTCAATTGAAGTATGATGAAAGTCATGACATCTTGACTTGACTGGATAGTCATCCTTGGTGATTCAGAGCATGAAGGCCAGTGATTCGAAGAGGGTCCTGGAGATACATAACAAGGATTTCTCCGCACAATGATCAGCGGACGAACGGAGAGGCTGATTTGGTGTTAACGATTGAATGGCTCGGCTCGGCTTTGTGGTTGTCTTTGACTTTTTAACTAGTGCATCTCCGCAAATCAGCGACCAATCATGCTTTGTGACTTTTACCCCTCGGCACATACAGTAGATCGCACCCGGGTTCCTACGAGGTAGTACTCGTACCACTTGCATCATGAAACATAAAAGTATCGCATGATCTCTTTCTGTTTCAAGTGGAGTTTTCTGCTGCCTGGAGAGCACAAATACAAGGCCGTATTCCATCTCAGGTTTTAGGAGTCAATAATTATAAGTTCCTTCATCATGTGTACTACACATTACACGGTATATACGAGCTGCTGCAGACCTGAAGACCACAAGCACTATGTCGGAACTGATCGATGCCAAAGCAGATCGTGTAGGGGCGTGAGGGAATTCGTGGCTAGGATGTTTGGGTCATGCTATAATTGTATGGAATGTATGGTTTCATGACCTGACATTTGCGGAGGAGAAGTACTGTTAAAAGTAAGGACATTCAGGCTTTGAAAGAAGTAAAGCTGAGAATAGAGATTCAGGTTATAGCAAAATGTCTGGTTGACAATTGAACCGACTTATGAGAAAGAGATTGTCTGGACGGAGGACGGACATTCAGAATATGAGAGCTAAGCCGAGGCTGTGGATGGATGAAGGACACTGGAGACCTAACTTATGAGAATGAAAAGTCCTAGGCTTGGTTGGGACATTGAGGGAGTTGAGAACAAAGACTTGCCAAAAGACATTGTGGTAAATGTGACGAGATGGTCATCAGTCATGCCTACAAGACATCATGTAGCAGGCGGACGCGGACGACCGAATTTGGACCCGAGCTATAAATTCAATTAAGCAAAATTTGTCCAAACAATTCGCTGCGGCTCCGCTAGCTCAGAGCGAAAGAGACAACTTCCTCCTTTCACTCCACTAACAGCTTAGTGGTTCAGGTCACTCGCTAGCATTTACAGAATCTGTGTAGGCCGATTTGCGTGGCGGCTATTGTATTTGTAGTAATGCTAACAGAAGCAGGAATAAGAGGTGGATAGGTAGTGGTTTGTTTGTGTATCTGGGTTTATTATGCAAGTGCTAATAGTAAGTAAGAACTCTTCTTCCAACACAAACAGCACTTGTCTCTGAGCTCTGAGCCACTCAATTTTTTTTGGGATTTATTTGGATAGAAGGGGATATAATGTTTTAATTGTCTCCCGTCTTTTTGGAAGATCCCGAATCTTGAACTGCAGCACATTTTCTATCCACTCTTGAGCATTCCAAGTTGTGAAGACGCTGTCAATGATCCACAATGTCAGAGACTCTCAAAGACATGGAACCCACGGAAGCTTGTTTTCCTGCTACAGGCTACAGTCCCTGTGTCACTTCACAGCAATTGATGCACCCCCAGCACGATGGACATCCAAGATCTAGTGCCCTGATGCCCCTACATTGTTCGGACATGGCGGGGATAAAACAATATTTGCTTAGATGGCTTCATATCTTTTTGAGCCACTCCTAACAATAAATTTTAATCTGATTCGATCTTAGCAATAGACTCGATAAACTTATAAAACTGTGCGCAAGAGTCCTGGAGAGCAGGAATATCAATTGATATAAAATAGCGCAAACAAATTACAAGGACCAAGCACAGCTCTATTGTCAGATCCAGACGTTGAAGCAAAGAAAATTATAGAAGGTCATCTGGTTTCTAAACAAGTAATATACAATTTTTCAAACAAAGAAGCAGGTATAATTGGGCCGAAAAGAACATAGCACCAAATAGCAAGGATAGAAAATTGAGGCCGATGATACTTCATGAACCCCACGACATACTTGGCAAGCAACATTGAGCTCTGTTTAAGGTTATCGCACCCTCTTGTAGGGCTTATGTGGAATGCATACGTGAAACTAAAGTATCTTCCAGCGTTACATCGCCCTCCGTCACCGCTCACCGGCTGCATTGTGCAGATCCGAAGACTCGACATTGTTGGGGGTCAGCCACGCCCAAGCCATTCTCAACCCCACTCCCCATTGATAATCTCAGACAGATAAAGATCTCATATCGGACGCCAATTGACCAGAACAAACTACTCACCTCAATCTCAAGGTCGAACACACCAACGATGTTTCAGCGATAACACCAAGAAACAAATTCACTCAGCGGAGCGGGAGCTAGTCGCGCCAATCGCGGGTCCAAATCTCGAGCAACAGAACAGAGAAGGAAGCTATGGCAATGAATGCGTCATTATGTGCCAGAGGCACAAGCCCACGACAATTGCAAAATTTATTACCTCGCCACAAGACATCTTCATCTCCATCCCAAACACATTGCTTTTCCCGCGGACTAGCATTAAAATCCTCAAGTAAGTCCGATTTACAATTATATCTCTCAAACTTTTTCTCGCGGGGCCCGAAAAGCGCTGGAGGTTTCCGGCATCGGCCAGATGCGGGACATATCTCCATCGGTCTGCGTCTCGTCCCAGGTATTGGACGATGCTGGTCTGACGCAGTGCGCTGTTTGATCAGACCAGTTTTTTCTTATTCTGCCACTGTCAGAGCAGAAAGAAAAATTTGGATCTCATGCATGACCATGACTAGTTGCTAGCAAGAGGAGCTTCTCTGACCGTGGGTGATTTATATCCAGATAACACGCCATTTCCTTCGAGATTCCCCACCATAGCGGTCAAACAACAAATTTCCATTCGCAAGATGTCGTCGACTACTACGCTTCGCAGCTTGAATATCAATAATATCAACCCACATATTAAGGAGGCAAAATATGCGGTCAGAGGAGAGCTTGCCGTGAGATCGGAGGAGTACAGAGTCAAGCTTGCCAAGGGTTCCAAAGACCTACCGTTCGATAAGGTTATCTCTTGCAATATTGGAAACCCGCAACAGCTGGATCAGAAGCCAATCACCTTCTTCAGACAAGTATTGAGCTTGGTTGAATACCCTCCACTTTTAGAGAAGGAGGACGTCCTGCTGAACCAATTGGGATACAAGAGCGATGTTATTGAGAGGGCGAGATGGCTACTGAAGACTGTTGGATCTGTTGGTGCATACAGTGCTAGTGCTGGAGCACCAGGAATCAAGGACAGTGTTGCCCGATTCATTGAAGGTATGTGCAGGCTCTCCATTGGCAAGTCATTCCGCTGATATGTCGTGATACAGAGCGAGACGGCCACCCCGCAGATCCTAAGGATATCTACCTCTCTGCCGGTGCCTCATCCGGGGTCAATACCCTCCTTCACATCATTTGTGCCTCGCCAAAGACTGGTATCCTCGTCCCAATTCCTCAATATCCACTCTACACCGCATCCCTCTCCGTCCTAAACGCAAAGTGTGTACCATATTACCTCGATGAGTCAAAGGGCTGGGGAACCGATCTCGAAGCAATTAAGGGAGCATACAAGAAAGCCGTGGCAGAAGGAACTGATGTGCGATCTATCGTCATTATCAACCCTGGAAATCCCACTGGTTCCAGTCTGCCTGTCGAAGATGTGAAGGCTGTCATTGAGTTTGCTGCTCAAGAGAAGCTAGTGATCATGGCAGATGAAGTCTACCAGACGAACGTCTTCATGGGCAAATTCAGCAGCTTCAAGGGTGTCTTGAGAGATATGCAGAAAGAGGATCCGGAGAAGTACAAGTATGTCGAGCTTGCTTCGCTGCACAGTATCTCGAAGGGAATGGTTGGCGAATGTGGTCACCGAGGAGGATATTTCGAGCTTTGTGGCTTTGATCCTGAAGTTCAAGAGCAGATTTACAAGTTCGTCTCTATCAGCTTGTGTGCGCCAGTGATTGGACAATGCCTGGTAGAAATGATGGTCAACCCACCAAAGCCAGGACACCCCAGCTACGAGCTTTACAAGCAGGAGTGGGATGGCATTTTCAGTGGTCTGCAAAAGAGAGCTACTGCTTTGTGGGAAGCTTTCAAGGAGATGGAGGGTGTTGAATGTGGTACTCCTCAGGTATGTGGTAGTGAACTTCTTGTAGAAGTCTTTAACTAATCGATTTCTAGGGATCTATGTATCTCTTTCCCACCATAAGCTTACCACCAAAGGCCGTTGAAGCCGCGAAGAAGGAAGGTCGCACTGCAGACGAATTCTATGCCTCTCGTCTCCTCGACGCCACTGGAGTCTGTGTTGTTCCCGGTTCTGGCTTTGGTCAAAAGGAGAACACCCTCCATTTCCGAACCACCTTCTTGGCCCCTGGTACGGAATGGGTTGGAAGCATCGCAAAGTTCCACAAGGAATTCATGGATGAGTTCAGATGAGCTCGCTTGGATATGGTTGATGATGTGCGTTGAATACCCTTCGAGATCTCTTTGGTGGGAAAATAAAATGGAGTTTGGTGGATAGACCTGAAGGCTAGATGAATGGCCAGGCTTACATAGAACGGTTCTCTTGTCCAAAATATTGGGATATTTGCGGAATGCAAGGGCTTTTCCACTCCTCGCAACATTGTGGCTACCTGGGCACTCATCCATCACGAGTCATGTGACCGACCAAATTCCCCTTTTGTTCTACGGGCACTTGGCATCTTCAGCATTCCCAGCGAGAAATGTTTGTTGTCAGCTTATTCTACGAAGGAGGGTATGATCTGTCCAACAGAATGAATCATGATGGGGCAGGGCAGGTGAGTACACGGCATGACAGGTGTGACGATGATACAGTCGCTTCCATGTTGTCCTACATCGTGCCTTCCCCTTGTGAGCGGCTACTTCGTGCAAGTGAATTAGTTTTGCCTCAACACTGCTTCTTGATTCACTTCTCCATCCATCTTCTTCAGTCTCCATTCACGGATATTGAGACCGACGAAGTCCAGTGCGCAATTTCTCGTCCTCCAATCTTTCTACTACCAGCTTCAAAATTCAGGATTCAAACAATACAGGCTCAAGATGCGGTCCAACAGGGCAATCTTGTCTTCTTCCCACCTTACCGCTCCTTCCATGGATGAGAACCAACCGCCTCTCTCAGCCAAAATCGATCCTCTCGCAATCGCCAAGTCCCTCTCTTGCTTTACCAAGGAAGATGTTCAAGATCTTCGAGCTAACTTGTCTGAAGCTGCCAAGGTAGCTGAGGAGAACGATTACGAATATGAAGAAGGCATCAGACGGTGGTCCAAGGTTGCAGAGAGACGCGCTGTATGACGTACAGTATACTCTTGTGGGTGTCTTGAACTTACAAACCATAGAGCCTAGTCGTTTTCCCGAAAACTCCTGAAGATGTTTCCAAGGCTGTACTGTTCAGTGTTAAGCACAGACTTGATTTGGCAGTTTGTGGTGGTGGACATGGTACGAGTGGCTCCTCGTCAACCTTCGGTGGACTGTGCATCAATCTTTCGGGCATGAGACGCGTGTCCGTCGATGTGGAGAAGAAGACAGTCACTGCGGAGGGTGGAGCTTTGTGGAAAGACGTTGATATCTCGGCTGGTCGTATGGGACTTGCTTGTGTCGGAGGTACTGTCAACCATACGGGAGTCGGTGGACTGACTTTGGGTGGCGGATACAGCTACCTCACACCTGCTCATGGACTAACTATCGACAATCTTTTATCTGTTGAATTCGTTCTGGCAGATGGAAATATTGTCACTGCATCTCAAACACAGAATCCGGATCTCTTCTGGGCTGCGAGAGGTGCTGGAACCTCATTTGGAGTTGCAACCAAGTTTGTTTACAAAGCCCACGACCAACCTAAGAATATCTGGGCAGCCAAAGTCATATTTGATGACATATCAGCATTCGGTCCGGTCATCGAGTTTGCAAACAGCTTGATTGAAAGGGGAGATAAGAAAAGCTGGATGTTTGTCGGTTCTGGTCATATGCCACCGAGTGAAGACAAGGCCTCGATCCTTTGCGTTTGCTTCTACAACGCGGACAACATGGATGAGGCAATGTCGGTCTTCGGGCCTTTGCTCAAGCTGGACCATCAAGACTACAGCAAGATTTGCCTAATGCCCTATTACGAGATGAACGCTTTTGTAAACGATGGTCTCGAGCATGGTCGTAGACGATCCATGAAAGGCTGTGCGTTTATTCCGTCTCCTACAACTTCCCGAGATGTGGCATGGGATGCTTTCAAACCTCTCAAACAGTTCGTCCGAACCTGTCCAGATGCAAAGCACTCCTTTGTTCTTCTCGAGTTTATCCCTTACGGTAAGATTTGCGAGGTTGAGCAGACCGCCACAGCCTTTGCCAATCGTGGCGCTTATTCCAACCTGCTCTACATCATGAGCTGGGACAGTCCAGACAATGATAAGCAAGTCAGAGAGTTCGCCCGGGAACAAGTCTTACTTGCTAGAAGAAGGTTTGAAGATGACAAGGCTAAGTTGAAGAGAGAAGGAAACATTGATCTATTAACGGCGTCGTCAGTAGGAGAATACTTCAATCACGAAGGTAAGTCATTCATTCCCTTATTTTGTCATGAAGTGAAGTTCTGATCTCGTCTAGGTACTCAGAGTGATGGCAAGTCTGTCTTTGGACCGAATTATGAGCGTTTGGTGGAGTTGAAGAAGAGATATGATCCAGCAAATCTATTTTGCAAGGGACCAAAGCTACTTCGTAGTGCTCATAATGGAGGATCGAACTCTATTGCTTGAGACGGAGTCATGTATATGTCCATAGGAGGGTGCTCACTGAACGGCGTTGGTTTTGGACGTTGCAATTATTATTACAGAATGCTTGCGGCTAGGAGCAACGAAGTAGCTAATAGCAAACATTATCAGACCTCCATTAATTGATAGTTGTCCTTGTGATAGGCCGAGTGTTCGTCATCATTGATGTAATTCAATACCGTACAGAGATTACCAAGAGCAACGTGATGTCCAAGTCAAATATATGTTTATGAACAACATTGCGGCGACAGACGGGTGCGAGCTTAAATGTCTATATACCATCGACAAAAAAAGTGAAGAGATGGAAATAATGAAGGAGCCATAAAAGTAAGGTAGAGACGAACAACAATCTTTCCAGAGCTCATTTATGATGATGAAGTTAGTAGAAATGCCACTTCTCACTGCCGAGCTCAGTTATCTCCTGAATAGACATCTTCGTTTGCTTCCCGCTCCTGCCACTCCTCCTCTATGCTGGACGAAGACTCTACTTTAATTTAGATTCATGGCAAGTTGAACAACCATGCGTGCAGTCCTCTGTGTTCCTCACATCCTCAATACCGTCCCGACCTCCTTCGCAGCCGCAGCACAACGCTCGAAATACGGAACAAGATTTCCGAAGTGCTCAGAACCACAACGGAAATCAAAAGCCCTAACAGAACAGACTCTCCGTCCCATCTCAACCTCCAACTCCCCCATCTCAGTAAGATCCACCGCAGAAAACTTGGACTCCCCAGCAAAGCTCCTACTAACTTCCGGATACCCCAACGCAACTCCAACCCGATCATCGTCAATTGGCTTTGCGTGCGGGTTGAAGAAAACATCGTTGACTTCAGCCCAGAGGGGGGATCGTGTGTCTGCGAACACCCAGGCTGTCTTGAAGTAATGTTGCTTGCTCGTGGCAAGGGGGTGGGTGATTTGTTTGAGCAGGAAGCCGTATTTCGAGAGTTTGTGTTGCTCGAATACTGGCTGTAGACATTCTTGTACCATCTTCGAGAGGTTGTCGTAGATGAAGTCGTCGGGCTAGTAGGCAATGAGGATGGAAGGTTTGATTTATTTCAAGGTGAGCAGAATCTCGATGTGATGGCGTACATGGCATGCTGCATTGATGGGATTTGAGGTGCGGGTGTCAGACAATTTTAGGTGTTGAGAGTTCGATAAAGCTTGGAGGAAGAAGTTCCTCTCCCGTGACTTGAAGTCGTTGAAAGCTTCCTTTACAATGATCTGAAAATCGTCATTGCGCGGCAGTTGTGAGTCCTCATTGTCATTCTCAGACGTTGGGTTGAGATCGTTCTCGTCCATGCACTTTTTCAGGCGCTGCTTGCTCAATACCCATGAATGATTGCTTCTCAGAAGAGATAGAAACTTGACACGTCCGAGTTGTGGGTGAAGTGGTTGTAGTTCTGTGATAGCTTGCAAGAGCTCCTCGTCGGATGGAGAGCTCATGATGAGTGTAGGATGCAAGTAGGCAAAAATAGTTTAGTATGGTGGAGAGTATGTATGAAGGAGATTTACGATGAGGAGGAAGGAGACGGGTTATGATAAAGAAGAAGACGGACAGTTGATCACTCTGATTAAGGACAAAAGAGAGTGCTTTATGTTGTATCAGAAGAAGAGTGCAAACGCCTGTGGAAAGGAAAGAGAAGCACCTAGTTGCGGCTAGCCGCATATTCCTCCGTCATCCTCAAAGGGCTTCCAGTTTCGAGGAACTTTTCAGTGAGCGTTTCGAAGTCTGTTTGTGAAGAAAGACAACCGTAAATTAGAAGATTTGCAGTTCTCACCAAATGTTAAAAAGCCATGAAGCGCTGCAGACTTTGAATTCCCCGCCATTCGTATCCACCGCCAGTCGATCTCGTCGACTATCTCAAGGTCTGTCGGATTTCTTCCGGGACATTCTCCTTTACTTGAACCGTTTGCACCAGGTCAGAGGTCGGTGCAGCCACACGCAGGTGCGACAACATGCCATTTCCAAGCGGTGTAATGTGATTTCCCAAGCGCTCTTACTGTCTCCATACCCCAGATCACTACATCAAAGCCAGCACTTGCTCAAAAGTCCAACGCTTGGCTGAACATTCCGAGAAATTCACGTGAACGCTCAAAAGTTTTGTTACACGTCGCAACGATTATTGAATTTAGTACAAGTATCATATTTCAGAAACTCACTTTCAAAAATGAAAATTTCAATCTCTGTAGCAACGAATATTATCATAGATACCGAAAACAAGCAATCGAAACTTCGATTACAGTCGAAGCTGGGTGTCCCAATGCACAAGAAAACTTGGAATAGAAATGTTTACAAATCCAAAACGATTGTTGAAAGTGAAAAGGAATACAAAGGCGGGAGCGAAGGTGAAATATACTCTGGGTGAGAAGTTTTGTTGCACGTCGCAACGAGATATAGAATCTAACAATTGTAAACCAGAAAAGAGACTCACCTTCAAAAATCAAAAATGATGAATTATAGCAATAGATGTCATTATAGATATTGAAACAAGGAATCGAGACCTTGAATATAGTTGAGAACTAGTGTTCTCATTTTCGAAATAGACTTATAGTCATGTTACATAAATAGTTATAAATCTAGAATAATTGTTGAAAGTGAGAAGGGCGAGCTTTGCCTCCGAAGAGCATGAAGGTGAAAATACACCTGTTGGGGTTTGGGGCGTTGAACAATCGTCATCAAAAACGGCCTCCCTCGCCCAAACCCCGCTAAGCCCCTCAGCCAATCACAGCCTCAACCTCTTTAGCCCTCTATAAAGTTAAATAAGCAGATCTCCTGCCATCATCCTCTGAGATAGCGGCCTCCAGGATATAGATGCTTGCGATAGTGATCGTGCCTCTCTATATTCTCGTGAGTGCTTGAAATACGAATGACTCAAGATATGCCCCACTTTAAACCCCACACTGGCTGTGGTGTTGGATACCACCTTCGGGTGGTTGAGTTTTTGTTTCTGGCTCCTACGAAAGTTTTTGACTCTTTTCTTTTGACATTGTTTTGAAATTCTATCAAAGTGGTTGAGGAGTCTTCTTAAACTCATTTTTGGAAGTTGATATTACATGCTATGGATGAGGAGGGGAGGGATTCACTTACACGCGAAATGGAAGATTGATTTTACAAGGAGATATTTTTGTGATTATTTTCTACTTTTCTCTGTTGACGAGCCACTTGCTCACTTACAAAGGAAAATGGTTTGGGGATGACTCACCGACTTAGTTTACACACTGACTTACCACTCTCGTCTTCTCGGCCCATCATCGTAATATCGTCTCCGATATTGATCTGGGCTACGACTACGGGTATCTCGCTCTCTGATGTCGAGAGGATCTCTATCTAGGTATTGAGGATAGGCTCCAGGACTGCGATATGGGTCAGCGTTGGTGTTTGCTCGAGGTCGGCTGGGGCTGACGCTATACGGGCCGAAGGTACCGTATCCCATGTCTGCTACTGGAGCACGATATGGGAGACTAGGTGTGGAGGGAGGAGTGATGCTTCTTCTGCTGTAACCCATTTCTGCTACAGGAGCGCGATATGGGATGTCAGATGAGTACTGAGGACGGTCACTTCCGTATCCCATATCAGCTACAGGAGCACGATATGGGAGATCGGGTTTGGAGGGACGACGGGAGGTGCTTCTGCTGTATACCATATCGGCTACAGGAGCGCGATATGGAGTATCGGAAGAGAACCGACCAGACTCGCCTCCGTATCCCATATCAGCTACGGGAGCTCGATATGGGGGTGGGGAAGGACGTCTATTGCTGTATCCCGTGTCAGCACCATACGGAATAGCGGATGAGAAGTAAGGACTACGGTAAGGACCTCTACCACCTCTGTCTGCTCCATATGGGATATTCTCTCTAGGGTTAGTATAGCGGTCTCGCTCACCCCAACCAGGGCCAGGAGAGGAGTTGTATGGGGAGCTTTCCGGCCCGGCACTTGGTCCGGTACGGGAGGGGGCTCGATCTCCGTAGAGATTGCTTTGCCAGCTGTTTGGGGATGACATGATTATTGGTGTGTTGTGTTGTGGGTTTGTGTATGTATGTGTTTTGATGATGATGGAGAGGAATGAATGATTTGCGACGCCTTTATATACAGAAATACTTCACTCTGTTTAGTTGTTATATATCCTGTTCAACTTGATTAAGATTGTTTTCTGTAAATATCATGATCAAACACAATGTCAAGCAGAGAGTACTGTTTTTACTGTTTAGCTTGCTCAGGGCTGTTTTCTGTAAATATCATCATGAAGCATGATATTAACTAGCGAGATTATTCAGAACATAGAACAACAATTTCATTGTTCTGTCTTTGTCCTTGCAGTACCAACGCCATGGAACAATGCAAGGTGAACTTCGAAAACAAAACAGAAACGTTCTTTGTGGGCTAGACACACAATCGCACCTCAAATATTTCCCAGATGGAGATCAGACAATGGAAGAGAGGTGGATCTCATGGCAATGAAATCGACTCATCAAGCTGAACAAAAGTTGCCAAAGAAGCATCGAAGCGGCGGGAATCGTGAATCGATTTTGACAACAGGCATGAAGATAAACGCTTGTGACTTAGAGAATACAACTTGGCAAGGAGTTAAGGCTTTCAATAGGAGCTGGGCTCTTCATTAGAGATGACTGCCTCCTCACTGGCCATCTGCTCGCAACAACAGCATGATAAAATGAATATGGAAAAAAGTTTGATCCTACTGAGCATGTCGCGGAAGAAAGAGTTGCATTTAACGAAGTAACCTGTGAAGGAATTTGATACCAAAGCACAATTTACTCTCTACATGAAAATGAGGACCTTGATCTGAGACTTTGACGACGTCGAATCACCCCGCCAATCAATGATCGAAGAAAAAAAATTGAAACATGAAGAAGAAAATCCGAGATATCTCCAAAAGAGAACCCAATCAACCAGCCCCCAACATCGTTGCCGCAGAAAACAAAACTGACGCCGGGTCTCAGTAAACTATTTGGAACCTTCGACCCGCGAGACGAGTTCAGTCAGGAACTACCCAAAATTCAGTGCTGTTGCTGGCGCGTATGAAACAAATCCATACAATTTCCACGCCAGAATCAATAGCTCAACCCAATATCTCAGCCTCGTGACAATGTGAGGGTGTGCGGGGTCGAGGTGTGGTTCGTGTTTTTCCCGGGTGGGTGGGAAGCCGGATTTTGTTCTATCGGATGCAATGCAAGTGCACGCATCATGCATTCTTGACGATGGTGAGAGAGTGGCGGCGGTGTGCAGCACAAACCGCTGTCACCGATGCTTATTTGTGCCTCGACTTGGCGGAAGTATGGATCTGGTTCTGTTCCTACAGGCCGATGTCACGAACTCGGACTGTTTTTAGACTGTTCATCAATCTAGGCTCACCCTTCGTTCTCTTCTGGCAATTGATGTTCTTTAAGGTTGCATCGTGAACAAAGGCCGAGAGCTGAGAAGTACCTGATTGAGGATATGTGCTGATCACGTAGTTGATTTTCGGGTTTTTAGTGAAAGATTTAACCTTGAAAACGGCGCATGGAAACTCCACGATGTGGGTATGGCATGAGGGAGCCAATCGGCCGGCCATTAAGGTTTTTAACGATCTTGGTTCGTTGCAAGTGCATTTTCTCCGCTTTTTTACGAATATTTGGCGGCGGCGAGGAGGATTTGCTGAGAAAAATTGGTCAAGTCGAGTCCGTCGCTGGAGCCGTCCTCCTAGAATAGTAGCTAGCACTAAACTCAATCCCAACCTCCTCCTTCCCTAAATCAACTCCCATGCCGTCAAAAGTCGATAGACTTATGCGCGCGTGACTTTTATGACAGCGGACGTGCATTAGCATAAATAAGCAAAGAATAGTTTTATGCATATTCAAGCCAAGACTAGGTTCTCATCCTTTTGGCGATTTCGTCAAATGCACGAGACATCGATTTTTGGGTGTGGAGAAGTTGTGGAGTTAACGTCGCTGCGCAACACGAGATGCAAGGCAGCGCAGACGCCGACCGCAGGCCATCGGAGATTGCCACGACCACTTCACACGTTCAGTAGAGCGGCATGCCGTGTTGTTGTCAGCTTCTCTAGGGCGAATTGTTAGGTTGCGGTCGGCTTGCCGCTGTGCAAAATTGCGAGGCATGAATCATGCCATTGTATGTGCAGGATCAAGATTAGATGGCACGATCTTGGGGTCTCAGAGGGCGCCCTTTTCTCTCGGTGAGGCTTTTCAATGGTGTGATCTCGACCCAAGGATTGGGTTAGGAAGTTTGAGAACGAAGAGCTGAATTGTCCTCATGCAGCTGTGGCTTTCTTCGACCAATCGATGAAGCTGGCGTGTACCCATAATGCGGCTCTGGAGATTCCAGTACCGAGGCTCTGTGCCGCCTTCTGTGAGGTTCCTCTTCGTACATTAGCGCTCGTCCCAAGGCGGCATGAAGACCCTGATATTTTCTTGGCTCATCTCTTCCTCGACGGAAAAGGACTCCCAAGAATTTTCGATTCCCAAGCTATTGCCGACGACAGCAGCGAGGTTCTCGGACACTAGGACGGAAGCTTAGGAGGGCTGAAAACTTGAAGTGGAAAGAACTCGAGCCAGACTTGCGGGACGGGGAAGGAATAATCAGAAAGTGTCTTGATTCTCTTCAATTGCGAAGATCAGACGGTTGCCATGCACTGTGGCTGACTGTTGAATGAGAAAGGGGCTTTCAAAGACCAAAAAGAAAAAGTTGGGTGCCGGGCTCATTCAGGGGCATGTGCGGAAAGAGCAAAACTTTGCGATACCTCTTTGTCAGAATCAGATCATCTCCACCGTTTGCATTGTGAATCCGTGAACGCCTATCCGGAACTTTTCTTTGCTTCTTCGACGGCGTCTCCTTGCTTCCCTGGTGGAAATCTGGTAAGATGTGGGTGTGGGGAAGATAGGTAGTTCGGAGCGAGTGAAGACGCATGACCAAATCGCCGTTCACGCTCAAGGCTGAGAGAGGTCCCTCGTTCTGGTCTCTGGGCCATTCAGGGATTCTTCCATTTTCAGTAAACGGCGATCCAATTCGGGACGAGAGTCAGCCAGAATTCCGGATAGGGAAGATAGAAAGGCCGCTCAGATCTTCAGCTAGACGATTTAGCTTGGCCGGCTCGTCGATTGCTGATCCGTGTTGGCGGGATCATCGCCAGACGTCCGTGGAAACCTCGTGAAGTGTGATCGCTCGTGGACCTTGATTGTTGGCAGGAGAAGTGAGGTCTCGACAAATGCCACATGTGTCCCAGTAGCGTTGCTAACGACGGGACGCTAAACTTTCATGAATCATCAGTATTTCTAAACAGTGCCTGAGGATTGTTTGCTTTACTTTGGCTCAGTTCAGCCATCGTCTATTCTTGGTTGCAGGGACTTTAATTTGTTGTTCTCGCGTTTGGCGATGTGAGTGGAGGATCTCGACGGGGCTGGCCGCTCTGCGATCTTCAGGGACCACACTCTCTCCTCTGCAAGCCGACAGCCGACTAAGCAAGTGCGATTGGCGGATGGTGATAGACACACGTGAAATTATGGGTCTGCTTGCCGAGCCGGCAGGCACCGCAATTACCACCAATATCCTCCAGCTTGTTCTGTGCACCACCACACAGCATCCTCATGGGACCTCTGCTCTGATGTTCAACTCGCAAGATGTGCATGTTCGTCTTCTTTGTCCAAATTCAGACGATGCCTACAATTGACTCTAATATGATGGGCAAGAACCATTAGAACCTGGAAAAACAGACCACCCTCGTATCCTGAGCTCCTCAGCGTTGGCTTTTGGGACATCGTCTAGAACGCCGTGTACGGCCCCTTGCTCAGCCCGCAGCTTATCAATACTCTGACTGGCCGGTGGGGCAGGACAACAGAACAACCTTAACATCCTGGTCTGCATGTAACCCCCTGAGTAGCCCGTGGTCCTGGTCTCTCGCTTCCAAACCCGGAGCTCCCTTCCTGACTCTACTCTCTCTTTCCGTTGCGTACCGCCAATTCGATGGCCAGATGGCCAGGGCTAAAGTGAACCATTATTTTCCTTCTAGCCTTAACCGTCCCCTTGGCCTTGCCTCTATTCCCCTTGAGGATTCCATTTGACAGCGCCTGTGGAGAATAGTCTGAGACATCCTTACTGCTCCATCCAAAGATCCCTACTACAGATCAGTCCCTTGACGAGAGGCGAGATGGTCGGCGCTCCTCCAGTACATCATGGGCCTCTGCCCTCTGTTCCACTGATCTCTTCCCTTTGATTTCCTTGTACGAGACTCTCTCTGTCTGTCGTTATTCACTATACTTAATTTAATACACAGCGAAGATGGCACCTTCAATCATTCAGGCTGCTGTCTCGTTGTTCTGCGTTGCTTCGGCATTCGCAAGTGCGGATTCTAATGCGGTCGTTTTGGAGAAGAGAGGTGGCGTGGTACCGTCGACGCTCCCAGGAACTTGGGCATATCAAGGTTGTTACACAGATCCGGGCCCACGAACTTTATCAGCCTCGTCCTATACAACTACCACGGCGATGACGGATGAGTCTTGCATCAATTATTGCAGCAACCTAGGGTACTATTATGCTGGTACAGAATACTCGTCACAATGCTGTAAGTATGAAATATTCTCTAATGGAACTCGCACTAACCAACATTTTACAGACTGTGACAATGCTATTGCGTCGACAGGAGCAGTTGCTGCCCCGAGTGATTGTGCAATGACTTGTTCTGGCAACTCTTCTGAAGTTTGCGGTGGACCAAATCGTCTCACAGTTTTCTGGAACGGAAAGAATCCTCCTCCCGGACCATCTACCGACCCCGGGACATTGGGATATGGCTTTTTGGGCTGTTACACGTAAGTGTGGTTACTCAGGTGGCTGCAGGATCGAGATTAACAAGACAATAGTGAGGGAACAAATGGTCGTGCTTTGACCCATGGACAAACTGTGACTGGTGGCCAACCTGCTACGACTGTTGCATTGTGTATCCAAACGTGCAAGAATCTTGGATATACACTCGCAGGAGTTGAATACGCGGACGAATGCTGTAAGTGTGCAATTTTTACGCTCAAGGTGACCTACTAATCTCTATAGACTGTGACAACACAATCCAAAATGCTGCGACAATCGCCCCCGAAGGGATATCCGGATGTAATATGTTGTGTGCGGGAAATTCGTCTGAATACTGTGGTGCAGGTAACAGATTGGATATCTACAAGTTCAATTACACAGGAGTATCGTCTACTTCGTCATCAGTAGTCTCTTCAACGGCAAGTCCCCTTCTTACCAATAGTGAACTTGATCATACTGACAATTTGTGCAGACTTTGATATCCTCATCTTCAAGCTCCCAACTGTCTAGTACGACCTCACTGCTGAGCTCATCGTCCTCGATTTCGTCCAGTGTAGCTTCAACAAGCTCGAGCAGCTCTCGAGCGAACGGCGTTGCGAATGTTGCTTCAAGTACAACATTGTCTCAATCTAGCTCAGCAGCAGCCGGTAGTAGCACCAGCTCAACAATCAAGCCTTCTTCGTCCTCGTCGTCCTCAGTTCTTTCCTCCTCGACGAGTGCTCTTTCATCCGTCAGCTCTACATCCTCATCCGCTACACCCAGTCCAACATTAGGACACAAGCAAACCGTTGGACTATACTCGTTCCAGGGATGTTACACTGAAGGAAACGGAGTTCGTGCATTGAGCGCCGCATCTTTCTACAACTATGGGGGTATGACAACCGAGATATGCGCGGCTGATTGCGCAGGCTATACATACTTCGGTGTCGAATACGGCGGAGAATGCTACTGTGCTAACTCTTTGGCAACGAGTTCAACTCTTGCCCCTTTGACCGACTGCTCCTTCATTTGCCCGGGCAATAGCTATGAGTATTGTGGCGCTGGAAATAGGCTTGAACTGTACGAGCTTACTTCTGTTGCTTACACCAGCAGCAGCAGGAGTCTTGTGGTCTCAACGACTTCTTCGTCATCCTCTATTGCCGGCTCCTCCAGTGTGAGCTCCTCAATTGTAAGTTCCAGCAGCAGCAAACCATCGTCGTCATCGTCTTCGTTGGTATCATCAAGTGCGAGCTCCGTTGTGAGCTCCTCCAGCAGCCAGTCATCCTCGTCATCCTCTTCGCTATTATCCACGAGTGGCAGCTCAGTGTCCTCTTCACTGTTATCGTCTAGTGCTAGCTCCACATCGCCGACAGCTTCGCCAACTCTTGGTATCAAGCAATCTATCGGAAATTATGCTTTCATCGGATGTTACACAGAAGGAACTAATTCTCGCGCCTTGACTGGAGCTGCATCCTACAGCTATGGCGCAATGACGCTCGAAATGTGCGCTGCCTCTTGTGCTGGATACACCTATTGGGGTGTTGAGTACGGTGGAGAATGTGAGTTGTTTTACCCGTTGAGTGATCAACGCTAACTTTTTCAGGTTACTGCGGTAATGCTCTCAGCGCAGGCTCTGTCTTGGCTCCAACCCAATCGGACTGTTCTTTCACGTGCCCTGGTAACGCATTAGAGTACTGTGGTGCCGGAAATCGATTGGAAATGTACCAACTCGGCGCTTCAACTGGTGGAAGTACTTCATCTGCGACCGCAACTTCGTCGGTGAGCGTCGTAAGCTCGTCGATAGTCTCAACATCCATTTCAAGTACATCAACCCTGAGCTCTAGTTCTTCAACCTCATCTCAGACATCCAGCGCTACTGGACTTCCTCCTGGATGGAAGTATGATGGTTGCTACAGTGAAGGCACCAACGGCAGAGCGCTTCAGCACCAGCAACCTGACCAAGATCAAACCAATACAGTCGAAAGCTGCATCAATACCTGTATTGGTCTTGGTTATTCAGTGGCCGGAATGGAGGTTAGTACTGCTTTCATGCCATTTGATCTTCGCCTTCGAGAATTCCTCAAAAATTTCCACAATACTAACATGTTTTATAGTATGGTGTTCAATGTTTCTGCGACAACTATGTCTACAATGGTGCAGCTCCTGCTGCTGCTTCAAACTGCAACATGGCATGCCCAGGCAACTCCAAAGAGATCTGCGGTAATGGCAACTACCTCAGCCTGTATAACACTGGTAACTTGACTGTCTACGCCCCCCCTGCTGCCCAGAAGACAAACTTGCCCGGTTCATGGACTTACCAGGGATGTTACTCTGATAACATCAACAATGTCAGAGCTCTTTTCTGGCAGAACATTCTTACCAACAACAACACGGCCACCAGCTGTCTCAGTCTCTGCGCCCAATATGGTTACATGGCTGCAGGAATGGAGGTCAGTATATTCTGTTTGACTACATTTATAGATCCGTGCAATACTAATTCTTGGACAGTATGGTGATGAATGTTACTGTGGAGATGCTTCGGCACTAGTTGCTTCTGGTTCGACTCAACAACCCGAAACCGACTGCCAAGTTCCTTGCTCTGGTAACTCAGCTTACTACTGTGGTGGCGGAAGCAGACTCTCCTATTATACATGGACTGGAACGCCTCTCTACGTATGGAATTCCCCTACCGGTAACGCCATGGGCTCTTACGAATTCTTGGTTGGTGGAGTTGTGGTTCCTTTGATCACTACTGTCGGTATCAACGACAAAGTTGTCTTCATGGAGAAGTCTGGTACTGGTGCACCAAACACAACTGGTACCTATGAACTCGATCTTGCATCCATTGACGACTTTCCAAATGCCTGGAGAGCACTCCACGTGAAGAGTGACATCTTCTGTTCCGCCGGTGTCACTCTTCCTGACAAAGCTGGTCGCCAGTTGAATATTGGAGGCTGGGCTGGTGCTTCTACCTACGGAGTGCGTATTTATACCCCAAGTGGATCCCCCGGAGTACCTGGAACAACCGATTGGGAAGAGAACGTCAATGAGCTCTCTCTGCTTGCTGGCCGTTGGTATCCTTCAGCTATGATCATGACCAATGGTTCCGTCCTTGTCCTCGGTGGTGAAGTCGGCTCGAACAGTGCACCCACGCCATCTTGCGAGATTCTTCCAGCGCCGCCAGGAGGCTATGCCAAATATCTCGATTGGTTGGACCGTACCGATCCCGATAACTTGTACCCATTCTTGTTCGTTCTGCCTACTGGAGGTATCTTCGTTGTCTACTACAACGAAGCACGAATCATCGACGAGGTGACTTTTGATACCATCAAGACATTGCCCAACCTGCCAGGTTCAGTCAACAATTTCTTGGCCGGACGCACCTATCCTTTGGAGGGTACAGGTGTCTTGTTCCCTCAATATCCTCCGTACACTGACCCAGTAACTGTGCTGGTCTGTGGAGGCTCATCAAATGGAGCTGCGTACGCAATCGACAACTGTGTCTCGACTCAACCCGAGGTTGGTTCCCCAACCTGGACACTAGAACGCATGCCCTCCCAGCGAGTTATGTCCTGCATCTGCGCCCTGCCCGATGGAACCTACCTGATCCTCAACGGAGCGCAAGAAGGTGTCGCAGGCTTCGGTCTAGCCACCGACCCCAACTACAACGCCGTTCTCTACGACCCATCTAAGCCCGTCAACCACCGCATGTCCATCATGGCCACCACAATCGTAGCCCGTCTGTACCATAGCGAAGCTATCCTCCTACCAGACGGCCGTGTCCTCGTGTCTGGCTCAGATCCCGAAGATGGTGTCCACCCAGAAGAATACCGAGTCGAGGTCTTCAACCCTCCATACGCGCTCTCTGGTGCTACACCCCCCTCCTTCACTATCACCAACACGGATTGGCTATACGGCGCATCCGTCTCCATCACAGCAAACATCCCCACTGGCAACCTAGGAGCCGTCCGCGTCTCAATGATGGCGGCAGTATCCTCCACCCACGGAAACAGCTTGGGTCAACGCACGCTTTTCTTGGCCGTATCCTGTGCCGGCGCCGCGAATTCCGCAACCTGCGTACTTACCACGCCTCCATCGGCTCACGTCGCGCCACCGGGGTGGTACCAAGTGTTCGTGCTCGATGGACCGACGCCGGGCCACTCGAACTGGGTCCGTGTCGGAGGTGCGATCGCGGACGCGGCGGGATTGGGCAACTGGCCGGCGTTCTCGGATTTCACTAGGCCGGGTCTGGGTGCGGTTGGTTCGTAGATAGATAGTTGGGTTATATAGATAGATAGGTGTTTCTGAAATGTTGAGTCAATACCCTCGACGGAGCGAAATCTTTTTCTCGGGTGCTTGGAGTGGGGAGGTGTTTGTATGGGAGGTTGGTAAAATTATGATTGCATTTGCATACAGTGGTGAGATTAAGGGTTTAGATATGATTGAATGTAATTGTTAATGTTTAATGGTTTCCATCTCGTCACCGGTACCCCGCGTCAATTCGGACATAAATACATCCATCTAGTGCTAATGAAAAATTGGATATTGATGACAGAAAGCCATGCCTCCTCTCTGCTGCATCAACACAAGTGCCCATAGCAGCCATCCTCACCATCAATCCAAAGTAAGCTAGTCTATAAAACCCAATAGTGAATCCGGAAGTGACGACGCTAAAGCCCAACAACTCCCCTCTCTCTCTCCTCGCCCCTAATTGGCCAGCCCAAACCTTCTTAATAGAATCAAATAAGCATTTTTCCTCCCACTAAGTCCGGAAACCAAAGGTTGCTAATATACTGTTAACTCAGTTGACAGCTTCTAGATGGACTTAGGCACGCCATAACGAAAGTTTACGCCACAATCGCGACTTTAAAAACTGCACCCGACACCGAGCAAGTTTTCTACGATCCCCCCTCTTCGACAGGTGGGGTCTGAGTTTTTGCTTCCCTTGTCTATTTTCTTTTTGGGGGTTTGAGGGAAGGAGGGAGGAGGTTTTTTTTTGGTGTTGTGATCAAGTGGTGCTCGCTTAACTTGGAGGAAGTTCGTCGACGAGGGAAGCGAGGGGGATGTCGGTTTGGGAAAGAAAGGAGGTAAATGACATTTTTACTTAGTGTGGGTTTGGGGCGACTGTAGATGAAAGTTTCAATCTTTCGGGTGTTTATATTTGGTAAAGCCACTAGAATGGCTTTTTGATAAGCCTCGGCCTCGGGAAAAGGATCATATCCATTTAGGGTAAAGATGTTAAGAGCGCGCGAGCGCGAGTAGCTTTTTACATTACATAATCTTCTTGTTTATGGTTGTTTAATACCAATAGCATGTATGCAGTTCGAGAGTCGATATAAAGGGATTGTTAGCCTGATTCTTGCGGATACGAGATATGTTGCTGAAGTCATTCTTTGTCTTACCCCACTATATCATTATCTCATAGCTCGAGCTTACGAGCAGAGCTGTAACAGTCACCACATTAAGAATCACTCCATCTCTTAGCCCGCGACGAACTCGTAACACAGAACACTGAACGTGATAAAGACTAGAATGAGTTGTTCATTCCAAATAGGAAAAGTCCACCACCGTACGTGAACCTCAAAATGCTATGCTGTGTAATACCCCGCTATGCTATGAAATCAAATAACGCCGCCCTTAGTCCTGATCAAGAAGCATCTCGTCGGACCCGGTATCATCTTCCTCGCCCTCTACGCCAACCGTATCTTGTCCCCTTTCTTCGTTTCCTAAGCCCATATCTTGTTCGTCACCTCTATTTACAGCGTCCTCTTCCTCAATATCATCTCCGGTACTGATCCCCACCTCTAATTCTGCTTCACCCTCGCCACTCCCCGTTCCAGTCATTTCCTCTTCTTGTACGATCTGGGCCTCGGTCTTCATATATGTGCCAGTCGACTCGGATTCCATAGCTAGCTCGAGCTTTCTCTTCTCTTTTGCCCACCGCTTTTGGTTGTTTATCTTTGCTACGCCGGATTCGATAGTTAGGTTCTCGACTGATGGAGTTACTTGTTTGCCATGTTTATCGAGGAGCCAGGGGTCGACTGTTGGGGGAGGCTTGATATCTGGCGATAGGTTAATATTGAGCGGGGGTCTTTGTAGGTCGTAGCACTTACCCAGAACAGTCGCCTTCGGGCCATCTCCCATGTGCCATGAGAAGGGAATCAAGTGACTTTTCTCAATATGATTCTTCCACTCCTTTCTCGACTTGAACGCAATTTCCCTACCTCCCATTATCGGTGGCTCTGAATCGACACCAACTTCTCCCTTAGCGTCAATACCACACTTCGCCCAGGCACAAAACCGTACGCCCTCCACATTTTTGCTTCCATGAATTGCATGAATATGCCGCTTTAGAGTTTCCAAATTGTGTAACTCGGCCTTGCAACCTCTCCATTCACAGAGAAATGGTACGTACTCAGCCATCGGAATTGGAATGTCAACCTGATCAGAAGATTTCATGGGTCGTCCTCGTCGTCTTGCAACAGATTCTCCGTTAGATTTGGCTTTGGCTTTCGCCGCAGTTTCTGCGCTTTTGAAAGGTCGACCGCGTCTTTTGAGACTCGAGCCTTCTGATTTGGACATGGAATCGACGGGTGGATTCTCTGCTGCGTTGCGAGTAGGTCGGCCTCGGCGCTTCGAAACAGGCGAGGAGTGTACCTCTATGGCTAACTTAGATGGCTTGATAGCTTTTCCACTTCCTGGCGGGCGGCCTCGTCGTGAGGGCCCCCCTGTGGAAGGAGTTGGAGACGGAGAAGATGCAGGATAGACAGATGATTCTGCGCTGTAAAGTATGGGCTGGGAGGAAGCTTGTTGTTGGGTGTGAGAATAATTCGGGGTTGCAACTTCCATATGACTTGAATAATAGGGCTTTTGTCCCGGAATGTGTGAAGCCCGGTGAGATTGACTCTGGAAATGAGGCGAAGAGTGAGACCTAGCGAACTGTTGGACTGGAGAGTTGAATGGAACCATTTGAGGTTGGGGCTCATAATATTGATGTTGGATTTGTGGCTGAGGAAAATCGTGACCATGACCACTTACAGTCGATGGGGCAGGTCGTTGAGTTGGATATGATGGTCCAGGTTGGCGGTGCTGAGAAAAGGAGCTTAGTGCAGACTGGGCTGATCTCTGTGCCTGGAACTGAGGCGACCTTTGAACCTGATACGGAACTAAAGGCGCCGAGGGGCGTTGAGATGGCGGTCCAGCTGATTGGTATACCGGGAACTGTTTTGATTGTAGCTTTGGTGAGTGAAGAGCCGAGTTTATTGTAACATCGAATGCTGGTTCAACTCCACCGAAAGGTCCACGAGCCGCTGGCTGCTGTCCATTGGGAAGAGACGATGAAGTTTCAAATCTTTCTCGAGCTGGTACAGAATCCCTGACCGAAGGACCATTGTTAGAGGGCACATACGGTGATTTATATGACTGTTCAGTGTAAGGGGATTCAGCCGAGACCAAGCCGCCTCGAGTGGGCTTTGTGAAAGGTCGAGGCTGCTTCTTGTCGCCATCTTGCTCAACAGGGGGTGGCATGTTTTATATCTTATCACCCAATAACTTTCAAAGAGATAGGATCCGAACTTCGAAAGCTTTATTTCTTTGAATGATGAGATTTGTGACTTTCTTCGGGTAACTCACAAAGAACGAGTTCGAGAGGGGTTGTAGTTGATTGTGTAGACCTCCACTGTACCAGACGGTGGTTCGCAAGTGTTATTTCCACAGTTACACTGTTGGCCTACCTTACGGTTTTCGTTCGCCTTTGGTATTAGTTGCTCGAAGATTCTAAGGTTGTAGCCACCAATCCTGTGCTTCGGCTCGAGTTCAAAAATAGCTCTCAGAACACCAGAAGACTTCAATGTATGACAATTATACACTATTTAGTGTCTGTTCGTGTTTGTTCTTATAGTATGAGGCGAGAGTAACTTCGAGGAGGATCCAAGGGCATACGGCTACCTCGGTATTAAATGGAGCGGCCGCCTCTTGAAATTGCTTTGATAAACGTCAGTCCAAAGTATCAATTGGGTATTCATATAAGTAAATTTACCATTAATTCCACCAAAGTCCAAGGCCGTGAATATGGCGGCTGAGCCTGTGAACGAGCCCGGGAAAAGGTCAACGGAGCATCACGTGGGGTTAAAAGCATCCTAGATTTCAGGTCCATCAGCTCTAAAAACAATGAAAGAAATTAGAGCATGGGCTTTGACATCTTTTGAGCAAGTTGATGACGAGTGGGAGTCCTGAGACATGTTTACAGAACTGAGGTAAATCGGTGAAATTACTTACAAGCCGATCGTTCCTTCCTTGGCCTCCCGTCCCGTCCTCAAAGCATCACCTTATATCGATCTGGTCCCAAAATTATCCACAAAATTGGATAATCGGAAGATCGATTTAAAAGAGGTTGATCGTGAGTTGAGGTCGAGAGGATAAATATTTCAAAAAGGTGGAATTAATTTTTAATTATCTACTTCGCCTAAATCGCGTCCAATTTGCGTATTTGGTGTCTCCGGTCACCGGAGGAAATGTAACTCGAGTACAGGATTAATCCAGAGTTTGTACAAGATTGCTAGATTTTACTGGACTTTATTAGATAAAAAGTAGATAATCCTTTTCATTATTATTAAACTTATCCAGGATTTATTTATTATAAAATTAATAGAATAAATAAGTCTTTGACAAAAGCTAGATAATTGTTTCCCTACGGTAGCATCCAACGGAATATCATGGATAATTGACTAAGATCCGACCATGATTTGACTATGATTTAACCAAGATACCCTCACTTATTATGAACCATTATATGACCAAGAAATTCCAAGAAATTCCGTGATTTTGGAGGGAAAATGGCGCAAGCAAATAATAGATTAAATTAGGGCCTGAATGCCTGAATGCTAAGTAGACTGAGTACAAAAATGCCACTATTCCCAGATTTCATGCACTCCAGCTTGCACTCCTGCCTTGCCCTTCTGCCCTACCCTTCTGCCCTACCCTTCTACCCTACCCTTTTGCCATTCGTATAATATGATGTGAAGACGCGTTCTAAAAGATCGTTAGTACTATGGATTGATGCTGCAGATGGTGTCACATACCTGGATTGAGAGAGGGATTGAGAGAGGAGATGCATGCATACTTGGTAGGAGGGGGGGGAGGGAGAGAGAGATGCATCATGTAGACTTACTATGGGGACTTACTGGAAGCTGGGAGAGTGGAAGCTGGGAGAGTGGAAGTTGAGTTTGTTTACCTTAGCTAGGTAGCGTGTTTATTTGCTTATATAAGTCATTGCATTGGAATCTAAGTTGAAATCCTCTAAGGCACTCAAATCATGGATATTTATCTATTATTCATTCAATAATTAGAAAATTAAAAAGATATCCAAGATTTGTACGTGATTTAAAAATTTAGAATTTATAAAATAATTAAATAATGGAATATTTTAACTAAAAAATCCATGATAATCTATGATATTCCGTGATATTCCATGATTCTTGGTCAGATCTTGGTCAAATAATGGCAAATCATGGATAAAGTGCTTCCGTAGGGTTTTATTCTTTATTCTATCTGCAAAGGAGCACGGTCAAGAGCAAAGAGTAGAGTGCGGTCAAAGAGGTCTCTCTTCCTTAGACTGAATCGAGCTGAGGAAGGCGCTACCTAGCTCTTAGTCGGGGGATAAGTTGCCGATTTAACGAACTGCAGTGATTTCTTTGAATTTGCAGTATTACTAACACAACGATCAATAATTATAAAGAAAGAATATTATCTAAAGAATTATTGGGTATTTTTGAAGTAATCTAGAAGACAATCTGAACTTAAAGTCGTGGTGTACTGAAAAAATAATCTGTGCAGCACTTTGGATTTTTGGTGTCCTCGCCTGGGCAATCAGCAAGTTAGATTCCCGACCTAGCTGATGCGGCCGCATCACGGAGCCCTGGCACCTGTGCTGGCCCGCGACACTATCTAGGATTTAAAGCCCTCAGAAAAGTTCAACTAAATATTTACATATAATAAGCAATGATAAACACGTTAGGCAAACTAAACAAACTCCTACTTCGGCTTCCACTCTCTCAACTTCCACTCTCTTAGCTTCCACTCTCCTAGCTTTCACAGTAAGTTTCCATAGTAAGTCTGCATCATGAACCTCTCTCTATCGCTCTCTCTCTCTCTCTCTCTCTCTCTCTCTCTTTCTCTCCACATCTCTTTCTCTCTTTCGCTATCTCTCTCACTATTTCAAGGTACTTGACTCCATCTACATCATCTATCCAAACAGTTCTAACTCTCTTTCTTCTAGATCATACAAGCAAAACTGCAGGGCAAAAGTGCAGGATAGGAGTACAAGATAGGAATACAAGATAGGAGTACAAGATAGGAGTATAAGATAGGAGTACAAGATAGGAGTGCAAGATAGGAGTGCAAGACAAGAGTGCAGGGCAGGGCATAAGTGCAGGGCATACATACACAGAGGGTCAGAGGGCAAGAAGCTAGGAATAGCATCCATAATCAGGTGTTCAGGCATTCAAAGGGGCGGATTTTGGGCCCAAATTCTCGACTTGCACTGGACTATTTATCCAGTAAATCTCCGGGTCGTTGCTACCGTAGGGAAACTTGTCTCAACTTCTTGCAGCTAGACAACTCTCCTTTCTTTCATCATAAGAGACATTACCATACTTCAATGCACAGAAATCTCAGTGTGACGACGAGTAACCTTGTCAGCATTGCCCTCCTGCGAACATATTGACGTTTCAGCCATGAAAATTTTGTCGGCATATTACACCCTCTCACCGCCTACAAGAGCACATTGTACGGGATTAATCCAGAGTTTATACAGGATTACTAGACAATTGCTGGATCCTACTGTACAAAAGCCGGACAATCCAACTCTATTATAATTATCTAAAATCTCTTTATTTGTAAGTTTAAAAGTTTCAAATCCCGGACAGAAACTAGATAACTATTTCATTCTTTTATTCTATCCAGAATTTGAGGCCCTTAAAGAAATTCAATCAAATGCATCCATTAAGTGAGCAATAATAAACACGCTAGCTAAAGTAAACAAACTCACTCCCCCAGCTTCCACACTCTCAGCTTCCGCAGTAAGTCTCCACTGTGAGTCTGCATCATGCGTCTCTCTATTCTTGTTTCTCTCTCTTCTTGTTTTCACAATAAGTATGCATGCATCTCTTCTCTCGATCTTCCTCTCAATCTGGGTATGTGACACCATCTGCAACATCAATCCACAGTACTAACTCTCTTCTAGAACGCGTTTATCACACAAGCAGGAATACAGGGCAGGAATACAGAGCAGGAATACAGGACAGGGATACGGGGCAAGAGTACAGGTCAAGAGTACAGGTCAAGAGTACGGGGCAAGAGCGGCAGGCAGAAGTGGCGGGCACGAGTGCCAGCAGGAGTGCCGGAAACTGGGCATACTTTCATTATAATTTTCAGCTCTCAGGCACACATTTTTTGCCTATAAGTAAGTGACGGATTTTGGTTGCGAATACTGGATATGTACTCGACTACTCGCCAAATGATCTACTTCTTGTTTCAATAGTAAGTATGCATGAATCTCCCTCTCAATGCCCCTCTCAATCCAAGTATGTGACACCATCTGCAGCATCGATCCACAGCACTGACTCTCTTCTAGAACGAGTTTATCATACAAGCAGGAGTGCAGGGCAGGAGTGCATGGTATATATACACAGAGTGCTGGCAAGAGGGCAAGAAGCTAGGAATATCATCAATGATCAAGCATTTAGGCATTCAAAGTGACGGATTTTGGGCCCAAGTCCTGGACTTGTACTGGATATTTTCTCTGCATAATTTGAGTGGATGAATCCTGGACAATGACTGGATAATTTATCCAGTAGAAATCCAGTCATTGCTACCGTAGGGACCGTGTCAGGTGGCCTCACTTTCTTTGTGAAAGAAACTTACTCATACTATCAAATCTGCTTTCGACACTTCGTCGCTTCTTTTTTGGACGAAAAGATTCAATGTCACGAGTGTGTTGTAGCCTCGAGATGCAGACTCTTGTTTCGGTTTGCTTCGAAGTCTACTTCCATACTTCCATGAATCTCTCTCTCTCTCTCTCTCTCCAGCTACTTCAAGGTACGCTACACCATCTGCAGCATCTCTTCAAACAGTACTAACACTCTTCTAGATAATACAAGCAAGACTGCAGGGCAGAAGTGCAGGATAGGAATGCAGGACAAGAGTGCAGGCAGGAGTGCATAGCGGAGGACATAGCATACATACACAGAGTGCAGGCAAGAGGACAGGCAGGATTATAAAGCCCTGTTCGTATCATATCAGCGTTGAAGCAGTTCGGCCTTCAAGTCTCACGCTGGACGACTCTTGTTGACATGAGCTTCTCATATGAATGATAGGTCATCGAACTTCGTCTGCGACATCTCGACCACTCTTTCTTCAACATTATAATTACGAATCCATTATATTATGCACAAATTTCTACTGGGACTCGGGGTGACCTTTTCTACCTGAATAGTGGTGCTTGAAGTTGTTGGCGGGAGTTCTTTCCTGAACTACTGGGTATTTTGTCATTATAATATCATAAGAAGGGCGATCCCAAGCTTGCAAGTAGACGTCGCCAATGACTTCTAATTCACATATGTTTGCGATTTGCTGTTGAATATCTGCTATCAAACACACAAGAATCTGATACCTATGCGAATGCTTAGAGTTTTGATTTGTAGCTGGTCATTGGTCTTGATTGGTGTCGCGCCTGCAGCGAGATGTCCGAGCTCGACTTTGCTCAGATGTCAGTCTCTAGCTGCAGGTACATTATAAATGCGATCGTTCTCGGCTCGGCTCTTGACCGAAGCCTCTCATAAGCGATGGCCAGAATTTGGCTTTGCTCTCCCAATCTGGAAGTTGAAGTAGTTTGCGTCTTTTGAGTCAAGGAATGCCTGCCTTGCAGCTGAGATCTCCAGATGACGGCTAAACGAGATCACGTAGCCGCAAAATCAACATCCATTGCTGGTTGCTGAATTTCCCGACCCCCCTTCATCATCTTCTTGACAAGTTCCAGGCCAAGCACCTTTGGGGTACTGTAGTCCCTCTCGTGGGTCTTCCAAGTTTGGACATTGTGTCCACTCGCCTCCTTCTAGTAGTACTAGAATTCATCGTTGAAAGATACACACTTTGTCAAGCCTATATGACCACTGTAACCAATCGAACAACTCAAATTCTCTCCAAATTTAGCTCGGCTTGCGAACACTTCGAACCTTGAGCCCACATCGGGATTGTATTGCTCCACATCTCGTGCCCCTCTCATCTCCTTCCAGTACTGTTGTTGGCCTCACGACCCATCGCAACTCACGGTACCGGCTACGATCCGATGTCAATTTATTTTAGTTCGCACCAGTGCCTCCACTCCGATCCGAGAACAAATCAACTTCCAACTTTTGAAAATGTCGTTGGCACGGTCCTCTGTTTCTTCCGCTCTGACCCAAGAAATGTACAGGGTACCCCAGGATCATCTAGCCTCAGTTAATGGTTCTTTGCCTGGCACTTTAACTTTTCTTTTTCTAACATGTGCATATGATTTTCAGATCGCTACTACGGTTGTCATACAGAAACTTTTGTCGTGAATATACCAAGATCGTTTACCCCACAGCGGAGGACATCGTGGAGCTCAGATTCCAGCGCTCAGATCCATGGGACGTCAAGGATCGTTCCATGCAGGTTTGAACAGGGTAGTCCTATTCTGTGGATTCACCATCGGTGGAGTCCTCTACGTTTGCGATGAGCAGTGAACTCTATCGCAATACGTATCGCTTATGCAGTCTTCGATCTATGTACAAGTTGAAGATTTTACGCCTCCCGCTACGGCCGTCACTTGTTCACGGGCCGGGCTACTATCTACTTCTGAGGCCTCCAGCACAGACGTGTTAGTGTGCCTTTGCTGACTCGTTAGTCTCCATATCGCCGCGCCAACAAAAGCTACCTAAAGTCAGCCTTGCTGGGTTCTTTGAACTGTTCTTCCAGCTGATTTGTTGTTTGGTTATGGGGATGGGATGAAATCCATCCCGGGGCTAGCAAACGGTACCGCGCCGTTATGCCCACAAAAACAGAATACTCAAGATCGTTTCACCAGCATCTCCCTGATTAGCATGGGGACGGGGTTTGCTCAAGATCTAGGATCTAGACCCTATAACCATGATTCTATCCGGATGTCGTAGTCTTATCTGACCGAGCACACCAATTCCTGCATTATCAAGTCCTCCTATGCGGAGCAGTGGAAAATCCACGCAACAAGAAGATCTCTGAACATGCAAGGCTCGTCACATCCCATAAATGGAGTCTGCTACTGTTCAAAGCAGCCCTACTATTCATACTCCTCGATTGTCCCTCACTTCAGTTCCAAGCTTGGATCAACTCCGAGACACACTCAAGTCTATCAGTATGGACGACAGTGACTTTGACGCCGAAACAACACAAGAATCAGTGTCGGCACCAGAAGCAGAGTTTTTTGATCTTCAGCCTCCAGCCCCAAATACGAATAACGTGAAGATTGAAGATGTGATGAAGAGACTGATGAGTGCGGAGCACCTTCACTTCATTCTTGCGGACCAGTAAGCAGCAAACTCCTTTGCTCCTCTATTCTAGAGAAGCTGGTACTGACTTCCTTTAGTACGTTGTTCTACCGTTTCTCGTCGTTTCTCAACAGGTACAGATCACACCTTGTACCAACGTTGATCCGATATCTGGAAATGCGGAAAGCCATGAAGGCAATCGAATACGCCAATTCTATTGTCAGGACGATTCGCTGGCCATCTCATACAGACTTCTGTAAGTTTACTCGCGTTCAAGCTGCATCGGCAGATGTGCGCTTCGAGGATTATGCCGCGCGGGAAATGCTGCTTCTCTGTACAGAAGCCCTTCCAGCTTTCATCACACACACCTTGATTGGTGTTGTTGCGGATTGCGTAGGAAGGGACATCACAGGCCAGGGAATACCAGTAGTACAGGATCTCATTGGGAATCTGGCAGAAGTTTTCTGTCTCACAGATCCTTCCGTTCATGACAACCCAATTATTTTTGCTTCGGAGGGTAAGCCATGCCCCAAGCTCGTAGAGCCATATTAATTGTGAGCAGAATTTCATAGAACTACCCAATACGGGACGATGTATGCGATCGATCGAAACTGCAGATTCCTGCAAGGGCCCGAAACGGACAAGGATACCACATTGAGGATCGCAAAGGCTATTTCTTTGGGTCAGGAGTCCAACGAGATTCTGCTTAATTATCGTCGAGATGGAACTCCTTTTGCCAACTTGCTCATGTGTGCGCCACTGTACGATGACAAAGGCATAGTGCGATACTTCATCGGCGCACAAGTCGATGTGACTGGCTTGGTGAAAGAAGGCATGGGTATTGAATCGTTTAGAGCCCTTCTACAAAAAGACAAAGATGAGCAGAAAAATTTGGAAGTGCGGTCCGGCACACCACGGCTGTCTCGTGCCGTCAATCCAAACAGGCCGAAAGAAACGCTGGCCAAATTACAAGAATTGAGTATGATGTTTAGTCAAGACGAATCAGATATCGTTAACAGAAATATACGAGGGGGAGACGATTCAACAGATGGTGGATCAACTAGATCCGGTGTTCCGACCAGCGTGAAGGACAGAAGTCAGAGGAAAAGAATAATTGGAACGGAGGAAATGCAAGACGGTATTGGACTGAACTTCAATCATCTTAATCTCAACGGGAGTCTGGCGACTAGCAGTCTCCCAGGTGTGTATAAACATGTAAGTCCCAAGACTTCATTATAACGAGGGGCTCATAATATCCCTTTGAAAATCGAACTGACAGACGACAATAGTATCTCCTCGTGCGACCTCATCCCTCCTTACAGATAATCTTCGTTTCTCCCTCTCTACGAATCCCAGGCCTCCTCCGAACTCACCTCTTTACCAAACTCGGTGGTCCGTCAGCGACAATCGCTGCTCTCGAATCCGCTTTTCGCGACGGCGCATCCGTGACAGCCAAAGTTCTTTGGCTTCCAAAGAGTACCTATGCCGGCGAACGTGGTCGTGGACCAGCAGAAGTAAAGCCCAGGTTCATACGCTGTACCCCATTGCTCGGTAGTGATGATCGAGTCGGGGTTTGGATGGTTGTCCTTGTTCCTGTTGACAGTGAGCCAGAACATAGACATGGATTTGGCGGTGCTGGGTCTGGATCGATATCCTTGAGCGGACTTGGGATTGGGAGGAGGGACCACATTGCTGACTATGTGATGGATGATATCGATGGGAAGAGAAGATATGGCTTTGCTTCTTCGAGACCAGGGTCAAGAGCGGCTAGTGTAAGGAAAGCGAGTAGTGTAGACGGGGATATTGACGGAGGGTTTGGTCTTAAAAAGGCTCGAGGGGTGAGAGCCAACGGACTGGTGGAGGACGAGAGGGAATTGTATGCTGAGTATTTGAGGGGTTCAAACTCTCCAGGGAGTCGGGTGAACGCCAAGATGAATGGACGAAGCACGAGTGTGAGCGCGAGCATAACACCAAGAAGAGGTAGAAAGGATAGTGGGGCAGCAGTGACTTGATGAATGCATTATACCCTGCAATGGAAATAAAAGATTTGGATGAAAGCACCTAGATCAGAAATACTTACCTGTGAAGTGGACCAGGACAAATCTTAGGCGAAGGCACTGCAGCTTTCCGTCTGAACAGGTTCAGAGATCAAGGTGCTGTATTTGCATGTGAAGAAAAGAAAACCACCTTTACAAGTCTTACCGGCATGCTATAGTATCTTGTTTGGTTGATGAGCATAGACGAATCAATCCCCTTCTATCGAGGTACATATCTGAGTTGAATGGGCCTTGGCTGCAAGTACATATACTCGGGATCCTTATCCTGACAATAAAACAGTCCAAATATAGATATATGCATTTCCAAACGCGCCTGCAAACTTGCTACGATTTAGTACACCACCTATCAACTTCGTAGGCGGGCAAACATTTGACGCAAGTGAAGGATGGAACAGCAATCTACCAGAACATCAATCAAGCGCAACCCTACAGAAGGAACGTGAAGTGGGCTGAATACTTGCAGCCCAATGCAAAGCTCCGAAAACGGAGACACAAGATAAAGACGCATAAAAATTTTCTTTCAGCTGTTTGAATAGATTTGAAAAGTCACAGGGTAGGATAAAATGCTTGATGCAGGTACGAAACCAGCTTGCGATGACTCGTGATGGAAAATCGGCACAATGGCCGTTGCATGCCTGGTGCTGAAGCTTCCCCAGCCCCCGCTCTACAGCCGATGTCGTGCTTCAACCTCTTCAGTCCAACATCATTCACTCGTCCTCCACGAATGTATATATTTTAATAGATTTATGTGACGTTAGACAACAACGCGCCTTGCACACGGCCATCTACTTTGTGTGCCATCTTGCTTGTGCAACATGGCCTCGACTCGAACGCCCCTCCTCGCTCCAGACAACGAATCCTTTACATCGAGCTCCTCCTCCTTTTCTCGAAAGAAACTATTACGACAACGAAATATAACGAGATATGTTTCATTTGCATCTGCCATATTGTCCTGCCTTTGTGCAGGCTCGATTACTGCCTACTCGTTGTACGGCCATCTCTTTCAAGAACGTTTACGGTACACACAACTACAAGTCAATATAGTAGTCATTGGAGCAGAACTAGCGTTGTATCTCCCGGTATCAGTCTTTGGATACCTCTGCGACCGTTACGGACCAGCACCTCTTTCATTTGTTTCTGCCATCTTGTTTGGCGCGGGTTATTTGCTTGCAGCATTCACATATAGAAGTGGAGCGAAGGACATCTATGGATATACAACAGAGCGTGGTTGGCCTCTGTCTGTTATGGTCATTGCATTTGTTATCATTGGGATGGCGACTACTTTAATGTATCTCAGCGCTATTACGACCTGTGCGAAGAACTTCGGGAAGGGGAAGCATAAGGGACTGGCGTTGGCGAGCCCAATTGCAGCCTTCGGACTGAGCGGAATGTGGCAGAGTCAGGTTGGCAGTCGAATACTATACGAACGGCGGCGTAATGGAGAGAGAGGTGATGTGGATGTGTTCAAATTCTTTCTGTTCCTGGCTTTCACCCTGCTGGCAGTGGGACTGCTCGGGACGTTCCTATTGAAGATCGTAGACGAAGAGGAATTGATTGACGAAGCGGTCGAAGAGCTTGAGAGGAGCGGCTTATTAGAAGACAGCGAATTCTTCAGGGCTGGCAGAAGCTATGGTGCAGTCGACAATGTTCCGGACGAAGATGACTTGGAAGCGAGGAGAATAGAAGATAACAAAGCTCACGAAGAAGAGGAGGCTCGAAAGAAGACATGGCTGTTGAATGAGGAGACCCGTAGGTTCCTGAAGGATCGCACGATGTGGTGGTTGGCAGCAGGCTTCTTTATGGTCTCGGGTATGTTTCTGTCTCTCTGCAAGTGATATATTTCTGCTAACAGTGTTGCAGGACCTGGCGAGGCTTTCATAACCAATCTGGGAACCATCATTGGCACCCTCTATCCTCCTCATCCGGTTGTCGCCATCGTCCCGACGACTGCAGCTACGCATGTATCTATTGTCGCTATCACTTCAACCTTTGCTCGTATTTTCTTTGGAACCATGACTGATCTCTTGGCTCCAACTCCAGCTGCACATCATTACCAATCAGCGGCAAACTCGCTTGCTTCGTTACCTCCGCGAGACGGACGATTCACCATCTCTAGAGTAACGTTTCTCATCGTATCTGCATTACTTCTTTCTTTAGGCCAAGTTATCCTCGCATCTGGACTCGTCCAGAACCATGCAGAGCGGTTTTGGCTAGTATCTGCCCTGATTGGGTCCGGATATGGTGCCTTATTCAGCTTGACGCCTCTAGTTATCAGCGTCATCTGGGGTGTGGAGAACTTTGGCACCAATTGGGGAATAGTTGCAATGGTTCCTGCAGCTGGTGCCACATTATGGGGAGTGATCTACTCGAATGTTTACCAGTGGGCAGCCAACCAAGGATCTGCTGTCAGTGATATGGACGAAGATGTCTTATGTTATGGCAAACACTGTTATTCTACAACCTTCTGGGCGATGGCATGTAGTGTTTGGATCGGGTGCGGGCTATGGGTCTGGGCAGCGGCTATCTGGCGTAAACGCGGCATCTCTGTTTGAGCACAATGCATAATCGATTCCTCTTTGAATATGCTATTTCTCGTTCTAAGTAATGTGTGTTGTGTTGGCGGCCGAGTGGCAAGCAGAACTCGTGGCGAACCTGCGAAGGCGGCCGCGCTGCACTCTCTTGGACGGCCGCAATATTGTTCTGGCCCCTTTCCAGCTACAATTGATGGTGCTCGTTATCCTAAACAAAGCACCCTGAGCTTTCGGTCATGCAAGATAGAGGGGGCGCTAAGAAGAGGCAGATTGTCGCGATGCGTTGATTTCCCAGGCTCGCGGTCGAAAAGTGGTGATAATTAGTGCCACAGATTACTCAACTATTGCCAATTCAAGTCAATCTGCGTCGACTTGAGCAGCTCTTCTAAGCAAAGCTTGTCGTGTAGAACGTGACTACACCCCACAGCAAAAACCGAAGCTTGGCATTTCTGTCCCGTTCTACAAATCTGGAGTTTTTGCGACCTCTTTATCTCGTGTCCATCTTAATAAGCTCAAATGCAAGGGTGCAAAACTTCCAGCGTCACTTTCTTGCATATGCCAAGACCGTATCTACTTTTATTTCGTATTGCTGACCGGGACAGAAGTTAAGCTCAGTTAGTGTCTTCAGTTGAAGTTGTATTATTCCCAACAACAATAAGTATATACATGGTGCGCTTTTAGACTTTGTTACGCAGCATCTACACTCCAACATCAAAGACTGCCGTTCAAGATGCAATTCACTATCTCTCTTTTGGCTATTGCCTCAGTTTCAGGCTTGGTATCAGCAGCTCCAAAACTTGCTGCCCGCCAAACCACGTCTGTTATTTACGCTTGCACCAACTCGACATTTCCAGTTGGTGACCCATGTCCTAACGGCATCTCAATGGGAAGTGGCTTCTGTGCAGCTCTGAACGTTGAACCTGGCGTGTGTTGTAAGTCATCTGCCTTTTGTCACAAGTATCTTGACACTTACCATTTCTCAGACAACTGGGCCTCGTTCCCTGATGATGCACCACTTGTCAACAACTTGACGTTTGTCGAAATTCCCAATAATGGAGGTGTTTATGGATGCAATATCTACATGTGAGTTCTGGCCCAGGATTTAGTATGGAGTTCCATTCTGATGAGGAGCCAGGAGTGACGATTGTTCCGGTGATTTTGGGACAATACAGGATGGCCAGAATGATCTGAGCTGTCCCGGACTTGGGCCGGTGGCATATAATAAGAAGGTCAGTAGCCTTAGTTGCTACACAAACTGAGTATATCAAATGCCATGATATCTCTTTGGCCTTGGTGAAGGGATGGTACGGAATTCCGAAAGACTCGCAATTGTGGTTTGGAGCTTAGGACTGGAGCCCAACAGACAAGTGAAAGACCCCGAGGAAGAATGAGATATTCCTCTCCATGTGTGCTGATCGATTGTTGAGTCAAGGTGCGAGACGGAATGTATTCAAATAAGACCCAGCGCTTGTGGCCCAGTTCTGGAGGCGGAAGGGCGTACCCCACTTTTATTGTCGCTTGTTCAGTTACACAACCAATTTCCCATATTCCCTCGTTTTGCTTTGTCTTGTCCTTCAACACAGTCCACTAGTGTCGGCGCACTTTCAGAATGGATGAAACTATTGTCGTCAGCTCCGTGGCCCCTAAAATAAACGCTGTCGATGCGATTGCCTTTGTGCCGCCAGGCTCAACAAATGAAGCGGAATTTGAGCTCGCGGCGTTTGGGGAAGTGATCATCCCAGTAGAGCAAGGCAAGAAAAGGAGTAAAGTGAGACTTTTTGCTATGATCGTGGCATTGAACGTGAGTCGAGCCCATTGAAACATATTGAACAATGCTAATTTGGAGGAAGTTGTCGGTATTCATTTCTGCTCTTGATCGTAAGGCTCTATACTGTTTTCTTACACCCGAGAAACTTATTCATGAAACCCTACCTACTAAATGCGAGATGCCAAGAGAGAATTAAACTCACACTTTCGACCTAGAAACAATTGTGGCAACAGCAGTCCCTACTATCGTCTCTGACCTAGGCACTGCAAACGGCTATGCTTGGATCGCTGGAGCGTATTCCTTGGCAAATGCTGCTTCAGGTCCTCTCTGGATGAAGCTTTCTGATATATGGGGACGTAAGCCCATTATACTTACTGCCTCTGCACTGTTCTTTGGAAGCTCTATCATTGCTGCCAAGAGTACCAGCATGAAAATGTTGATTGTGGGACGAAGCTTGCAGGGAACTGCGGGTGGAGGACTTTACCCCCTAGCCACGATCATCATTAGCGATATCTTTAGTATGCGGTAAGTTTCCGGTCTGCTGCCCTGTTTGCTGGCGGGTAAGATGCTGATCAAAGTAGTGAACGGAGCTTATTCATGGGCCTTGCAGCATTTATGTACACTTTAGCTGGATCTACTGGCCCTATTCTGGGTGGTACATTCACCCAGACCTTGGGTTGGAGGTATGCTAGAACCTGATAATGAGGTGGTTGCTAATTAAGGCTCCATAGGTGGTGCTTCTGGATTAATTTACCTATTTCTGGATCCGCTTTTCTCCTTATCCTTGGATTTGTGGATGTTCACAATCCCAGAACAAAATTTCGCGACGGGATCAAAGCTGTCGATTGGTTTGGAAGCTTGTCCATCCTAGGAGTAACGTTGATGTTGCTTCTCGGACTTCAATTTGGAGGGGCAGCATTTCCGTAGGTACAAGCGATCGATGAAATTATTGGTACTCTGCTGACTTTGAAAGTTGGAAATCACCCCAGGTTATTTGTCTGATCGTATTTGGGTCTTTGATGATAATTCTCTTTATCATTAGTGAGAAGAAGCTGGCTAATTATCCGGTCATGCCTCTTGGAACTTTTCGAGACTTATCGAACGTTGCTTGCATAGCGCTCGGATTTTTCCATGGGTTTGTGAGTTTCTAGCACCGAGTCGAGAGAAAGCGAATAATAAAGCTAATGATACATAGGTCGCCGTTGCCATAGAATATTATCCTCCGCTATACTTCCAAGCAGTGTTGGGTGCCTCACCATTACACTCTGGAATTTTCAGCTTGCCATTGATTGTGACTGAATCACTCATGGGGATTTCTGCTGGAATCTTTATCCACCGTACTGGACGCTATCTTGAACTGATTCGTATAGGTCCCGTCATCATGAGCATTGGCGTGGGGCTATACATCCTTTTCTCAACCACGACTTCAACCAAAGAGGTCATTGGATTCCAGATCTTGACCGGAATTGGTGCCGGATTGCTGTTCGAGCCTCCTCGCTTGGCACTCCAGGCTTCCGTTTCTCAGCAGAATGTTGCTACTGTTTCGTCGACTTTTGAATTCGCACGAGGCCTTGCGGGTACTATGTCAATAGTCATCGGAGGCGTTATCTTCCAGAACTCTATGAACCTTCGAGTCCGCGCTTTGAGTATGCCACCTCTAAGCCTACCATCGAACATAACCGACCTGTTATCCAAGGGCCAAGCAGCTGCGCATGTCATCGAAGTAAACTTAATTCAAGACTCAGTGCAAAAAATGGCTGTCAAAGAAGCTTTTGCGTGGAGTTTGAGAAACATGTGGATCATGTATACTAGCATTTCCGTGTTGTGTATTCTGGCCACTATCTTCATGAAGAAGCAAGTATTAGGCACGGAGCATGTTGAGACGAAGACTGGAATTGCCGTCCCGAATCCTTGACGTTCTTTTGGGATATACAAAATGTTTGAAAGGAAATATGTGGACACTCAGAGGAAGTCTTTATTATGCACCATCGAGTCTAGAACGCGAAGCCGGAGGCTAGGTCACTAGATATGTGGACGAACAAACAGAGGTTACGCAAGATCACCGATAATTTCACGCCAGAGAAGATGTAAAATCGGAGAGCTTCTATTGGAAATTATCCCCCAAGATTAGATCTCTGATGAGAGCAAGAAAACCGCGGTGTAAAAGCAAGTATTGATACAAATTGATTCACTTCTGGATTAAGTGAACCTTAAGAAACAGCGTTCATGGCGCAATGATCCACTGAGGGCCACTGTTATACCATTGGGTCGGGTCTCGGCGTTGTTCAAGATCTGCATGCCTGACGCATTATTGTCTAGTAATTCTCTAGGGAAGTGCTGGCTCTTACGAGTGACGAATGTATCGATCGATCTCCTAGCAGATTCCTGTCGTGCACAGATTTGATTCTTGAGGTCCCGGTGTGTCCAACCCTTGAGGAGTGATGGCTGTCCATAGTTTACCATAGTACACGGATGGTACGTACATGTTTCATTTTCCAACTCCACCAAGTAGCCTTTGAGAGTAAATTGCTCCCAGGTGAGGAGGATATCCGATATGGATTCGAAAAAGGGTTCGACATGTCCCTCCATCAAAGAGAGATCCTGGAAATGGAGTTCTTTCAGCGTCCGTGAATGTATCTTACATAGATCGACGAATTCAGACGCCGTGGCCTTACAATGCGACAGTCTTAGGCTGCGCAAAACCCTGATCTTCATGGCATCGAGGTAAGGTCTTACTCTGACTGGAAATAGCTCAGGGAAAAGCAGCGCAAGATTTTCCACGCCGGGTAGTACGCGGAGAAAATCGGCCATAACGACTTCATCTCTGTAGCTTCTCGTTGAAACACTCAGCGTCGATACGTCTTTGAGCATCAGAGCTGCCGCAGAGAATATTTCGCGGTTTCTTGACCCAGATAATCCATGATATAGTTGGAATAGAGGTTCTGGAAGCTTTGAAAGCAGTTGTTGTCATCGATATGAAGTGCTGTGATCTTTGCTCATGCGAAGAGGGAGACGAGGAAGCAATGGCGGCTGCTCGAATAAAGGTGCTGAACTGTCTCCCATCCATACGTGCTGTTCGTGGTGCAAGAAGAAGTTCCCGGCGACCAGTCGTGGTTGATGATTGGAACCTCATTGGGGCTTGATTATCGGTGACGTCGCTCGAAACTGGATCTTGAAGAGATTTGGCAAAGAGACAAGAGCCTGCGCCAGCCATTTGACATCCAAAGACACCCTAGATTTCGGAGAGCGCTCCAACACCTTTTGTTCATCCGCGCGACTCTTTCTGGATAACCAATAGGCAAGAAGCTTCTGGCTATCCCACCCAGTCTCGTCATACGTCCCGATATATGGGTTGCTGGAAAGTATATGCGCGCAACTCCCTTTCCCCTATCTGTAAACTTGGGCTTGCCGAGAGGCGGGCGCTCCCCACTTCAACGGATCGTCGACATCAACTCCGATGCTTTGCTAGTTGAGGTCCCGAAGTGTTTGTCCGTGATCGTCAGGCTCTTCACATGACGTCAAGTAGATGGTTGACTGGCGATTAAGACGAGCCTATCTTAATCAGCCACATTCAACGTCGTTATCAGTCTAGGGACCTACCGTTGAAAAGACTGAGTCTGAATGCTTCTTTCGATATCACAAAACAATAATGATGTGACAGTATCTCGGAATGATTTGTTCACCAAATGTAGGGATTTCCATGACGACGGCTCTACAAAGCCAGCCACTGCTTGGCGCAGCTGGGGGGGAACGTCAGAGATACTCATGAGTGGCATGCGTGCTTATGTTCTGCGATAGAGTTGTTTACTGTCTCGTAAAAAAAAGATCCTGGGTTGAGGAGGTTGAGGAAGTTAAGGTCATCAGTCGCATCTTGAAGAAGGAAGCTAATTCTTGGACATTAGTGTCGCTGCACTAGTGCCACGTATTTGGATGGATCGATCAGGAGAAACCGTAGCTTATTATATCTAGCATTGCTGAATGCCTTCTCTCTTTCATCCAGTAGCTTTCCTAGCCGACGTTGGCCTCTTATTGGTCTTGAGATTCATGTTAATCATCTGGTTGACCCATAGCAGGCTAATATTACAACTATTTCTTGAACGTGAATGTCAACATACATGATAAGCGGGTGTCAAGCAAAACTTTCAGGCGAGAAGGTAGATTTACGCTTCAGGTTGTAGGTGAGCCCCCAGATATGCAAAGAAACACCGTCTCTTCCACTTTCCGAGCAATGGTCTGGGCCAGAAATGTTACAGTCTTCCCCTCTTCCGTTCAAATAACCTTGTGCTGAAGAGTTCTCGTGCTCATTTGATATCCTACATCCCAAAATCTCCTCAATTTCGTTGCTAATTCATCCGTACATCATCCCTTTTCCGACATCGAAATCCCATACGCAACCAGACTACACAATAGTCTGGTCAAACATTAGGCGATGATGATTCACCAACTTGGTGCCCGCGACGAGTCGCTCCTACCCGAAGACTGATTAATTAGTCCTGATCTTGGTTTTGCCTCTTCGCCTGATGTCTGTGCTTCAGTCGGTGGTCCTCAAGGCTTCAATTGCTACTGCCAGAAATTGCTCGGCTGTGATTGGATTGCAATACTATGTTCTTTGCGAGATATCCAATTCTCTTCACCTCTTAGGATGTTGTCGAAGCTCGGGGCCTGAGAGACAATTAAACCATGTCAACAACCCTGCTTTTCTTGTGTATAAGGGGGAGATATGAACCATACTGTAGCGTGTGTTTTATAGCAACGATTCTCGTCAAACCCGCTGTCTGCCCAACTGTCTTCTGGAAGGCCATGTGAGTAAGGTTCGTCTAAAAAGGGGTACCGCAACGAGTTGATTCAACGCTCTCAATAAACTCGGAAACCTACCCGAAGGGTATACAAAGCTGGTACTTCCCTAGATTCGAATAGTGCCTTGTTTATTCCTCTTTCCCAACTTCTCTGTCATGGGCGCTGTTGTTGACCCTTCTCATGAAGTAGGGAATGGTTGATCTTCTTCTTGGTCTTTCTGGCAATATCTTTGAGGCTGAGGATAGGCTCGGATGAAGCAGCCAAAGCTCTCGGTATCTCGTTGTCGACGACCGGTTAAAGACTTGGGTATCCAGGATATCATGCATGTCGTAGAATTTTGCTTCTGTTGCTTCTCAGCGGTCGTCGTTGACGCTGTGTCGACTTTCGATGCTCAGACGAGCTAGGTTGACTTGTACTGAACCTATAGACATCTCAGTCTCGTTTGCGGCTGGTTTGTCGTAGAAATGGCTGTATCGTGTTCATTTGGTCAATTGCATAAGATAATGGAAGAAGAAAAAAGGGAACAAAGATTCAACAGAGCGTATGTAGGCACCTCGATGCTCGGTCTAAGTGTAAATTTAGAATGCTACCTAGATATACTAACGACGTATTTAGTTTGGCGCCATGGCGACTACCAGTTGAGAACGCAAAGTTAAAGTGTATTCTGAAATCATTTTGTTCCGATCAGTCAGAACCTAGTTGGGGGACATATTCAGTACCCGCTTCAGACTTAGACGAGAACAGAGCTACTGGAGCGTAAGCTAGAAACAGGATCTGGACATTGACCTTGTCATATTTATGATCCACTTGTGTTACCCAGCGGCCATATTCATGTCTGGGTAAGGAGCATAGAGCTCTCGAAATGAATAGAAATCTATCACAACACATGGGCATTGGCACCGTACCGGATTGAAACTCAACGACAGACCTAACCAAAGCCCACTCAACAATGATCTTGAAAATCAAGACGAAAATATACGGAAGCATGAAAGGCACCGAGTACAACTTGGCGACATGGCTCAGCTTGCGCCAAGCAGCTATGTGGTGTGATCCTCATATCATTGCGGACCACAGCGGTGATTTGACAAAGGTCGGATCGATGATATCTTTAATACTGTGACAACGTTTATGTACAAGGGGACATGTGCGTCTATTTCTTTGGTTCCTCTTTTTTCTCCTCGGGCTTCGCGACTGGTAGTCTAAATGTCTCAGGCTTCCTATCGACACCAGGCCCAACTTGCTGTGTAATATTAGCAAGGCACTCACAGATTCTTGAATTATTGAAAGAGACATACCTCCCATGCAGCACTTCCTCCTTCGAAATTTCGGAAAGCTTGTGTCAACTCAAGTGGTTCTACAACAATCCGCTTCTTCTCCTCGTCATATCGAATTTCAGTGTATCCGGTCAAAGGGAAGTCCTTCCGTAGAGGATGTCCATCGAAGCCATAGTCGGTCATGATTCGTCGTAAGTCTGGATGTCCGATGAAAAAGACACCGAACAGATCATAGACTTCACGCTCGTACCAGTTGGCACCATCGTAAAGGCTTGTAATGCTAGGAACAGGAGATGCCTCGTCCGCATATGTCTTCACTCGAATTCTGGAATTATGACGCACACTGAGAAGGTTGTAAACAACCTCAAATCGCTGGTCTCGTGTAGGGAAGTCGACCGCGGTGATGTCAGAAACTTGTGTGAATTCAGCAGCGGTGTTGTCTAGACGATCGTCAGCTCTCCAGCAGCTAAGCGGGGGACATAGCTCTCTAGTACGCACATTTCAGGAACGTAAACACTGGAATAACACCAGAAGGTGGGATGTAGATGACCAGTTCGTCCTTCCAAACGGAAAATTGCTGGATGTACTTTGGAAGACAACCCATAAGCCATGACCCATAACGGTGCATATCATCTGCCTTGGCTGCGTACTTGTCGGCTGGGTTGATAGGAGGGACACGAAGACCACCGGGTACATCTGGTTCTCGCTGGGCAAATCGCATGTTTGGAGTATCCGGAGAGACTACGATTCTGGCATGCTGGGTAGAGGTGAAGGATCGAAGAGTCGTATCGTTGCGGCGGGAGAGAACTGTTCTGGTAGATCGCAGAGCTGAAGCCAGCGCCCCACGATTCGATGCCCTCATTGCCATGGTTGAGGGTCAAGTGTTGTCTTCCCAATTGCAATGAGAGGCAAACCGTCTTCAAACCTTGAAGTGAATGCTCGACACACTCCACGACGATGATTGGCTGGCGGATTTCGAAATTATGCCTAGCCGAAATAGGTTCGCTAGCGCATCTTGCCTTCTTCGACAGAAGTCGATCTGAACATCCTGTCACCATAATACTTTTCATCCGCCATTCATGACACACCTCTTCTGTCGACTTCTTTGACAAGAAACTCAACGAATAACTTGTCTGGAGCACATCAGGCCCCGTACAAATCATCTTTTCGACGCGACAACAAATCGTCCTTCACGCGCCGTCGTCCATCGAACTCTCCCCGTCTCCTGCTTTACAACGTCTCACGGCGCATCACACATCTTTTCATTATGGCCCCTCAAGATAGCTTTATTGATGACGACGAGGAGTCCTGGTATGTGTCTCCCAAAATACAGCTGTTCTGAGCTTGGTGGCGTCTGAAGCCCTGTGCTGATTCTCTTCCGTCAGTCCTCTCTGTGTAGAAGAGTTCGATCTTTCAGACAAGAACTTTCGACCATGCCCCTGTGGCTACCAGGTATGCCTTTACTGGTTTGCTCCTCTACTGTCGAGTGTCTGCTAAAAACATTTGTCACAGATTTGCCAGTTCTGCTTCAACAACATCAGACAAAATCTTAATGGATTATGCCCAGCATGCCGAAGACCCTACGATGATAAGACAATAGAGTGGAAAGTTGTGACACCAGAGGAGTTTGTAGACCTCCATCTGCACCATATACTCTTTTACTAATCAACTTGGCCAGGATTGCACGATTCAAAGCCGAGACCCAAAAGAAGGCAAAGAAGAACCAAGAACAACGACAAAAGGAGGCACAAAAGCGAGAGGTGGAAAATTTGAATCGTAAACATCTCTCCGGGCTTCGAGTTCTTCAGAAAAACCTTGTCTATGTGGTCGGTCTGAGCCCTGGAATACCCGAACAAGAAATTCTGTCGACTTTACGAGGTGACAGATATTTTGGTCAATATGGCAAAATTGTCAAAATTGTGGTCAGCAATAAGAAAACCAATGAGTCGGGCCCCAACGGACAATCCTTAGGGGTATATGTAACCTTTGCTCGGAACGAAGACGCTGCGAGATGCATAGCTGCAGTGAACGGTTCACAAAACGGCGAACGTGTTCTGCGGGCGCAACTTGGGACCACGAAGTACTGTTCAGCATACTTACGGAACGAAACCTGCACTAATAAGAACTGCATGTTCCTTCATGAACCTGGCGACAACAATGACAGTTATTCGAGGCAGGACCTGTCGTCTCTCAATAGTGTCAATACACAACGACCCCTTCCAGTTACAGCTTCTACGTCTGCAGCATCATCGTCTCGGCAAACCGCCCAAATTCAAGCCCCTATTCAACAAGCACAACCTATTGCTGCTGCCACACAATCAATGGTCAGAGACAATAGCAAGGACGGCTCTGATAGTGGTGATGCGTCCGCACTTCCATCATCTGCAAGCTGGGCGAATAGAGGCATCCCCCAACGAAGCAGGAGAGGGAGTGTTGCCACGAGTGGTGCCGCATCTAGTCCAGCTTTCTCACAAGCAATTCCTTCGACCGCTGAAGTTCCCGAACCACCTCCAGAGCAACCTCAAGATCAACCTGCAGAGCTTATGAGCGAAGCGTCTCCGTTAGAAGAACCTTCAACATCTGAACCCCCTCGACCAGCTAGAGACCCAGTTCTACTCGAGCTGCTCAGAGCTATCAACTCTCCTGATGTGTGTTACACTAGGACGAGCCAAACTACTGAGTCCTCGTTCCCTCCACTCTTTGATGCATTGGGAGGCGAGAAGCGCAAGGCAATGCGGGAGGGACAACAGGAAGAGGCTCGTTTGCACGTCGATCAAGATTCACTGGCCGATTTACAGTCAGTCGCTGAACCGCTGGAAGAAGAAGCTCCCGAGAGTGGAAGTCTGCAGCTTGGTGGCGAACCCGAAGACAGACACGACATTAGGGATAGTAGTCTGCCTATGGGATTCAGTCGACGACCAAGTACACAACTTCCAATCCAGAGAGCAAGCAACGGCGGACCATTCGGCCCCAGTCTTTCTCAACAAAACTTCTCTCAGAATTTGGGCAACTTGAATACAATTAATGGTCGAACTTTGACTCCTCAGCAAATTGAACAAATACGTCTCGAGGCTGCTAGGCAATCTCAATCTCCGAGCTTCGTAGAGCAATATCCACCTGGCATGAGAAACCAACTTACTCAAGGATCAGCCTTATTTCAGCAACAGGGTCACAACAGACAGTCTTCTCGATACAGCTTTGCCAACGATGGCTCATCCTCATCATCCTCTGTCAAGCCATCCGCGAATCCTAAGTTGATGGCGCAGCAATCATCCATGATGCCATCGGCAGCTAGTCAATTTTACGGCTCTTCAATGCCTGGTCCACCACCAGGATTGAAATCTTCGGGAACACCTCCCATTGGTGGCATGTTCGGCCAAGGCTTTGGAGGCTCAATGAACGGCAATTCGACTTTCGGCCTCGGGAAGGATAATAATAGTGATATGCTTCGGGACATGCTCCGAAGTCGTGGAGCAGCGGGGGGACAATCGCACGAAACAGGCAAGCGTGAGTACATGTTTCCTTCTTTTCTTCAGCAGTACCCATCTGCCTCCTCCACTCCAGCTCCTGCTTCAGGCCTCCTGGCATCGCTCTATGGTCCTCAGACTGGAGCCTTCCACGACTTCGGTCAAAAGCAGAAGAAGAAGGGAAAGAAGCACAGACATGCTAACACTTCCTCCTCTGGGGGAGGTGGCTTAGTCGATCTTGCGGACCCGAGTATCTTGCAGGCGAGAATGCAGCAGCACCAGCAACAGAGCAATGCCGGAGTCGGACAGGGACTGTTTGGCGGTCAGGCTCAAGGTGGGTACAATCCGAGCATGATGTACGGCGCGGGAATGCAGCATCGCGGGTGGTAGATAGGGCGGTTATGGCAGGCGTTTATTTGTGATGGAATTTTGTAGATATTGGGCTTTATCCATTGTGGCGTTGGCAAAGACCCATGACGGGCATTACATTTGCTGGGCCAGCATATTTGTTTTAGCGAGCATGGACGAGCTCCAAGGTGGAAGCTTCGGATGCTCTGGCGTCAATTGCTCTTTGGGAAATGGGGGATTCTCATGAGTTTGCAGTTTCTTTTCAATTGCGTTGCTTTCGAGGCCATTGAATGCGTTGGCTATAGCAGACTTGTCACAAAGATTGCGTCGGGAGCTCCATCATCGTCTTCGTCGGTCAGATCCCATGTACGTTAAAGTCCCCGACCCCATGCCAATGGATTGGCAGGTCAAATATAGCATTCTCACACATCTTGTGCCCTCAATAGTGTCTACTTTTGCTTCGAAGACGATGATGGACCCGTGACGTGATTTTGTCCCCGAGTTTGGAGGCTTGCAAGAAGCGAACATAGCATAGATCTCGTTTTGTCTTTTGATTTGACTCAAGCTGTTGAGAGTCGCTTGCTAACGAGTTTGTTGTTGTCAGATGACCAGGGACTTCTATCGCTTGACGAAGCGACATCATCAGTAGACGCCCTTGTTGCAGATAACTCACAAGACGATTTTGTTGTATCAGCAATACCAGATCTTTACGACAAAGTATCACGCTCGTCGACGCCATCTGTCCCCCCTGGTCTGAGTCTGCCACACGCTCACCCTTCCCTTGTCACGTCAGAGGAGAATTCGGCAAAGCCAACCTCTCGAATCCTCCCCACTACAGCACCGTTCCAGCCAGCACGCAGCTCTAATTTCATTCCAGGAACTGCGACCCCATTGGCGAATGTGATATCTGGTCCATCCGCAACAGTCTCTCAAGGCAATCGAGTTCCACCCGTAGAGACAACAATCTCGCAAGCCAAACAGGACGTGAAGTCTTTGGCCACAAGCACAGGACTTTCAAAGACCATTGCGTCTCAATCGTCGCAGCCAGGCCTGAAATCCGAAGACTTTCCTGCGCTAGAAAGTAGTGGGAAGAACAAGGTTGACACGTCCAAGTCAAACACGTCCAACACGTCCAACACGTCCAACACGTCCGGGGTGGTTGCGAAAAAATCCGCAACTGCTAAGTCGACCGTCGCAACTACTGTCGGCAAGAAGTCAGATCCTTCCGCAGCCAGCTCCCAACCCACTCTGTCAATTTCGAAAGCAGTTGAGAAGCGCACTGCTGCTGGCCTGAATATTTCTGTCCCGTCGAGATCTACTGCCAAAATTCCTACCGGCCCTGCTACTCCCAGCAAGTCTACTGTGCCACCTTCCGCCTTTCCTCCTCTACCGACAAGCACATCTACCACAACTGCTGCCCAGTCACCGTTGACACGTAAAGCTCCTACGACTTTACGCCTCACTTCGACGCCGAAGACTGAGATACCACCAACTGGAATTGCGACACCTTCCTCGGTGACTTCTATGTTCCCGCCTGCTTTTCCTCCATCACGTCAACCAAGCTTAGCATCAATAACAAGAATGGACCGCCCTGGAACTCCCACCAGTGAAATGATGTCTGACAACGCATCCATTACGTCCGCCTCCATGTCCCGGGCTAGCTCACCACCACCTTCGAATTTGATAGGCTCTGCTCCTGTCCGCACCACAACGAAGAGCATGCAGAGAAAGCAACGTAAGGAGGTACAAAGAGAGAAGGAGAAGGCTGAGTTGGAGGCATCTACTGCCAAGACAGACCGTGAACCAGAGATTGCGCCAATCTTGGGTAGAAAGAAGAAGGTCAAGAAGGAGCGCACCACACACAGTGCCGCTGGAGGTTCTACACCTGCTGTCAGTAGACCCCCATCTCCAGGTCCATCGGAGCCAGCCGAAAGTCAAAAGGCGAAGGAGGAGATGATTCAACAACAGGCGAAAGCTGAAGATAAAACTGTCTCTGTCGAACCTGAGTTGCCGATTCGCAGCGCACCAAAGGTACAAGATACGAAGCTCAAGGGCAAGGCCAAATTGCAACGACAGCCATCACCAGAACCCTTTCCAGCTGCTTCTGAGGTTGAGGAGGAAACGATGAATAAGCCCATGGCTACACCGGCCTCGATTCTCAAGGACCTCGTGAGTGAAGGTGCCATCAAGGATGCCAACGACCTGGCCTTCTTCAAGCATCCTCCCTTGGCGTTCCGACACCCGGATCCCATTACCGATCTCAGCTTCAACCAGAAGCTCACAATTACTGCTGATGATCGCACTACCTTGCTCGCTGGTCGCTCAGTTCACAAGACTACGAATGGACTAGTTAGAATGATGTTGACACCCAATGGTGAATGTGTGCGCAATTTGACAGAGGAAGAGGAGCGAACTTACCTTGCCTTGCAACGTTCACTAGCAGAACAGTCAAGTGCTACTCACTTCGTTCCCTCTCGACACACTACTGGGAGTGGGTTTGCGTTGATTGAGGGTCGAGCTGTGCCCAATGGTCCACCATCATACTTTCCCACGTCGAACGCTGGTACTGCACCAATGGATCCAGTTGCCAAGATCAACCGCGATGAGGCACTCGGCTATATCAACCAGTTCGTCTTACCCTCGTTGTCCACCAATATGCAATTGGAGCAGGCGTTGAACAGTAATACACTTGATCCCGAGGTCATGCGCTCTGGTGCTTCTGCCGCATGGGCTTCTTGGGGCACGGATCCTACAAATCCACATCTCGAGAACAACGAAGGTGGCTACGGTGGATCGACCAATCGCGAGGGTATGATTGCTACGGGTATCGAAAACATGACGGCGCACTTGGCCATCAGCGGAGACATGACTCGCAACCAACCCAACACTGTTTCCCTGCTCAGCTTGCCCGAATCGGAGACTGCTATGCAACATGCTAGGAAGGATGCTGATATTCTGGAGAAGAAATTGAGTGCTCTCATCAAGAAGAACCGAAGAATGGTGATTGGAGGCAGTCATTGACCACGAAAGTATACAGTACCAGCCATCGGGGCTTTGGGAGTTTCGGTTCTTTTACTCAGGCTCGCCTTGAAGATAATCGCCTCTCTGGTGCTTTTCTGTGGACATTTTGTATTTGTATTGAGTCTCAGACTCTTCGGAAGACTTTCATTTCTCTTCTGAAGAGCAGAGCGTTACTTTCTTTAATTACTTGCATCGGCGGGCCTTGAATCTGCATTTGAATGGCGCAACGAGGAGACCTACATTATTGGGACGGCGTAACGAATCTGGCCGATTGAGGTTGGATTCGAGGGGTCGCTCAGGATAATGTCTGTATGATTAGCTCGTGTATAAGCTAATGAAAACTACAAAACTAAACTTCGGACTCTTTCCGTGAACTCAAACGTCTCACCATTCCCTCCATTTATTGAGGGTTACTTTGTTATGGATGTGCACTTCACACTGCCTGGCGTGAGATCATGACTGTTGATGAAAGACAATAAAATACATTGGCGCTATGCTGTGATATTACTGAAGAGATATTTATGTACCAAATTTGTTGGGAATCCACCCTCAATATTCATCATCCGTATCCTCATCCTCTTCTGGTAACATAGCCCTATATCGTCTACTTGCCAAATCTTCCTCCAAACCACCATCACTCTCTGGATCAATGTATCCATCTCCACCCACGAGACTGAGTGCCACGGGCAAGAAAATTAACGCATGTGAAGCGGCAAAGACGACCAGCGCCAACCAGATCCTGAAGTAATATATCTCGAAAATCTTGCTTCTTGTGAATGCAAGGACAAAAACACCGAGCAGCTTAGTTATTGTAATCCCGGAAAAGACAGAGCCACCAACGTTGACAAGTGCGGTCCATGCTCGGGCATCACGGCCACGGAACTTATTCTTTGCTCGTTCCATGACGGCGCGAGATGGGAACATGAATGCTCGTGCAATGTGGGCGCAGAATTCGACACCGATACCGACGCAAATCACAAGGTTGACAAGACTGACGGCGTTCAATGACACGTTGAAAACAGCCATTGTACCGATGATGTCGACGACAATCATGATCACTGTTGCGGTGACAACAGCGCCAGTCCTGACAGACCCGAGGAGAATAGACGAGATCACAAGGATCATAGCTACGGCTGACCCCAGGATAGTAGCTGTAAGTCGAACGATAGAAGCGTATTGATCAAAGAAGATGTAGAACACGCTGTAGGGGAACACTTCGACACCAGTGCTTTCCTTGATGCTATTCGATATTCTGCGCGCCGAAGCATACGCAGCGATAAAGTCCTCCTGGCTTCGGAGGGGTGTATGGCTGGTGCGGAAATGGCTGGCTGGTATTGTGTCTCGCTCTGCGTCAACAACGAGAGCGGTACTGTAGGAAGCCTGGCCTCCGAGCGCGCAGTCTGCGTCTGTTGGAGAGTTGAGCCACTTCTGGATATAGTGGATGAATTCATCGCCTTCAGGCATGCCAGACAGAGTGATATTCCACGCCGGATCACGATCTGCGAAGCATGTCTTTCGTCCATCAAGGCAGCAAGATTCAGATGCAGGATCAAGCCAACGGAAATAATCATCGATCCAGCTCGCAGTAGATGCGGCAATAAATGAGACATCTGGTCTCTTTCGCTCCGACTCGAGGATGTTCGTCAGTGATTCTTGCTCACAAGTTGTGAATCGAGCGCAGAGTTCCTGCTGGTGTACTCTTTGCGTAACGTTCAATTCGCGAGTGACGAAGTAAACTGGAGGACCTGACTCGAAATAATCATAAAGATCATTGAAGTATGGGATCAGGTACGAGTCGTCGGGAATGGCTACACGTTGGTCCAAGCCAAGAGAGACCTCGGGCATCAAGGCAATTCCTGCTGTGAAGAGGCTTAGAAAGACGACTACGATAGCCACTTTCATCTTCTTCCCAAGTAGGGTGGGAGCATAGTGCTTGCGGATAAACGCCTGTAGAGTTCCTTCGTCCTGGCCTTCGTAAGCTCTTGGGTAGCTATTTCCATTCGAACCGCCAAGCTGTATTCCAGCGCCCTTGATCTTGATGCAAGGGAAGCAGTCAGCTCGATGGTCTTCGACTCGCTGTTGATTTAGCGTCAGCACCGAAACAAACATGGTTACCTGTAGCAGTGCGTTGATAAACACTGCACCGGCGGCGTAGATTGCGAAGTTTCGCACAGCTGGCATGCCAACAAAGGCTCCTAGAGAGAAAGCGATTGTCTCGGTAATCGCAGACAAAAGGATAGATGGCCCCATTCGTCCCAAAGCCTTGGCGATTCTATATTCAACCACATCATCTGGATGGCTGATGTTCACTCTCTCGAACTCGTGGACAATCAGGAAAATGTTGTCCACACCAACAGCTAATACGATGAAAGGGATAACTTCTGCGATAATGAGAGTGACCTTGACTCCAGCGGCTGAGAATAATCCAATCGATGCTGAGATTGACATCAAAACTATCAAGATGCCTACTACACCTAGGGTGAACTTGGATTCGACGAGTGAGACTGCTGGGTTGCGCAGCATGGATTTCAATGACAGTGTCGTGGATCCCAGAGCGAGTGAAGCATAGAAGAACATGATGATGTAGCTGATAATAACAATCTTCGCATCAGTATTGGTTGACTTGTTAAGTTCTTGTTCCAAACTGATCTCCGTAGAGAACGACAGTCTCAGTCCACGGTCGATGGCTTCCTGTTGTACGCGTAGCAGTTCTGACTTCATGGATTCCTCCCAGTCCATAGCTCTACGAAGCTCGGGCGAACCTTCATCGGCATAGTTGTTGACCACCCAAGTGACAATCATAGCAGATGAATCAGCGGGATCACTAGAGCCGTTGGCTCCTCCGAGGACCATGGCTCGCTCAATGGGAAGTTGGAAGTCAGGAAGACAGTCAACAGGAGTCTTGACGCACCCACGAAGCCTGTTCACCCAGTTGGCTTCAGTGACAGATTCAATGTCGTTTCCAAAATATGCAGCAACTGACTGAACAACGCAAGCTTCGCCGGTTGGTTTGAAGCAGACATCGTCGAGTATTGCTCTAGTTTTATTTCCCGTCAGACCACTGATGCGATCTTCAACTTCGATCCACCACTTAAGAGTTTCGTAGCTGAGCACTGGACTTGTGCCATTCGTAACAGTCTCATTGACCAAAAATACTTGCTCAGCACGGTAGAATGGTCCGAAGCTTTCATCAAAGAAGGCCTTTTCCTGAGCAGCATCTGAAGTTGGGCTAACCCACAGCCTGGCAGGATCCGTCTCGATGGCGAAATTGATCCACCCTAGACTAAGTAATCCAACAATGAGGACGCTAACGCCAATTGTTATACCTGGAAACCTTGCCGATACGTGTCCAAGCCTGCTGAAAGCACCGTCACAGACGGTGTTGATCCAGTAATTCCTCTGTGGGCGATCATACATGGCTCCATTGTGAACCATATCTCCTTCGTCTTCATCGTCACTTGGATTCGTATCCTGAAGAAGTCGCAGCCGTTCACTCTTTGCGCGAGCATGCTTCGCATAAGCCACATGGCCAACAATAGCGGTAACCAGCAATCCAAGGATAACACCGTATGTCAAAATCGCAGCGAATGACAGGCAAGGGAGGACTCCGACATGGCAAGAACCGGACTCGGCAACCTCTGGGAGTTTTGGACACACAGCAGGGCAATCGATACAAGCACAGCGGAAGCTTTCGTCCTCATCGTTGCACTTCTTGGCTCCCATACCTAATGGTCCCATCCCGCTTTCTGGGTAGTCGCTTGGTCTAGGGAAGTTGATTTGGAACGGCGAGCCAAAAGCACTCTTCTTCCCAAGGAAAGCCAGAAAGGCAGTATAGTCCTCTGCGCCGCCTCCAATAAAGCTCATCGCATTCGTATTGGTAGGACCAAACTTCACATCTTTACAGCTATCGTAGAATCCAGAACAGTAGTCATCCGAGACAAGTTGGTCCAGCTCTGCCACAGCCAACTTCCCACTTTTCTCCTCGACCTGGGTTACATTTATGAAGAGAGATTGGTCTGGCGAACAAGTAAAGGTGCAGAATAGATTGTAAAAGTTCTCTTTGCAGGCCGGGCAAGCAGAAATGAACTGCTGGGCTTTCTGGAGGTTGGACGACAGGACATCGAGCTATTCTCAAGTCAGCAGCTGGGTTGATATATAGGACATGAGTGCATACTTGTGATCCTTCGCAGCATACTGAGCCAGAGTTCCACTTTGGCCCGCAGAGGTCCACCAGTTGCTTCCTCACATCGGCTTCGGGGTCCTTTGCAAGTCCGTTATCAGGACACGGTAGAGGAGGAGCGAAAAATCCACTTCCGCCACAGCTTCCCCGTATGGCACATCTTCCTGCCTCGTGCTTTGGTGTATAGAGCTCACCCGATGCTAGACTGAGCAGCCCCGCAAGGCAGGCGAAATGCCTCAGTCTCATCTCGAATTTGCGTCGCTCAGCGCCGCAGTTGTGTCGTCTAACAGGAAGGAAACTTGTTGTTCGATTTGAAGAAGGGTATTAAATTCTGCGACTGAAAATAGTCGCTCGTGTGCAAGAAGGTGTGAAGCGTCACTGTTGATTCAAGTCAAGGTCACCAGCTCACTTACTAGTCAGCCACATGCGAGTGAACGTCGTCATAACAATCGCCGAGTGCACGGGCCGCTTTGGTGCCTGAATTTGGCTTGCTTCAGATATCGATGCGGCTGAGAAAAGTGAAGTATCGGAAAGGTGAATGCTTGGAATATGTTAGGTAGACGACATTCTGGACAATCCGCGTTAATAGTCAACATTCCAGACATTTTGAAGTATCATGAAAGTCTCGAAGCTACCACAGCAAACAGAAAAGACATACTGTCGTGATGTGAAGCGAAGATATATTCGACCCAACTTGCACAGAATCAATTTTTTCTTCACTTTTCCAGCAAATCTCGATATAACGATATCATTTTGTATGATATTCGAAAAATATGCTCCGAGATGTTTATCTTGGCTCTGAGACCTAACACTATGTTCAGGCTTGAGGAATTTAGCGCTTCTGACTATGAGTTTCATTGAATATCCGCATTGGAGTGTATCTTCCATCTTGAATACAAGTACTTTTTTAATCTTAGTGACCTGGTTGGTGGACGATTTTCCTTCACAAGAGAACAACCAGCACGCGCCTGAAGGCAGAAATATAAGAGTTGAAAAATGTTATATTTTCGAGTCTATAGTTCGTCTGGATTCGTCGGGGGTTTCGACGAGCTCACAATCGAGAGAGAATATTACAGCAAATTAGTAATAATCCCAAAGCTATTTGCTGCTTAGAGATATTTATCAGATCTGAACAAGACTCTCGACTCTTTTGCGATATTAAGATTACCTTAGTATGATCACCAACTCTCAACCGAAAATCTCACAAAAGTTCCCTGTGCTTTCCGCGAGATTGCGCCATTGATGGCTAGCGTCTTTTGACCCTTGATAGGTTGATATGACCCCTCACTCAGCCCCACTACAGCATCGTGAGTTTAGGTATGGGAGTGTTTGCACATGCACGAGCGATATATTCTTTACATGTATTATCGATCCGTGATCCGAAGTTTGAGTGCTATTTACCTTCTACAACTATCATTTGATTCTTAGATTTCATCCATTGAATTGGCCAGAATGATGTGATGCGATGAGGGGGAATAATTGCCTGCGGATAGGGCATAAGCTGGCTAGCACTAGGCCATGGGTTCTAGCGAAGGGACCAAGTACAGATAAAAGTATTGAAACCACTAAAAGTATGGACTATTGTCTTATCTATAGTGTCAGAAGTTTGTGGCATGGAGTGGAAATTGTTACAATATTTTAATTCATAGAGGGTCCAAGTCGTGAAACGCTTCCCTCGATTGATCATTTTAGTCCCAGCCTCAAAGCGCCCAGAAAGGAATCGAACTTTTAGTTAGCACATTTGTTGCTCTCATGAAACTAAAGAGGGTTTGTAAGAAGCTATCTTGATCGCATGTTAGTGTAGATCTTGGGCTACGCTAGACATTTTCAGTCTGGACTACCAAGTTAGAATACTCGTAGTGATGCGTAGCAATATAAGTATTTTAAGATAGATATAAAGTACTCCTAAGCTTAGAGATAGAGATTTTCCATATATGAAGCTAGCTGTTCTATTTGCCACAGAAAGCTCACTGAGAATCAAACAGAAGGATAATGCCTCAACATTCGTCACAATATTGGAGTATCTAGATGGGAGGACAAGAAAGAATGCAACCACCTTGCATTCACATGTATGCACCGTTGAGGTCATACTGGAGTAATGATAAAAGAATACTCGGTAGAGCATATATGAGATAAGCAGCCGTTACCCCATATGCTTGGAATATCGCGAGTTTATCACAACTATGCAGTAATCAGGATCTTCAATATGCGCCTTAATAAAACAGTGTAGATCTTGTGAAATGTATGCGCCGCAGACTGAATACTTTGGTAGAAAAGGGTACCTGATGATTTCATCAAGTTGCGTAACAATAGATCTGTGGTAGCAGAAGCCCGAGCAGAAACCCTTACTTGGAGCACCATCTTAACTACACACAAACTTCTAAAACGTAGAAACCATTAAAGTTTTTGAATAATGATCCAATGTGAGACAGGCCATAAACGTAGCCTGGAAAAAAAAAGTTGTGAAAACCACGTCATACCCAAATGTAAGACACGAAGAACAGATACGTGTGATATGATCATTCTTCGAGATTGAGAATGCAGTGACTTGCTTGAGGTCGTCCCAAACTTGAGAATTTCCTCCAAAGAAGTGACTAATTCCTCTGATCAGCCTCGTCCGCACTCTTTGTTGCTTTGTTTTTCTTGGGTCAGGATTGAAGAAGGGAGGAGGCCAGACCAGGCTAGATGATCCTTGTATCAAGCGCCGTTGCGGAAGCGAGGCATCTCCGTACTCTATCATTTTCGACCTGCGAGCGAACAGAACGATTCATCGTCCACACCCGCACAACTTCACCCATCCTCCCTCCAACAATTACTGCGACAGTACTCTGCCAACAAATGGCGTGAGCCGATGGATCAACGAATGAACTCTACTTCAAGTTTCGACAACGAAAGAAGAAGCGCTCCGATTGCAAATAGGTTAGGGCACTACATCACATTCACTCCTTCCTTCTGCCTATGATCCCTTACCCCATCCAACTTTACTTCCCATCTTCGATCTTCTTCAACTTTTGTACAGCATCTTCTTCACGCGCAAGTACTCATGCCTCCATCCAACAGAATCACAAGGGCCGCGGCGAGACAAGCAGCCAGCTCTTCAGAGACGTCTACTTCTGCTGCAGCTTCCTCTATCTCTGCGCCTACATCTGCGCCTGCACCTGCCACCTCGAATCGACCTCCGGTAGGATCAAGGAAGCGTAAAGCACCTGCGCGAGACTCCAGTCCAGCTCCTGAGCCCGAGCCAACGAAGGCCTCATCTTCGAGACGTCCGAAGCGGCAGAAGGTAGCAGAACCGGAGGTTCCGCCTGCAGGACCATCTGTCCCGGCAGCATTACCCCCAACCAGAAGAAGAAAAGGAAAGACTCCCGCGGTTATGTCGAGTCCTGGGTATGTTGCCTTTTGTCATATGTCTACTGGTATTGACTATCTCTTAGTGATTCTGCTGGTCCTTCCAACGAACCTCCAAGTACAACTGCTTCGTCGAAACGCAAGTCGTCAAGAAACAAGAAGGGTGGCCAAGGTGAGTCGAAGGCTGCTCAAAGAGATCCTCCTGCGGACCTGACAATGAATGATGCAGACCCCTCCGTCTTCACTCCTAGCTCAAGTCGTCGCGCAAAGAAAGCAACCACTGGAAATAAAGACGGGGACAATACGATAGACAACAGCTTAGACGACAAGCCCCCACCTGTCGACGACGACGACGATGGTAGCGATGATGCCGCAGAAGACAGGATAGCTCGCAACTACGAGGGCAGAGACGATGACGACGATCAAGACCCCTTTGGAGGCTTTGGTGGACCTGGGGGACCTCCTCAAGGTTTGTCGGGTACATTGCGAGCCTTGAGTGGTATGCTACAAGGGACTTCTTCGAGATTGCGCGAGATCCTGGTCAACCTGAAGCAGAAGGACGACCCTTCAGTGCAATTGATCGCCCTGCAAGAACTATGTGAGATCTTGCTTGTATCCACTGAAGATAACTTGTCTGGTCATTTCTCGCCGGATGCCTTTGTAAAGGAGCTGGTCGCGTTGATGCAGCCATCAGACTTTGGGGAGGAGAATCCCGAGATGATGCTACTTGCCTGTCGATGCCTTGCCAATCTCATGGAGGCACTACCTGCAAGCACCGCCAATGTCGTCTACGGTGGTGCTGTTCCTATACTTTGCCAAAAGCTACTCGAGATCCATTTCATCGATTTGGCCGAGCAAGCACTTAGTGTGAGTCCTCCTTTACCCATATCAAAACATCAAACTGACAAATCATAGACCTTGGAGAAGATATCTGTTGAATATCCAGCATCTATCGTTCGCGAAGGTGGTCTCACTGCTTGCCTAACATATCTCGACTTCTTCGCTACTAGCACGCAAAGAACTGCTGTCACTACTGCTGCTAACTGCTGCCGAAACATTCCCGAAGACTCTTTCCCAGTTGTTAGAGACGTCATGGGTATTCTTTTGAATGTTCTCAGCTCCAGCGACCAAAAAGTTGTTGAGCAGGGTTCTCTTTGTGTCTCCCGCATTGTGGAAAGCTTCCGATATCACCCTTCTAAACTTGAAGAACTTGTCAGTACAGACCTCTTACGAGCCATCCTTCGTTTGTTACTGCCTGGTACCACGAATCTCATTGGGCCAAATATCCACACCCAGTTCCTACGGGTTCTAGCATTCACGGCCAAGGCTAGTGCAAACCTATCCGCGGAGCTTTTCCGAATGAATGTCGTCGAAACCCTCTATCAGATCCTAACTGGTGTTTCGCCACCTGGACCCCACGAGGACATCGCATCGAAATTGGACAGTGTTGTTATCATGCAAGCATTGATTCATAGACCTCGCGAGCAAGTCATCGAAACCCTGAACGTTATCTGTGAACTCCTCCCTGGTTTGCCCAGAGAATCCGAGGTCACCTTTGATGAGATTATAGACCACAATCCTGCATCTGCCCCACAGACAGCTCCCCCATCGAGCGCTCGAAAGAAGTCATCAAATGAAAAGCGACTTGAGCTTCTTGAAGGATGCAAGGACGAAGTGAAGCGATTCACAATTATCCTCTTTCCAACACTCACCGATGCATTCTCAAGTACTGTCAATCTGAGCGTTCGCCAAAAGGTCTTGACAGCCCAGCTTAAGATGCTCTCAAACCTCGACAAAGACATTCTGATGGAAGCATTGCGTTCTGTTCCTTACGCTTCATTCTTGGCAGCGATCCTCTCTCAGCAAGACCATCCGAGTCTTGTAAACTATGCCCTTCAAGCTGCTGAGCTGCTCTTGGATCGTCTCGACGATATCTATCGCTATCAATTCTATCGCGAGGGCGTAATTTCTGAAATTGCCAAACTGGCTGTGCACGCTGATATAGTTCTGTCAACATCAAAGGACTCTCTTGTGATCGAGGCTGTAGACTCTACCGAAGCCAATGGTACGAAGAAGCTTTCTGAAAAGGTTACTCGCGGAGGTGACCCTGGTGACGATGATGACGATGACTCTTCAGATGACGATAATGAGGATGAGAATGAACACGATGATGTCCAAGATGACATTAGTCCTTCACCAGCAAGCTCTCGAGGATCCACCATGTCTCTGGACGGCGCACAAAACCGGGCACAACACGATAACAGCAGCATGCAACAGCTCATTGCTCAGCGTGCCAAGAAGTTTTTGGATGTTCACGAGACGGAAAAGAATAGTAAGAACATGAAGAAGAAAGCCACCAAGATCTTGACGAGTCTGCAAACCCTCGCCTCCGAGATTGAGGCACATTATTTGGGACAAGCTACAGGCAATGGCATTGATCTCTTCTCGACTCTTGCTTCTTACTTCGATGGAGATGTCTTAGAGAGTGTGACTAGCTTTGAGCTGCTCAATTCCGAGGTCGTTCGGGTTCTCCTTGCGATCTTCAACAATCCAGACGAACGATTGAGCAACGATGCCCGTTCTGCATTCCTCGAGGTTTTTATGGGCCGTACCGTTGCTCACAAACCCAAGACTGCGTCTGCAGAGTCTCCAGCAACTCCATTTAGCATCCTCATCCACAAATTGCAAGATCTCTTGAGTCGATCCGAACACTTCGAGGTTATCACCGTCCACCAAAATACTTTCGATGGAAACAGAAGCAGTGCTGCGTCAATGCTTGCGAAGCAAATCCGATTGAAGTTAGTGGCTGATGATGATTCTGAGATCCCCAAACCATATCGCAATATTATGGTCTCCATCCATGCTATTGCAACTTTCAAAGCTCTCGATGACTATTTACGCCCCAGAATTAGTCTCTCCGAACGCCCTCGAGGCTCAAGGAGAGAAGGTCTCTCTAGTGCTTTGGCCGCACTTGCAGCAGCCGGTATGCCCAACCCATTTTCCGGATCTTCTAATGCTCAAGCTCGTCTCTTAGAACGTGGTTTGGCTTCGGCTACCGCTGCCACTCCTGCGGCCCCAACTCCGTCGGCCACTCGAAGTTCTCGAAAGGCAAAATCCAAGACAGCTCCAGCTGCGACTCCTGCGTCGGGTGGTCAGTCTGCCTCCATTACTCCACAAGACAAATCAAGTTCTCGGCGCTCTAGTAGACGTCATGCACAAACAGACCCCCCAGCACCGGCTCCGCCTGCCCAAGAGGAAGACAGTCTGGCTAGTGCTTTGGAGTGCGCGGATGAGCGACAGCTTACAGACGATGAAGATATGGAGGACAGTGCTGCATTGGACGCTATCGTGGGCGATCTAGAAGATGAAATGGACGAAGGGTCACCTCCAGATCCTACAGCTGTGAATCTAGAAGTTGCAGCAGGCGGCAAAGTAACGGCACGCACCCAAGACGGCCAAAGAGTGTCCACTCCGTCACAAGCACCTGGATCCAACCCCAGACTTGCAAGTGCCCAAGCCGCAGCCGGACAATCAGCTATGTCTACGCCATCTGCATCACGACCAATGTCATATGCTGCTGCTATCCAAGCCGTTCCCCAAGATTGGCACATCGAATTCAGCCTCGACGAAAAAGTGATTGGTAATGAGACTACAATTTACCGCGCCGTGCACAGCACATCAACGACTGTAGATGAACACACTAATCGAAGTGTGTGGTCGGCCATTCACCCAATCAGATTTAAGCGAGTCCCAGGTCCTCCTCCCCCTGAGCCAAGCTCTCTTACTCAAGCTATTGAGGTGAGCACCGAGACTACAGCATCTGGAATTCCAGCTTCGTTGGACAAGCATCCTGCCACATCATCCATTCTTCGTCTGCTTAACATTCTGCACGCACTGAATGCAAACTTGGACGACGTTCTAGCAGAAAACAAAGACGCTCTCAAGCTCAATGTGGAATCGCTCTCGCAGTTCGTCAATACCAAGCTCACGGCGAAGCTCAACCGACAGCTTGAGGAACCCCTCATCGTGGCAAGCAACTGCCTGCCCAGTTGGAGTGAAGATCTGGCTCGTCTGTATCCGTTCCTCTTCCCATTCGAGACCCGACACCTCTTCTTGCAGTCCACCTCTTTTGGCTATGCCCGCTCCATGACCAGATGGCAAAATGCTCAGTCTGCTGAAGAGTCTCGCCGAGATCGACATCGTGACGAGAGACCTTTCTTAGGTAGGCTTCAGAGACAGAAGGTCCGCATCTCACGCTCGAAGACTCTCGAATCGGCGTTGAAAGTCATGGAACTTTACGGGGCTTCCCAAAGCATCCTGGAAGTTGAATACTTTGAGGAAGTCGGAACTGGCCTTGGTCCTACACTCGAATTCTACTCAACAGTTTCCAAGGAGTTCTCGAAGAAGAAGCTCAAGCTTTGGCGAGAGACGGATGCTAACGATGCCGACGAATATGCTTTTGGATTTCGCGGTCTTTTCCCAGCACCAATGAGTGAGGAACAAGCCTCTAACGAAAATGGAAAGCGTATTCTTCATCTGTTCAAGATGCTTGGGAAGTTCGTCGCTAGGTCAATGATTGATTCTAGAATTATTGATGTCTCCTTCAACCCAACCTTCTTCCGAATCGGCGACGGCTCCAAGACTGTTACTCCGTCCCTAGGAGCAGTCAAGACAGTCGATCCTCAATTAGCAAAGTCGCTGAAGCTGATAAAGAAGTTCGCCACTGGCAAGAAGTCAATCGACGAGAATCCAAGTCTCACTCCTGCTCAGAAGGTTGCTCATGCAGAAGCTCTTGAGATAAATGGTGTTCACATTGACGATCTGGGCCTGGACTTCACGCTTCCTGGGTATTCTTCCATCGAGCTCCTCGCCAACGGTTCTCAAATCGCTGTTACCATTGACAACGTGGAGCTTTACCTAGAGAGAGTTATCGACTACACACTAGGTGTAGGAGTCCAGAAGCAAGTTGATGCATTCCGGGCTGGGTTTACACAAGTCTTCCCTTATTCTGCCTTGAGTGCTTTCACGCCGGATGAGTTGGTCATGCTGTTTGGAAGAATCGAGGAGGACTGGTCTCTTGAGAGTAAGTTGCCCTTTCCCTATTCATCATCATGCAACACTTGGCTAATCAATTAATAGCTCTTATGGACTCTATCAAGGCTGACCATGGGTTCAACATGGACAGTAAAAGTGTCAAAAACTTGTTGCAAACCATGTCTGAGCTGTCGCTGCCTGAGCGCCGAGACTTCTTGCAATTCACTACAGGCAGTCCCAAGCTTCCTATCGGAGGTAAGCATCTGTCTTTGAGATTACACGGTCCTGAGCTAATACTCTACATAGGCTTCAAGTCCTTGACTCCGATGTTCACAGTGGTTTGCAAGCCAAGTGAGCCGCCATACACGTCTGATGATTACCTCCCCAGCGTCATGACATGTGTTAACTATCTCAAATTACCCGACTACACCTCACTGGACGTTATGAGACGTCGTATGAGTACTGCGATCAAGGAAGGACAGGGTGCTTTCCACTTATCATAAGGTGTCAATATTGAACGTAAATCAAATGAGTCTAGCATAGGCGTCATTGAGCGGAGGTTCCAGTCCCACGCGGCTATTTCGAGAAGATGATCGGTGCTTTCCTTGCATTTTATGTATTCACGAGCTCCCCGTCAAATTTCTTTTTTTCTGCCACCGAAATTCTCGAGTGGCTCTATCGACTCAGATTGCATGCATGGAAGGTCGTTTGGGCGCATTACGTGGAGGATATCACATGAAAGGTCGGGTCCAGTTTTTGCAGTCTATTAGATAGATGAATCCATTCCCCCACAATACACTGTTCCCTTGTGATGTTTGCGATTTGCTGGTTTCGAACAAGAAATACTCTCCACTGTGATCAATTATGCCTCGAAGACTATCGTAATAGCAAACATAGACACAGATACAGCCGTTACAAATAAATGTATGACGACTACTGGCCCCTGAGTAACCACCTGGGCAGACTTTAGAGACGATGAGGCTACTTCTAGCGTTTCGGCTGAGCGCGCCAGGCCAGGCTAGGCCAGGGTTTGGTGACTTCACGATAAAGTAGATAGATAGGCAAGTCTAAATCAAAATCTGTGCGAACTTTCTTTGCACTACCTCCGACCCACCATGTCTTGCAAAACTACTAGAACTTCGCATACATCACGCATTCAGTACTGGATCAGACCCTATAAAGATCTTTCATAAAAGCTGTTCCTCCGTCGCTCACATTGCCCAGCGACATGAACAGCGCGGGGCTTCAAGCCCAATTGCTTGTATGTATTGGATTCTCTCATCACACAAGCTTGAGGAGTTATCTGACCGCGTATCTCTTGTTCTAGGAAGAATATTCCAAAATTCTCGACGCGTCCACAGTTCTGGCGATACTTTCGGATTTCAATCTCTCGGATCCGTTGCAGCTTGAGGAAGCACGGCAAACACTCGAGATTCTTAAGTCGACAGTCAGCACTGATGAGGCTACTGGATTTGATCCAAGCGGCGCAAGCGGACTCGATGCCCTCATCGATGACCAAGATAGTGCGAGAGGGGACAATGAGAGCGTGAGCGCCAGAAGCGGGGCACGAGGATGGAGGAGTCAGACAGACGACACATCTTTGAACCAGGATCTGTCCTCCTTGGACCTTGAAGGACTAGACTTTTCAGAAGGCAGCAGGGAGGAGAGCCCCGATCACTCGTATCCAAGCCCACTCGACGACCTAGATTCGGACGACAAAGAAAAGGTTCTGGTGGGCATGTTTCCGGCCTTGAAAGCGTTCGATATCAAGTGGACCTTGAAGAAATGCAAAGGAGACGCGGGCCTTGCTATTGATGAACTCATGACACAATCCTTCCTAGAAGAGAGCGGTACCCGTCATCGTGGTATAGAAGCTTTCTCGGAGAGTGAAGCTGCCCTACGACCACGGAAGGGCAAGGGCAAGAAGAAACGCAAAACAGAAGAACGTCAGAGCAACAAAGATCCTGCTACGAATGCCGAGATTCTAGCTAGTAAATGGGATACAGGGCGACAAGATGTGCAATTCATAGCAGACAAAACTGGCATGCCAATGCAGCAAGTCAGTTCGATTTACCACAATAACCGCGGTTCAATATCAACTACAGTCGCAGCAATCGTCGAGGCGCACAAAGCTTTAAACATAGAATCCGACGATCCTATGGTACAAATCAATGCTGCAGAAATCAGACAAGACTTCCCTTCCATATCAGTCTCCGATATGGAAATCCTAGTTCAGATCACGTACCCCTCGATCAGCCATGCAAGGGATCTTGCGAAGGCGCTCGCTTCTCGACCCACCAACAATTCTGGAATACAACTCGATATCCGCCATGCGCCTCTCAACTTGGACGAACCAGTCAAGGTCAAGCCTAGAGCACATAACGCTGTACAACCTCTAGACGGCGCTGTGGCTGCAGCAATGGTATCTGGTTATCACGAAGCTCGCCATACCGCTTTCACGCAGGCTCAAGCTGCGTACAAAAAGGGCAAATCGGATCCGTTGATGGGAGGAGCGGCTGCATACTACTCCCAAGTTGGCAGGGATCTCGATGCCAGAGCTAAGAGTGCTGAAAGTGCAGCTGCAGATGCATTGGTGGCTGCTCAGAGCACGAGAACGGAGCTAGATCTGCACGGTGTGAATGTTAAGGACGCTGTAAGGATCAGCAGGGAAGGTGTTACAACTTGGTGGCATGAGTTAGGTGAGGGAAAGATTGGTGGGAGAAGTGTCGGAAGCGGGTATCGTATCGTCACTGGTGCTGGGAGGCATAGTGAAGGTGGGAGAAGTAAGTTGGGTCCTGCGGTGGGAAAGATGTTGCTGAGAGAAGGCTGGAAAGTTGAAGTTGGTAATAATGGTGGACTTTTACTCGTCACTGGCCCGGCGTCGAGGAAATGACGTGCATTTTACTGGCGATCTTGTTGGCATTTTGAGGGGTTTGGGGGTAAGATGTGTGTGGCATCCTGGGCGTTTGAGTTTTAATGTTTTTATGTCCATGATACCATGAGCTAGGTGTTAAGATATGGCTCAAGTACAGTACAGATATGTATATCTCCTGTTAATAGAGTACAGAGTTCAATTTTGAAATCATAGTAGCCGCGAGTAATAGCTGTGTACAAACGAGTTGTAATTCAAATACAGCTGTAGTCTATTGTGACAAGCTATCTTTTCCACCTTCAAACTCATTGACATCATATTCCTGCGGATACCTATCAATAATATCCTTCAACTCCTTCATCTGTGCCCTCGTCTCGGGCGTAATTTCCTCATAAATATCCTCAAACATACTTCTAATAGGAGGTTTCTTCTCTTTCTCTGCTTGCGCAAATGCCTTCAAAACATCTTTTCTAATTCGTGACCTAGCCTCATTCTCTTTCTCTTCATCCCAGACACCTTTCTTTTCTAAGTATTTCCGTAACCTCGTGATAGGGTTATCTCGTCTCTTCCAGTCTTCAACTTCAACTCTTGCTCTGTACGCAAAGGAATCATCACTAGTACTGTGATGTGATATTCGGTAGGACATGGCCTCGATCAGTACTGGTCTTCCGCCATCTTTCAATGCTAGTTCTCTGGCTCTTCTAGTTACTTCTCTTACTGCCCAGATATCGTTTCCATCCACCCGGATGGTGTCGATACCGTAGCCTGTTCCTCGACTTGCAATTCCGTCTCCTCGGTATTGCTCTAATGTTGGTGTGCTGATCGCATATCCATTGTTTCTGCAGATGAAGACTACGGGACAGGATCTCGTAGCAGCTATATTGAGCGCGGCGTGGAAGTCTCCTTCACTGGCTGCTCCTTCGCCGAAGTAGCAGGCTACTATCCGTGGTGGGATGTTAGGGTTTGTTAGTCGTTGCATTTTGAGGGCATACGCTGCTCCTGAAGCCTGGGGAATCTGTGTTGCTAGCGGTGATGATATCGTGTGCTATTTCTTGATCAGTATCAATCCATCTTTTGATGTTGGTAGAAAGACGTACAATATTGAGAGCTTTACTGCCATAATGAACTGGCATGTTCCTCCCCTTCCCATGATCCTTCTTGTTCGCAAACAATTGACTCATGAAATTCTCAGATGTGTAACCCCTTTGTTTGAATACTCCTGCCTCTCTGTACTGACAAAATACAACATCTCCCATCTCCAATGCACTTGCAGACCCAACGCAAGTACCCTCCTCACCTTGTCCCGTCATGTAGAAACTTAATCGACCCTGTCGTTGGGCATCGAACATTATAACGTCCATAATTGAAACGGAAAGCATGTTCTCGTACATCTGGAGAGCGAGGGAGTCGGGGGCAGGTGTGAAGGAGGGATCTATTATGTCGCCGTCGGGGGACATGGCCCGGTAGGTGGGTATGGCGGGGTAGGTGGAGGGGTGCTCGAATTGGAGAGCGGATGTGAATTTACTATCTACTGCTCCTGGGAAACGAACACTGTGGTGATTTAGCACAATTCATGGGAGTGTGGATTTGAGAACTTGCCCTGCTGCTCCGGGCTTCTGGGAGAGTGAAGAGTTCCATCGTTGTAAGCTTAGAGGTCGAATGAAGGGATGCTTTGCTGTGGGAAAGTGAGGGCAACGTTGCAGACGCTGCAAAGAAATCTTCATGATTACGAAAAGAGGTTATTACTCAAGAGTAAATTTGAATGTTCCTGACTTCGGCGCATGTCAATGGCAGTGCATGAGATTGTTTAGCATGAGGTTTGTTGAATCGAGGAGAACGGTCACTTAAGCCGAGCACAAGCCGCGAGTAGCCACCCCGGATTCTGACCCCAGATTTCGCTTGAATTTCGGCTCTGGATGGACCCCTGTCAAGACATGGACCGCTCTGGGTTTTGAAGCCAAAGCCTTGGTTTGAAGGTTTGCTACCCAGATACGATGGAAGCATCACATCGTATACGAACCCAAAAAGATTAACTTTGTTGACGTGTTTCTTTTGGGATTTAAAGTTTACTGACATCTGACTTAGTACCGCCGGAATTAGTATTCGGTTTACATTATCCTGAAATTTTCGTGCTCATTTCGAACTGGAACTTCCGAGAAAAACGCAGTTCTTGAGATGAAAGGAGAGATTAGATTTTATTCTCAGGTTTCAGTACCCACTTGGTACTTAAGCCAGTTAGTAGTGTTGTCCCACAAATTCAAGATGATATTACCAAGAAAATTGGGATGTAAGATAATATTGTTCTAGATTTTGGGGGACAATGCAAGTGATTTAAGTCCCAACGGCAAACTTAAATCTGAAACGATGAAGTGGTGTGAGAACGATGTAAACTCGAATCTCAGAAAAGCCTGCGCTTTCCACTTATATTATCCCACAAAGTCAAGGACAATATCATACCTAGCTATATTTTAATCCTTACGATAGGTTATATCATCCTTGTTTGCATGGCATTGAACTGAAATACCTCTCATTAGATCGACCTCTACACAATACAAACCTCCAACCCGTGGTCGATCTTCATGAGATCTGCTGCCCGTTCGGCCACAGCATAGACAAAAGTTCTGACAATTTCCTTCCTGTATGAGGGGCATAATACTGGCATCAACCACTCTCCATTTTTTCGTCCTGTAAACCACAAGTCGTACGTTCACAACACCTCCCTTCTCTCTCGGAAGCATAGCACATGTGCCCGAGTAATGACATACAGGTACGGATGTCGCCCGAGTATTCGCTTTCGCGTCCTCAAGATCTTTCAAAAAGGCGGTAGGGTGGTTTCGCTTCCCGTCAGGTTTGAGATACGACACCAATGGCTCGGTCTTAGCGAGGGTTTGAAGAAAGAGAATGTGTCGAGCGCAGAGTCCGATATCTAGCGGATGGGGTAGATAGTTCGACTCAATCCTTGGCGGCTCAGAGATATCACTTGACGTGATGTGTGTACAGTAGAGCCTCGAGACATGCATGCATCGCATCGTCCAACTCTGCTGATGACGCACGATTTCGGCTTCGGCTTGAACTACCAATCAAAAGTGAGTCAGCATAGCTCAGCATAAGCAGAAGAGAATACCTGTGTACTACTCTTAAGTGGGACAAGCTTGCTATCCAGAAGAGCAGCCGTTCTGGGCAGTACGCCTCTGCATTGACGATCTGGCACATTTGAGCACGAAGTCAGGAACCGACCCCGACCTCTTTGTTCCCTGTCTCTGACTCCGCCGCAACGATGGTGGATGTTCAAGTGCCATCCACCTCGAAAGTTCGGGTTCGTGTTTTCTTTTCTTTCTCTGTCGCCGTTCTTCGTATATCCCTTCGTTGTGTGTCAGTGCATCAAGATGTTGTCCGAATCTGCAGCCCCTATTGCTCAGCTGGTTCCGAGAAGACAACACAAGAAGAGCCGGACCGGATGCTTGCCATGCAAGATCCGTAAGGTCAAGGTACGATTATACCTGATGAAAGATAGATGTGGGCTTATGTGGGCTTATGTGGGCGTCTAGTGTGATGAAAGGCGTCCATTATGCCAAAATTGTGCGCGGCATTATAAGGACATCGAGAAGTGCGATTTCCCTCCTGCTCCTGCTGCCACCGAATCGACCCTCCCAGACCGCCTGCCACCTCGCACCCGGCCAATATCCAAGAAGTCACCTACTTCTTTCCGCAGAGCACCTAAATATCTACTTCCCCTGTTTCCTGGCTCGGGGATAGACCCATTTGAGTGCTTCCCAAGCTGCAATGTCCCGGAAGCCCAAAAATTCATGCATCATTGTAGGCAAGCGTAATAAAATACCGGTCACTTGAACATACTAAAGTAGTTCAGATTTTCAGAATTTCGTATCTAAATCTTTCGTAAGTCTTGAAATTATACTAAGCTATTATTTCTATTCCTTTTTTGCAAGAGCTAGGGTTCTAGGAGCTACTTGTTGTCTCCGCCCTGGCTCTGTTGTTGATCGTATTCTATTATGCTAATAAATTAAAACAGCCTGTCCATCTAGACCACATAGCTCAACCTATTATGCAGGTATGTCAAGACATTCTGAGCAGGAACCTGACTTTCTGATTACGAACAGTCATTTTGGTCACTCGCGTCTGATGACATCGTCTTATTCCACGCGACTTTGCAACTTAGTGCTCTGGATTTGGAGGTATTGCGAGGTGGCGACAACGAAGCAGCTCAAGCCAAGTTCCTCCTGAACAAAGAATGTATCACCCTTCTCAGAAAGCGAGTCGAAGATTCTATCTTAGGTATCAGTGACCAGACCATCGCATCTGTTCTATTTATCATCATCGTCGAGGTATTTGTCTCTCTGCAATCGTCCCTAGAATTTCCTGATTAACTTTGTGGCCTCATAGTTCCAAAGAAGTAATTTCAAGATGGTCACCATGCATATACAAGGCCTCAAGAGAATGGTTGCTTTGAGAGGAGGTCTCCACACTATCAGGTCTACAAATCATATGCTGGCGAACCTAATATTCGGGTAAGGAGGCCGGTCCAACACAAACATCATAAACATTAAAGGGTCTAACACTTCTTCTTGGTAGAATCAGTTTGACTGTTACTACTGAACTACAATTTTTCCCAGAAACACCACTTGAACCATTGGCTTCTGACGATCCCATAGAACTAGCACACGAGCCACACCTTGCACAAGATCCACGACTCTTTCGGCTCGATAACGTGGGCCTTTCCAGGGACCATGTCCAAGTCTTCAAGGTTCTAAGATACAACACCAACAGGGCGGATATAGAGTGGCCAGACAATGCTGCCCCGACAAAATGCTCGGATATTATGGCCCGCATGATGGCTCTACCCATACCAGTCGACGAAGGTCCCGTCATTGCAAGTATCTCGGAATCAAGTCGACTCGCAGGGGTTGGCCTGTGCTGCCTACCCTGGAAGCACGATTACCCCAGCCCTGAGTATGTTTGCACCGTTCTCTTATGCTGTACTCGCTGACTGTCTTGTCAGACTAATGATCAACACAATGATCCATAAACTAAGAATTTCACTCGAAACTGTACTCAATCTAGTTCCTAGCGACCATCCATTGTTACCGTGGCTCTTGTCGGTTGGTGGTATATATTCGGTACAACCAGAAAGAAATTGGTTTGTGGGACATCTTGTTCCCGTTGTAGTTGCTCTACAGATACGTTCTTGGGAGGATATGAGACCTCATTTGACCAAGGTACTTTGGATGGATTATTTCTGTGAAATACCATTCCGGCAGCTGTGGGAAGAGGTTGAAGCAAAAAGGAAAGATCTCGATCTTGTTGATCTTGATGTATGGCAGTAATTTAAAGATTCTGTTCCTAATCCGAACCAAAGACAATGCTTCGGTAATTTTGTGAGGGCAACACACGGTGAGACTTTTGTGCTTTCATCTATCGGCAGCCTTTCCAAAATATAGGATCAAAAAAACCACGACTATGATCAAACACCAGCATGTTCAAGATCCTAAAAGATTCCTTCGCTCTGAACCAAAAACAATGGGCGCAACCCTTTTTCTTAACACGTGACTCTGAAGATCAATTCAACCTCAGGCAACGAGGCTGAAGAATCAATTTCGATCAGCCTTGTACTTGCAGAACTTCTCAAAGGCTACAACGTCCCCTATCCTCTTCAATGGCCACAAGAACAGCTTTCCGGCCTCTAGTGAGAGCTGCAAGGCCTCAATTGCAATCCGCTCAGGTACATAGATGCTTCACCAGCACAAGCCAGCGAGCAGAATCGCCATCACAGTCTACGAATCATGAGAGAACGACGCATTTTGGGTTCGAGACGGTAGCAGAGGCAGAGAAGGAAGCTAGAGGTATATATGATGTTGGATTGGAGGATCTTCGCTGATCTAATCTCATCAGTTGCTGGAGTATTCAGCAATGTTGCTGCCTCGTACGATACCATGAACGATTTCATGTCTTTGGGAATTCACAGACTATGGAAGTATGTCACTCTCTTCCCGCTTTCCGGTCTCTCCAATAAAATTCGGCTCTAACATTAAAGCAGAGATCACTTCGTCCGATCCATCAATCCCGGATCCTCGTCAACTTCTCCCTCCCCCGGCTGGACAATGCTCGATATCGCTGGTGGCACCGGAGACATCGCTTTCCGCCTCCTCGACCACTGCACAAATATCAACAACTCCCCCCAATCTACCATAACGATCTCCGACATAAACCCCTCCATGCTTTCTGAAGGAAAGAAGCGCTCGCTAGCCACCTCCTACGCCAACTCTCCTCGCATAAACTGGCTTGTAGCAAATGCCGAAAATTTGGAAACGATTGAGTCTGATAGCATAGACCTATACACTGTTGCTTTTGGCATCAGGAATTTTACGAATAAAGAGAAGGCATTGAGGGAGGCGTATAGGGTGTTGAAACCCGGTGGTGTATTTGCTTGTTTAGAGTTTAGTGGGGTGACCAATCCGTTGTTTGATGCTGTGTATAAGAGGTGGAGTTTTGGTGCTATTCCTTTGATAGGACAGTTGGTAGCTGGTGATAGGGCTAGTTATCAGTACCTTGTTGAGAGTATTGAGAAGTTTCCTAAGCAAGAAGAGTTCAGAGATATGATCAAGGAGGCTGGGTTTGTGGTTCCAGGGAAGGGATGGGAAGATTTGACTGGTGGTATTGCCGCTATTCACAAAGGCATCAAGCCGGCTGGAACACCCTAGACTTGTAATTTACTGTACCATATTGTAAGATAGTCTCTGCTCTAAAGCCCGGGAAAATCGCTCTTCATGACAAACAAGAGGTTATGATACAAAGGATTTGTATTTTCTATTTTGCTAAAACACCATCACCTGCCAGCGCTCTGTCTTTCTGGCGGAACTAGAATACACGCAACGCTATTTGAGGCAACCAATGCTGCAATAATGGGGGATCAAAGTACACAGAGAAGAACGAGCTATCATCGCTTCTCACATTGAGAAGCATAAGCTGATTTAACTCCACCTCCGTTCCCAGATCACAGATACCTGTAGTAAGAAGCCGAAACCCGAACGGCCAATTGATGTCTTCAGCTCACAAAATGTGACCATTAAGAAGATGTACTAGAATGCGGACTTTTGGTGGAAAGCAAAGGAATATCGTAAACAAGAAGATCAAGAGTCGCCGGTAGCAGGTGTTGCGTTGGATGGAGCTGGGGAGGACGATTCGCCCTTGAAGCCACGTCCTCGTCCACGGCCTCTTTCTCCACCTCGTGTTCCTCTTGGAGCCCCACGTCCACCACGGCCTCCACGGCCACCTTCGCTATCGCTCGCACCTCCGCTACGGTATCCGCCTTGAGGGGTGCCGGAGCTATTTCCACCTCTGCTGCTACCCCAATTGCCTGCTCCACCGCGATTACCACCGAAAGACTTATTCTCTCTTGGTTGGAAAATCTTCACCAGTGGTCGGCTTCGGTCTTCACCAGTTCGAGACTTCACATCCTCTGGTAGACTGGCTAGAACAGCGTCTCGCTCTTCAATACTCTTGAAATGAGCTACCTTGTTGGATTGACCCCACTTCTCGATCTTCAGAATCTTCTCCTTGTCCTCGTCCTTGAACAGGTCTCGGACGGCATCATCGGAAGTGACATTCATAACGAATAAACCAATGATAGGCTCACTTGGTTGAGTCTTCGCGACAGGGGATGCAGCCTCACCGTTAGAAGTACCGTTCGTAGCCGCAGGAGTTGAAATCTTCTCATTCTCCTTCTTGTCCGCTGTTCCTGGGAGGTTGACATTGGTTTGAGGCTGTGGGGTAGCTGGCTTTGGTGCTGGCGATTCTGACTTCACTTCAGGAACAGCTGGGCCTCTCGGTGGTTGTTGAGTGGGACGTTGCTGCTGGCCTTGGTTGAAGGGCTGCTGAGCAGGTTGCGCAGCTGGTGACCGCTGTGCTGGACCCGTAGGTGGAGCAGAAGCAACAAGTGCATGGCTCGATCCAGGTGTGCCAGATCCAGTTGATGGGGCTTGAGCGGCCTGTTGTTGGTTACCATGTCCTGGGTGCTGCTTTGCCCCTCGGTGTGCAAAGTTGAACCCTTGAGCTCTCATCTCAGTACCGATTCTGCCGTCCTGGACCTCCAATACCAACCAACCGAAAGCCGCATCCGCCAGATTGAAGTTCCACATGTTCTTAAATGCGCTTTCATCAACCTGCCCAACGCCCGCCGCATTAGCTCCACCAACAGGACCTCCAAATGGATTGCCACCAAGAGCAGTGCTTGGCATCTTGTCAACTATATCAAGCGCATTGTGAAGTAGGTTTTGTTGTGCTTCGTTCTGTGATATAGCTGGTTGGACCTCGCCTTTCACAGTCTCCCAAACATCGTTGAAGGATGCTTTCGATGCGGCAAGCTTCCCACGGTAGTGGTCCAGGGTAGGATTTACACTAAATTCGTTGTAAGAACTGCCGTATCGGAAATGGAGGCCTGCGGATATCGAGAAGTCGGCTTTTAGAGTGACGGATAGCTGATTGAGGATACCCTCACGGGCTGGTGAAGCATGTGTAATGAAAATGCGGGTCTCAGTAGGGTCGTAAACCCGATTGGCAGTATCTACCAACTCGCCCATCTGCAGTAACGTTGTCCACATGGTGCCTTGACCACCTGCAATAGTCGTTCGTCCTTCTCCATTGTCGAAGAGCTTGTGCATCACGACAGCACCACCGAGGCCCAATAATCTCAACTTCACACCACCAATTTCTAGTAGCATCGAACGTGCCTCATCGATAATGTGCAAGTTGGTGACCTTGTATTCGCCAGACCTGAATTTCTCTAGTACCCGCACATCTTCACACGCGCCCCAGACCGTGTACACAGGCACGTCGAGTTTGAGACTGCCGTCGAGAAATTGAGGTAGTTCGGAAAGAGGAAGATCGCTCGCATTAAATCGCTGCTTTACCGGTGCTCCAGGTGCTCCGATCGCCTTCTTGACTGGTTCTGAAATCAAAGGCGAGTATTGGGCAACGTGCTTTAAAGTTCTGAAAACGTCGGGTTAGCACGTGGCCATGTTCAAGGTAGCTGCTACACCATCTTACTTTTCTGCAATTCGATCTAAGGACGTGCCATCGTAGAAACCAAAGTCTCCAGTGTGGATGATGTGGTCGGCGCGTGCTTGCTTTGCAAGCTCGTTCAGAGATCGAAGATTGCCTAGTCCTGTCAGCGCAGGTTCAAGCTGCTGCTACTGTCCAGTTTTACCTCGAACATCCGCCACGCAAAGCACTCTCACGCCTCCAGTTTGAATGATCCGACCGTTATTGGGAAGTAGAGGGGCAGCTCCAGGTGGCAATCCGGTGTGTCCTCCAGCAGCGCCGTTTGGTAGGTAACCCTGTTGATTGTAAGGGTGAGGGCGTTGCTATAATGAGTACACCGTCAGCTTCGATATCTTCCCAAGTGTGGACATGTAGGAAACGAGTATGCTCTAGATTAAATGATGCCGCGGCGCGGTCTGCGATGGACATGAGGCTGTGGAAGAGGTGCAAGAGCTGTTGTTGATGAGCTTAGGGAAGAAGGTAAAACGTACAGCCATTTTTGAGAGTCTTTGGGATTGTGGGATGTAGTTTCAGCGACAACTGAATTATACGCGTGAAAATTAGAAGGAGGCTGACACAGGTTCGTGGTTGATGGAGTTTTATTTGGCACAAGTTTTGCAACTTCCAAAAGTTCACCTCGTCCGTACGGAAGCGGCTAGCCTGATTCGATCTCTCAACCGCGCTAAGGCCAGAGCTTCCCCTTTACTTTCTATGAGATCACAATTCAGTCTTCACCTTCGCCAATTTCCTTGTCTTTGCTGAATTGTCCCTATAGCGCAAGAAGATGTTTTCTGGAAGAGCTAAATTCGAGGAAATCCACACGAGTTAGAAGCTATAAATCTGTTCTACGAGAAGAAAGGATATTGAAGACTGATACCAGCAAGGGAGAGACTCGTCAAGCACCGCGGAGGTACCGTCGCGGACGATGGGTTGCTTTGCAATGAATGAGTTCTATAATCCAAGAATCACACGATTAACGTGTTTTGAACCGACGGACAATACCCAGCCTTCCCGAGAGGACAACCTCCAAAGTGCCAGGACTTGCAGGAATTCGCATCGTTCTTACAACACTTCGTCCCTTAGATTCTAGTTCAAACTTGGGACTTAGCCCTCTTATATTGTATCGCAAACTCTGGTAGCATATTGTTATACATTTTAATTTCTAGGTCTTCGCCTGTCTTTGCGGTTCTCTTCGGGTCGCCTAATGTGGGCACCGCGCGAGTACGATACAGGGTCAACTTGCTAGTCATCATTTCCTTCATCTTGTTTGGTTGTTGCATCTACACTTCTTCATACAAAAGGCATGACTACTCGCGAGAAATAATTTTCACAGTAAAATAAACCGAATATGTTTTACGTTTTTATCCTTTTCAAGCCGTGCTGCATCCATTCTGAGCGTACCATAAACAGTGGGATATAAGATAAGTTTGTTCTCGACTTTGTGGACAATTTAAGCGGAAAAGTAGATTCTTCAAGATAGAAGGTTTACCTGAATCAAGAATTATCTAGTAGTAAACATCAGATTCGATTCCTAAAGATACATCATCAAAATTGGAAGTCCACGATCCAACACCAACGCTCGTTCTTTTACGTTGCCCTATCAAGCCTAAACAAGATCCCTCATTTCTTCCTACTTCGACCTCTTATTGGACTTTCTTCTGACTCCTCTCTCATCCCACCTCTCCGAAGAACAAGTATTGATCCACAATTATTCATCTTTTCTCGATTTCCTCTACTTCAGATAAGATTCTCAGACGACTTTGGTCCCTTCACCTTTCCTCGTTTCGAGAACTGCTTTCACAGAACCAAAGACGAAACCGTCCAAGAGGGGCTTATCCCAAGATTTCAGACCTCGCTCTATCATGGAATCAACTCATTCAAGTTCATACAAATACAACAGCAATGGCCCCTAACCCAGTCAAGATGTAAGCAACCCCATGCTGTTGGCGTCCTTTTGTATTACTTCGTGATGCTTCCTCTCATTTTGAAAGCTGAGTCTTCGAAAAGCTTTCATCTGTCCTTCGTTCCCTCCGAAACCACTTAACTCAACTCAATATACCACGCTAACATCTAACAGTAAACCCGGGAGGGACATTGTCCATGTCAAAGTCGGACTCGGTCTCCAAGATTTCGGCATTCACAAGAATCTCCTTTGCGGCTACTCGCCATTTTTCAAGACCGCATTCACATCTGGTTTTGAAGAAGCAAGGAGCGGTATCATGAAGCTTCCAGAAAAGGATGCGAAGATGTTCGAGCTGTTCTACAACTGGCTGTATACACAGGAATTGTGGGACCGGGACGCCAGGCGAGAAGAATGGCCAGAGTTGGAGGGGCTGATGAAGCTCTACATTTTCGCAGATACGGTAAAAGTCCCAGTTCTGAAAAACCATATCATCGATACCCTCCAAGCCATCAGCAACGCTACTCGAAGACTGCCCGTATCGGTTTTTCCTTATGTATGGAGCAACACAACGGCGACAGACCCCATTCGGACTCTCATGGTTGATTGGCTGGTCTGGGAGTTCAACGAGAGAGAGTTTGATGAGAACCCGGAATACTTTCCCCCAGAACTACGACTTCAAGCTCTGAAGGCCATGCGAAGAATCATTAGTACATATCAGCGATTGAAAGAAATCAAAGATGAAAATCTTCTCGTGGATATGCGAAAGTATCACCATAAAGAGGACAACGCTGCACAGTGAAGCTCGCCAATGATACACCAATCTGTCGAGTATCAGACAATAGCCACAGACGACGACTTAGCTCTAGGATCACAAGGAGTACTTTTAAATTGGTGTGGTCAGCGAGGTATGTAGACTTGAGGTGATTCTGTTGTCAAAGCTAACAACTATCCATAAAAGAGTTCAAGACAACCGATATCTCCAACATCTTGAGAGATCCGCTTTCAACACAAGGTAGTGAACCTCACTTGTTCCCCGACCATGCCCAACGAAGTAGGAAAGTCCTGCACGAGGTCCCAAACAGCAAAGTTGAATATCAGGCTATTGAATCATTCATTTCATTTCATTCTCTCCCACTTTCATCAACTGCCTGTCCTTAGCTTAGACAGGGCTGGCCAGATCTGCCCAACTCTTACTTTCGTCACTTCTGCTCCATATCGAAAGCACAAAATTCCTAACTTGATTGTCCACACCTCGGGCATTCGTATACTTACGTACCTGGTAGTCTACGTCTCGAGAACATACCGGACTTGCCCTAAATAGCTTCCAAAATCAAGAAATAAAATTATTCGAAAGTTGCAATGTAGAAAGAATGGTGAAAGGTGTTACTTTATCGAAGAACATCGAGCTATGAAGAAACTTCTCACATTTGGAACACATATTTTTAACACACCATGTCTATAACACAGGTGGTAAATCGTAATCTACATTACTAGCATGCTAAGTCATTGAGAAGGGAGGGGTATCATCAAATTACAAACTCATAGATCTCATGCTAATCATCTCTTACACTCCGAATATTATGTTCTCCGCGTCTCAGTTAGAGTTCGTTGCACGTCTCCAAATCATGGCAGCAGCAATCAAAGCACATGCCGTAGCACCTGCTGCAATATACATGCCCGTCCTATCCGGTGCCTCTTCCTCGCTCTTCGGGAATGCTAGACTCGGGTTCGTAGCTGCTTCGGCTAAGGTGACGAACAATTCGCTGATGCTGTTCCATGTGACACTGACATGCAGAGGTGCATTCATGTTCAGGCTTAACGTGTACTCGTCGGGCTGCATTTCTGACCGTTGTGTGGTCTTGTCTTGGTCTGCTTTCAAGGCTGTGTATATAGCCGGAAGCTCATCTAGCTGTGGATATTTCTGTCGCAACGAGACGATGTGTGAAAACGAATCGGGATTGGAAGAGTCGTAAGTGTAGCAGATCAGGTCACAGGCATCGAGCTTCGCCTGGTTCTCAAGAATAGCGGGTTCCAGCTCACCGAGCTCTTCCAAGATCAGATAGCATTGCTTGCCACCATGAAGTTCGACACTGTTGACTGCGGTTCGAGGTTTAATCGTAGGCCGGTACAACGAATCGAAAGGTCGATTCAGAAAAGCATCCAGAAGTGAAGACTTGCCTGACTCCTGCGCACCAATCACATAACACAGGACCACATTGCGTTCAACTCGCCCAGGCCGCCTTCGCCTCTTTCTAGGTTTCGTAATCTTGAGTGCAGCAGTGGTGGCTGTCCGGGGTCCAGTTGCTGGTTCGAAGCCAAGATACGCAAGATAGGAAAGAGTCGTATTTGGTGATGTAAATGTAGTCATTGACCACTGGGCAAGCCAACCTTGGAGAGTGATATGTCCAGCTTCATTTTGAACCGTCGAAGAAGGAAATGAGGTCTCCAACCATGATGAGGGCAGCCCTGGAGTGGGCGCAAAAAGGGCGTCCAATTCCGAGTCATTTAATCCTCCATCGTTGTCCTTGTCAAATAGTAGAAACAGATCGACAAAGAATCTATACCCAGCCGGACTAAGCTCTGCAGAAGAGTATTCGGGGATATCAAACTTTGGATGTAGGAAGCTATCCTTCAAGCTCAGACTGTCAGTGTAATGAAACTGCCGTAAAATAATCCATATGGTCTCATGTCTTCCTTTTTCTGCAAAAATCTTATTGAGATAGATGAATCCTTTCTGATCGATGCCCCTATTGATATCGGACTTTGGTGATGCTTTGCTGATTGACAATTTGATATTATCCAGGTCCTCTGGTGACAATGGCTTCTCGAAGCACTTTGCTTGAAATTCGTGCATCTCTTGGTCATTTAAGTACCCATCCTGGTCCTTATCGCACAAGAAGAATATTCGCTTCAATGCAGCCACCGCAGCTGGCTTGAGATTGCCCTCCTTCGAGTCGAATAAAGGTGCAATGGGGTGTGTAACAGCTTTCTGGCATAGAAAGAAGACCTCATTAACATTATGATGTTCTCTCGCGCTGGTCCGTATGCAAGAATCTATTTCCTTAAACTCTGCCATGACCGGCAGCATCTCTTCCTCGACAACTTGTGTTGTATTCCCATTCGTAGTCAAGTCGGACTTGTTGGCACATAGGACCACCGGTACATTCACTCCAAGAGAGCGAAAGTACGGCATCCAGAACAATGCCACCCGTTCATAGCTGTAGTGGTCTGAGTAGACCAGCAGTATAACATTCGACTTTCGAATCTCCTTTCGCAGGGTGTTTCGTTCTTGTGGCAGGGCCGAGGTATCGACGATGGTGGTCGTAACATTCTCAGGCGTACCAATCGTGGGAGGGATGGTGATCTGTGGAAGGACAGATTGGATCTTGTTTTTCACATAGACGTCTTTGACCAAAGATGTGATCAGACTCGACTTCCCCGTTCCTTCGTCCCCGCAGACGCATATCCGTACTGCTGCAAGTAAGCTCCCGCCAGGTATCCGGGAAAGAGGGCCGAGGATCATGTACCTGTAGCCATCATAGCAAGGATGCAAAACCTCAGATCCTCGCTATTGACACTCCATCGCTGCGAATCTAGGACCTTGATGTGTCTTTTTGTACGATTTCCGGCCGAGTCGAGTCCTGTCGGATGCGATGCAAAGCTAGGCGCTTGATCTGTCTGGCATGCAGCTATTCTTTGGGTTGGATTAGGTTGCGTTGCGTCGCCTGATAGCTTCAGCGTGCTTCGCTCGGGTCTGAATAGGCCGTCATGGCCGAGAGCCTAATGGGCCCTGTCAACTCCGCCTTTATTAGTATAGCTGCGCTATTCGACGACGATCATTGCTGGGACTGCACTGTCATCCTTCATTCTTTCAACTACAATTGCTCCTGGAATTCCATGAACATATAATTGCAATCCCTCATTGTCCTACTGAGCGCCGGTCCTTTGCTCCAAATTCACGCTGTCCTCGCCCCCACGAACATTGAATAATACGAACATCACTACTTTACCCCACACTTGCGTACCTTGCAGACACTCGCTGCCAATTCCTGGTTGCCCATCCGCGCGCAAGACAATTGGAATGAGGTTTTGGACACAAGTCTTGAAAATAAGATTGAGTCTAGTCTGCACTTAGCAGACCCCTCTCCGCCGATATGTTGTACGTCTCTGCCACATGCGCAGCTTGCCGTCTTGTAGATCACTGATAAGATCCAGTGTCCTTCCGCCTCCGCCAAGATATCCCTCCCAAGCCGCATACAATCTCGCAGTTGCAAATGGACAGGCGGCTCCCATGATCGAAACGAATAATATCCTGACCCATCCAACGGGGCCCGAGTACCAGCTAGTCGTGGGTGAAGGTACAGTCAGGCGCATTGTGCCCCGAATTTAAGTCTAACCATGATGCTAGGAACCTATATTCTTAAAGAAGACTTACACCTTGCGACACCGCCGCCTCACCCCTCAGAAGCTCCAATTATAAATCCGAATCCTCTGGCAACAACGCCCCAACCAGCGACAGCCGGCACCAAAATCTCCCTATTGTCCTTCAGCTCACGGAGCTCAGCGCCTTTGCTGTATAAGATCGGCACAAACGGAAGCACAACATCAGGGGGCCTTCAAAGTAGTATACAAGAGCACCCCAATGAAGGTCGGGACTCTGCAGATGTGATTCCTGGGAGCAGCGATGGAGGGGGAACGTCGATAACAGGCAGTGCAAGAGCTGCTCTCTCTATCGGGTCTGCCCCAGCCTTTGGTGAAGGCAATTCGATGCTCTCGGCAACTGGCAAAGACGCTGGCAAGCGAAGGAAACCAAAGAACAATATCGCGAAAAGTAATTCGTCTTTCATCTCCAGATGCATAGTTCATGAGAATATGGCGAAACGATTGGTAGACCGTCCGTCTGATGGCTATTTTGCTTTTGCCAATATCAATCGAGCCTTTCAGTGGCTTGATTTATCCTCACCTCAGAAGGTAGCTCCGTCAAACCTCGCATGGCACCAGAACAAAGCTGAGAATGACATAGGCAGATCATTTGACAAAGATTTTGTTCACCAAAGGGCATTGTCTTTGCCATGATATTAATCAGGTAACCAAGGGTCCGAGCCATATCGATCTGATTATGGGTTTCTCGACAGGTGAAATAATCTGGTTTGAACCTATATCACAAAAATATACCCGACTGAATAAGAATGTAATGATATGTACTTACTATTTACACATGTTCTAGGACTAACTTGGGCATAGGGCATCATCAATGCGACTCCAGTTTCAGAAATCCGTTGGATACCTGGGTCAGAAAATTTATTCTTGGCTGCACATATGGACGGTTCCCTAGTCGTTTATGACAAAGAGAAAGATGACTCGGCATTCTTACCAGAGGAGAATGGAGGCCAAACTAATGGCAACTCCGAAAAGACCAACGGCAATGGTCATAATGGGTTTGGCGAACATGCAGCTAAACTTCACGTCGACAAATCTGTGCACTCCAAGAATCAGAAATTCAATCCAGTCTCGTTCTGGAAACTGTCGAACCAGAGAATCAATGCTTTCGCCTTTTCTCCAGACAACAGACATCTTGCCGTGGTGTCCGAGGACGGGACGTTACGTATAATTGACTATTTAAAAGAACAGTGAGTAAAAGTTTGTGGGTGTCTAACAACATCGCTGACCATGTCAGGCTACTTGATCTATATGCTAGCTACTATGGGGGATTCATATGCGTCTGTTGGTCTCCAGATGGAAAATATGTCCTGACAGGGGGTCAAGATGATCTTGTGTCAATCTGGTCCGTGACCGAAGCTACCATTGTTGCACGTTGCCAAGGACATCAATCGTGGGTGACAGCGGTTTGTTTCGATCCATGGCGTTGTGATGACAAAAACTATCGCTTTGGTAGTGTCGGAGAAGATTGCCGGTTGCTCTTGTGGGATTTCAGCGTCGGAATGCTACATCGGCCGAAAGCTGTGAGCTTCTTCCTTGTAATGAAAGTACAGAGCTGACTCTAAAACAGTCTTCTGTACGGCAGAGGGGTAGTATCTCGTCTCGCTTTGCAAGTCCACTGCAGAGAGCAGAAACACAAACGTCGACAAGCAGATTAAGATCAAACTCGAGTGCTTCTGCGGAGGGTGAAGACGAGCATACAATTGAGCATCCAGTAGAGCCTAGAGCTACGACCGCCATGCTACCACCCGTTATGGTGAGCTCCGTATGATGTCTTCATGAGTTACCGATATGCTGACATGCTCCAGTCCAAGGTAGTCGATCCCGATCCTTTGTGCTGGTTGGACTTCACAGAAGAGTCGATCATCACGAGTTGCAAGAGTGGTAAGGACTGCATTCCTTGAATGTCTGTGGCTCAAGCTAATATTCTCAAGGCCATATTCGTACTTGGGATCGACCTCGAGACACGACAGCAAGCAAGAGTGAAACAACACTAGCATCTGCGTCGTAATTTATGTGTATTAGTCTCAGATTCTTTATAATCATAGCACTGGTTATGGAATTATCATAGTCTATAGTGACAACAGATGCCACTCACAATAATTTCGTGATAGTTCACACGTAAGCATTCTCCCAGATGGGACTGATGATTAAATCTATAGGGTCAACACACTGCTGGTCACAGATTATTGTAAGCCTCACGTCCGGGCCCGGAAAAATCTCTTCCCCCGCTCTAAGTCGCCCCGCCGGTTAAAGTGGAAGCTCTCCCCTATCAGACGATCCGCTTATGCAAGTGCATCACAAAAGCGTGTCGCTAGTCAATACGCCGACCTCGCATAAAAAGAAAGGAGTCCCATCAGCTGAGGGACTTTCATCTTTACTTGCACTTTTTCTTTTGTATGCTGTCTTCAGTATTTTTCCCTTCAACATGGGCAGTATTCAAGAAGATTACACCTTGAGCGAAGCTCAGAAAGCTCATTTCCTCGAACACGGCTACGTCAAAATCCCACAATGCTTCACCCGCGAACAAGCAACAAAGTTCACAGAAGGAATGTGGACAAGATTAGGCATGTCTCCTACTGATAAATCAACATGGACCAAAGAGAAAACGAATATGCCCTACCATTATCATGTACCCGTTTCTGAGTTTTCGCCAAAAGCATGGTCTGCTATGGGACAATTGTTGGGCGGCGTAGATAGGATTTCGGAAAAGCCGGGGTTTAGGGGTTGGTCAGATGGATTTATTGTCAATTTGGGCCGAGATGGGTATAAGGCCGAGGATGAGTTGAATTTGAGATGTAGGTTTACTCTTGATAAGCCCAATCGGTGTAACTTTGGGAGAAGATCGCCTTTCTCGCTTAATTTGAGGCACTGAGTCGTTGTGGTACATTGGGAAATGTTTTACTAATTTTGGTAGCTTTGGACAATTGGCATAATGATGGAGACTTTTTTGTGCATTTTCTCGACAGCCCTGAGCAAGCACTACTTGTCATTCCACTATGGAGTGACATCGAGCATAAAGGAGGTGGTACTGCTGTATGCAGCGATGGCATCAAATACATCGCAAAACATCTGGTAAAGTTTATCATCACTTGAATTCCATGACAACATCCTGACAAGATGCTAGTATGATCATCCTGAGGGTACGACCCCATGGATGCGCTCAGTCAACGACCCATCCCATTCAGCCTATGAAGGCCGCGATTTCTGGTCTGAAATTGCATGGAACTCATCCAAAACGAGAGACGAGAGCTTTCACGAAGTTACAGGCCAAGTAGGAGACGTTTTCCTCCTCCATCCCTTGATGTTACACTCCGCATCCAAAAACTTGTTGCGAGTCCCAAGAATAATCACCAACCCGCCCGTCAGTTTGAAGGAGCCTTTTTGCCTCGACAGGGAGGATCCGAGCCAATACAGCTTAGTTGAACTCAAAACTCTTAAGGATCTTGGTAAGTCAGCTTATCGGCAATGTCCCCTCTGCCATTGCTTGTGAGAGGCATTCTCTCTCATAAAACTACGAATTTAGTGTGCTAATTCAGACTTCCTGCGCTTTAGGGATGCCTGATGGATTGAAAGGATGGAAGATAACAGGACCAAGGAGGGACTGGATTTCTCAGCGCATAAGAAGGCAAGAGGAGGAAAGAACGAAAGAAGTAGAAAGATTGAAGTCAAAGTAGATTCATGTGTCTGCCTAGCTCACCTGTAAAGTACGTATGTCCAGCAGCCACACCATACTACACCAACAAACGAGCTTCTCTACCTTGCGTAGCCCTTACTCTCCTATTTCTTGTGCGTCCTCCTGCAGTTGTCAAAAACCTATGTTCAAGCTGTTGAATTGACAATGGGTAACTTACAACACACCCCCATGATCATATATTGATTTGCCAGAAATATGAAGATGCAGGTTCAATTTGGGGAGAGTGCTTAGACAGAATCTGTTTAAAGGCTCAAGAGTCCGTTGGCAATCGAATACTTTAGAGTCGCATAATTTTTCCACTCTTCAAGTTGAAGTAAAATAATCGAGTGGCAAGAAACTAAACATGATCAGGGAAGTAACGTGGGAAAGAACAGCAACCACGTGACGGGTGCCCGCTCTACGCTGTAGAGAATTGAGGCAACATTGTTTGTTAAGCTTTCATGTTAGAACATTCGAGCAACTGACTTGATCGGGACATTGATAGCTAGGTTTCCTAGTATCAAAATGGAATCTATCTATTGTACGAAGAACGCTTGAAAACACGTGATGACACAAGAAAACTTTCACCTAAGAAGCTCGGATTAACCACAATCCAGCTAGCAAGGCCATGGTTATATTATGCGAGTGTCAAGACATATTACTCGAAATAGTAAAGGCTATACCAACTTCGCAATGGACAGAAAGATGTTGATCAAGCGAGAGCGACCCAGGAGATTGGAACCCAAATGTAAAGCGCCCGCCACTAAATCTTGATGTGACGAATGTGGCGCACAAGTAAGACGTGCAACAAAACAAAAATTTAGGTCATACAAAGAAACGGGAAGACGTCTAATAATCAGAATTGGTTGGTTGAAGAACAGAAAGTGGGTCCTGATGCCAGGAACTTCGTGGTCGAAGCCCCTTTCCTAGCGTATAACCTCGCCAATGCAAAAAAGACAACTCGGAAGCAGGTCCTTTACAATTTCGTAAAGTGAGTATTAGTGTATTTTATTACATACCTCCGACTATTCCATACTCGGGATTTCCATCACTCCTCGGCCATAGAACTCGCTGATCGTACCAAATTTGTCCCTGCTCCCTGCTAATGCGGCTAAGAAGATATCATGCCTGTCAGCGCTCTCATCCTGTGCCTTTCTAATAGCTCGGATCGTATCATTGTCCTTTCGGCAATTTGGACAGGGTCCTTCCACATTTCCATCTTCATCGACTTCCATGTTCAAACAATGCCGATGAAAGCTGTGCTTGCAGAGAAAGTGCACGGTGGGTAGATAAAGTGGTGAGCTACAGGAAGCACACCGAGTGTTGTTGAAAGTCTGTGGCTTATTTGACAAGTCTGCAATTTCTTGCCGTTTGTCCGAGGTCTCAGTACGATATGAGGTGATTAGTCGTCGATTTGACGCGATCTCCTTTCGTTCTCGTTCAATGGTCTGTTGGAGATATGTTTTTACCATGCCCATTGTCGCAACAGCATTCGTGCTAAGAGTTTGGATGACCTGAAGAGGTGCCATAAGCCCATCTTCATCAATTTTCTGAAGTACAGCATCAAGCTCATCTCCAGCTTCGTCGAGGATTCGTGGATCCGATGTGAAATATGCCAGTGCAGCAGGGTAGAGTTGCGGTTCTTCTGGTCCATATTTTCTCAGCGCCTTGATGGCGCCACGGGTATCTTTCGCAGATGTATATGATCTAAAAATATCAAATCGAAGACCAGCTTGTTCGCGGACGAGAATGGTCCCGTCGCGGAAATCCGAGAGATGAGACAACAATAGAACGTTAGAAGTGTCGATTGGGATATCCTTCCCCTCGATCAGTTTCTTCGCCTTGGCCTCCCATTCTTCCCTGTTAGCTCCCTTCTTCTCGTTTGCCTTGTGCAGATACATTTCGAATAGAGTCGTATAGAGATCGATCTTGTCTCTTTCTTTCAAATCTTTCTCCTGCAGACAGGCTTCCAAGAAGACAACAAATTCATCTGGATGGTCGACGAACGAAGAGAAAGCGGTCCGGGGTTGAGGTGGTGAATATTGAGGAACAACATTTTGTTCGGGATTGCTGACAACTTGGTTGTCACTGACTGTGGGAATGACATTGCCTTGGGTAGGGGGGGATGCAACAGCAGAAGTATTCATGTAAGGTAATGGAAGAAGGTCTTTGAGATTTTGGACTGCATTCACAGCTCCTGCTGCATAGCCTGGTTGCTGGGCTACCACCTCTTGGGGAACAACGACATCGACTTTCGGCTGATAGTGTCCGGTAAAGTAATGGACAAACAACTGTGTTGTTTCTTTTGGGCAATGTTCGAGCAGAACTCTGGCATATTTCATCATGTTTGAATAAGCCTGTCCCGGCGTTAGCAGTTAGCAAAGTTGGTCAATGGATAGACTTACAGCCTCTGGCTCTAGGCGACTAATGAAGTCAAGAGCGTCAGCATATTTTTTGGAGTCCTCAATCAGGATATCAACAACAAGTTCATGCTCTCCGTGCTTAGTAGCAAGATATGCCGCTTGCTCATAATAGCCACCTTGCCTACACATCGAAATAGCGGTGTCTAGGTCAAACTTCAGATCACCGGGCGATTTGATGAACTTCTCAAGCTTGTCGATGTCTTTTAATTTGGCGTAGCAATTTAAAAGCAGCGTGGTGTGGTCCGCAGTAGCTTTGTGATGTTCGTGTAATTCTTCGAGATACTCAATCAGGTTGTGTATTCTTTGAGTATCCAGGAACTATATTGTCAGCAAATGCCCGTAGAACCAACGAATACACTCTTACCTTTCGAATGACCTGGGAGGGCTCGGTATTGTCGATTGCCTTCAGATATTGTTGCATAGCACCGTCATAATCGGCTTTCTGGTACAGATGGTCACCATATTTCCGAAATATCACATTCTGCCCTGATGCATCCATTCCCGACCTCTGTGCCAAGTTAATGGCGGTTACAAAGAGATTCCTCTGATAAAGAATCTCCAATCTCTGCTGTAGGGATTTCTCGTGATATCGATATATCTATCATTTACATCAATCAAAAAAGATCCGCCTCTTCGGGGCCAACATACCTTGCCATCTTGTGTAAGGGTGAAAAGATCACCCCAGATCATGAAAAGTGTTTTGACTTGAGAAACCAGGGACTCGGAATGCGCAACAAATTTCAAAACCGTATCAAGAAGAGTGAAAGTAGAGGTGTTGAAGAGCTCATCGGCTTGAGCGCCGCCAAATCGCCTTAGAGTATTCGTCTTCGCCGGGGTGGATGAAGAGGGAGGAGAGACGAGTGCGACATAGTCTTCATATATAGCTACCAAGCTTTTCGGGCCATCGATGGCGTAACATGGACCTCGACCATCCACGCCGTAGTAATATATTGCGTCATCTCGTACCACAATGATGTCGCCCATCCTCTTATCAAGTGTCATACATCCAACAGCGCATCCTGAATCTTCTACCGCCCGTGCAGCCTGACCTTGACCACGTCCCGCAATGACAAGCTTCAAGATTCGTGAGGTGGTCGAGACATATAGAGTAGTAAGTCTTGATTCTTCTCGAAACTCAACTCCGGTGATTGGTTCCTCAGACTCGTGTACGGTTCTTTGCTTTGCGCCCCGGTCATGGACTAGATCTCCTCGCACAACTGTGACGGAACCATTGGCGAATCCTATCGCTAATTGGGAGAGGTCATCCAACGCAGTGAAGGCAGATATCTGTACATGTTCGTAAGGAATAACTTTTATGACTTATGACTGCACAGAGAACGTACTGGAAAGGGTTTCCGCCCGTTCTGAATGCTCAACGTCGATTGACAGGTGGGTAGTCCAGTCTTCTTCACGGGCTTATCGAGAGCCCAGACTTTCAGAACCGGCTCGTTCGATATATCTTCCTGTATAGAGTCAGGCCCAGTCCATCTCCATTCCATCGGCAAGGCATACGGAGATTGTAACCAGTAAAGACGTTCCTTCCACTTGCTTCATGTGTGTTATCGAGCCCGTATCGTGTGCTTGGAAGGTTCGTAGGACCTTGAATGTCGGCGAGAGGATGCGTACAAATCCATCATAGCTGCCGAGGAAGAGAGAGTCGGAGCCTGAGCATACACAACTGATTTCGTTATTCTCGAAGAAGGACTTGCTCTCGTCGTCTGAAGGCTTGACCTGGCTGACTTCGAAAAAGTCAAACGTTTTCCACTGTGAACATTAGCAAGTCTCTCAGAGGAGGAGCTATTCAACATACGGAACTTAAGGCCATGTCAACAAGTTGCAGAAGTCATAGCACTTTGCAGAAAGCTCGGAGACTCAAGCCTTGCCTCGCAGCCTGGTCGTCATGCAGCTGCGGGAGCTTGGACCAGGTCCAGAAGGCTAGTCTCGAAAGGGGCTAGGTGAAACTTTTCCTACGAGTATGTTCCGAGCGGTTACTCTTTTCACAGAATCAAATCTTGCATCTGAAAAACTTCTTAGAGAAAGTCACTTTTGTTCGAAAAGTGAAGAAACCTCCGAGGCCAATTACTTACGATCCTCCACCCATCACAACGGCATGTCACGGGTCTGTGATGAAAATCTGCAGTGAATTACTTCCAATCACGACGAAGCAGAGCACAGTCAAAAACATAACATACAACTTGAATGAAACATCTTGGCTCGGAATTATAAGGTATGATTAAGTCTCATGAACCATCGTCGCCGCTTGTGATCTGAAAATACTAATTAATGCCCGACACTCGCTCCTCGATATGCTCTACTTCTCGTTGCAGGAATTATTAATGTCACAATCTGCGTTGAATACATCCTCTCGTCTTGAGAGAAGTACCTTCGATTCATGTTACTCATCGTTTTCCTTATACGCGCTCTCCTTCTCTCTTCCGGCTTCTTAAGTAGGAACGCGCCAAGCAGCATTTTTCTACATTATGTTATTTCTATGAGGAGCAAGAGATAAACCTTTTGTCTTCCTTGGCCTGGGAAAGTATGTGAAGGATCCCTTGCCTGCCAGTCTCTTCATATTCAAGTGCGACGATGCGAGACTCGCTCTTCTCAATCTTGCTACCGATGTAGCAAAAGGGGTGAAATCGTAAACATTCCTAGCGGCAGCCTTCCATAAATCATAGCAGCATTTTGCAGTAGCACTATTGTGCTTCTCTGACCAGTCTTGCCTCGGTTCTTTGTCTCGTTCCAAGACTGGCACATGTGATAATTAGCAAGTCGGCCCAATTATTCTACTATCAAAGAGAAATTATAGCAAGGAACTGTTTGGATATTATGTAAGTTATCTTCTACCCAGCACTACTCTCAAATTCAGCACGATGCCGAAGCTTCTTTCAGTCTCGTAAATCCCAAACTCGTTCTCTGTTCGAAAACAGACCTCCTCAGACTTAACGTCAAAAGTGACCTTATCGCCATTCTCCTTTTCCCTCTCACCCCCTTTGATATCCGAACTCTTCTCGTCTCTCCTCTCTTCGATCAAAGGCGGCTTCGGGGCGGTCTTCTTGAACCCTTAGAACCCTCTTCCCTCGTTTTTCTTCTTCTCTAACGCCTTGATATCTTCTCTTTGGTGCGGTAATTCCCGATTCCTTGGATCGGATCTTGGGTTTAAATAACTCGCAAGTCGCTCTGCCATCTCCTCATCCTGCCAGAACTAACTCCCGTCCCCGGAACCATCCTCTTTCCCCCTCATTCGCACAACTCTATCATACTCCTCCGGGTCCTTGAAATCGTAATCTGTTGGTACGGCATTTGTACTTTTCAATCCGCTCGCTGGAACCAAAATCAGGGTCCCCCTTCTAAGACCCGTGGAAGCGAAGTCCGAGAGATAGGTTTGGATATGCGTGGTCAGACAAGATAAGATCTTCTCATCTTGGGCATGAGCGAGGAGAGATTTTTGCGATTCTAACGAGGAGATTTGGGTGGTGAGTGTTTGCAGTTGGGAGGATATTTGGGAGCTGTAATAGGCAGAAGGCGATGATGAGGTACTGGAGACAGGAAAAGAGGAGATGGTGTCGTTGTAAGAAGGTGGTGCTTCGATGTCCGCGTAATCCTCATATCGAACTGAGGAATTGGAAGAAGATTTGGCGTCCATTATCAAATTCCTGTTCAGGGCACAGTGAGAGATCGAGACGTTGTATTGAGAATAATCCAGCGACAGTTCCCGAGGTAATCTGCCCTGACGTGAATAAGTAGGCAGATCAAGTGTTGTGAATGACGAGAATATTCAACGACTGTTCTCGATATGACTTGCTCTGGCGTGAGTAAGTACCTAGCTTGAGTCTTGTCAACGTTTATCACCCGACGGAGTGGTGCAAGAATATGACGTTGTAGGAATAATTGTCTTCTAGAGCTTCTAGAAAACGACTTGACGTATAGAATATCTCGAGAATGAGTCTTAGGGCAATTCAGAAGTTGTGAGGTGACGTCGAAGATGATTCAAATGAAGTATGGTGATTGTGTTTTAAGCAGTGACTCTGTCCCCGAAGTTACAAGTTCTTGGGCCCATGGGTGGTGATGGAGTTCTCGAGATTGAGTCGGCGCTCGCTAGTCATCCACCCGTACTGGGCCGAATTGTGTTCGCGAGGCACTTTCGCCGATGGTCCAGTATACGAAGCGGGGCTTTTTCGATTGGCGGAGGATGAAAAGGGGGGTTTTGATTTTGGTTGGTAAATCTGCTGCATGAGTAAGCAGCAGACAGAGCAGGTCAAGGTCAATCCGAGTGTCTTGCGCTCCGGTTCTGTGTGCCGCTTGTCCTTGGCTCTTTCGCTATTTCGTCTACTGGGTAATCCTCACAAATTCTTCCAGGATTACGGGGCCAATTAGGAGGAATGAAGCATTTAAGGTCAGAGTATCAGAATGCAGTAGTAACAGCTACACGAGTGGCAAACGTATTGGTACCTATGTACCTATGTATGCAAGGGAGTTGGGTCGCCGGCACGTCTGCCTTGCTCTTTCCTGAGAGGTTTGTTTTATCTTACAGTAGCATGCACAGCAACCGGAAGCCAAAGCTAAAGCTATCAGCTAGGTTTCCAGAAGGCCGCTAGAAAGAATACCGGGTCCCAAACTTCGTAAAAAGAAGTGAGGTGGGGAGGAAGGAAGGAGGCTGAATGAGGTCACGGGGAAGGTGGGTCAAAGCACAAGCCCGTCCAGTCCAGTCCAGTCCCGCGATCCGGCTTCAACCTAGTGAAGATCTTCGCCGTTCGCACACCTCACCTCACTCACCTCACTCCAATTACAGTGAGAATGCAGTTGCCTTGTCGCCATCCCCCGGACTGCGCCAGAGTAAACGATCTTACGAGAAATGGATCATGACTTGTTCCGATCGCACGCTCTGATGTGGCGTGGCGTGGCGTGGCATGGAGCAGCCACAAGGATTGCTGAGCATGGGCAGGCGAGGCTGTCTCTGCATAGGTGAGGAGTGTTGCCCGCCTTCCTTCTTCCTGGAAGCATAATCCCCTCAAACGCAGGGCTTCTACAGTACCAGTACAGTAGCTTTGTTCGGCGGTTGCAATGCCAATCTCATTACTGGATCCTTCGTGAGGCATTTCTCCGTCTCTGCCCCCTTCCCTCCCCAAACGAAATGCTCGACAAGCAACACGGAAGTCCTCCCGGTCTGACCAGATTCAGCCTCGCCTTGCCAACGGCAATCAGGTCATCGACAGGAGACAAACACAATCAAACCACGGAAATCTGAATCACTCTGCTCTGCCTCTACTGTGAATGCAAAGGTACTACAGTGGAGACTTTGCGTCATTAAATGCTAATATTCTTACTGTACATTCACCCTTTCCGCATTTTCGAGCGATCAAGGTCTATCATCCATCATTTCAGCCTTCCAAGTCCGTGAATGTGCTTCATTGGATCATCGCCAAGCCCCAAGAAGTCGGTAGTCCATTCAGAGGATCACCCAGTAAGGCTGTTCACCTACCCTACCATCTAGTGCAAGGCTAAACCTCGCCAGTCGCAGCTACCTGCGTATCCTGTGATTCCCTTTCCCACACGTCAACGGTTATTTAAACCCCCGCAATCCCTCACAATAAATTATTTCCATCTTCCTGTCTCCCACACAATCTCTCATACGATTACTCTCACATTGCTTTTCTACGCACACTACATTACTTTACAAGCAGTCCGCACCCAACCCTCCCGCAGTTACCATGCTTTACAAGTTTGCCCTCCCAGATGAGTATCTGGCCATTACTGGTGCTGGAGTGAAGACGGTCAAGATTGTCAAGGCTGCCTGGGTATGGCCTTTGCAAAGAGTAAGTCGAACAGTCTATATGCCACTCAGCTGTACTAAGTCGTCACAGTGTCAACGCTTCAGCATCCAACCGCACGATTACTCTATGAACCTCCAAGCAATGACTCGCGAGAAGTTGCAATTTCTCCTGCCTGTTGTCTTCACTGTCGGCCCCGATGTCAATCAAAGAGGTGCCATAGCAGGCCAGCCACCCCGAGACGCTGAGCACGTTGATCAAGTACCAGAAGACCATGGCGATGCCCTCATGAAGTATGCTATGTTGCTAGCAGAGGCTGATGACAATGGCAACGTCCGCGGCCAGCACATCGAGAACATCGTGAAGGTTATTATCGAGGGTGAAACTCGTGTGCTTGTCAGTAAGTAGGACCCTATCCATGCTTTTAACCTTTGACATCTTGCTCACAATTTTAGGTTCGATGACAATGGAGGAAATCTTCACTGAGCGTGAGGTCTTCAAGAAGCGCATTTTCTGAAACAGTACGTGAATTCTTATCTTCCTTCGAATATCCTTTACGAGCCCAATCGGAGAACTGTTTCGACGGATATCGACTTCGTTCCCATTCGATTTTCTTTTTTAAGACATACATATGTACTAATCTGCATATAGTCCAAGGGGAGCTCGACCAATTTGGCCTCAAAATTTACAACGCCAACGTTAAGGAGCTACGTGATGCCCCCAACTCCAGCTACTTTGACTCTCTTTCCCGGAAAGCCCACGAGGGTGCTATCAACCAAGCTCGTATCGATGTCGCCGAAGCCCAGAGAACCGGTAATGTTGGAGAGGCTCAACGTCAAGGCGAGCAGAACCGTGAAATTGCCAAGATTAACGCCGAAACTGCTGTCCAAAAGACCGAACGAGACTCTGAGAAGGCTAGAGCCGAGGCTACATTAGCTACACGCAAGACCAACTTCAACAAAGAGGTCAACATTGCTCAGATCGAGGCCACTCGTGCTACGGAAGTTCGTGATGAGGAACTAAGAAGAGATGTCGAGGTCAAGCGTGCACAGACGGAATTGGAAAGACTCAGAGCCAGCGATGTCGTTAAGGCCACCATTTCTCGTGAATCCAAGCAACAAGCCGCGGACGCCAAGAACTATGAGGAGCAAGCTCGCTCCAATGCCGCTCTCTACAGTGAACAAAAGGCTGCCGATGCACACGCTTACAAGACCCGCATCGAGGCTGAGGCAAAATACCTCGCTGCTGCCAAGGAAGCTGAGGCCGATCTTATCCGTCAACAAAAGGCTGCTGCAGGTCTCTCCGCTATGGCTGGTGCCTACAGTGATCTGTCGCACGCTTTCGGCGGCCCATCTGGCCTCATTCAATACCTTATGATTGAGAAAGGTGTCTACACCGACTTGGCCAAGGCCAACGCCGATGCTGTTCGTGGCCTTAATCCTAAGATGACCATCTGGAATACAGGAGCTCAAGCCGGTGGCGAGGGCGGGGACAGTACAGGTATGGGTGGTGTGGATAGCATTCGTAACATGGTGAGCTGACAATGATACCACGTACTTCGTGCTGTTGCTAACAACCAGGCAGTATCAAATGCTTCCGCCCCTCATGACTACCATCAATGAACAGACAGGCCTCACTTTACCGGAATGGAGATATGGAAAGCTCACTGAACAAATTTCAGATCACGAGACCACAGCCAAGCCAGTCAATGGTGTCAATGGCAAGAGCCAGAAGGCACTCAATTAATGTACGGACACGAAAGGGGACCTTCACCTTCATTAAGAGCAGCTTCATTTAACGCTTCGAAGGATCACCGTCCTCCTCTATGAATTTTCGAAAACAAACAACAACAAGAAAAACACAATATGGACCTGTTTCTTTTGTTTCCCACTAGTTGGATCTTTCGGCACAGGTATGGGATTTATGAGTTCTTTGCTTCGTCATTACTCGATGGAGAAGCCAATGGTTTGGTAGAAGAGTAATTCCGGATATGGGTGGCGTTGCGGCGTGGAGCTGTATATCCTGTACCATTATTTGCAAAATCGTTTTCTCTTCAAATGCATTGGACTTCAAAAATTTGATATGGTGAATCGGATCCGAAGCGAGACGAGGTGGACATTGATATGGCGCAAGGCTGAGCTAGTACACAATTCGCTAAGGGTCGTATAGTTTTAAATAAGCATTTTTTAGACCAGCAATATCCAGTTTTAACGCGTCCATCAGGCTCGGTGGTTCAGGTCTTCGCTGGTTTGCGTGGAATGGGACAGGGCAGCGAGAATAAACCCACGGGTTTTGATAGGGAGCAACCGCTACACGACTGCGCTTGCTCCTGAAGTTTTTGATTTGCATTTCTGTTTTGTTTTAATCTTGGCATCTTTATTAGTTCAATAACCTTTTTTGGTTTTTTTTTCTTCCTTTCCACAATTTCGTTTTCCGCACTCTCCTCGCGTCCTTGGGTTTGAAAGACTGGCTCGGATGAAGCGAGGTAAACAATGATCAATAGAACGTGACTTTACAATTTTAGAATGACACTGGTCCATGAATATCTTTACACCCATAAAACGAGACACTTCATTCTCACTCACGATACAGTGCGGAGATATGCTCATCATCCTTCGAGCTGACAAAGAGACTCTATTCCGAAGAGCGCGAAGGGAGTGACACGCAGGAAAACGATCAACTGAGGATCCGACTATCGATGATTACAAAATAAACAGCGGACAGTAGAAGTCCTTTTGTCTTCATCTTCATATGTAAACAGGTAGCTCGAAAGTAGCGAAGAATCAAGCGCGGCTTCGGTTGCCGCTCAGGGGGCTTAAGCGAGAGAAACGCGCCGCTCCGCTCTGCTCATGCTAAACATTGCAATAGTATCATAATACTTATGATTGAAATTTAAGCTTCAGTATCTCTCGTTGGAGTGTAGTGACAGCAAGAGTTCGGCAACTTGACGCAAAAACCTTGCAAGTTTAGTATGAGAATTACGGCATATGAACAAATCATCGACGCTCTGAGGCTCATCCTCGAAAAGTGGTTTTTATGAGGGAGCCTTGACAAAATGTGTGCTCATAATATGCCTAGAACTTAAAAGAGTACTAAATCATTGTGGCTCGATAAAATAGAAGCATTGAATAACTTTTATTGCTTCCAGCAAGTAAATATGCGCTAAAGCAGTTGATGCTTAGTAGGTATCGGTCTATGAAACATCTACAATAGTCATCATTTATCATCATTAATGAGGTGTCGTATCAAGAGAAGACTCCCGGGAATAAAAATTCCACATTCTTTACTCCCTCGGCTCCTCTTCCTTCTTTTTTTGTCATGAATTGAATCATGCCCGTTGTTTGGCCTTCCCAATGTTTGCCCGAGACGAGATCACTGTGCTCTTCCTTGATTAGTTCATCAAGAACAGATCCAACAAGTCTCTTAGCATTAGCTCCATTAGCTTCCATATGTGCCATGACCATAGCTACATCCACGTCGGCGGTATCGTGCCAGCAATCGTAGTCGGTGGCCATGCAAATCATCTGGTAGACCATCTCGGCCTCTCGAGCAAGCTTAGCCTCCGGAAGCGCGGACATATTAATAACAGAGCCTCCCCAGCTACGGTATATGTTCGACTCCGCTCGAGTAGAGAACTGAGGCCCCTCTGTAGAAAACGTTAACAATGTTTGAAGCTACGTAAGTTCCGTGGAGACGAACCCATACAGATAATAGTTCCCTTGTCATGCATTCTTACTCCATCACCGGCAAGAGCATGGCCACAAGCACTGACGACCTGCAGTACATCAGCACAAGATCAGTCTCGTGGCACGTATGAATAATATACCTTCGATATCTTGGCATCGAATGGATCTGCAAATCCTACATGACCAACGACACCCTTCTCGAAGAATGTGAAAGGCCGAATACCTGAAAACCAATATGAGTTTAGGAACGTCCGGAATCAATTTTTCCACGAACCCTTTGTGCGATCAATGATCTGATCTGGAACCACAAAATCTCTTGGTCTAATCTCTTCCTGCAAGCTTCCCACTGCACTGAAAGCAATGACAGTCCTAACCCCAATGCTTCTCAAAGCTGCAATATTCGCTTTCGAGGGAACTTCGTGAGGTGCAATCTGGTGGTACGCGCCATGTCGAGAAAGGAAGGCCACAGGGACTTTGTTGTGCTCGAGAATATGAATCGGTGCAGAGGGATAGCCCCAGGGAGTGAGAGGGTTCACTGTTGCAATTGGCACATAGCCCTCGAGCTTTTGGAGACCAGTTCCGCCGATCACGGCAATGCGAACAGGATCTGGGATTTTGTCAGTAGAGGTATTTGCAAGATCCAAAGATCACTCACGGTCGAAGGAAGTGGGGAGGTCTGCCATGTTGAGGAGAAGGTTAATTCGAAGCTTGGGAATTTAGGAAATGTGGAAGATTAACAAATATTTCAAGCTTCACGTGGGTAAGCTTTCTCTCAATTCTGTCTTCGCACTTGATGGTCTATCAACTCCTGTTTCTCCTTTTTGCGTGCTTTTGCCCCGCCATGAACCCCGCCCCGCCAAAATTTACCAATCTTATCAGCACGTGCCAATGTCGCTTAACCAAGCTGCTAGCTTAGTAAGCACACACTCGAATTGATCGTTTGGAAATTCTTCTCAAGATTTCGCGATCAGCGACTCCGACCAATTCTTCGACGTTCACCAACCATCGCCAAAATGACGAAGATCAACAGCTGTACGTTGCACCTCGGTGGCTCATTCCTCAATGGCATCTTTCAAAGCCAAGCACAAGAAGACTGACATTCCACCAGCCCTCCACTCCTCGAGGAGAAAGTCTCGCAAGGCTCATTACGATGCGCCCTCCAGCGTCAGACGCACAATCATGAGCGCTCCTCTCAGCAAGGAACTCCGTGAAAAGTACAATGTCAGTCAATTCGAGCTCATATTGTCAACTCTTCTAACATGCCACAGGTCCGCTCCATTCCCATCCGAAAAGACGATGAAGTTCTCGTTGTTCGAGGTTCCAACAAGGGCCGCGAAGGAAAGATCACCTCCGTCTACCGTCTCAAATACATCGTCCACATCGAGCGAGTTGTCAAGGAGAAGTCCTCTGGTCAATCTGTTCCTATCGGCGTCCACCCCTCAAAAGTTGTTATCACCAAGTTGAAGCTCGACAAGGACCGTGAGAACATTTTGGAGCGCATCAAGGCTGGTCGTGAGATCAAGGAGAAGTTGAAGTCGAAGGCATAATTGGCACAAGAATGGCGTGACGGGCATGGTTGTTTTCCGCATGGCTGGTTGGAGCTGGCCGGATGTGCTACACATAGGGAATGAAAAAAACATTATGGCCATTTCACATTCCTTCGTGCTTGCACGTCTGGTTTGCATGTGAAATGATTCCATGGGAGGTCCTCCTGAAGCAAAGTGCCGTGTTCATCACGACAGATTGTGGCGCCTTGCTATACCTTGCTTTGGGAGGGCCATCCTCAAGTAACCTGCAGAGAAACTGATACTTGTTTAAAAGGGTAGGTGTGGTTTCTTTATCTTTTTCATCTTACAGCGCTATATTATCTCCGCGTCAATCTCCTTTGCCGGATACACAACATTGATGAGGTAAACAGATAGCGCAGATGGAAGACAAAATCACTTCCTCTTCGGAGTTTTGATCTTCCTCGCCTGCAGACTGTCTCTAGATCTTGGTCTATTATGATGAGAGTTTGATGTGAGGCACATTTAATCAGTTAACTATCCACCGGAGGGGTTTCTACGAGTAGCAACTGCTAGTTCAGACCTTGAGCATTGACTTGAACTATGTAAAGCCTACAGACATTGACTCGAGTTTGGTCATCGTCATTCATATGAAATACATCTAGAACTTCTCGACGTATGGTCTACAGTCCAGCTCCTGTGTGAAGTGTGACCTGGGTTGTGTGTGCAAATACCAATACGAATCAGCAATCTGGATTCAGTCAGCTGTATGCCACATACGTGATAAGATGGATGAACACTTACAGCATCACTGCTGATTTTGCCATCGGGGACTCCTCCATTAACAGGCCAGTCATGGGTTCTCGGAATATCGATAACTCCATCAATGATAGCATGTGCAACGTGAATGCCCCTTGGTCCGAACTCTCTGGCCAGACTCTGTCCCGTAGCTCTCAAAGCAAACTTCCCGCTTGCGAACGAAGACATAGTTGCTGATCCTCTCAGAGACGCTGTAGCACCAGTAATAATCAAGGAAGGTGGATGCGGGGAGGTTTCAACCGACTCCAGCAGGAGAGGGAGGGTAGCTTGGGCAAAGAGGTAAAAACCTCTTCTACAATCTTCGTCAACATCAAGTAGTACAGTCACAGCACCTGAACGGATGACCACTTACCCATTGCTCTCATACCCAGCTTCATATTCCTCCAAAGTCATTTCCAAGAATGGCTTCCTGACAAATCGACCTCCAACGTTGTAGATTGCTGCCGCCAACTTCTTGCCCTGAAACTCCTTCTTTATCTCTGCGAAAGCTTTCTTGACGGCATCTGGCGAGGAGACATCTGTCGAAATGCCAATCGCATGACCTCCGGCCTGGTTTATCTCCTTAACAATAGATTCGTAGTTTGCTGGATTCCTGGCTAGAAGGGCAACAGGGTAGGCTTTTGCGAATTTGAGAGCAACAGAGCGTCCTATTCGCATCAAGAGTTAGTATTGTCATAGATACTGAGCAAGAAGTACGAACCAGTTCCCGCTCCCACACCTGCGACCACGCTGTAGAAATTGCTTGCTGCTGCCATACTTGTTGATTGTAAATGGTTGCTAGTTAGTATTAGACGTTGAGAAGGTCCAGACATATATCAAGTGAGGAACAGAGGCACATATAAGTTGGGGGAAGAGAAAAGGAGTTCAATTCATTGATTGATAATGCTAAGGAGGGGTCTTGATGATGCAATGCAAGCCGTCGCACAGAGGTGAACCCCAGATTAGTAATTGTCTGGCAGTATGAACATTCTCAGTAATCACGGACATTCGTAATCTCGTCTGCCTCTGAGACTGTACAACAGCCTAAGTGAGCGATAGCAGAGGTGTCCTAACAATTGCTTCTTGGTCTGCTGTTTTGGGGTGATTTATAACAACAATTCACAATTCTTGCATAAAATAATGCTTGCAGATTTATGTGGGTCCTATCATGTGCCTCTCTCATTTCATTTCATCAAATCAGGGAATGCCTTCCACTAGCAACAGCATAAACTCTCCGGCAGCATCATCCAAGTCTAGAACTCAAACATTCTCAGCTCTGTTGCACATCGCAAATGAAATAAACCAGTTTCTCACAATCCATAAGCTTGAAATTTCCATGCGGCGTCCCACTTTCTTCTAAAGTTCAATGTCTCAGCGCCTCGTTTGACGTTTTGAGACATGTGTTCATCGACGGGGGATTGCTGGTTGAGGGGTGTTTGCATTTTTGTACGACCTTGGTGTAGATTGCGAAGTGCAACAAATCTGAGCCCAAAAAGCCTTCAGTAGTACGGTGGCATGATTCTTCTGTCATTCACGAGAAACGGTTGGTTTCCGGTAACCTGGGGAGTGCGGGAGAGGCGTTGTATTGTTGAGATATTTTTGGAAGAATTTGTTGGCTGACACGCGGCAGAGGCAAACTTGCGGGAGCCAATGCGACACCAATCAATCATTCTACAGATGTGTCACTTTTGATGAAAATCATCTCGTTTTGCCTCGTCGAGTGTCTGCAGATATTCGGCATCTTCAGGTGGAGATTTGACATAGAGACAGCGAGTTCCGACCAAGTCACAATCACATTGCATCGGTGTCTCGGTACCTGATGTATGTTCAATCTCAGGGTGTTGAGCACCACACAATTAGGTATATTGTCTACAAAAGAGCCCAATTTCGCTTTACTGTATCTCAAGCATGTTTTTGCAAATAAAGGAAGCACGCAGGCAAGGTAACTTTATGTCTGATTCAAAGAACAATGCGTGTGCTCGGGTTTGGTGCAAGTTGAGTCCGCCTTCTTTTGTGCAATCAAATCCAAGATGTAGTATTTCTAGACTTTTCCAAGGTTAACAGACATTGAAAAGATACTCCTCTGTAAATTTCATAGTTTCGAGGCATGCACAATGGGAAAGACAGCATTACATGAAAGCCGCAATATCTTGCTCTCCCAAAGAGGGTCTTGTTTCTAAACATACACTATAGAATTTTGCAAGGTCAAAGTCTGACTTTGATCTGTTCCGATTTCTTGAATCGACATTGCACTTGATGAGTTATGTCAGCAGTAGGCTATGTTCGGGGCCACTAGGAAACAATGATGCACTCGAGACTTAATTCCTTTCTATCACACACCAGGCAGGCTCGAAATAAAGTCGATTTCACCTACTTATCAAAGGAGGGCATACTAAGCCCTGGAGAAGGAACAGCTCCGTAGACAGCTTGCCGGTGATCTAGAGCTGATGATAGCTGTGAGGTGACCCCCAGACGGCTCACTGGTGACTACTGCGTACAGGCTCTCCCTATCGAGTTGTCGTCTGTTGAAAACAAGACTCTCCAAGCTCGGAGTTGCATTCACGACTATAGATAGATACTCAGGTGTTTTTGCCCAGAATAATAATGCATTCCACTTCATCGATTTTCGAAAAGCAGTCACACGATACTTCGTTATTGAAATCCAGCACTTTATTTGTTCAAACTAGGATGTAGGAACTAGGGAAGAAACATGCAAAGCTCAAAAGTACTGAGCTGAGATCAAGTACACGGGGTTTTGGTTCGAGAATGACAAGTGTGTCCTTAGTCTTGTAGAATCAGTCATATGGTGAGGAAACCACATCTCCTTTTCTTATCCCAAGGCAGGGTGCCGGTATCTGATCAAACTTCCACCAAAAAATGAAACTATTATGGCTAATAACAGTCAGAGTTCTGGTCACTCACTGTAGTCTCGACGGTTGTATTAAAGAAAAGGGGGTGCGGTCACGTGGTATTCTTAGCGAAGTTGCTTGAAAGAATTCCTTGCTTGCCTAAAGTATTTACAAATCGATGCTGCCATAGCCCATTCCAGAATTACCGGTGAGATTCAGGATCATCTTCAAGATGCATCGTTCCTCGTCAACTCCAAGATCTTTTTCTCCAGTCCATTTGCTTTACTTAGAAGTGTCAACAACGTATCTGCCAGCAATCTTGCCTTCGTGCATGAGATCGTAAACCTTTTGCAACTCGCTCAGGCCAATTGACTTGTATGGAGCCTTAATTAAGCCCCTTCTGAAGAAGTCAATGGCTTCAGCACTGTCAGCTCTGTTGCCAACGTAAGAGCCCTTGATGGTGATCATCTTGATGACGGACTCGAAGACAGGTGCACGAAGATAAGCACCAGCTGGCAGGCCGATGGCGATGACGGTACCGCGAGGTCGGACGTATTCAGCAGCCTGTTGGAATGGCTTCTCGTTGACAGCGACCAAGATAACAGCGTGGGGTCCAAGACCATCAGAAGTAGCGGCCTTCACATCTCCGACCACATTTTTGCTGGTCATGAAATCAACGAACGATGAAGCGCCCAACTTAGCAGTCATCTCTCTCTTCTCATCTCCACCATCGATGGCAATGATATTGAGGCCCATTGCTTTGGCGTATTGGCAAGCCAGAGATCCAAGTCCACCACCAGCACCTACAATAGCGACAGTTTGGCCTGGCCTGGCTCCTGACTCCTTCAATCCCTTGTAAACTGTGATACCTGCGCAGAGGACTGGTGCAATAGCCTCGAGGTCACATTCCTTAGGAATGCGAGCAATGTGTGCTGCCTTTGCAATACAGTATTGTTGGAAGGTACCATCGACAGTGTAGCCAGAAAGGAGTGCTTTGGCACAGAGCTATAAATAAATCAGTATATTACTTTGACAGAGATCCCGGAGCCGAAGGAGGAAAGGGAGAATTACGGGTTCGTCTGATCTTTGACAGAAGTCACAGGCCAAACATGAACCATTGATCCACTGTAAACATATTAGTCTAAATTATAACAGATAGAAATTTTAGAGCTCTCCCCACCTTTACGCCAGCATGATCACCGATTTCGACATCGTTGACGAGCTCACCGCGAGCAACAACGACACCTGCACCCTCATGGCCGCCGACAAGGGGTAGCTTGGTAGCCAATGGCCAGTCACCGTTGACGGCGTGCAAGTCAGTGTGGCAGACACCGGAGTACTTAATGTTGATGAGAACCTCATCTGGACCGGGCTTTTGGACGGGAATCTTCTTGTAGACAACAGCTGCAAGACTGTCAACTCTACAACTCAGAAATCTTATATTCAGGGTTGACTTACGTTGTCCGGTCTTCTCGACGACTTGAGCCCATTGCTCAGTAGGAATTTGGGGAGACGACATTATGATGACGTGTGTTGATTGTGACAGGGGCGTTCTTTCGTTTAGAAACGGTCGTTTGTGTTTGTTTTGAGGATATGGAATTTTAGTAGCTGGTTCGAATATTCATTTGCTCGACGAAGAATGAATTAACAACCCATGTGGCAACAGGCCACTCCTTATATTCACTTTTTCAAAAATACTGCCTCAAAGAAAAAGTCGAACCCCGCCAAACTCAAAGGTAACCCCACCTTGTGCTGGTGCGTCCGTGACGCCGATCCCAGAGCTTCGAACCCTGCATATGACCGATGATAGCTATCTCGATGTTCACTTTCCTGGTACGGTACAATACTACTTGTCAAGATTTCCACTTGTCCCGAAATGTTCCTGTGACCCTGGAACTTCAATCCGCTGCACCGTTAGTGTTTGAGCTGAGCTTCACAGAGTGGAAAGCATGTAAGAGGGGATGCTTGGTGCGTTCGATAACGCCGGTCTAATGGCGGACGTGGGCGTGTTCCATAGAAATTTGGACAGGTACACATTGCATAGAGGTCCATGCTTCATGCCTGTTCAGAGATTGGCATCCTATTGAGCGAGACTTTCCATCTTCCCATCCCATCGTACAATGCCCCCGGCAAAGTCTAGCTTCGTGGATGTCCCAAGATCTTAGGACGAATAGGATACCTTCAAAGGAACGTCTTCAAGGTCCTACTAAGTGCCACAGGAGTGACAAACCGACAAGGGGCGGATTCCATAGACGCAGAATATTCCGATATGGGCTGAGACGACGACGTGGGTCATTCGGCCGAGCGTGCCTTGGCCACAAAGTGGCATGTTTCTTGCGGGCCCTGGTTCGCATCTTGACGTCTAGATGAGGCGTTTTGCAAGACTTTGGAGCTGCGGTGACATGACTGGCCCCGCTGATGTGCCCCAAGGAGCCTTTGAGCTTGCTACCCGGGCCCCCCGACAGTGATTGACACAAGGACAGCTCCAACGCAAGCTCCTTGCGGGGAAAGCTGCCAGCCCCCAGCGGGACTAGACGGTTTCGATATGCGGGGTTAAGGGTGAGCACGACTCATGTCTCTGCATACCTCTGAACCCTTGATCCGAACCAAAGTCGACGGAGCTCTGGAACGGTGTAATGTGGGCGAGTCTGTGGCATGGTAAATCGTATGGAGGAAAGTTCGAGTCTCGGACGAGCGCCCCTATCGCAGCTGTCCGCGTTTGGAGACAGCAAGCGCCGGGTTAAAGCGGCGCAACGCTAGTTCCCTCCCAAGGAGAACTTCGCTTCGTTCGCGTCTTCTTGCCCGAAGAGAACGAGACGAGACGACGTGAGTCGGTCGAGTCGATATCCAAGCTTCAACGAGCACCCCTTCCTCCCTCTCTTCTCACAGGTCCGCCGCGTGTGAGTGAGCGAGCATTTCGAACCCCATCCTTGACACCTCCCTCGACTTCATACCTCTGAACGAAGACACCTCTTTGGATACCTATGACGGTCAGCCAATACCTTGATGGTATCGAAGCCTACAGATTGCCTTGTCCACACGGTCTACATGTCCCAGCTTCTGAAGTCATTCTGAGCATGTAGCAGCACCTACCGTAGACGCCACACTTGGATCCGTCGACTGAAAATCAAGGTTTTCGTTTTTTTCACTCACTACCTATGTGCTGCGCAGCAAACCCATCTTCCAGCGCCTTACACGCCGAAAAGCAAGAAAGAAGCCTTCACATAATGGTTGCAAGAAACATGCAGCCCAAGAGCCACATCAATACCACGCACGAGCAAAGAAAAGCACAAAGTACTCTGCTAAAACGACCCGCAAAGCAGACACCACCGCGAAAGAAAAGTGAATGCAAAGTCCGCTTCAAAATGGGACTGTCTCCTTTCCCCTCTTGGCAATGAACTGATACACATCGAATCCTATGTTTTCCACCATCAGACGACGGCTAGAACGACCGAACCAACCTTGTCCAGCTTCTTCGGGTATGCTTCATCGATATCAAAAGCCAGGATATCTTCTGGGCTCTCCATGACATCAATCTTGGAATAACCCGGGCAGCGTACCTCATACTTCTTGTCGAAGCGCTTATCGGAACCCGGGAGGATCGGGGTTCCTGGAGGGTATCTGTTGAGTTCGCTGCCGTATTCGTCAACGTCCTCTATAGCCGGGAGAAGTCGACCAGCTTGGTAGCCAATAGCTGGGCGATAACCGGGAGGAGATCTCTGGAGCTCAACAGCCTTCTGGCGAACCTTCTGCTCGACAGCAAATTGACTCGCGGGGGTTAGTTGAGCGGCGCCCACTTGAATGGTGTCAGCAAGCCCTCAACATTCGGAGATTGTCAGGAGACGAAGACTTACTGGCTTCGACCGTCGTGCCCTCGCTGTAGAATTCAAAAGATGGAGCTGGGAATCCTAAGAGACGGCGAATGATCGCACCGAAACCGTACATATTCCAGAATGTGCGAGGTTGATAGAAAGGCAGAGTATCGTACGGGGTGTGTCGAACATGCACGATACGCTACCAGCAGTCAGTATATGTAGCGCTGCCAGCAGAGGCAACTCACGTGGTCCTTCCTACTGTGTTCGAAAGTTCTCTTGTATGGAGTCAGTCTTGGAAAGCCAAAGTGGCGGATCAGCCATCCCAAGATATCGAAGATCCTGAACATGGTGAAACCAATCAATAGATTTCGGCCCAACTTTAACATTTGGCAGTAGAAGGCGATATCCCAATCCAGGATCGATACAACAATCGCCCGAAGGACTGGCTTGAGGAAGGAGGGACAGCTGTAGATAATCTCATTAAGCATAGCCATGCCTGCTTGCTCGTTCTCGTCACAGGGCCATCGGCAGTGCTTTTCGAAGGCCTATTTTTGTTGTTGGCAACACGGCAGTGTTTGGAGGTGCAAGGAACTTACCTTGCGCCAAGTCTTCGCGGCTGCCAAAGATTCGGGCACGTAACGACATCCCATCATACAACCGATCTCACGCCAGAGAACCCATCTGTCTGTGGTTAGATTGTGATTGTGGTGCCATGGAGGTCATCTACAAGGCCTGTTGCTCGAATGGATACAATTTGCGGTACCCAAATTGATTGATCCATTGACCGGGAATCATGGCGAAATGAATGATCAGATAGAGGATATCGTCACTGTTGATCCAGATTCCATATCGGTGGTGCTGGTTTTGGCCGTTAGCGAGGTTCTTCTCTTATGTTTCACAACGCCGGGATCTGGCAGCGTGGCCCTTGCACAGTACCATGTCTGTGGTACAAGAAGCTCAAATGGAACATGCAGTGAAGGCGCAACTGGTTGAGATGTTGGAATTGGAAGGACTTACATGTTCATTGATGCGAGCCATGACCATTGAATGCATTGGCGACTTGAGTGGATATGCCATGAACGCACCCATCAAGTGGATTGTGGCCTGAAGGCGTTCATGCTCTATCATAGGATCAGGGTTCACCATGTGGCCAGATCGGATCAAGGCACGAGATACACCAGGGTCGGTTGAAGTCTACTTGGATGAGCAAGATGGTGGCCAAGTTGGGATGACACTTACACGCAGAAAGTCGGAAATCCAAGCGAATTGATAGAGACGAGGAAATTCGTATTCAGCCATGTTGGCCTCGACCTCTTGGGCAACCTCAATACTCATGCTATCCCACAAGCTTGAAGTTAGTATACTTGTATCATGCTTGTCAGAGAGAGCGGTGGGGCTCGGAGATCTTGAGTTCTTGTATGCAACTGCTCGTGAAGCCACAAGTTGAAGGCGTTGGAAAGAATATGAATGAGTTGTTCTGTTGTTATGGACTTACTTATTAAAGGTCGAAGCATTCGCGGTGAAGCCGTGCTTTTCCATTAAAGCATACACTCGAACGTACCGAAGCTTTTGCTGGACTTTCCTGAACAAGTAGCAGAACAGCATGATACTACAGAGGCTGTACCAAGGATGTGCAGATTGCTGTGCCTTGAGGTCAGCGAGGAGGATGTCTGCCGACTCGGCATAGTGGTAATAGACTGCGAGTGCAGATACTCCGACAAAGCTGATCAGCTTTACGGAGCCCGATGCCGGCGAATACAAGAAAAAACCAGGAAGTGATACAAAGACGAGTGTAGCCAACAGCCACAAGAGGGCTGCGCCGAGTGGTAGCATGTTGGATGGTCAGTTGTTGTTCACTATGAACGCGATGTGCGGCTCGATTTCAGTTAGGCTTCTTCTCTACGGGATTGCTGTACATGTTCTCAGCTTGAAAAAGACAACACGGTGATGTTATGACTTACTCTTGGTCGTTCCTACAAGTGCAAGGTCGACGGGTTGAAGTTATGGAGGAAGGTTGTCGGGAAGGTGTCGAAAGAGGAGTCAGATATTTTTTGGGGAGGAAGCTCGCGTTCTCCCAGCAAGGTGTAAACTAGCGCGTTTTGCAAGCACCTGGCCTGATTTGACTCACGGCCTACGTATGAGCTCCTTCTCCAAGGCGGTATAGCAGCCGATATCGATATTGCCAAAGTGTAGAGAGCTAGTGGCCTGTTTCAAAGTACTGTGGCGTCGTAGTATAGCACAATCTCGCTGTAAACACTTCCTCATCATCAACATAGGGGTCAAGTCGAACTCCTCCTGAGTAGGTTACATGGAAGCAATGCATGGGACATCATATTCTTTCCAGCTGCACCAACCCGCTGGGTGAGGTTTCGACAAGCCTACACTCGGGATGTCTACAGCCTCCTACGGACAGATGCATACTTAATGCTCTGACGGCATATGGTACCAGATTTCTGGACCATTGTCGTACAGAGATCATGCAAGAGAGCGGGAGATCATGTTGGTAACCAGTGGCTTGTCAGAGCTGAATTAATTGGTTTGTTGGTGCTACAAAGGGTCGGTACCATTGTGGCACAGTGCTAAGAGACGAATGCATGTGCTGGGGATTTTGGGTCAATGAGTCCTTCAGACAAAGATGTTAAAGATCTCTTATGGTTTATGATGTAGGGATTTTCTAGAGGGTGCCAAGGGAGTCAGATGGGTTATCCTTTCGGAATTGACTTCTCAATATCACCAGAGGTAAGCTTTCCCGGCCGGTCTTCAACTACAGACGCCCAAATCCTTTAATTTACTGCGAAGTGAAACTATTATGCAAATCATGAACACATTATTATCATTTACCTATGCTGGATATGTGCAATAGATGGAGCATGTTCGCTGAAAGTTACTGCCAATATCAGCGATCCTGGATCGTGCTTCGAGTGTAGAGGTTCACCAGAAGGAGTTGATAACAAATATATTCAATGATGATGTCTGAATAGAGTATGGGAAGTCTCGGTGATAAGGAAAGGGGGAGTTGTGGAACATCGCTTCTTAGAAGATGGCCTGCCAACCATACCCCTGATATGTAGCGAGAATCTGCACTAGACATCGCGATGTAGGAGCTAGCAGAATATCTGTGACCACCCCAGAGCTTTACAGACAGGAGCTTGCGAACCAAAGAGGAGCTGATTCAATATAATTGCAAACTACCGAACGAGCCACTAAGATCTTTGATCGAATATCTAAAGACATCAACACCCTGAAACTTGAACTGGGATGGCTTTTCTTATTCTTTGCTACCCAAATAGGCGGTAAGAATGGAGTGATGACAATACCTCTGTCAACAAATAATAGAGCTGGTGCGGGGCTTCCCATCTCAGTAGGGCCATACTTGTACATTCAAGTATGTCTTCCGCATTCCAGATGTTCACTTGCATGATCATTCCTGGACCTGAACAAGGGGAAGGACAAGCTATAGTGAGTGATTGCAGTGTCAAATCTACATTTTTGAAGGGCTCTTTATTTGCAGGATGCTTTTTGCTCGTAACACATCTATCATTTTCATTCACCACTCCTCTCAGTATCTCTCAGTGCACATGGTGCTCCATTGCATTGCCGATTCTTTTCATGCTACGACTGCATCGTGAGTGCTACTTATGATCCGCCCGGACCGCCTAAGAGTGCAAATCTTCGGACAATGGATGGACCTATTTCGTCATACTCTACGAAAATATCAGTATTTGAGGTACATCATGATCAAGTAAGGATACATACCAGCCTTTGTGTGACAGTAGCTTCGGAATTCCGGTGTTTGGCCCAAAAGACTTCCACCAAACCAAGGGCCATGTCGTTGCCGCTTATGTGAAATGACTTGAACCTCCAAGCCGCCACTTCGTGCTCCTCCGCTCCGCGCCTCACTAGCTCTAATTCGATCATCAACCAAATGCTTGATATCACGCTGTAATCTGCGTCCAAAGTCCTTGTATAGTGTGCTCCCACCAGACAGGACAATGTTCTTGTACAGACCGCGTCGGACATCGATAGGCGAAGACTGAATAACTCCATCAACAACTGTTGGCAGAGGGGTGAGGAAGTCGGATGAATAAATTTCAGGGTTGAAGAAGATTTCTGGGGCCAAGAAACGTTCATATCCAACATCAACGGTCACTTTGCGTCCGCCAGGTTGTGTAACAACGTGCTTTGCAAAGCGTGTTGGATCCCGGTCGAATCTAGAAAACTCTTTAACGATATCTGGGCAAACATAGCAGTACTCTTCCTTGATCTCCCCGGCAGTCTTCAAGGACGAATCCGGCTCGCCTCGATCACGAAGAAGAGATTGTACGAAATATGTAATATCTCGACCAGCAATAGGAATAGACTTGATGGAAGAACCAATCACATATCCTTCTGCGACTGGAATAACATGAGTGACACCGTCTCCAGAATCAATGACTGTGCCAGTCAATGATCGATCCGATACTTTCGACGATGTCCATGAAGCTGCAAGAGCGAGTACCGCTTGTACCGCAATATAGAGACCTGCGCAGTTGAAGGACTCGAACATAATCTCGGCCGTGTTCTCGCGGTTTTCCGGGGGGTTGAGAGGCTGTAATACTTGTTACATAATATTCTATATTCCGTAAAGAAGACCTACCGGTTCGGTCAAGAGGAAATAATGGTCTTCCGGCTCAACCCGAAGATATTTGAATATCGAATTGGACCAAAACCTCTCCATGTGATCCTATACACGTTAGTACTGAATTGCACCATGAATTGACAGTGATATAGCGTACCCAATTCTCAATCTGACCATGACGAATGGGATAATGTATACCATATCCTAGCAGAGTTAGACCACCGAGATAGCTGTTCTGCGTATATGCGTACCGGGTCCATTTGCTGCAGCAAGAGCTTCGTCTCCAATGAAGAAATCCAGATCTTCCGTTCCACGCTTCATAGACAGATGACCCCCAGGTCCAGCACCGCCAGTAAGGTATGACGGCTTGTTCGCAACAGCAGGGCGTCCAGAGCCAGATCCCCCACTACCCGCTGCTGGGCCCTTCGTTGCGATCGCGGTGGGGAAGACGAAAGAAGGAGAGTCGTTGCCTGCGAAACCTAGAATCCATACCCATAAGACGATATCCCGCTGTGTGGCATTCGAGGTGGCAGGATCCACTTACCAAGCTTAGAGAAACCAGTACCACTGTAGAATATCCGTCAGTTAAGATAAAACATTGAGACTCATCGTCTTCTCGCAATAATCCCGCCTGAGGAAGTGGGTAGGAGAAACGTACTTGTCCATGACAACGGCTGGTGTATGAGAAGCCATCCTGAGTGATAGTCTGCGCAGAACGCCCCCACCTCTTGACTGACGTTATGCGACAACTTCAGATAATAGCCTTTCCTTCTGCAATGCGATTCCGGGTCGTTGTTCGTGTTCCTCTGGGAGCCTCGAGATGACGACCAGGCGGGTGTGGAATCGTCTAATAGGTATGTTGACCTATCAATCGTAACCCCGCTGCTTCCGAATATGGCTTGGTCTGACTGTCACGTGCTCCCAGCCTCAGTCGCCCTTCACACTCTGGTGGAGTTCTGGTCGTTGTCCCTGCCCCGAGCCGCTCACCGGCTTGGTGTCGCCCAGGAGCACGATTGCGGCAACGTATTCGGAATATCAGATGTACACGGCGGTGTCGTTGTAAATGAGTAGCGAGGAGTGCATGGCGGAGGCGAACAGAGTGCTTTGTGACGAGGTCGAGGCGGGCATAATTCGTGCCTGCCAAACGCAGACATGACCTGGTGCAAAAGTCTGCTCTGCTCTATTTACGTGGGAGCTCTTCCACTCCAGATCTCCCTGACCGCATCCTTCTCCAGCTTTCGTTATTGCACAGTCATTCGTTTACAGCCCTAGTCAGTAATTCTACATTGCGGCATCAGATTCATGGAGTTGAGTGGGCGTTCATACTGCACTTGATGCCCTCGAAAGTCTGAGCATCTCACCCGTCACATTTGAAATTTGGGCTTCAGACCCTTTGCCCCTTTGGCAGTTGATTCCCTTCCAAAATCCCATTGATCCTGCTACACGCGGTAAGATTGATCATCGTGTCATCGTGCTTGTGCAATACTGACAGGAGTCGTTCAGCTTAACTCCTGTTCTTCGCGTACGGAACGGACTGATCTCGAGGAACATCCGAGATTCAAACATCCTCGTCTTCGTCAATTTCTACCATAAGTCTCAAAGCTCCCGACCAAGTCCACCTATACACCTCTACGGTCAACCTAGATTCGATACCTTCCCGCTTCCTGCCGTGAGATTCTCAATTGGTACCTCCACAAAGGTCCGCTCTCCTAGCAGCAGTGTGTTTAGTTTCGAACTTTTCTTTCCCAACATCCCTCATTCAAGCTACTAGACTCGGATCACGGACTCGGTTCGAAGCTGATCTGTATTCCTACGATATCGTCGGTTCTCATGCTGAGACCAGAGGAATTTTCAGACAGCAACTCGCGGATTTCCAAAAAGCTCAGCTTCGCCCGCAAGCACCTACAGAAACTACGGAATAGCGTGTCCAGATCCTCGAGCAGATCTCAAAAGCAGGAGATCGAAACTGAGAACATCCGACATTCCTTTCCTCACGGTGATTCCAACCGGACGGGATCGATTACAGTTTTGACAACACCACTAGGCTCATATTTCTCATCTTCAGACTTTGAAACACCAATATCAAGACACATCATGGACGGCGCCACGGACGGCGCCACGGACAAGCTGTTTGGTAGACGAAAGCAAGTTTCGCCAACCCGTGTTGCGAATGCTTCTGCCATCTTTGTGCATGCGGGTGCAGGCTATCACAGCACCACAAACGAACATATCCATCTATCGGCTTGCGACAAGTACGTTGATATGTTCTGTTCCTTGTTGTTCATTATTCCGGTCTATGAAGGTGGAATCATGCTGACACAGGCTCCAGTGCTGCGAGAATGGCAATGCGCATACTAAAAGCAGGAGGAACAGCTGTTGATGCAGTTGAGGCGGCAATCAAAGTCTTGGAGGACAGAGAAATCACCAATGCTGGGTTTGGAAGCAATTTGGCTATCGATGGTGTAGTTGAATGTGATGCTACCATCGTTGATCACATGGGTAGGAGCGGCGCTTGTGGGGCTGCAGCTCGTAAGTTTTCCTGTGACTGCTACTACCACAGTTACTGAACCAACGAACAGAGATCAAAAACCCCATCAACTTAGCCCGAGCCATCCTAGACGCCTCCAACAAGCCACTGTCTCTTCGAAGAGTACCCCCGAATCTTCTCGTTGGCCAAGGAGCTACCGACTTTGCCTGGGAACAAGGAATTCCTGTAGTTCCACACGAAATACTTGTCTCCAGGAATGCCCGCGACCGGTTTTTGCGCTGGCGAGAAGACTTGAAGCGTGCGGAAGGTCGATTGACACCAAATTCAAGTACCCGTGGTAGTCAGGCAGGGGAGGATGAGCAGTTGAACTTGCAGTACGAAGAGCAACTTCGTGCCAAGCAACGTCGAGATCATACTAATGCTATCTTGAGCGGTACATGGAACGAAGGACAACCAGACTCTCCATCTCCACAGGTTGCTCCGGGACTCGACGTTTTTGCACAAGACGCATCGGCTCGAGGTCGATCGCCTAGTCCCGGAGCAGGAGCGCAATATCGCAATCCTCGCATCCACCAACTCTCACCAACGGGCTCGAACAACAAGCGTCCTCGATATAGTCGACAAGCGAGCGATGATCGACGTACACATTCTTTGCTCAGCCCTAATGCAGGCACCAAAACCCCGGCAGACGTGGTCATCACTGGAAGCGAGACATTGTTGTCTGAGCATAGACCCGGCAGCAGTGACGGCAATATGTCACCACGGAATGACGTTGAAGGACCTCCTGGCTCTAGTGCATTCTTCCAGGAAGGTACAGCAGAGTCTCCTTCGAAACCTTTTGAAGCCGACGACGACCTCATTACAGATACCGTGGGAGCTATCGCCATTGACATGTATGGTCATATTGCTGCAGGTTCCTCTTCTGGTGGCATTGGGATGAAACACCGTGGTCGTGTTGGCCCTGCTGCTCTCGTTGGAGTTGGTTCTGCTGTAATTCCCGCCGATGTTGGAGACGAAGACGGTATCTCCGTGGCAGCGGTGACCAGTGGAACCGGTGAGCATATGGCAACAACAATGGCTTCTCAGAAATGTGCCGAGAGACTTTACCATAACACGAAGAGGGCTCCTGGAGGTGCGGACGCTGAGGCTACCGAAGAAGAGGCTATGGAGGCTTTTGTGTGCACAGACTTTATGCAACATCCCGGGGTGGCCAACAGCAATTCCGTCGGCGCAATTGGCGTAATGGCTGTGAAGAAGACTTCTTGGGGCTACTTCCTCCATTTCGCACACAATACGGACTCGTTCGCCCTAGCCTCAATGAGTTCAAGCGAGACGGAAGCAAGATGTGTCATGTCGAGGTTGGGAGATACCGGTTCCTGCGTCCGTGGCGCTCGCAAAATTCGAATCGACTAGCTTGCATCCATTCAGGTCAAATTTGGTCTACAAATAATATTGATCGCCCTCTCGACTCTTCTTTCTTTTCATCATTTTTACCGAGCCGGCGTTAGTACTTGGTGGCAACGGAGTTTGGAGAGTTATGGGCTGATCCATTACTCGAAGTCTGGGCGTTCCTACATAAGCTGGCGTCAAAGAGATGAGGACATATCCATTGCAGCGGGAGTAGTAGGTAACGTAGTTGCAGGGACAACATGAATCTGGCGGAAAGAAGATGATACCTAGGTAGCTTTACCCAAATTGTTTGCCACTGCCATGGCATTGCTGGCTAAACACTCTCAACCTAAAAACTAAAATGAACCTTTTCATTCCACTCATCGTTGATAAAGCCTCCAGTGTATAGGCATGATTGTGTTAATCAATATTAAGGGTTATCAGAGCACTTGCAATTTGTGAGGACTGCCTAAAGTTCATTTTTGTTCGAAGACGTCCATGTAATTCAAGGCTGCCCATCTGCCCTGCTTCTATGGCAACGAGACTAGAGTACAAACTTGAAAAGCAACTTCATTCTCCCGGAGCTGGAGTACCCCTTGCACTGCCTGTATCCACCCCACCATTTAATTTCTTCTTTTTCTTCTTCTTCTTCGGAACGACAGCGGGTTTTGCACCATAATCACCAAGGGTTAGGTGTGTTGAGCAGGTAAGGCATATAGCTCCTTCTGGTGGAGAGCAGAAGACTGGATGATGTATTTAGCATTGCCGTACAATGGAGGCGCTACAGGCGAAATCGTCGCATACAAAAAGAAAGGAGGATTCTCACTGCTCAAGCAAATGCTGCAAACAAATCCCACATCTACAACCTTTCTATGACAGAAGCATGCTGCTCTGAAATCAACTACCTCTTGGGTTGGAGCTACTAGGTGTTTCCGGGCCGCTTGGTCGGGAAGGAAAGCCATCATGAGATATTGTAGAAAACCTTGAGGGTTTCGCAGCTGCATATAAATACCCTTCGTAGCGTCGGATGCTTGCTGTAAAAACACTGTGTCTCCGGCTAACTTCAGAATGTCTATCGGTATCCGTAATCGCTGTGCTGCAAACGTAGTATTCATGATAGGTATATATTGATGTGCCAAATCGCCCGAGACTGAAATGACCAGTATTCGACTCTGTAGGCCTGTTGGTGTATCAGTCGTCTCGAGGCTCGTCGGAGCAGGTTTTGATTCTGTAGTTATGCCAGAGTAGGACATGGTAGCTTTGTTTATGTAGGACAGTGCCAGCGTTAGAGCACCGGCCATTTGCGTCGTGGTTGTAGTCGCGACATCTGTTTCGGTGGTCGTAGATATGAGCTCGCGCAGCGAGGAAAGAAGTGCCTCTTCTATTAGTGCAAACGGGCGGTATTTGTTCGCATTATCGAGGCTTGGTCTACTGCCATCGCTCATCTCGACATCCTCGGCCCTTGATGGAGATCGTGGGTAAAGCCAAGCGGCGCGGTGGCTATGGCTGGCCACGATAGCAACTTGGTTTGCATTGTTCACCGCAAGATGCGCATTTATGAAGACGAGAATGTTAGCTATGGCTTTCGAGAGGGGTAATGTCGGAGAGAGAAGTGCCCAGGCATGGGGATTGGTGTCCAGAATGAGGACCAGAAGTGATGGAGAAGCGCCTGCAGCAGAGTTAGCACTTCGTCGAAAATAAGCAGGCGCACATAGCTACCTCCTGTCGCAACTTCATAATGATCTGAGCCATCTACCGCGTTCATCGTGGAGGTATTCGAGGCATGTCAGCCGGAGGAGCTGTGAAGACAGTGACGAGCGTATCCCAAGATCTTGACTATTTGAAAACAACTTTAGATTGTAAATTGAAACTGAAGGTAGAAATCCAAAGTCGACAAGGAATGTCAAACCTATCATGGATGGATGGCTTCGAGCGAGGTTGAAAAAATCGCGGTACGCCTGATCCCGTGACTCAGCCTCACAGTGCAGACGTCGTCACGTCGTCACACACGCAGCTGACTCTCCTTCTTTCCCACTCAATCACTCTCACCATATCGCTCAAGATGCCGATGCCAACAGACTTTGATGCAGATCATAAGGTCTCTGCACCTTCAGGTGTGGACTCAAGCCCAAATACTTCGATCGAGGACCAGACATTGTTGCTGCTTGCTCGGCTGATGGAAGGCGGGCAAGAAGATGAAGATACATGCAAGGAGTTGAACAAGCTTACGAAAATGCTCGACGGCGACTCATCCGATCCTACCAGATCACCAGAGCCACATAAGCCCATCAACGAGCTACTTGATACGGACTGCGTTGAGACTATCCTTGGTTATCTGGACATGAGACAGTCCCCAACAGTGCGGGGCTACGCCACTTTGACCACTTCTGCTTATCTCAAGGCTGCTGGTGATAGAGGAGTAAAGGAGCTGTCGAGCTTTTTTCATCTGACCGTCGGCAAAGGCACCTACGACGATTTTATACTCGCTTTTTCTGTTGCCGCTTCTTTATTTCCAGTTGTCCCCGATGTCATTGCAGAACTCTTCTTGAAGGAAGGCTTCGTGGTCAGTCTTGGACCCTTGATGAAGAGAAAGTGGAAGAGCAAAAAAGTCGAGCAGGCCGCATTGGAAATGCTCAATGCTGCCTGTATGCATTCCGCTTGCCGGGAAAGTATCAAGAAGTATTGCATGGAGTGGTTAGATGAGATTGTCAATGACGTTCCACCAACATCATTGGATGTCTCCTCGCCGGAAAGACACCATGTTGCTGAGGATGGAGCCATTCAGCAGAGAATACATTCGCCGGAGGTCAGGCATTTAGCAGCTGTCGTTCTAGCCAAGCTTCAGGTAAGTTCTAAGCAAATGTTCTAGTCAACTCTTTTTGTTGTCTTACATGACTTTATTCGTTATTCTGACTGACTTCAGGGTTGAAGGCTGTTCCTTTTGCGCCACGTGCAGGAGAGGATGATAAGGTCCAGCCAGCGATAACAAGCATAGAAGAGCTCTCTGACATGTTCAAAAACATGCTGTCAGACAAAGCCTCACAACATAGTTCCATAGAGGGCCTAGCTTATGCATCTTTACAACCAAAGGTCAAAGAGAAACTAGCTGCAGACGGAAATTTCTTGAAGGAGTTAATCAATGCCCTTGGCAACGCCCCAGCCAAATCTCCTGAAACTTATGGTGCATTAACCACCATCGTCAACTTAACGTCATATCAGCCAGCTCTTACCGAAGAACAGAAACGAATGACTCAACTCAAAGCATATGCGAATGCCTCAAAGTCTTCTAAGCCAAACCCCCTCAACGATGATGAGCACGTTCAGAAGCGTTGTCAGGCTATATTCGAAGCAGGTGCTATACCGGTCCTTGTTACTCACAGTCAACATGGTTCGGCTGCATCGTTGATGCTTGTAGTGTTGATCGTCTTCTCACTATCCAAAAACCCAAAGATTCGTGGTCAGATGGCTCAGCAAGGCGCTGTCAAGCTTCTACTACATGCGTACTCAGTATTTCCTACAGACAATGTCGCTGCACGCCGAACAACTGCTCACGCACTTGCTCGAATCCTGATTAGCACGAACCCGCAACATGTTTTCGGCGGATCAAATCCTCTTTCCATGACATCTGCAATTCGGCCACTACTCCTATTGCTCTCTGACGACCCTACTGTGGAGCACCGCGACCTTCTCCCAGTTTTTGAGTCACTCCTCGCACTCACAAATCTCGCCTCTACTGATGATACGGCAAGAAATCCAATTATCTGCATTGCCTTCCCTCAGATAGAGGAACTACTTCTTTCAAACAACAAGCTAGTCACTCGTGCAACCGTCGAGCTCATTTGCAATCTCATGCAAGCTCCGGAAGGAGTTGCCAAGTTTGCCGATGGAGGCAAGCAGGCGAGCCATAGGATGCATATTCTTCTCGCTCTGACAGACTCCGAGGATTATGACACTCGAAGAGCAGCCGGTGGTGCGATGGCGAGTCTGACGGAATGGGATACGGCTGTCAATGCAATATTAGAGAGGGATAGAGGTGTGCCTCTTCTTTTGCAGCTATGCAAAGAGGACGAGGAAGAGTTAAGACACAGGGGTGTTGTGTGTATATTAAATGTCGTATCTGCACCAGCAAAGGTAGGAGAATGGGGAGTAAAGAAAGTCAAGGAAGCAGGAGGTCTAGATGCTTTGAAAGAATGCCTGAAGAAATCGAGAAGCCAGGATGTGTTAGAGATCACAGTGGAGGCCTTGAAGAGGTTACTAGATGACGAAACGTCAGGTCCGGCATTGTTGGAAGGATGATAAAGAAGTAACTCTTCACAATATTTTCTATCATTTGGCATGCGGTGATATTGCTCGAGCTTCCACAGGATGTCACGGTTCTGGTGATATCATCGGGTTTATCACGTGAGATATTTCATTTAGTGTTTGAGCTAGTGCTGAGGATTCAGCTTATCTGTCCTCAGCACTCTTCCACTCTCTTAGTTCTTTGTCTATTATTCACAGATTAGTACGTACGTCCTGATTCCTAGTCTTGAGTGCGTGCTGTCACACAGGATATAGGATCTGAATAAGTGGAGGAAGATTTAAGATG